AGAGAAATACGTTGAGGAGTACGAGAGGATAGGAAAGAATTTGCACGCGGTGCGGAACCGGTTATGCCACGGCGGTAGGTAGGTAGGTGAGTGGAGAAAAGAGGGAAGAGTAGCCAACCAACGAAACAACAGCAACAGCCACAGCCACACACGAGCAATGTCATCGCGCATGTATCCTGCACGCAGGCTGCTCCATGCAGGTAACAGCAAATCCATCGGCGTCGCGACTTTCTGCGCGTGCGCATCCACGTGTACGTGTACCTATATGCGTGCTTGCGTGTTCTGCACGTTCTACGCTCCTCGCTCCTTTTCTTTATCCCCACGTAGCTTACCACCCCCTCTCTCCAACCCTCCTTTCCCATTGCCGGTTACTCCGGTGCAACTTGCAGCATGACGTCATGCTGGTGTACGAGAAAACGAGACAAGCGACTCGTTGTATACGTAGAATATACTACACACAGCAAACTCCAACGAAGCCGTACGGCGCGCAGCATACGCCAGAAACGAGCCAAGATGCTGCGCAGTCGGAACGGCAAGCTACCTGACACAAACCATTCTCTCTCTCTCTCCCCATTACCTATTAGGAGTAACTATACTCCTCCCACAACTTCCCCTGTTCCTTTCTCCTTTCTCCTTTCTTCTTCCTCCTTCCTCTTTCCTCTCTCTCTCCACTATTCGAGTATTTCTCTCTTTCGCTCTGCCTGTTTACAAACACGCGTAAACTCGGCTGAATAACATGACATCATCGCGCAATCTCGTGAGTTGACGGCAACGGAAGAACGACGATAGAAACGCAACTGCTACGTTCTCTCCAAGGCTTACTTGCTTGATCGATCCAAAAGCGAGTGTTAAACTTTCATTTTCTCACGTATTGTATATTTTCAACATGAAATCGATGAAACTCTCGACTGTTGGATGCTGGATACATCGCCAAAGAAAACCTGTGAAGAATCGGTCAGTGACGAATTAAGACGGATCGAATTGATAATAATAAATTATTTCCGAGAGAATAAAGTGAACGTATCACGAGGAATAGCGTAACGCGTAACGTAATGTAGAGTAGCACCATTATCGCACAGCTCATCTGTACAGTTTGGTCTCGTGTCACGTACTGTCCGTGACTAGTAACGAGTAGACAGGCTATCATGACGTCATCGTTATCAGTAGGGTACTGAATTAGGTCGTATATCGCGCGCATATTCTCCTCTCTTGGTCCATTTCGAACGGTAAACACAGCATGGGGTTCATGTAAATGTAAAAGATCGATCCTTCGCGATTCCTTACCCCGCTCAAACTCCATATTGTATGTATTTATGTACGTATGTACGTATGTAGTATATAGAGTACAGATCGTTAATATTTTACTCCATCTTGTTCACCATAAGAAATCTAATTCCATGTGGTAGATATTCTTTGCTTACCGAAACATTTTCGAAACGTTGGCGTTAAAAACAATTCGACCAGTTCTTTTTTTCGATTATCAATTTTTCAAATAAATTACATATTCAACGTTAATCCTTAATTGTTAAGGTGAGCTCTATCAGCCCCGAACAATTTTTTCTCTGCTTTATTTTAAATATAATCTCTAAACATTTTTATGGAGCCTAGTGTGCCCCATCATACTTTCAAGCTGACGAAATGACGATCGTATCGCTTACGGGTCAAAGTACACGTTTCGAGTGCAAATACGAGGTCAAGGACACGGTCCGAAGGCTAATCAACGAAATAACGCGTAAACTTAAAAAAAAAATAGGAATAGAAATAGTAACAGAGAGTAAAGAAGAATAAACATATAATATACCGATAAAATTGAAAGGTTTCGCCTAAAAAGGTGCACGAACCCCGACAGAAATAACCTAGCGCAACCTCGGGTCAATATCGCAACGGACCCTTGAAGAGCACAATGTTTTTGAGCCGGACGGTAGCGCATAGCGGTGCGGTTCTGTTCTATGAAAAGGTTAGTAGAGGAGTGTCGGATTGATTTTCTCTGGGTAGCATACATTGCGACGTGACAAAATGGTATTATCCGAGTTGAGCAACGTTCTTTACGATCAAACGAATACATGTTACTTTCATTATCGCCAGACAGCAATAAGTATTTTTCCGATCAACAAATAACGAAAAAAGAAAATGCACGGATTGAAAAAATAATGTTTTCCGGTCGATCGTTGCTCCTCACTCATCACTCACTCGTCACTTCGCCACTCGTCGCTTGTCGCTGAGCAATCATTCGAATATCGAACGGAATTAACGTGAATCTACGTAGAAGCAAAAGAGACTGAATTTCCGGCATATGAAACGACATGACAACGTCGCATCATCATTCACCACGTTGCCAGAGCCTCGGATGACGTCACAAGACACACGATCACACGACCACACGACCACTCGACGAGCACGTAAAGCAGTTCGCCGCGCCGGTAAAGGCAAACTTACGCTGGGAAAAGTACAACGCTCTCTTTGTTAGCCTCTCTTACTCGATAAGAATAATCGAAACGTACGATTTCTCTACTGTCACGATGCGATTATGTACTTACATACATAAGTAGATTCGAGAATAACCTCCATAATTTATTTGCACAATTTTATTGTTTTTTTTTTTTGGGGTTTTTTTTTTTCATATTTTCTGCAGTAAAAATGAACCTGGGTGAATCGACCCATGTGATTTTTCAATTTAAACCTTCAACTTGCTACCTTACATTATTATTATTATTGTCATTAGGGGTGTACTTCAGAAAGCGACAATTCTCCGATTTTTCTGAAATTTTTGCCAAAGCTTATCCTTGATTAGAGAAGAAAGTCCCTAAAAGGATTTTTGGTGATAAAACCTCGCTTGCCCCCCAGCCCCCTTCAAAGTTTTGACAGTTCTTACTAAATATCTCCGAAAATATTGATTTTAGAGAAAAAGGTTTGAAACAAAAAAGGAGCTCATAAAAAGCTCTACAAAAAAGGTTATATACATTTTTTATGTAAACCTATTATTTTGGCTGTTATGTAAACAAATAGTAATTTCTACACTATCGTTGATATCATTCCCTAGCTTCCCTACCCTAAAAATCCTTCTAGGGACTTTCTTCTCTAATCAAGGATAAGTTTTGACAAAAATTTCAGAAAAATTGGAGGGTTGTCGCTTTCGGAACTTTATCCGTCATTACTGTTATTATTTGTTATTCAAAGTTTCTTATAATTTTTCTTTCTCTTTTTCTTTTTCTAATAATTACATAATATGTAATATGTATGTACGTACTCCTATAAAATTGAAGCTACCGACCGCGATGACTGCTGATCGTCTCCGTAGGAATTTAAAAATACTTTCCGTAACTTTAAATCACTTCTTTTGTTCTTTACATAATACAATATTTCAAAAGTTGAAGTATGTCAAAAAGTATTAATAAACACGTTAGTTATATCGGTTTTGCACTTTATCAATGATTATGAAAACGATCCGTTAAGAAATCTGTCAATTCTGTTACGTAATGCTTCAACCGTGTTAACCTTGTGACACGTACCAGGTGTGTCCGGATGTTTACTGTCATCTTAAGTCATCAAACAGTAATATTTAAACAAAAAAAAGAATTAACGTGTTCCGTGTTAGAATTCACGTTTCCGAGGCTTCGGTTTTTGTATCATCGGTGATAATCGCCAACTGATACGGTCTTTCGCTTGCTTGTAAACAAAACATTCATTCACGTGACGAAACTTGTTAAAAAGAAAAAAATGTTCCATTCAGAATCGATCGTTATCGAACGATAACAGAAAATTCAATAATAAAATTATTCGTTTAATTGAATGGCATAGCGTGGAATTAGTCGTGCAGCTTATTAATTACGATCTCAAAATAGACAAATTGGTGAAAATGAAAGAATATTGAAGAAGGCGTGATCGTGGCCAGACGCGTCTACCGCGTGTCTCGACGAACCGGAAATAATTTAATAGCGCGTCGCACTAGATAAAGTCACCCTATCAGTCGCTTCTACGAATTATGACTAGTAACATCTACTTGCCATACACATGTATGCATGTGCATACTGTTAGAAAATTCGGAGCTGGAGCGTTAACAACCTAGCGCCTAATTGCACGGCCGACCAGATGACCCCCAAGGGGCACGGAAGGATTTTCGGACTGGTCAAGACAAGCATACTTTCCCGGGCCAGAAAAGTCAGTCTTGTTTGGCTGATGTCAGTCTTGTTTGAAACTGACATCTTTTGACCTCGTTTTAGTTATTTATCTACAATACCCTATTTTTTATGTTCGAGCTCTTACATACGTGCATAAGTAATATTAACGTGCACTATACTCAACAGGTTGCAATCAAAGGCCGTAGAAATTTTACAGTTTTATCATTTCAGGTTAAAGTTTGAAAGGGCTCAACGCGCTAATCTTGTTGTTAACAATAAACTATTTGCTTTTCTACTGGCCGGAAACCTGTTGATACATTTGTACAGAAGGAGGCATATTCTATGTAGAATAATCTACTTTGACTCATAAATAGAGACATGTTGCATGCTGGACACCCTCGTTGCGCCGCGCCACAGTTATACTGTACCATCAAAGAGGTCACTCCAAAATTACCAATAGACCCGATTTCTGCATGCATTTCAATTGTTTCACACACATACACATATATACGTAAGTAGAAATAAATCCAAATGAAATCGGGGCTTGGGTCCCAGGGCCTAGTGCCCGTTTGCCCTCTATTAAAAACAACCGATAGAAACGTGTTAGGGTATCCAGTGCCGGCCTTGGGCCCCCCAAGGTCCAGGGCCCCCATAAGACGATTTTGATGTAAATGCAAATGTAAATTAATTATACAAGTTTTAATATTAATTTTATAAATTTTATTTGAGGTACTATTTTTTATATCATATATGCGAAGGGGCCCTTTTTCGGAGCTCCCCTCGGACCCCCGAAATCTCAGAGCCGACCCCCTGAGGGTATCGTTTAATTAAAAAAAAATATGTTGCAACGTATCTGTTTTTATTAAATAAAAGGTTAGGTTGTTTCGTTTTTTTTTTTTTTTGCGATACTCATCAGTAACGATAGTAGAAGCTTATTATCGGGCAAGTAACGTTACGCGATCCTCCACTTTTACTGTCTCGCCTCGTATTGCGTAACGTGTGGATATGCCTGTGTGTTAAATTTTTGTTCCTTTTTTTTTCTCGTTTTCCCGCATCTAAGGCTCGTATTACGAGCTCGTATCGTGTCGTGACGTCAAAGTGACGTCACTCTTTACAAGATACTCGACATTTGAAGTTACATACACCAAGTTAACACACAACACGAGGATTCATTAACAATCTATTGTAATTGTAAGATTACGATGTTTCTTTTCTTTTTTTTAATACGGGAACCGAGATAAATATTCATCGTGACTTTTCGCACGTTTATAATTGAACTTTCGATACGTTTATTTATAAAGATTATTTGCAAACGTAACGAACGATTACGTTGTCGAATATTTGTATGCTTTCCTTTTCTCTTTCTTTCTTTCTTTTAGTATCGCAAGTTTCAACATCCTGCTGGATGCGCAACAATGTATCAAAAGATTACGTGAATTTATTTATTATCGAAGCTCGTTCGAGCGAGATACAAAATTGATTTCAACATCGCACACGTGGTTACGAGTGACGAAAAGATATTATCGCAGACGGAACAATAATCACATAATTTAATACGTTATCCCGATAAGGTGTTACTATCTTATCTCTATATCGTTTCTGATCAACACGAAATGCGATTAATTTTCGTTAAGCCTATGGTTGATTACAAAACAGAAGACGTTGAGTTTGTTTTATTAATATCATGTGACTCGCGCGCCTTGAAAACTAACGAGCCTTTTTCCTCGTATATGTTCATGTATTTGTGTACATGTATTTGAAAAATGGTAATCAAAAGTGGAAATATTTCTAGAAAACTATTGGACCGATTCAAGTGTAATTTGGTATAATTTATTGAATCCTGTTGTACTTATTAGAGGAATTGGTTGTAATCCAAAGTTGTGTTTGTTATAACCAAACTATCTTACATACATATTCCGTAAGGGTTCACCCCAAAATCCCGACAGCCCAAAAGTTTGGGTGTCCTAACCTAAACCTAACTCTAACCTTAACCTAATACCTAACCTAACCAAGAACACGGAGTTTTGGCTGTCGGAATTTTGGGTGCCACCGATTCCGTAAGTCGTAAGCCAAGCCTCCTATGATTGTTATCATGATATTGCCCTTATCATGACAGAAAACCCGATAAAATAGTGCGCCATATGATCATCGAAACTCGTATCGTTGCTATTGTTTGTATCATTCAAGCGATTTCATTTAAGTGCACTTAACCATTGTTTTTTTTGATAACCTACAAACATTGATCAAGAATAAAAGCAACTGCGATAAAGTAGATTAAATAAGAAAAATATCGGTGTTAAGATTATTAAGAAGGAAAACCGCTTTTATATTTATAATTATAACAGGCTGTATAATTTAAACAGTGAGAAATGTAGGAGGGGATTCTAGAAAATATTCTGTTTCTTTCATTCTGAAAGAAACGTCGCGTCGGTTAAAAGTTCTAACGGTTATGCAATGGTAATGGAGATATAATGCTACAATAATTACTTTTGAAACATATACCGAAGGACTTGTAATTACACATGTACTTACGTATGATTGTCGGTTACGAAATAGTAAGTTGTACGAGCATTGAGCATAATTGGATTTTATATTCTCTTAATTAAACGAACGAGGACGTAACGGTTGTACGTTTTATTATTAAGCGCCATCTTGATTCGAAGCAAATAGTAATAGTAAAAACTATTGATATTTGGTAAAAAAAAATGAAAGAACAGTTGATTAACAGCTTTTTCTCGAGTGTAAAGTGGACTTCGCGTCTCTCGTTTCTCGTTGTATAAGAGTGGGTAGCAAGCGAGTGCGCGCGCGTGCTATCGTCGTCTTTTTTTTTTTTCTTCTTTTCAAGTTCTTTCTCTCCGTCTCTGTTTAATCGACTGTTCACGCTTCGCGCTTCGAGTCCCGGTCGCTGACTACGTGTCCCCCTAGGGGGAAAGTAGCGGTGCGCATGCGCAGCTTTGCGATTATGACGTCACGCACCATGACGCCACAAGGCCCGATTGGCGGAGCGCGTCGTAGCCGTCGTAGCCGTTGTAGCCGTCGTTGTGTCGTCGTCGTCGTCGTTGTCGAATTGTTGGCTTGTGTTGAGGTGAAGCGGGGTACCGAGCCTTGGCGGCGAGGGGCGACGAAGGGGCAAGGGAGAGGCACCCGTAGCTCCGCTTTACCGCCGCATTCTCGAGCGTTCGTCTCCGTTCGTCTCCTCGTACGGCAAGCAGCCGAGTGAGCTCACGTCGTGTGTTGCGCGCATATCATTATTTCGTGTCTCGTGTCTCGTGTTCAACCTAGAATACGGTTTCTCACGTATATATACGTTTTTCATTGGCGTTCCTCGATGCATCGTTACCGATGCTGATCGAGCAATTACGAATTTTTTCTTACGATTTTTCTTACGTCGATAAAACAACGGTGAAAGGTTTGTCGAAAGGATAAAGCAGTGTGGTAAAAATATCTGGTGTCCGAGTAACGTGTTCTTCTTTTCCCTCTGCTCCGCCTTTGCGGCGCGTCTCTGTTGGCTTCGGGGCCGTCTCCTATACGCGGTTTGCTAAAATCCCGGCGCAGTTATCGACGAAATTGAGCATCGTCGCGTCGATCCATGTAGCCTGCTACACGAGAGTGGAAAGGAAATGTGAAAGACGGTGGGAGTATCAAAGTGATTCCTTGCCAGTGCACAGTTGCTTTTTCTATTGGTGTTTATTATACGGTATAAATAGAGAAGCGAAAACTAATTGAGTTTCTTCGACTGGTGAATATGCTTAAAAATCGACATTGTGGATATTGATATCGATATTGAAATTGAAAGTGTAAGAAAGTGTTGAAAGTGTAATAAAGTATAAGAAGGTGTTAGAAAAAGGATTAAAGTGGTGGATGTGAGCGATATTGGTGGTGTGTGGTGATAGGTCGTTTGTGACTAGTCGCGTCATCGAATTTTCACGGGACGAAGGAATCGTCGAGCAAAATGATGGGAAAGAGAACGCAGTGCTACTTGTGCGATCTTCCCAGGATGCCTTGGGCGATGATCACCGAATTTTCCGAGCCTGTGTGCCGTGGTTGCGTGAATTACGAGGGCGCCGACAGGATAGACGCGGTATTGGAATCGGCCAAGCAAATGAAAAAGGCACATGGTTTCCACGAAGCCAGATCGTCCACGTCGAAAGCGTACAGAACGTCCGGGCACACGGAACATAACGGTGCTACTAATTTAGACGTTCTACCTATACAGAATACTGGCCAGAGCCATTCACGGCATCACAATATCGCTGGTTACTCGCAACTTCATCATCGAAATTCAATTACAGAATTTAATTCCGGCACATCGCGGCAACAAATCTCACGGCAACACGAAGAAACACACGATATCACGAACGGGATGAGAAATAATAACGTGAGAATCCCGAACGCCCACTTAGCTGCTGTGGCGCATCACGTGAACCTCAGTCACAACAGAGGCATCGCACAGCTCAAACGTGGTATCTCGACCATCGACGAGGACGAACACGCCGAGAAAAGGCTTTCGCTCGAAGAGCAACATCCAGTCAGGCCTCCGTTGACCAGAGGCGATTCCTTGCCAGCTGTAAGTCTCGCCGTTAGCTACGTACAAGACAGAAACAAGGAAAAACATCCTGTAAGAGCACCCAGTTTCGAGACCGCCACTACTTTTAAGACCACTGGTGAGTTACGTAGATTTCCATCGCGTTTCGCTAATTTCCATGGAAAACTTTCCATTAGAAACATCAACTCTGTGCGTTCGAAGATAGTTTAGATATTCTTTTCACAGTGTATATAACCGATATTTGTACTTGCCACAATGTACTTGTAACTTTATCTCGTATGCGTGTACCCATGTTATTGAAACAGCGTATCGCTTTTTTTTTTTTTCAAACAGATGGTATTTCTTGGGTTCTTATCGGCTGAGTAGTAAAAATAGGAAAGCGTTTGGTCGTGCGCGTGGCCATCTGGCATGAGAAAAGAGCGTGCACGCGTTAAAAGACTCGTTCCTCGGCGTTCGGGGAATCGTCAGAGTTAAAAGGAAGTTACATCCCTCTCTCTCTCGCTCGATCGCTCCTTCCTTCCAGCTGCAAACTCTCTTCATCTTTTTCCCTCCCCTAGAGCATTCCCTTCATTCTGTACGGTTCGGCTGGGACGAGACGGCAGTTGTCCAAACGCGTATAAAGGAGACGTATACGTTGAGCACGTGATAGGACGACCAAAAGATACACCGACTTGCCGTGCCATGCCGTGTCGTTCCGTGTCGTGCCGTGTCGTTCCGTGACGTCCGATCGAATGACGTCACTCGGTATATTTAGATACAATGAATGAGTCCGTTGTATGTTGCTCAATACACAAATCTCATCGAGCTTGTATACATTTTATAAATGTAATTTTAATGCTGTTTCTAACCTGTACTTTGAGAAATCCGAATGCATTCGAATGCCCTCCTTTATCGACGATTAGAGAGAAGACATTAGGGCAATACTTTTGTGTTAGTGTTAAAAAATAAACTAACAGGATAACATAAACTGTTTTCCAAACTTTGGACGTTAACAGATGCGTTTCGCATCCTTCACCTCCAAATGAGGGCGACATATTTTAGGGACATTTCCGTCCCTTTATGCCCAACGAATATTATCGACTGCTCCTTTTAGTATCCTCTTATTTTCCATTCATATATAACATTTTTCGCTTTATTCATTTTATTCATATTCGCTATCCCCACTTATTATTCATTGCCAACAGCACACGGTGGTAACCCATCTTTTAGCGGAACCGTGCCCACTTATAGCTTGACTTCGGTGATCTGACGGGTACCGGTATGGCCTAAGTGGCTAAAAGAACTAACAGGATATTTATAACTATATAAAATAGAAGTTTAATTTTCGAAGGTTGGTGGTCGGATCAATTGTCAGTGAAACTTAACGAGACTCGTATAGGATATAAAAATGAATTTCAAAATACAATAAGATTGTATTTTTATTTTTCTCCCATATAGTAGAGTAACTGTATAGTAAGTCGTTGCAGTTCGTTTTCGTCGTATCGACGCGGTTCATTGACGAAGCGGTTGACGAGATGGGGTCAGGTTGGTCCAGTTTCGCGTAGCTTGCGTTGCGTATCGTATCGTACCGTACCGTACCTACGTAAGTACGAACAGGATGACCTTGGTCATCGACCGTTATTTCGACACTGGCCACTTTCTAATTCGACCTTAACGCGTGTATTTACGGTTATCGAATCACTTGACTCGGCTGCAGTCATTATGGGACAGCCATCTGTCTTTTCGCGCGCTATCGTCATAAATATTTCCTGGAAAATTTCGACTATGTACACTGTTCTTCCATTAAAATAAAGTTGACTGACGAAAATGTTAAATAATTTGTCGGTACTTAATAATCAAACTGGTACGCGTACTTTCGACATCTGAATGTTTTTTTCTGTTCACTAATTTTTTCTTCTCAATGTTACAAGAAATTTGAAGCGAACGTGAAAGATAGTACATAATAATATTAAGTTCTGATAACAGTGATTACTTTGATACTGGAAATGGAAATGGAATGGAATGCAATGCGATGACGTTTGCAGTGTAACGTTGTAAAAAGTAAATAAGTTTAGTTAACCTTAAACCGTTACTATTTTGTAGCAGTCACATGGAAACAGTAATCATATTGATGATTTACAATATTATTTTATATATTATTTCTTCAACAGAGAAATGTGTATCATGTGGAAATTTTTGTGACTAATTTTAGTTTCCGGTTGCTGGCACCGAAGGATTAAAATAAATATTCCAATTGTCGAAGGCATCCAAAGATTTTGCTAATTGTCGACCATAGCCGTAATTATAATATTTTTGTAAAATGAAAAAGTGTGAAAATAAAAAAATATTTTTGTTTAATAGTAACATTCACCTTCGTAATACGTATTCATCTGTATTCTCATAATTATCGAGTAGGTGTCTAGACTTATTGTTAATCATTTTACAGAATAACTAAGCTCCTTTTCTTCTAAGGAATAGGTATTATACATACAAGGACCGGCCCTTTACATATATGACATAAAAAAAAGTAGCTCAAATAAAATTGATAAAATTAACATTAAAGCTTGTATAATTAATTTAGATTTGGGCTGTGTTTCCGAATGGCCCCACCAAAATTGAGAACTCAGGTTCGGTATATAACCTAAATTAACAACAAGAAACCGATTACAGTTGGTTTTAGAGCTGGATGTCTTACCGTTTTCGAGATATCGTGGTAAGGTTAGGTTAGATTAGGTTAGGTTCTGTGGATGCGCAGTATCGAATAGCGCATACGTAGTCCCAAAATTTCTTGGGGGGCATTCGGAAACTATACAAAATTGTATAAAATTGTACCACGATATCTCAAAAATAGTTTTTAATCGGTTTCTAGAAGTCAATTTAGGTTATATACCGAATCAGAGTTCTCAATTTTGGTGAGGCCATTCGGAAACTTATTCTAGATTTGCATTTACATCGATTAATATTCAAGTAAACATTAGGTGTTCTTGTATTCTTAGATGCAAAATTGTCTTATGGGGGCCCTAGGCGGCCGCCTAGTCTGTCTAGGCTCAGGGCCGGCCCTGTATACATACACCACGCTAGAATGTTGAGGAAAATTCGTGTCGACAGTGTAACGACACTGATTATACTTGCTTCTCTCCCTGTCTTTTTTCCCTTTCTTTCTTCTTTATCTAACTTTTTATCCTTGAGGGAAGCGTTTCCGTTGAAAAGATAGAATCCACGCTAACGTGTACGCGTTTCGATAAAAATAGATTACTGCTGGCAAAGATTAGGGTCTGGAAATAAACATGGATTTTAGGAGAATTTAAGATAAAAAAGTTTTTCAATTTGTGATTCGTTTAAAAAACAATATGCTAGTATTATTTTAATCAGAAGACTAAACATTTGCTGGACCTTGATGATTTTTATTACCGAACCGTATCTCTGTAACTTTGTTTGTTACAATTTTGTTTATTGATTTAATAATTTAATAAATACATTACGCGAACTTTACTACGAGTTTTGTATCTGTATCTCGTTAAAAAGAGTCGAAGCAACATAATTCTGCGTATAATTATCTGACCGTTGGTATAATTAACTGGTTTTCACTGTCCAATTACTTAAATTTATTATCTATTTCACTCTGTTATCTGCGCGTGTTACGTTCTCCTGTCGCTCAATACACTTGAAAGATAGTTAATTTACTTGAACAGTCGTATTTGTTGAAACAAAGAAATAAGCATTTTACGCGGGAATTTTTCATTTACGTGGAAAATGGATGCTGGATCAATTTCAGCTATAAATCATAATTAAAACGTACTGTTTACAGATCACAAAAAGTCCCACGAGAATAACGCAATCTGATTGGCCATACCCCACCTCGGTTCACACGTACTTACAGTCCTGACATATGATTGGTCGCAGCGGTCACATGACTATATAAACTCGTGTAAAACTAAGGTGTTAGTCGATGTGTGCGTAGTACCTCTTCTTGTCCCTGTGCCCTTCCGCGAGACTTCTTGTGATCGGTGCATAGTACACTCTGGTATGGTGAATCGTTATACGTAAAGAATATAAACAAATTTAATTTTTCCTTGAATTTTACAAAACAAACTAGATTTTCCATATTCCGTTTCTGTGGAAAATAAGTTGGTCAGTTTCTGTTCCATCGATCCAGTTTAATAGAAATGTAGATGCATGCATAGGAGAACGACAGACAGGTCGTCGTGAACGGATAGTAGCGAGAGAGTAAGCAAGGCTCGAGTCGAGTCGAGTTTAGTCGTGTTTCGCAATGATATTGCCACGCTCCGTAAGTTCTCGACTATGCTCGATCGATCGCGTACAGATAGAGCCATGTATATACATTGACTTTGTCCTACGTCACTGGACGAGAGTATCGCGTTCGTTTGCTGCCATATATGTATAAGTACACGTATAAGTATAAGGTGTTGCAGTACACGTGACTTCAATCCGATAGAGCATATCGAATGCGCGTTTAATGTTTTCTAACGATCTATCGACGAGTCGATAGTTGAACGAGAAGAGAAAAGCATTTTGAAAATGGCTGTGATAAGGGAAAGGTCCTCCAATCTCTGGTTTCCATTGATCTTGGCCTCTTGCGAGAGCACACGGACAACATAGGCACTTGTTCCCTTTGCTTGATTAAAGGAAGCCTCAGTTGCACGCTATCGTATATTACGATGTCTCGTTTCTTAGTGTAAGTAAGTACGTTAGTCCGTGTTGACGGCGTAAACGATGCGCTGCGCTGGTTAGACGATAGCTGGTAGCTGGGTGCTGGGTCATACTTTCGAAACAAGGCCACTATATAGGCGACCAGTTAGGTTAGCAACGATATACATATGTAGAAAACGCAGAGTGTGACTAAGCCAACCGCCTACGTGCGCGTGATGCGATGTCTGTGTTACAAAAGCGCGCATGCGCATTAGTTGCTTCCCTCCTCTTTCGCGAAGTTGCCTCTTTACCCGTCTTTTCCACGCTTCCTACGGCAGCTATGTTTCTCGGTACGATTCTCGAGATAGAGAGACAGACAGACACGCCAACGGCCCTCGGCTCTATCAGAGTCGTCACGGAAAAGTACCGGTCACACGTCTTCTCGATGGTAGACCACGTTCTAGCTGAGAGACCTCGATCATTCGATCACTCGATCACTCGTATACTTGGTCACCGATGCTCGACAAAGATACACGTTACTCACTTACATACGTAAGTACGCGCGGATGCTGCGTTACGCTACTTCGGTACATCTCTGTAAAGTGTACACACTGTACTACTCGACTCCATTTAACTTTGGCCCAATAGTTCGGTCCATTTATCTCATACGACGGCAATTTTCTTTCTTCCATTAAAAATGGAAAATTCTTTCTATTCTTGATACATTAATAATAGGTACTAATGATATGCAGGATAAAAAAGTAGACGTATCAAATGTGAAAATTCTAAGAAGGTTATATTAAAATAATTGTGGTAACATCAGTGGTACGTAGATACTACAAATAAATATTGAGAGTAGATAAAGTTACAAGTACGCCGGTACCGAGTCGTATCGTTGCGTTAACGATTTCATTGGTCAGGGTGAGCCGTAATGGTTGGTAAACAATATCAAAATGCGTAACCTCGCTATGTCCTGTTATATTACTACTATCGAGACACGAGAAGTGTTGGCAGAATATAAATTTCACAGTGTAACGCCGGAGCTTGATCGACTTAACGGACAGTCGATAATCCGTTGTTCGACGTTTAAAAATTGATCCAACGTAGATACCTGTCTCTGTTGATAATTTACATTTGTCTCGTTATTGATCAACGGTTAGGTATACTAATTGTATAATTGTTAGGTGATTGACATTAGATGAAAATGAAAAGAATATCTAACCTGTCTTTCAATAGTTGGCTTATGTTTATATTAATGGCTGACGAGATTACTCATTCGTGCTTTTCCAATTGATGATCTGCTATTTTGAACGATTGGCAATCATTTTGATGCGAAGTAATTATAAATACAATTCGGCGAGACGAATGAACGAAAATGAAAATGAAAATTGATCGACTTTTTAGGAGGATACGTTGGCCCGTCTATTCCTTTGGCGCCAGCAAATGTAGCGGCGAATGGTGGAGGTTCTCCTCTTCGTCCACGAACGAGTCCTCCACCACCGCCGCCACCAGCGCAAGAAGGTTCAACCGATAATTCACAGACGAATCATCACCAGGTACATAATCAAATTTATACATATATTAGGGATGTTCGGGTACCCGATATTACGGGCTCGGGCGGAGGTCCGATACATGCGTGCAGTCGGGTAGCTCGACTATTTCGGGTCAGGTCGGATAAAGTCGGGCAGATTCGGACGAGCTCCCGCGGGCCTCGGTCCGCGACCCAACTCTCATGTACTTGTTGATGCTTGCAATAAGCATGTGTTCAAAATCTATTTTGTATAACATGAACATACAGGTGACGTGGAATAGAATTAATTTTAAATAAATTCGTTACAAGTATTATTTTTCCACATAAAAATGATTTTATTCCAAAATTCCACATAAAACAGATTTTGCACATGCTTATTGCAAGTATTAACAAGTACATGAGAGTTGGGTCGTGGCCCGCGGGAGCTCGTCCGAATCTGCCCGACTTTATCCGACCTGACCCGAAACACTCGGGATACCCGACTGCACGTATCTATCGGACACCCGCCCGATGTTTTCCGAACCGACCCGAATGGTCGGGAACCCGATACATTAGTCGGGCCGCACATCACTAACATTACATACATGTGTACCCAAGTTAACGACCGTGCGTAATATTTGCATATTAATGATCCTTCGAGCACGTATATACACAAATGTGATTTCTCATTCTTTCGGTCTTAATTCAAGGTTGTTTTATTTATAGATGTTGTTTATAAGTAACATGCAAATTGAAGGTAATTTTCTGCCCCGCAGGGTACAACAAATGGCCCTTCGCCTATGGCCGCGCTCATGTCTGTTGCCGATAATCTAGCCTCACCCGAATCGGTACCACAACCGCCAAACAATCCGAGCCCGACCAGCAGAAGCCCACCGACCACGGCAACGAATGCTCAGCAACGCAGTGCCTCCAGAGGCTCACAGCACAGCCCGAATAGTTCAGGTAGTAACGATGTTTTTTTTTTTTTTTTTTTTAAATTCGTGATGTCATGATCGCTTGGATCGCTTACGACCAGTCGAAATCGTACTAAGCAAACGATAACAAGTTGAACTGAATGTTTCGTGAATTTTGCAGGGTCCTCGGGCAGGAGGTCGAGCGGTTCAAGGCACGTCTCCTCGACGACCGTGACAACGTCGTCCGAAGGAGCGGTAGCTCAGGTTGCCGGTGCTGCTGAACAAGTATCGGCACCTATATTAAAATGCACCCTGTGTCAAGAACGTCTCGAGGACACGCACTTTGTTCAGTGTCCTAGCGTGCCTCATCACAAATTTTGCTTCCCTTGCAGCCGGGAAAGCATAAAAAGACAGGGTGCTGGCTCGGAGGTACGCTTGAAGCTTCGCTTTCTTCTTTCTCATTTAGATTTTCATTCATTTTGATTCATAGAGAACATAGTTGTAGAATATGTTTGATGGATTAATCTAACCGAAGGTTAATTTTCTCGTTTCTCCAGGTTTATTGCCCCAGCGGAGAAAAGTGTCCATTGGCGAACAGCCAAGTGCCGTGGGCATTCATGCAAGGCGAGATAGCCACTATCTTGGGTGACGACACCACGGGCTCTGGGCTGAAAGTAAAGAAAGAGAGGGAAACTTAAAGATTCTCTTTAACGTTTAAATCGGGGCTAAAATTTTGCACCCTCTTCAACCGAGGAGGGTATCATGGTGTGAAACCGTGAAGGTACACCAAAAACAAATAAATAGAAAAAAAAAACACACACTTTTGGTAACGGTGATACAAGAAGTTGGTGATGATGTTGAAAACACCAACGTTCGATTCGAGCCAAAGACGTTGTCGGTGTAAAATTGGAATAATCACCAAGATTGTTGACGTTGTCGGGGGAAAGTGGACGATTTTATTTCTCAAACGACGAAGCGTCCCGTTTGCGTTCCGCTGAATCAGGCTTCAAGAAAGCTGCTGACCTGATCGGCGGAGCTGTGATTGTTTTCACCCGATCGATACGACTTCGATCGGGGATTGTTTTCGACTTGGTCTTGAGAAGAAGTCTTTGGCATATTTGCACGCTGGCGTCGGTTTTATGACACGTGTTTGTACATACGGGGTTATGTCGTAGAACGGTTTAACGCGCGAGAAACAAACGTGTAATTTTCTCTCGAATGATATACAATATAAACGTAGAGAAACCGAGAAGTGGAGAGATTTTTGTGTCAGGGTTGGGTTTGTACTTAGGCTCGATCTGCCTTTGTTTTATCGTTTCTTGTCTCCGCGAATGTTTTCGCGGTTTTTTTCGAGTACAACAGAAGCAACAACAACAACAACAACATACAGATACGTATACACAGGACAAATATTTAACGTACACGTATTAACACGTACGCCCGCACGATTTTGCTTCAACCATACACACACACACGCACACACATACACCCCACATTATACACGATTACACTCGAATACACTTTCTGTACACGTATAGAAAAAGAAAGGTATAAAACACGATACCGCAAAAATTGACCGTCTGTATATTGTACTTTATTTTTACTCACGCTACAATTGCGTAATCGCGGATCAACCGAAGCGACAATGCTTTCGGTGTTTGAATCGTCCTTTTCTAATGTTTTATTTGTATACTCTTTCTACTACTGCTACTATTACTACTACTACTACTACTACTATTACTACTACTACTACTACTACTACTACTACTACTATTACTCCTACTATTACTTCTACTACTACTATTACTACTACTACTACTACAACACTCATTGTACGATAACGAAACAGAGGAGAAAACGAAAAAAGGAAAAAGAATGGCGGAAATATTTAGACCCAGCGTACGGGTTTTTTCTGTACATTGTGTATATGTGTACATACCGCGTTATTAATAAAACTTACGACTAAAGGAGTAACCATTTTTAAATGTACAAAAGAAACTTACATTTGTTTGCGTATTAATATCCGTTAAATTATTTTCTTTCTTCTTTCCTTCGAATTAATGTAAAAGATAATCGTGCGTCTAAAAAAGAAAAATACTGCAAGACGTTTGTGTTTGAAACGCTCGTCGCGTTGTTTTTCTACGCGTACTACTTGGTTTTTCTTTTCTTTTCTTTATTTTCGTTCATGCGAATCGTGAAATGTTGTATATCTCTTTGATATTCGAAGCCAGAATGGGGGCTGGCTCGAAGGGGAGGCGAACATCGTTCTTGTTTCAGTCATTTGTAAAACGGATCTTAATTGTCCGATCGTGTAACGTCCACTTTCGCCTTTAAGTTAATCGCTAGACTTTAAGTGAGGGCCTTTTGGTTTTTCATTTTGCCGATGAAAAAGAAGGTACGCCCGTCAAATAGGAACCATACACTCGCTATGTCTTTAAAAAAAAAAAAAAAAAAAGTAATAATAAAAAAAAACGTGTAAAACAAATGGAAAAAAAGAATCACAAGCATACGTAACGTTCTCTTGCTGGTGTCCGAGAACCTTTTCTTCTTTTTCGTTGTTTTTCTCACCAAGAAAAAGGATTTTTCGGATACGCAGGCAACTCCTTTTTTGTATATATTTGTATAAAAGAAGAAGAAAAGAAGAAAAATTTTTTAAAACAAATTGGCACAACGCGAAAGGAGCGGCGATTGAAAAATTGACTCGCGAAACGAGATTAGCGGTGCCGCGGACATTTTCTTTTCTATCATCGTTGTCGAAAGATAAGGGCTCTGAAAATCATTTTCAAGCGGAATCTTGAGGATCGTTTCCCTTGGTCAACGGCGCTCTTTGTTTTATTTTTATTCATTTTTTTTTCCCCTTGAATTTCCTCGTTGTTTCGTGATTGAAACAACCGTGTTTAGAGGCTATCTGCGTAGCGTTAAGCGGCTTATGTACCGAGATATCGTGGAAAATTGATTAAACGAGAGAGGGAGAGAATGTATGAAAATTGTACGCGAGCGAGAGAGTGAAAATGTAAGAAAGGAGAAAAGAGCAAAGTTGATCGTAGCAATACTTAACAGAGGCTGTACGTGATATTTTTTAGTCCAAGGCAGGTAGTTTCTACCTTCTTCAATGTCAAAGGTGATTAACGGTACTCGTTTATGGGTTTATACCTATCCGCTTGTAAGACAAACAAACAAAAAAAAAAAAAAGATACTTTGTAGCAAAAGCAGTTGTGTTAGTTTCTCAACGCAGATACGACCTCTTATTTCTTCTTTCTCATCACACGTATGATTTGTGAACCGGTACTCTCTTAGAAAGTTGGTTCTTCGGCGGTTTCTTTGTTCTTTTTTTTCCTTTTCCTTCCCCCCCCCTTTTTTTTTTTTTTATTTATTTTAATTGTGAACGATTGAATTATTGCGAGCGAACCGAAGAAGAATTCTTAAAACGGATTATTGTTACACTTGGATTCGTCCAATTGTCGTCTACAGAACATTTGATCTTTCTCTTTGGTGTTATTCGTTGTCTTTCGCACTGTCGACGCTTGCTCAATTTACGAAAGGAAGAAAACTAACGAACCCTTATTTCAGTTCCCTTTTTTTTCCTTTCTTCTTATTTAGGAGCGCAATCGTTTTTTCATATAGAGCCTGTATTTATCGTTCGTTTCGTTTCATTTTCGTTTTGTTTTATTTCCTATGATTCTCGTCAAAATAGCTTATACACAGAATACACACGAAAGCGGAAGTACGAAATAATACGTCGAATAGCAATTGTAGTAGTGGATAATGAAATTTTCTAGTATACCATACCTCGAAGAACGCGTAAACACTGTACTGTTTATCGTATGTATGCAACATGCAAAAGCAAAATATATGTGTTGATGTGTAATAATGTGCGTTTTTATTCACGCGTCGAATTTTCACCCCGAAGTTGATAAAAGTCAAGAGGAGAAAAGAGAAAGATAAAATTTAAGTTTCTTGGTAATTTGGAAACATTTTGCCAGCACCATTGGCAATTGTTTTTGGTTGACGAGTAGAGTCGTTAATCTTGGCTTCGTCAAATCCTGTATTGTTTTTATATATCCCACATCTTTTACAGGGTGTCCCAAAAAGAGTATTAGTCCTTTAAGGGGGTGGTAGTTGGGGTGATTCTGAACAACATTTTCCTTTGCGAAAATGTTGTTTGAAGCTTCGTTTCTGAATTATTAAGGAAAAACACTAGCCAATCAGAGCGCGCGCATAGTGCGCATGCTCAGGGACGATGGCGTCGGCCCGGCCTAGGCCCCGAACGAACACTTTCGGCACGCTGCTGGTATTGCAGGAGTCGAGACTGCCGCCCGTGAACCCGCGCGCTATGCGCGCTCTAATTGGCCAGTGTTTTTCCCTAGGGACCAGCGTCGGACTTTCCGCTCGGGCCCCGCCGTGCCAGTCCTCAAGAACCAGCCACTAACTTTATGTTCAACCGCTGGCCTAAACGGAACGGCAAGCAAAACAGGCCGGGCGCTTAACGTGTTAATGATTCAAAAACGAAGCTTTAAACAACATTTTCGAAAAGGAAAATGTTGTTCAAAATCATCCCATCTACCATCCCTTTAAAGGACTAACACTCTTTCTAGAGCATCCTGTATAGTCCGTCCAACGAAACGAGTCAATAAATGTAAACAAAACAGCTGCGTGGTGTTCACGCGATGGATGTCAGCGGCTCTTACTATTGGCTGTCGAGTGTCGAGTTCAGGGCCAACTTTCGGCGGTCTTTTGCCGTGGTCCCTTACTTGGAAAGCCAGGAGGGAACTTATAGCGTTTTTCAAATACGCACACCGCGATCATAGCAATACCCGTATATAGGGTGCACAAAAAATATTTGTCATGATTTTGGGAGATGACTTTACACCTATTATTAGCCATCCCGTATCTGAGATTGAAAATCTTGAGAAGGGGGCTATAGTAAACGGTAAGGCCAATGTACAGGCCGAACGGTAAGAGTTATCGAAAAAATTCTTGCGCCACTGTGTTTAGTGGGTCAAAATCTCAACGAATGGCCGAAAAAAAATGTTCTCTTTTTTTTTCGATCTGACCGGAAATGGTTGAAAAAGGGTTGGCTCTAGTGCGAATCTCGCTCTAGTTCACTTTATTTTGTTATTGTCCCAAAATAAGTAGCTTTTTATTTTTTAGTATGCAGGGATCGATATACCGTAAGCCGATCCTGCTTCGCGTCTAAGAATTTCTATACATTTACTGACTCGTCTCGTTGGACTGACTATATGTATATCTGTATAAACGTAACAAATAATCATATAATTTATTGGTGCAATTTTCTGGTAAAAAGCTAAAAAATGTGAAAAATGTGATAAATAATAAATTGACGGATCTTCAATTGGATGTTTGTGCGGGCAAATTTACGCGCCATCGGGCGGTATTGATCGGACCTAATGGACACGAGACGAGATATGTAGTAGCCGTGGTGGAAAACGTGTTGCCCGCCCCACGGCGACACTCGTTCAAGCTTGCCGAGCTTCGGGACACGGACGGTGAGGAACTTGCTGAACTTTGAAAATCAATGCCAATGTTCAGCTGGCGCGTTATAGCTGGGCCAACCAGTAGAGGAAGAGAGGAAAAAGCGGGAAAAGAGAAGAAAGGGAGAAAGGGAGACAGGAAGAAAGCGGGAAAAGTAGCATATTGATCTGTCTCCTTGCAGACTCGGCTCGTATGCCCGCCACGCTTCACTGTCTGCCTGCCTGCGCGCAAAACCGTGCCTTTAAAGCCGATACACTACAACGCATGGTGGTTAGACGATATCGCGTGATCGGACAGTCAGGGCATTTACACATATGTACGTAGCTGAATAGCTAACACCGAGTGTAAAAGAAACGATACTGTTTACTTATTTCTTACGACGTTGTCGAGAGTCAGGAGCTATAAAGCTGCTGCTACGAAGGCAAATTGTCGGGCAAACCAGGACTATCTGTGTACAAACAACATGAATATCAATAACACGTGTGTGACTGGCTACGTGAAATAAAATTCAGCAAAATTTGTTTCATTAGTGAAACACTTGCTGTTGTTTTTTTCGAAACTTCATTTTTGTCATTTTTATCATTTTTAGTTCGGATTTTCCCTGGTTCTCTTGGTAGTCGTTAATTATACATGCACGCTCGATTCGCGCGCTGCGCTCATTTAAACTTTCATCAATTTACACCCCTTTTAATTCAAATGCACTTCATTGTCTTTATTTTCACTTTTCTTTTATATTCTGTTCCTTTCTTCCTTCCTTCCTGCTACTCGGCAAGATAAATCAGAAAAGAATGATAGAAAGTATTTATTGCAATCGCAATGAATATAGCGAAATTTTTTAACAAGAAACTTTATTTATCAACCGACATAACACTTTTTTTATTTTCCCTGAAATTTCACGATAAGCAAATAACTAAATAATCTTAGCACGTTTCTTCCAAGGAAATTACTTACGATTAGTTAAGAATGTTTCTGATTGTCGGTAAGAAATAGTGTATCAATCAAGGATTACAATGAAAAATACTTATTTGTTAAAAGTCACGTGGAAAGTAAATTCGATGATTTCATCAAATCCAGGCTTATTCAATTAGAAATAGATCCATATCTTTTATCTGGAATCTAGTTACTGTTATGATAAAAAAAAAGCAAGGAAAAAAAATATAAAATACTACACTAGTGGAATTAATTCTGAATTTTTACTTAAATTTCGCATTTATTCAAATTATTTAATATAATAATAATTTATATTTTATGTTCTAATCATTGTTTTCTAATTTTAGGGCGTCGCTTAGATAAAAAAAATCAGTAAAAAGACCATTTTAATACACAATAACAATTATAATTTCAACACATCAAAGAAGGTAGAAAAAAATTAAACAAAAATAACAACAGAGTTTAGATTTTTTTTAATTAAAATTTTAAAACATTTACAAACCGAATCATGTGAAAATATTAATTATAAACATTATAGATTACAATAAAAATATTATGGTATCAATTTAGCATAGCTGAATATACATTTTCTGCAGAAATATGAAATAAAGAATATTTTTATTCAAAGTGTCTAGAATTAATTTCACCAGTGTAAATTGCGAATGTTAGGTGAACCACCTTTATCCAAAAGCATCTCTGTACCGATCCATCGGCTTTAAAGAACGCAGCCGCGAATTACGTAGCATTCACGTACTGTTATTGATCAGCAAGTCTGGAAACATTAAAGTGAGCAGTTCCTTCGGGATGCATCTACGTCACCTTTTAAGAATCTCTTTAATTGTTCAAAAAAATAAATGTTTTCTTTACTCTTATACTTCATTTGTATCTCATTTTGAAATTTTCGTTGTACATATTTCGAAATACAGGCACGCGAATTTTGTATTGGATGATTATAATCTTCCTTAGCGGAGAAATGATTAAAATAACAAATTGAACCATAACGAGTTCCCCTTTATTTTCTCTGTTATACCTATTTAACGATAAGTTTCTTTTAATCTTTATGAAAAATATTTGTACAGCTGTTTCGCGAAATCGTTCATATTTTCCTATAGTCTATCGTTTCCAATAGCAGCAAACTAAAGAGCGAAAAACGATGAGAATTTACAAGTCGATAACTCCATCTTTATTCATTTATTTATTTATTTGTTACTTAGATTAGAATTATTTTTCATGTATCGAATGTTGAAAGTGTCACCGGTCACTGACAGCACCGATTTAATATACTCGCACAATTTTTTGTTACAGGAAGAAGCCTAATGTATTAGAGTACTTGGATCTATGCGAGAATCCATTGCTGACATCTTATTCAAGAATGCATTCGCAATCAACCAGTGATTATAATTGCAATTATAATTCTGATTGTTATTGTAAAATTCGTATTCCAATCGCACGGCAAAGAAGGGAAACTCGTTCGTCTGAAAATAGACGCGCCGCACCTTCGTGTAAAAATTTTAATAGTAAAACGGAAATAATCAGAAGCGCGAACAAAGTTCCAACGATCCCAGCGAAGCCGATCGAGGACGATGACGACGACGACGACGACGACGACGACATCGACGACGACGACGTCGATGGTAACGAAGAAGAAGAGGTAGAATTATTTTTCATGAACAAAATAAAAGACCCGAAAAAGATATTATAATAACAATAATAATAATAGTGATAATGATAATAATAATGATAATAATAATAATAATGATAATGATAATGATAATGATAATGATAATGATAATGATAATGATAATGATAATGATAATGATAATGATAATGATAATGATAATGATAATGATAATGATAATGATAATGATAATGATAATGATAATGATAATGATAATGATAATGATAATGATAATGATAATGATAATGATAATGATAATGATAATGATAATGATAATGATAATGATAATGATAATGATAATAATAATGATAGTAATAATAATGATGGTGATGATGATAATGACAACAATAATAATAAGAATAATAATGATAATGGTAATGATGATAATGATAATGACGATAATAATGATGATAATAATAATGATAATAATGATAATGTTGATAATAATAATTATGATAATAATGATAATGTTGATAATAATAATGATAATATTGATCTTAGGTTTAATTCATTTTCAGCTGGATAGTAAAAGATCTAGCATAACATTGCCGATTTCCCCGGTGTTAAGTCCGGAAACGAGTACAGCTCTTCAACAAATGGAAAGATTGATCAAAGATGCAAGAATTCAGATTAAAGAAATAAGCACGATCGGCGGTAATATTGGTCGCGTTAGGAACTGTATTAACGCGTAAGTTACTTTTTCTTTCTCATGATAAATTATTGAAAGAAAATTTCAAACAACACTAATAATATTTCGAGATTTCATCGGATAACAATGGAGACCAACTTTTCTTCCAGATGGCCGGATGAAACACCTTTAGATGATGAAAACGATCAATTGCTGTACATCCGTGAACGCGTGGCATATAAATTTCAAGAAGCAAACGGCTGGATCGATAGAAAATTGAAAAGCGAAGAATTTGTTGAGAAGAAAATGAAAGGAAAAGATTTCTCTAACCCGAAATATCAAAGTTCCGAGGAAAGATATCGAGAATTTATGCGGCAAAGAAAATTACAAGCTGAGAAGGTCGGATTTTCAGTAGCAGTCGTGAACAACGAACAAACGAAAAATTGCAGTGAAACTGCTGAACCTAATTTTAATCTTAATCTCGATCTTGATCGGCGTGAATCAATGAAAAATACGAAAATCGACACGTGTTCCGTTCAAGTTGGACCGTCGATAAACATCAAAGCGGATTTAATAGCTCGAAATTTACTAAGTATTCACATATCACCGGACGCTTCGTTTGCCCAAGAAACCGCGAACGTTCGAACCTACGAAATTAATCATGATTTTTCCCCCAAACAACCATCTCCCGTTCGTAAAGAGAAGCTCGTTAAGATACTAAACGAGAATCAAACGAATTACGAGACCAAAGCGAAGGATTTTAATGAAATTGAAAATAAAAACTCTTCCGCTTGCACTTGTGTTTCGAAAAAAGTAAATTTCCAAGGATCCAGTTCGATGGTAGAAAACGAGAAAAATTTAGAGAATAACAGTGTTAACGCCGAAAACGAAAAATCACTATTTATCCAGGATACATTTTTAGATACGAATAATTTATCAAACAACCCTCCCTCTCTCGATCGACCCGATCAACTCCCCGTAGAAAATTCTATAGAAAATCAAGAAAAAGAAAAATCGATTAAAGTGGAATTCAAATCGTTGGATTATTCTTCAGTTTCGATAAAGGAAACGAATGATCAGTGTACAGTGCGTTGCGTTGACAACACTGTCGCGGCGGGTGACTCTAACACATATTCACGTCGGAGAGCCGATTGGCTAGGGACACGTGACGGAGGGACCGCAGCCAATCAGCTGCCGGCGCGTGCATGTGTTAGTGTCACGCACCGCGACAGAATCAACGCAACTCATTGTACTCCATTATCCGTGAACGAGATCGAAACGAGACGTTTGACGAATAAAAGAAGACACAAGGAAATTTGTGGAAAACAGAAATCTAAAAAGGACGAACGTTACAAACGCATCGATCAACATTTCTCTGACCTTCTAAACAAATACTGTGCTGAACAAAGAAAAAACAATCATTTTACCAGACAAGATTCTTCCGAACATTCGGATCTAATTGTCCCTCCTTTCTACGAACCATCTATAGATCAATTTGATAATCTTTTAACGGCCTACGATCAAATAATCGACAATGTTGTTCTATCCACGAAAACGATCGACAAATTTCTCTCTCGAGCTGAATTGAAAAACGAATTTCCGAACAGTAAAAGTAAAACCGGTACATCGAAACCTAACCTTCTTCGTCAGTCGCGAAGAAAAGAACAACCGATCGTTTCTAAATACCGATCAAGAAAATCCTCCGTCAAGAAAAATATTAATAAAGATGTAGAAAAGATAGGTTATAATAATTCGAGAAAATCGTTTATCCTTTCTCCAACAGAAACATTGAACGAGTCTGGTCAAAACGAAGAAAGCACAGAGTCGAGCAAAGATGGCGGGAAAATAATGAGAGTTAACGATCCGGAAGAAGGTTGTTCTTTTAAAAAATTTTCAACCGAAATATTACCTTCGTTTCAAGTTGAAAATAATGATGGTTCAAGTTTCGATACTTGTTCTTCGTCGAGCAGAAATTTGGAAAATCTTGTTAACAAGGAAACGATATTTCAAGCATCGAAACAGGCTGAAAATGTTCGAACCGAAGAAATGGAAAAAGTGAAAGAAATAGTAGGGAAGAATCGTTCTGATTGCGCTACGTTGTACAATGTTACATGTTCGAATAGTTTAAAAGAAATTCTACCGGACACCGAGAACATGGAACGCTCGATCGTCCGAGTTGTTCGAGAAGAGACTCGGTTTATCGAAGAAAAGGTTAAAAACGTTTTCAACCTCGACGAAATAGTACCATTGTTAGCGAAAGGTTTATTAGAGAATTTACGAAATAACATTTCGAATTTTCAACCGATCGTTGTTCCAAATCCCTTACCTAACGATGCAGCTTTTATGAATGTTCCAATTTTCGAAAAAGAAGAAAATTTCCGTCTAACGGAAAACGTAATGATGCCAATCGTCGTCGAACAAACGAATGAAATTCATTCAGAGTCCTTAAAAAAAGAGACTTCTGGCATGGAAAAACGTTGCGAAATTCTATCGAACGATACGAAAGAAATTGAAAAGACTGATGCACCGATGGAAAATCTTTTTGAAGAAGAAAATTTATGCGAAGCTCTTTCGAAAGATTCCACCAAAAATACGAATGAAAACGCATCGTTTTTAGGTGATACAATTTCCGAATTACCGCAACAACATTCTATAAATCCCAATTCGGTTGAAAATCTAAGAAAAGAGCAGATTTCGTCGTCGTCTGATTCTTTACACGATTGCGCGTCTCTTCAAAGTTCGAAAAACATTTCGGGAACGTCTTCGAACGTCGTACAATCATCGGGAAAAATTGTAAATGAAATGAAACAAATTTCAGAAATAAATAACGAGGTTGCTAATGAAGAAATAAACGGGAATAATTCGTCTTTTCTTTGCGGAGCGTTTGAAAAAGATCAAATTTTATCTGAATTCTACCAAGATACGGATCAAAGATTTATCTCTTCCACGTTTAACAGAAATTATTCGAATCTGCTAAATCAAAATTTTAGGTATGTAGCAGCTGTTTATATTATACAGGGTGCCTCGTAACTCCTGTAATTCCCAGAAATGGGGGTGATTCTGAACAACATTTTCCTTTACCAAAATGTCGTTTGAAGCTTCGTTTTTGAGTTATTAATGGAAAACACTGGCCAATCAGAGCGCGCCTTTAGCGCGGGCCGAACCACGAGAGCGTTTGCTTTCGGCCGCGCTCGGTCGTAATCGTGAACAAACGCAATGGCACAAACGCATTCATTATTCATGAATAACGAATAATTCCAAGTCGAGGCTGAACTTTACTTTACCGGGCCCAAAATTTTCGACATTTTTTTCTTTTAATCTATAGTTTTTGATGCGGAGAATCTAAAAATGCAAGTCTTAACTTTAGGAATCCAATGATTAAAAAGTTATAAGCGTATAAAGTTTGATATTTTTAGCGCATACATTACTGTGACGCCATATTAGCTTCTTGTCCAATGAACGGTGTCGCTAGCTGCAGGCAGCAAGTGCCGACCACTTTAGCGGGTTTAGTCAGATCGTAAATTTGATACTATCCAAGTTAGTTAGGTTTATATTTATCTTAAAGAGAGAGGGTACAACCCATGCATTTGCTTATTGCTTCTACTGTATCAATTTTATGAGTAATTTAAATACAGCTAGTGATGGAACCCATACCCAACAAAATTTGGTGTCCCCTAAAGTAAAGTTTAACCTAAATATTGATCTAACTAACTCAAACAGTATCAAAACGGTTTGACTAAAGTGGTCGGCATCCACATGCGTCTGTCCGCAGCTAGTGACACCGTTCATTGGACCAGAAGCCAATATGGCGTCACAGTAACGTAGCAAATGCACTAAAAGTGTCAAACTTTACACGCTCGTAACTTTTTAACCATTGGATTCCTAAAATTAAAACTTGCATTTTTGGATTCTATACATCAAAAACTATAGATTGAAAAAAAAAGTCCAACATTTTGGGTCCGGTAAAGTAAAGTTTAACCCTCAAAAACGAAGCTTCAAACGATATTTTGGTAAAGGAAATGTTATTCAAAATCACCCCCGTTTCCGGGAGTTACAGGAGTTACGGAACACCCTGTATTTTCTAATTTATCACCTTGACCCTTTATAACCGCAACTTTCTATGTTGTGTATTTACAATGCACAAATGCTAAATTTACGTATACATATTAATATGTATATTTTTTATATTTTTTTTTCAGATTGTCCAGTAGTGAATCTGCAATTGAATCTAAAGTAAGGAATCATCTTCATCGTTTAACAATCAAATTACATTATTATTGTTATTATTATTATACATTATTACACGTTACACTAGCATAATAATCCCATCGAGATAATGTGGGAAATTTGTTTGCATTAACGATACTTTTTATTATTTCAGGTTGAAGCATCGTCGACTGGTTCTCATTCCGAAGGAGAGATACATATGCCAAGTTCCGCTTCCTATTCCATTGGAGAAGTCAGGATGTTGAAGAAAAATCGATCAGACGAAGAAAATTCTACCGACGATGATATCACGATTTTTCTTACGGAACAAATGCTCGCTTCGTGGAATGAATCCTCGAAGGTGAACACGCGTGTAACTTTACTTATTTATACATGCTAAATTAGCAATCGTATTGAACAGAGTATCAACAGGATGTCGACGACGCTATCTTGTCACGCGGTTACACTATCATTCCATTTTGTTTTTTATTTTAGGCATTGGTACAAAGTATGGGAGAAATATAAAGTTGCTGATTTGATTGAAAACGCGTAACAAGTAATCGATGTGAATTCTATGGTAAATGGTAGGTAAATATTTTCAATCAACGTGCAACGATGCTGATATTTTTATTTTGTAATATTTATTCCTGCTTTCAAATAAATAACAACGATATTGAAACATTGTAAATATATGTACACATTACTGGTATCATTATTTATCTAAATATATCGTCAAGTATCATTTAAAAGAGGCATAAATAATAAAGTTATATATAGTGAGAACTCGTCTTTGTTAAATATCGTTAACCTGTAATCAGTTATTGCACATGCAAACAAAAACAAAAAAAAATGAAACTCGTATGTGCGCATTAATTTCTACTTCAGAAAAGTGGAAATGTTTTATGATTTAACCGTGAAATACCATATAAAAATAAAATAAACGCAATGATACTGTGAAAAGTCCTTTTTTTTTTAAACGATACAAGCATAACCTTAGATTTTGGTAAAAATATGAAATTAGTTGACACAAGAATCTCACAAATATCGTGCTAATAAAGTGTATTTTACTTTAAGGAGATTATTCAAATAATGTATTGTAAACGTTTTAATGGATAAACATTATTTTTATTATAAAAAAACAATAAACGGAAAAAAGATGTGCGACAAGTATATAATTGGTTATTCTATATCTGAAAAAAAGCGACAAAAATTTAATTGGAACGATTTTTATAATGTTTGCGAATCCGAAGGGTTCTTATTAAAAATGGTAAATAGCTTAAACATTTTATTCAATTGTTATTAGATAATTATATCGTATACCAATTTTATGTTTATCAATATGAATATCAATATCAACAAGGTTATATGCGTATGCAGTTTTTATCTAATCTACCAACTGTTTTTATATTTCACCAAACTAATTCATTTCAGATTGACATAAACTCCGATCTTGAACCTCAGGGACCATTTCATGTTTTTATATACAAGCTGACCGACAAACTAGCCAATGCTGAAAATGGTGATCAAAATGTACGATGAAATCCTTTATATTTTCTTATAATTAGAATTGTTGTAACAATTAATTTGCCAAATTTTAGGCCAAAGCAATTATTTCAAAAATTCAACGATATTTCTGTCAGCATCCTAAAATAGTACTTATCGACCCATTGGACAATGTTAAAATTTTAATAAACCGTTATAAATCGTATGAAATCCTGCAAGAACATGTACAGTTTAATGGTACAGCAAAAATTCATAATATTTTATACAATTCTATCAATTACTAGAAAAACAAGTATAACTAATGCCTAATTCTAATCATTTCTTTCATCGTTTAGATGTATTTACTCCAAGGTTTGTAGAAATTAAAAGTAAAAGTAATGTTGAGAATATATCGCTGTTGAAAATGGCAGATATTAAGTTTCCATTTCTTTGCAAACCGCTTATTGCTCAGGGTTCCAGCGATGCTCATAAGGTATGTTGTTACATCTAGAAAATCAGTCTCTTCGGAGCTCTACAGTTAATATGCCTTTTCAGATGATGGTGATTTTCAATGAACAGGGTTTGAACGATTGTCAGCCACCTTGCGTGGCTCAAGAGTTCATCAACCATAATGCGATTGTTTACAAAATATATATAGTTGGTGAACATTTTCATGTAGTTGAAAGACCCAGTTTTAAAAATTTTTACCAACAAGACTGTTCCGCATTAAACACAATATTTTTTAACTCCCACGATATATCAAAGAGTGGTTCTAGATCTAAATGGTCCATTCTGGCGGAAGAAGACATTCCATTAACGGTAAAACCAAAATACGAAACATTGGACAAGATTGTCAAGAAAGTAACAGAACTGTTTGGACTTCTTTTGGTTGGTGTCGATGTTGTTATTGAAAATCATACTGGAAAATATGCAATAATTGATGTTAATGTGTTCCCCGGTTATGATAGTTATCCTAATTTTTTTGAACAGTTAATAAGCTGTATCAAAAAATTGTTGGTCAAACAAACAGAATCAGAAGAAAATACGAAAAGTTATACGCTAAAAAAATGTTTGAGCGATGATCTAGATTCTGGTTTCGAAAGTGATGAGAGAAAAAGAAATATTCTGCAAAGACAAATAACTAATATGAATAACAAACAAAGTAAACGGATGAATTCTATATCAAACTGATATTCCAGTTAATTATATTATAACAAGTACAAAAGGGAATCATTTAAAAAAGAAGAATAAAGAGGAAGAAACGATAGACTTTTTTTATAAAGACGTCGTTTATATTTACTTCTAAAAACACCTTAAATTGTTGTAGCAGATCTGCGTTCTACAATTAGATCTATTCATTTCTCTTCATTTCAGTTCATTTTTTTTCTACCTACACACCTGTAATAAATAGAACCGTCTTTCTTTTGTTTTTTGTACTATCTACACTGAATATTTTTTTTATTTTTTTTGTTTAAATAATAAATTAGCCCACTGTGGTACGAAACGCATGACTGCCAAAGAATATTTTCTACTTTTTACTTGTATACTGTATTTGCAGTGGTTGAAGAAAACACTTCTGCGATTAATGTATGTAATGTATGTTTATAAATTTACATTTTTCTTGTCAAGTATAAAAATGTACATCAAAATTAATATAAACATATTTAAATACGCAATAAAAAAGTTATTAATTATAGTATAATTTCCTACTTTAATAAGCCTTATGTTATAATAAACTTTAATCGTATTTTTTAGTTGCGCACGATTTTGTCTGACCAAAAATCGAAAATAAAATAACATTCACAACTTTCAATTATTTTAAAATAAATTTATTTCATTCGTGTAAAAGTCAAATATTAATTTATTTACAAGAACACATACATTCAGTCGTTCTTACAATTAAAAAGTAATCTTTCAACTATTCGATTCCGAGTGAGAAGTATTGTTTTGATTAATTTCATTTTTGCTACTCATTTCTTTTTGTTTCATCCAAGCCTTAGCGGATGCCAAAAATTTCAGATTTGGCCTTTGAGATTCATCTTCTGGGAAAACGAAATCAAACACTTCTTCCCAACCATCGTCGCTCTAAAATTACAAATTGTAAGTATGGACAAAATGAAACGTTTATGTTTAAAAAAAATACATAGATGAATTAAGAATTTCATTTACCCCGTCTTCTCCTACAATACGTCTCCTGCGTTTAATTCTTCGAGGCATTTTCTCAATAATTTTAGCCCGAGTTTCGTCATCTCCTTTTTCATTTTCAAAGTCTCTCCATGCCTCTAGAAGCAATGCTCTGCTTTCTTTGTCACCGCTTGATCTAAGCGCATCATTTCCGCGTTCAAAGATTCTTCTTGCTAAAGCAACATTGTCAACGCCATCCTCTGATGCTGTATTTGCCAATTCAAATTTGGCATACGCAATCCAAACCTAAAAATTTTATATTCTTGCTATAGTTGAAAAAAAAGAAAAGAAAGGCAAACAGTTTAAAATTAACTACTTTTAACTTACTTTAACGTGAAGCGTACGTTCTAATAATCTCTCAAATAACTGTCTCGCATTTTCGGTTTCGTCTTGCGATATTTCAAAATCAATATATGATTTCCATAAAAGTTCGGGCATGTCTAATCTACACATTTAAGTAATAATGTTACATAGGACTATGAGAGGAAATATGAATATACATTATTCATAGACAACTATCATACCTTGGTTGAGATATAGCTAATTCGTAAATAGCTCGTGCACGTTCTACATCGCCTAAAAGTGTTTCTAATTCTGCAAACTGATCAGAACAAATTTAATAAGCAATTTGTAATTATTCAATTACATATAATTATTAAAAAGATCTTTTAGTTACGCACTTTCATCCATGTAGTACAATTTTCTGGACCAAATTCGAGAAATTTTTCATACAAGATTCTACATCTATCAAATTCTCTTAACTGTATTTCTAAATCGATATATCCACGGTATAATTTATCTCGAGGACAAATACCTAATGCCATTCCCTACAATAACGCAAATTAAAATTATTTATTTCAAAACTGTAATTGTAATTGCAATTCTGAATACTTACCAATGTTTTTCTAGCCGCTGTTAAATTCTTTTGCCTTATTTCGAAATACGCATAGAGTAACCAAATCTTTGAGAAAGTAAAATGTTTGTGCGGGATCAGTTCTAAGCATGCCCTGCAAAAATTATAAATATCATTTCGGTCGGTCTAATATAATAAAATAAAAATATATTAATTACCTGTAAACTTGTCGACAACGTTCTATATCTTGGGTATCAAGTTCTTCGAAAAGAGCATAATTTATCCAAAGATAAATATATCTCCTCCAAAATTGTTTCTCCTGTGAACATGTGATATATTTATATTAGCTACAGTTATACATCGAATGTACAAGACATATTATACGTAGATTCGTATCTCACTTTAGTTGGTGGTACATTAGCTATTGCGCGTTCGTAAGTTTCTCTAATTATATCTACATTTCCTTCTGATTCTACTAATCTTAAATAGTCAAACCAAGCGTCATAATTAGAAGGATTTTCTTTCACTTCTTGTTCGTATTGATATTTTCTTTTGCTCACAATTACATCTTCGATACCTATAAATAATAACGCAATGATATTACGTGTACAACTAATTACCAACTGTTCATTTTTTACTAATATCTAATACCTGAACGATCTCCGTATTTTTTCTCATGTATGGTATATGCTTTATAAATTTCTTGTGTTTTCTCTTTTGGGATATGATCTAATGCATATTTGTAAATTACTCTGGCTCGATCATGCTGCGTAAAAGAAAAAAAAGAAAACAAATCTCGTATAAAAAACCAGGCATAATGTATTATATATATATATTTACTTCTCTTTGTCCTTCTTCAAACTTTGCAAATGCAATAAATAATTTTTCATCCAAGTGTTCGTCACCGTAAAAATTAATAGCGCGTTCATAAACGTTACGAGCTCCATTTATAAAACCATGGGATTCTTCGAACCGTGCGTACTTAATCCAATGTTTAACGTCAGGATGAACTATCACAAATCGTTCATAAATTTGTCTTGCTCTTTGTATTTCTTTATATCTTAATTCAAATTTAATATAGGTCTGCCAAGCTTGTTCGTCCGGTTCCCATTCCATCCATCTTTCAAAAACCTGACGGGCTCCTAGATAAATCATCGATAGGCTTTTATTATAATATTTTCAATTAAAAGGAAAACAAAAATATTACCGGCAATGTTTTCCAACATTTCCTCCATATAAGTATATTTGTACCAGAACTGATTTGCTCTAGGTAATATAGTAACAGCTCGATCCCATAAATTTCTGGCATGATTTACTTGACGGTTACGCATTTCCATTTCAGTATATTTAAGCCATAATGTAATATTTCTATGATCAACATCTAATGCACGTTCGTATATCGACCTAGAAATCATGAATTCTTTATATCTTAAACATATGAAAGAAGGCATGGCTTCTTTTTACTCTGTATTTCATATAACTGCAAACATAACGATAAAAGTAATTACAGAAATCGTACCGTGCTCTCTGTATTTGTTTCTGACTTTCTTCCCACTGAGCATATTTAATCCAATTTGAAATGACCATACGATTTTTACGAATATTATCTTCAAACGCTTTACGCTTTCTGTGTTGATAATCAGCCAGCTCATGTGGATCAGAGATTTTTTGTTTTGGAGGCTAAAAAATATTAATACATATATGTATTACATTAAATTTTTCCATTAAAGATTTCAAATAACTTTGTAATTAATATTAACGCAAAAATGCATATATGTAATACGTACCGGTGGTAAAATTTCCAAATCTCTTTCTTTAGCTTCCCGCAAAAGCTGTTCTGCTGTTATTTGTATTTCTGCAGGTGCTTTATTCTTGACCTGCAAAAGAAATTACAGGTTACAAACAATTAATTTATCTTCCACAAGTATAAAATGTATAAATTTACCTTTGCAACTTTTGGCATTTTCTGTGATTTTTCCATGGTGAATGAGTGAATGTTAACTTCTCAAATGCACAATACAACGTGATAATAAAATAAATAATTCAAATGAATTATGTTTCCAATACTTTTTGTAGAATTATTAGACAAATATAAAAGAGTTCATGTATCCTCTTACAATTTGAACATTTCTGTAAATAGATATTATCAATGATTATCTAAAAATAAAAAGTCATAGGATTATTGAGTAGCATTATTTTACACCGTATGTAAATATTTGTTATCCGTTAGAATAAATTTGTATACATAGTAAACACATGAAATAGAAGAAAGGTTATAACATAACCAACTTATTTGCTATGAATAATTAATATATCTGTATGTGTGTATGTATGTAAGTATGTATGCATATACATATATTTCACAGAAATTTCGGTGGTGATTTTATGTTGCATTTATTAGTAACTAGCTTCTGACATATATGTTACAGTTTTGTCATTGCTATTTAAAGTAAAGTTTGATTTATAATTTCAGCATATAACTTTAATTACATGCCAAGTTAAAATACTCTAATCTTAATTTACTCGCTAAATTATGAAAAATTTAGATTATACAACCTGTTATATTCTTTCTAGTTTCTTTCATGTAATTCGATTGCTCATACTGCGAAGCTCTTTATCCGCGCGAACTTCTTACTTTTTTGAACATACTGCGCACGATGCTAAAAAAGTGTAACACATTAAAGTGTTGTTCTCTTTCCACACGTGAACAGATTTGTATAAAGTGAAAGAAAGGTACAGTATTCATCGAATAGATTAACAATTAATAATAGATCGTTATAACAGAATGTTTATCGATTAATTGAAGTTAATTCTGACAGAAAGGATAGAGGCGCGTGACTGGCTTTGATGGTGACGTTTTAATACATTCGTGACGTTTACACGACAAATGTTTAGTTGCAAAGTGAAATTGCTGAAATAGCAGTATTCGTGTGACATAAGAAAAAGATAATTCGAGGTGTATTTAAAATTAAACATCTGATAAAATACGATAAGAAAAAGAAGATAGGCAACATTGTATGTACGAGAATTTTCTTTCATGTGGTGACTATTCGTTAAAAACAGAAACAAATTGAAGATGAACGTGTCGAGGGAAGAGAAAGATAGAAATAGTATGTAAGAAGGAGAGGTTAATTCGTGGACAGAAAAGAGGCAGAGAAAGAAAACACGACACAGTGGAAAAGAGAGGGCAGTCAGTACCGAAGCTTTATCTTTATTATGCGCCGCTGAGTGAATTGTCAAGTGAAATCAGAAATGGCTGCCAACGAGCAACAACGTAAGGTGAGTAGGGAGAAATACAGTGTATTTTTCTCAATTGGCTAATGGCTTTTTAATACGTTCTGCCAAACGATAAACGCATGATATTATCAAGATAACAATTTTTCATTTGAAACGATCGAACGCATAAGTTTTTCCCGATAATTTTTAGTCAAAAGACAGAATTTATACGTATCTTCAGACTAGTCATACCAAATGGTACAACGTCTTGATTTTAGTTGAATGTTGATAAATATTTGACAGTAAGAGAGACTTGAGAATATATCGCGCAACATTGTACTCTCGTTTTACGTGGACAGGATTATTTCAAAGATACCTTCTACTTCATTCAAATATTTGCCAGATCATCGATGCATAGAAAAACGTATAGAGCCCTGTATGCAGTATTTACATTTGCACAAGCAGCTGTCAGCAGATGATCGGAAAGGTGTCATGAAATTTTACAAAAATATATACGATCCTTTCATTTTTTTTCTTGACGTTCGATTCCCATGATATCTATTGAAATATTGTTTCTCTTACAACATGAAAAGCTTTTAGGAATTTATCAGTGGATACCTAGTACGATCGAGGCAATCAACGTACAATAGCATTAACGAAAGTTACGACGTATGACAAGCGACATGGTCTAACAATTTTAATAATAGCACCTTCATTATTTTCTTCTTAATTTTCTTTCATTAATCATTCGCCCTCAAGACGAATATAAAAATTAATATAAAACCGCTACGTTGACTGAAAATATTCTGGACTTTGCGCGTTCGAAATAATTAGACAGAATATGAAAATTAACATATGCCTGTTATAAGTATATGACGGTGGATATCTGTTTTCTTTTCCTTTTTTTTTTCTTCAACAAAATCAACTACCACCACTATTACCAATTTTCATTGGTATATACTTATTGTTGTCAATGTGATTAAGAGATATTTCGGGAATGTAGCAAATGTCTCATTCATTTGGCATTGAATTCTACCAATCCAAGCATTTTGTAGATCGTTCTTCTGGTAGTACGTACCATAAATAGACGCGATTTTTCTCGAATTTATTATGGAACGATATATATGTTTTTATTTTTCTCTTGGAAAAGTCGTTTCTTTGTGGAAGTCATGTGGCAATTAAATAGCATTTTTTTCTGTTCTTTTTTTTTTTTCTTGTTTGATTTTATAGATGATGCTGCAATTTACATTTGATTTCATAACATTGCACGAAATATAAATTAATACATCCGCATACTGTATTTCTCAATAAAATTTACTTATTGGGAAGGTAAAAAGTATTGAAAAGATAAGGAAAGATTCTTTCCGGCCGAAATTATTATAGTATAATTTTTCTTTTATTTCCGCTTACGAACAGGTACGTATCGAATCCTATGTGCACGATTTCTGTCATGATTGCGTATCGATCCACCTTTTTACATTTTATAATTATTTCTATATTTCATTAACTATAAAGGTGAATACAGCACTATTGAGAACGTAAAAAAAAACAAAGATGTTTCTTTAAACGTATGCTCATCATAATCAATAGAGATTTATTCAAGAAACGACTACTCATTGTTTTTATAAAACTAATATATTTCTGATGTAACGATAAAGTATCTGAATGTCTTCCAATATATCTATGTTTAAAGAAATGAAATTTGTATGCAGATATTATTGTTTTAAAACTATTTTATAACATATGTACGTTCAAATATATTTTTTAAATTGTAGTCGATACAAGTAATAGGTTTTAATAGTTACTATTACACACAGACAAGTATATATGACCTTAGAAACTGTCAGAGTATGTGATTTTATGGCTTCGAAAGTGCTATAGTGTAGCTAGTGATATTGTTGTGATTTAAAGATGTTAAAAATATGTTTGCTTAGTAATTTCTTTTTCTCGTTTTCCTCCTGTCCTTCTTACAATTAATATTTAACGCTGTACAATTTTTGTAATAGCTAATGAATATAATTATTAATTATAAATATTAAGTATTTTTCGCCTATTTTTGTTTTTAGAGATAAAAACAAGAAAAGGTTTCTATTTACTATTTTGTTGAGATTTTAATAAGTTTCATTTTTGTAATCATAGAAATTTTTATTAATATTCAGGAACCACGCGAGTTAAAAGAACCAGCCCACCATGCAAGAAGGCCGATGAATGCATTTTTAATTTTTTGTAAACGACACCGTGGTTCAGTACGATCTGGTTTCCCACATTTGGAAAATCGTGCCGTCACAAGGGTTCTTGGCGAATGGTGGGCCACCCTTCATCCAGACCAAAAGCGTTCATATAAAAATCTTGCACAGGAGGTAAATTGTTTACATAGTAAGAAATTTAAATATTACACTAATAATACGAGTTAATAGACTTTTAATGCGGTACATTGCGAATGATAAATGGGTTGGTACGCGTTTAATTTAAGAATATAATTATAGTTTAATTATCTTTCAGTACAAAGATGCATTCTTAAATGCGAATCCTGATTTTAAATGGTATAAATTACCAGCACCTCCTTTACGTACCTTGAATACTAGGCCTACAAACAAGAAAGCAGAGACAAGTTCTAGCGAACAATCTATAGAAAACGATGAATCTGAAAACAAGTCTTCCGATTATTCAGAACTTGATAAGCGAGATGGACAATCAATTCAGCCTGGTAAATTAGCCGATGAATCCCAAATTGGTGGCCTCAGTTCTCTGTTTACACCTCAAAAAACACAAGTGACAGACGAGCAAACGACTGTTGACGGTTCTGTGATCGAAAATGATAACCAAGTTCCAAAAACCCCTAAGAAAAATTTTTCGGATACAGTTTCCTCACCTGATCATAAAAGAGAGTGTAAAGCTGATCTATTTGATGCAAAGAAAAGGAAAAAACTCGAATCAAATAATAACGATCATCAATATGTAAGAAACTGATTTTCTAACCCACTTAAATCTTTTAATCTTTAATCATTATTAAAATTCTTTGAATCGATGCCTTACTAATACTGTTAATAATAACATATTTTAGAATGCAGAAGAGGAGAAAATGGAAGTAAATAATTTTTTATCTACAAATATACCTTCGGAGGAGAGTAATTGTAGAAGTGAACGAACCTGTAAGGGTTTACGTTATCAAAAGTTCCTTGCTGAACAAATGAAAAATATCGGCGCTTCGGGACAACAATCTAAGCGAAGAAGACAAACCGGAAATCGTAGGTAAATAGTAACAAACATTTAACGAAATTCCTCAACTCGATGTAAAAAAAAATATGAATTTATTTATCATTAAGTGATTAAATGATGTATATATCTTTACAAATAATTTCATATCAGTGCTGATGGACAAACGAATGAAAGAAGAAATTCGATTTCATCGAATGTCAGTGAAAAAACAGATTCTTTGAGTAGCGAAGGTGGAAACAGTATCCGTAGCGAATTAGAACATCTTGTAGAAAGGTAATTTTATATTTTATATAAAATTAAAATATTTGATATTTTTTGTGGTATTGTGGATGTAATAGAAGTATATTGTACATTCTATAAAGTGCTGAGGGGAACATAGAAGCTTCAAAACCTGAAGAAACGGAAACAGAAGGTGCAGAGGAGGAATTAGATTATGGACCATGGACTGCACGAAAAAGATTTCGAGCTGAGTATGTTTCATTTTATATTTCTTCGTAACATTTATGTTAAGTAATTTTTCATGAAAATATATATATATGTATATATTATTTTTATGTATTATTTTCTTGTATAGGGATTTTAATTTAGAAAAGAAAATTGAAGCGTTACCATCTTTAAGTTTAGAAGAATTTCAGGAAAAGAAGAAACAACAACGAAAAAAGAAAAAACTTGCCCAAAAGATAACATCAGCTGTAAATAAAAGATATCAGAATAGTTACGCTAAGAATGGACAAGCGAATTCTGAAGATTCTGAAAAAGCACTTCTCGTAGGAAGTCAAAAACGGAAAGCACGGAAACAAAGTATCACGCGTAATGCTGCGGCTATGAGTGAATCGAAACAAGCTGCAGATGGAGAATCTAACAAACGTAAGTATAGAAAATTAAAATGATTCCATCCAAGTTTTTTTTTTTTATATAGGTATTTTATTTGTTAGTACGTCACATATAAACAATGTAAGAACTTTTTTAGTAAATTCTACAAACTGGAACGTAATTTAAGTTAAAGAGCAATACAAATTATAGTTCATTTTTACTTACATTTTTTTTATATTTTGCTAAAATATTTTTAAAAAACGTTTTCTCTTTCTCTCTTTGTATTATAAAACGAGATCATATATCGCTATAAACGTAAATTTACGTTCCTCTCTATGAATTGTTGTTCACGTCGTATTTGAAATGTAACATTTTTAGTAATTAAGTAGTAATTTGACGATCATTAAATCAGTACATGGTATTTATATTTTGTTTTGTGTATTGTAATTTTTAATATATACCTCTAAACAAACGTAATTGTTTCTATAATATTAATAGCGTGGTGTACATCGCCGGACTTAGAAGCATTGGCTTGCCTCGCAGCAGTTGCCGCCAACAGAACAAAACTTACCAAAAATAATGTATAAGAGATATATTTTTCGATATTTAGCGGTCGTTCGCGGCGTAAATTTCTACTGAGTAAACCAAAATCCTTATTCATTTATTTCTTAATGCAATTTCTTATTAGCCGAATTATTAAAGTAATTGCTTTACTGTTAGAAGAAAAAAAAAAAGAAAAAAGAAAGAAAAATAACGTTTCAAATTAATGAAAAACGTACTATGTTATTATTGTTAATATCTTCGTCGTTAATCGCTGTTAATATGAACATTAATACAGTAATTGCTATAATTATTTTGTCACTCAACATTGTAAAGATATTTCTTTTATGTTGCATAAATGTCCTACAATTGTGATTAGTGGAAGATAGTTTTTTTAATAGCTTGTTAACAATTATTCTTGTTATTATTACATTATTGAAAATGAAAAGAATATTCGAATTTCTAATTTATGTTACGTGTAATTATTGAAATACTGCGTTGAGCATTTTATATTTGTTACTATATGCCTGCAGTGCAAATGATAGTCATTTTATCAAACTGAAAAGAAAAATGCCCGTATATTATGGATAACAATAATATTCGTTGGGAAATTTGTGCAACTTCCGACAAAGAAAGGACGTATTATAGTCATAATAGGACCTGACTAGATAAATATTCAATGAAGGAAAGAAAAGGTGCATGCAATAAGAGAGCGATAGAGAATGTGAAAGCAAGAAATTTTCATCTTGCAAACTAATTTTTCTAATGTAAAATGTGTTACAAACGCGATCAAGAATAATGATAACAAAGCCATGAATTTTAACAAAAGCCGATGAGCAGGGCATTTTTATCATATCTATGTGTAGTAACGATAACACGTAATAATTGCAAAGTCACTTGTTACTATTTTTGTTATTATCATCGGCATACGTTTTATCTATATTTCATTATGTTCTGTAAACATTTTATGTACATAGAAATAGGTGCAGTATTATGAAAGATATCCTTCATGATCTGAATATCAAAAAAGGATATAATCAAAATATACATGTATAAATATATATATATATACATACGCAATGAAAGACCACTGTTTATATGTTATACGTGCGTACATGTAAATATACGTAACAGCACGTCACGTATGCAAAACGGAAAAAATGTAAATTTTATTGTTAGCAGCGAATGGTTCTGGTATAAAGAAGCGTATGTATACGTGTATGTATGTAATTTGATAAGACTACGTATATATATATATGAATGTATATTTATAATATTTATATCAATTAATTATTATTTTAGCGTTAAGACCATGAAAAATGCGATTCTGTGCTCTGTTTGATGAGAAAGTAAGGGACTTGTCTGTGATTTTGGCTGAAGGAGTTTTTAATGTTTTATATTTTTCTATTGATTTTTTTTTTTCTTTCTTTTTCTTTCTCACTTTGTTAATTTCGTCGAAGTCTAACTCCAGACACTGTTAGCGAAATGATAGGAACAATTAATGTTAGTAAACTCCTCTGTAATATGGAAATGAGTATACTGATGATTATATTTCAAATGTGCCTTGAAGAGATGATATGAACATAGATATTAAACAATGACCAATAATATATTTTCGATTCATTTCGTAATTCGAACTGTTTTTGGCGTTTACATTTATACCTTCCACATTGTCTAACTGTGGTTACGGTACATGAATGATAAATCAGGCTTTTATGGCCAACGTCCGAATATTTGGATTTATAAAAGAAAAAGTCAAGGGAAAGTGTTTCGAATTGTACTGCACAAACATCTATGTACCTAGCTTTAAAAAATATAATTTACACGAATATGTATATATATATATATATATCTATATTATATCTATACTTGTAACATATTGTATACCGTTTATATGAATAATAAAGATATAATATTTTGACGTAATTTCAAAGTTTTTTTTTATAAGATGCTTAGGTAAATAACAAAAGTATCAAAACTGATTCAGAATAATTTATTACTATTTGAATTTGTTAATTTTTTTATATGTATTTACATAACAGTAAAATATTCGAAGATAAAATTATAGTGTTAAACAGTTGTTGAGGCAAATATATATTGCGAACAAATAGGATAGTAAATTATATGGTTTATATTATCATTTAATTTATATACGTTGTGTAAATATCCATAGGTTTAATACCAAGGTGGTTGAATTATCGAATCGTGATTTTATTTCCTCTTTTTCTATCTTAATTTATTGTTTTATTCCAATGAATTATTCTTTTCTTATTGATTGTACACATATGTAAATTATAGCTCATAATTTATTTAAAATATTATAGTTTGCTTAAATTCTCATTTTGTTAAACTTTTCTGAGATTATAATGGTAATTATGTTTTCTGTTCTCGGTTATGTTATGTTAATTGTCTGTTTTCGAGATTCTAGGGTGATTTAGTAATCGGTATTGTTCTCTAAACATATTTTGTTGGAAGATAGTTTTTAGAAAACGATACCGAATTTGAATGCTACGATTTCGGTAACATAAAGTAGTAACATAAATTTTGTCGAACAAACATGCTTAGTCAAGCGGGGTACATTCATCAAACTCTTTATTGTTCTTTGATTCTTTTTTTCGAAAGAATCCTTCGTCTTTCGATCCTTCAGCCCTGATTTAATTCCTAAAATCACCACAAAATGAATAGCAAAAATAAGGGTCAAAGCAATCTACTGTTATCATCAACACGTGTTAGATTGTTGCAGTACGAAGGTGTTTCACATTTTTATACTAAGATGGAGCTGATCGTGTTCGTTTGTAGGGACTTTTGTTCGTGACGTGAAAGAAAATAGTAACTCAACTGCAACACGATTTCACTTTGCACAAATGCCTCTTTATTGCATAGCGGTTATTTACTTCACGACTACTTTCTTTTGCGAGTATGTATACCGCAGTTCATCAGAGTCCATAACTGCGAAAAGACCAGTTTTCGTTCTTCGCGCTTCTCCAGTGCGCATCTTCGCCCTGATTGGCGATACTTCCATACGAAGTGGAAAGCGATTAGCAGAGAGCTCGCTGCGTTCTCCCACCATCTTCCAACCTGCGCGTCGCAGTTATGGACTCTGGTGAACTGCGCTATACATACCTTTTCGAAATTGAGGCGACGCTTTTTTTTTAGCGCGTCTTTTTTAGTATCTAGGCTTACCAACTATTTTACAGCTTAACCTAGTAACTAAAACTAACTAGCCTAATTTAACCTAGTTACTCCGAGAGAGCGCCTCAGGGGCGTGCATCGCTGATCGCCACACGTTCTTGAGGCACAAATTCAAGATCGCACGGGTACAAAAAAGACGTCCAGTCTTTATATAGATTGTAATCATTGTCGAGCGTTTATGTGTATGTAATATATGTATTGTTGTTGCGTAGCGTATAGTATTATGGTTGTAGGTGACAGCTACGTCAAATTACATGATTTGTTTGTTTGTGAAATCGGAGCAAATCGAAGCTTAATTTAACAGCTCGTTTATATCCTATATCGAAGCATTTTGAAAGCAGTTAATAATATTTCAGGATGGGCGTAATTTTCTTAGAACATATCGGAGGTACTCGTTTGTTCTCTTGTGCTTCTTGTGACACCAATCTTACAAACAGAGGTCAGCTGATAAGCACGCGTTTTACGGGCGCTACAGGACGTGCTTTTCTCTTTAACAAAGTCGTCAACTTAAATTACAGGTATTCGCGTTTTTTCTTTGCTCTTTAAAGTAAATTAATATCAATTGATACATGATACGTTTACAATTTTGTATCGTTTCATTTCAAAAACCATTGCCATTTTAAACAAAAACGATTATGTGTATAAGATGAATTGTTATTATTTTTATGTAAACACCAAAGAGAATGGGGGAAAAAAAGATTACATTAAAATAACATTTAAAGTGCCATATAAAAGGCAAAGAAAGTTAATGATTTTTTTAAAAATTCTTTACAAAAATACAACATAGCAATGCTCAGATTTTGATAGATTTTATTCTATCTAAGTAAATAGACAAACATTGACATTATTGGAAACATCTGGAAATTAAAGTTGGTTTAAAACAAAATGTCTTATCGATTTTGGACTAAAGTATATCTATGATTTTGTCACTAATTTAAATGAAGTCAATTTTTATATTATTCTCAGGCATATACTTTGTCTCTTTATGTGCATTTAGTTTTTTTTCTTTTTTTTTTTCAACATGATTTAGCACACAGGATACCATTTATGAATGTACAGAATCTCAGAGAACTTGTACTAATGGAATAATCTTATGTAATTTTTATTTATGCATAATTTAATTCATCTACAATGATATACAGCGAGGTACAGGATAGAGTGATGTTGACGGGTCGTCACATGGTCCGAGATGTCAGCTGCAAAAACTGTGATGCTAAACTTGGGTGGGTGTATGAATTTGCAACAGACGACAATCAACGATATAAGGAAGGTCGTGTCATCCTGGAACGTGCTTTAGTCACAGAGAGCGATGGAATGGGCGATAATATTTAATTACCTCGCGACAATTAACACATCTTAGGATAAGAATATATTAGTCAACATAAATCCATTGTTCCATTTCTCCATTGTTAATTTTGTGAATTATTCACTGAGCGTATGACAATTTATATTTAATATTGATTATTTTTGTAAACATTAAACATACTTTATCTCGTGGTATTGTATATATCTTTGATGATCTGCCACTTCTTTATTTAACTTTTCATTTGAACATGTATATCGTATTAACCCTAAATTGAAATAAAGATTTAGACCATATTATGTTAGTAGTTTTAATGTTGCGATGTTATTTTTTTATTAAAATTCATTATACATATAAAAACAAGTAATATCACATAAGTAGAATAAATTGTAATAAATAAATGTATAAATTAAATTAAGGAATCTTAATGGATTTGAATTAGTCCTTTTACGATATTATAATTAAACGTTTCTTTATTTGTTCTTTTAGAAAGTGTAATTACATACTAATAACAAATATGTGAAAATTCTGTTGTAAATATGTGAATATGTAGAAAAATCTATTTATCATAATTATATTTTAACATGCTGAAGAAAGTAAAAAACAAAAAAATTAAGTGCCTGATTTAATTTTTATTATATAGGTACTTATTGTTAGATCCTAAGAAAGACGATAGATATTCGAGACAAAATGAACCGCGCCCCGAACTATCTTACAATTGGTTGTTACCATTCAAGCGAGGACCAATAGTAGAGGCGAAGTTCTGCAACGAGTCGCGACGATGAACCAGTGTGGTCACGTAAGCCCACCATACCGCATGGTGGATAGATGTTTCCTTTAACTCGACGTCGTATAAAATGTTATAATCGTGTATTGTTGTTATTTTACAAAGGGGAACAACGATCCTGTGGAACAACTATTTTCAGTCGTGCATACGGTAATTACAACATTACGTACATAGCGTAAAGCGTTGACCGATTTGAACGGTACAATTTGTTGTTTGCTGTTCGGCTCAATGGCCGAGTGTTAGTCGCACAATAGCAATATATGTTTGTCCCGTTTATAGAATAATTCTTTTAATTATTCCATAAATGTCGAAACATCTGATTTCCTATAACATTTTGCTGTGAAAAATGATTAATATATACATACATACATATATACATACATATATATATATATGTACAAGTTTTTTTTACTTTCTTGTTTTTGTTCCTTCGTTCTTCGTCCTTTCCCCTCTACAGTGTCCCACGCATACAAAGATACACGGCGGCACCGACGAAAGCGACTCTGAGAATTCTGTAAAAATTCAAAATCAAATTTTTTTTTTAAAGTAAGCATTTAATTTTATTTCATGAACGTTTTTATTATACTCGACAGTACTTCCTGGTGTTGTAGTGATTACTTCTGTCTGTAAAAAGAATTCTATCTTATCAATCGCTGTTAGGCACGTAAAGTCTCACACACGGTGCCATTGCACTGCCGAATGGATCGTAACAGGAAAGCTATAAATACACACGCATCGCGGGGTAAACAAACTTGACCTCAGTGGAATTCTTATCGATGTATCTTCGTGTCGATGCAGTGTACACACAAATCTTTTGAGGTTATGTTTAACCATTCGAGGTTCGTTGTGTACTGTGTGCTGTCTGTCGAAGTCGAACCATTGGATGTAACAATAAAGTAATTAATGTTTCGTTTTCGGAGAAATGAAATCAATTATTTTTTAATAATAATTTATAAAAAAAAGCAAAACAAAAGTGTGTTTAATTATCATACGACTTATTGTATAATATTTCAGTATGATATGCTTTTTATTTATAAATAACACATAGATACATGTTTAATAATATCGCAAAAATATTCCATTGATATCGAATGTTTGAAGAGCTTTACGTACTCCACACTTTCACTGATCTAGAAAGCTGATATGTTAATTTATGTTAAATATTAATTTTATGATACTGGTTTAAATATTAAATAGCAACGTGAACGATTAAAAAGTTTGCGCGAATGAATAAATGAATGTTTAATTATTCCCCATTATGTTAAATTTTTTATTTTTGTGAACAAGGATGTATCGTAAAACTATTAGTTCAGTCGCAATTTTTCAATTTTCAATTGATCGATAATGACAATACAAGTATATTTGATAGACCAGAATTGTTAAGCTACGAAGAATATAGATGTGTCTGTGTTATAAACGTATGTTAAGATACAAGACACAAAACATATTATATTAATATTACATTTTACAATATATAACATGTTTAATATTATAGACTATTTGGCTTTGAACTTTACGGATTTCTTTCATATGCATTTAAAAAAATCATCAGTTCCCTTCACATTTAGCTATTAAACCACCTGATTTTACATGTAATAAATAGGTATTAAAGAAACACTGATGTAACGAGGTTATCTAGCGGATGAAATTCAAGCAAAATATAAACATTATTATTTACTTGCTGCAGGATATTGGCGCCTGTTTGTTATTGTCTGAACATTGTTGGAACACAATCGAATCGTAATACACAAAATTCAGAAGACACTGGAGCTTTCAATATTTGCTCCTCGATATTAAAGTATAGTTGAAAATGAAGTGGTCACCAGGTGCTTTGTTTTGTGAACAAGTCGGTGAACTCACTCGAGTTTTCTCACAATGGAACGAATGTGAACAAACAGTGGTACTATATGCGCTACTTCGTCGCATTCCTGCAGTTCAAGCAAGGTTTCTTGCACAAGCAGTGCAGCACTCGTTGCACTCTGTTTCCGAATTGGATACACAAGAATTAAATGCCAATAATCCAGGTAAGTCTTATTGATATTGTGATATTTAATTATTGATAGTATCGATAGTATGATATTTAATAAAAGAATTTTTGCAGCATTTATTAATTCTTTACTCTCAGAATCAACAGAAGTTGCTATTAATCAACTTCTAACACATTTGCCATTACTGAGGCCTGGGAATATAGAGTGCAAACAATGCTATTTAGTAGCTATACCAGAATTAGTAAGCCACTGTGTGACTACTGGACAATATACAGAACAAACTCAACAACTTTTAAGTTATTGTTTGATCCATCCAGCTATAACTAGTCAAGACAGACGTTCTTTAACTCAATGGCTACGACATCTTGAAGAACGTATTAGTGGTACACCACCGATACATAGCCTCGAGGAGTACACAAACACTACTATTAGGTGAGTAGTATGTAATACATATCATGGAAGACAACGATACATGCAACTGATTTAATTGAAATTATTATGTTTTAAAATATAGGTGGGACAATGCATGGCAACGAAATGCTAAACAACAGCAAAACGAGCAAACAAATTTGTTTGGTACACAACCAGGTACTGCCTTCAATTTGCAATTTCCTCCGCCTGTAACCCGCCAACGGCGATCAAATAGTCTAACACCGCCGGTTGCTCCTCCTCATCATTTAGAAGTTGTTGATCGTACTAACAATGTAAATTGTACAACGAGACACAAACCTCGAAGTTTTAGCGTCTCTGGAGATCATACAAGTTAGTTTAACAGTTTTACCTTGAACAGGCTGAATATTGATTATATTTTTATTTTGTTTTGAGTAACCATTGATTTCTAAACAGGCAATCTTATTGGATTAGGCCCTTTAAGTCCGCAGAGCTCTTGTGCAAGTAGCGGTAGCGAAGGACGTTTGGACGAAACATCTAATCGATCACTTGCTAGTGGTATGAGAGGTACGTGCTTATGTGTGTAGTTTTTTTTTCTGTTATAACTTGATAAATTTATAAGTTAATATCATGAGAAAGATAGTAACCTATTTGGTGTATCTTATTTTTATAGATGTTCCATCGTGGCTTAAAACTTTACGTCTTCATAAATACAGTTATCTATTTGTTACCCTCAGTTACGAAGAAATGCTTCAGTTGACGGAAGAACAATTAGCAGAGCAGGGTGTAACAAAAGGAGCCAGACACAAATTGGCCTTATCCATTGCTAAGTTGCAACAACGTTATTCGACGCTTTTAAATTTAGAAAAAGACTTGTTACAACCAACGCGCGATAATACACAGTCAACGTCATTTTTACAAGGACCAACTGTACTGGTCAATACAATCGATGAATTAAAAACAATCTTAGCCACACCTATGAAACCAAGCCAAGAAAATGATCCTCAGGACATACCTGCACAATTCACTAAGGTCCTTGGTAAATGTGAGTACGTTTTCATTAGCATGATGTTTCGAAACATAAGAAACCTATACATGTGTGTATATATATATATATGTACAGTCAATCACGAAAGTCTTCGTACACCGTTTAAAACAGAATACCACATTTAAAATTAGACCAAATGACTTGAGGCTTTTGGAGAAGCTATAAAAATTAATTTACTAAGATATGTACTTTTTCTGTTTTAAAAAATTACAATTTGTCGAAATCGTGAAAGGTAATTTTTCAACTTTTTTATGTGAGTCTATAATTCAAGATATAATTTAAGATTAAGAAAATTTAAAATATGTCTTTCGTAGATTCAAATAAGTTATGTGTATGCTGAAAATTTCAGAAAATCGCGACCTAAAAATTCACCTAAGAACGTGACTAGTTATGTTTTTAGATGAAAAATTGCGATTTTCGAAAATTTTAATTATTTGTAACTTCTAAGTGCATTGACCGATATCGATGAAATTTTCAGCATACACATAACTTATTTGAATCTACGAAAGACATATTTTAAATTTTCATTATAGACTCACATAAAAAAGTTGAAAAATTACCCTTCACTATTTTTTTTTTTTTTTTTTCACGATTTCGACAAACTGTAATTTTTTAAAACAGCAAAACTTAGTAAATTAATTTTTATAGCTTCTCCAAAAGCCTCAAATCATTTGGTCCAATTTTAAATGAGATATTCTGTTTTAAACGGTGTACGAAGACTCGTGATTGACTGTATATATATTATGTATATATGTATAGACAAAAAGTATGCAAAAATGTTAACACATTGTGTTTTGTTTATTTCTTAGTGTGTAGCAGATTGGCATTGGATAGCGTGGATGACGGTATTTTGTGCGCTTGTATTAACATATTAGAGAAAGTGTTGCAGCATGATTGCTTTACTCCAAATCAAAAAGAAAAGGTACAACAGTGGCGTAGCAGACTTGGAAATCCACGACCAACTCCAAAGTAAGAATTTAAAAAAAAAAAGAAAACAGAGAAAAGAACGATTTCCATGTTTTCTTTTACAATACTAGTAAATAAGGTACGAGGAAAACAATTAGGTATATAATTAATGTTTGTATAACTATAATTTCAGGTGGCAACATAATTATGGATACAATAGCAGAAGGTATTGTAATCCACAGCAGCACAATAGGAAGCCAAGTTTAAATTTAGGACATATTCACAATACACACCCACAAAACAACTCCTTTGTGGTTAGCACCCACAGAAATAGTATATCTACTCCATATTTGCAAAATAATCAGAACCAAAGTTTAAATCAGAATACTTTACGCCCGGTCCATGTAACCGAAAAACGACCTAGTTTACAAGAATCTAGTTTACAGGTATGTGTGAGACTTTTTAAAATGTTAAGCATTTGTGTCGAGAAAAAAGCAATCTATAAAATGATGTTTGTTCATTATTATAGCAATTACAAAGGACGTTACAACGTACGTACAGTGCGCCGAGGGATCATTTTCTTAGTCAAAGTGGTAACAATGCATCTGAAACAACAGAACCGGAAATCAACTCTCGTCTCGAATCTCTTTGTTTAAGAATGACAGAGCAAGCGATCGGTGGTTTCGGTGAGGCCTAATAATTTTATTTTCGTTGACTGGATCTACGCAGTAAGTCCTTTTAAAGAAAAAAGTAAAAAAAAAAAAAGAAAATTTCTAAATCGATACACACACTACGTATCCGAGCTCCGTTTTTCAATGCCGAAGGCAAGACTGACTTCCGTAGATCTTGCGAATGAAAAGTCCAACAGCTATGACAGTGCTGACAATTGCATGTATTCACGTGCACACATTCTCACGCTTTAATAGCCCTACCAAATGAAAAATGTCCGATATTTGAGACATTACCAAGGAAACTAACTTTACGACGTCTGAAACGACTCGTGAAAGAAAAGAAACAAAAAAAAGAAAACAAAAAAAAAAATATTTTTTATTATATCCGATGCAATTATACTATTTAATGAAACTGACAGAATTTGGCAAGCCAAATGCTATTAGGAAGATAGATTCTTTCCTTAACTATTTGCTGCATCTATATAAATGTATTATATAAAGAATATATATGTATACACATATGATAGAATTTTATGGGAAGCGGATATAAAATCATATAACGTATATTAGGAAAAAAGGGGATGAAAAAGGTACACCATTATTATCGTGCGATGTTTGCAATATTATTTTTCGTGTTATCCATTTCGGGAAATGGAATTCGTCTGATTTTAAGCGCCAGGACACATTATACTAATGTAATGTAATTCATTTTAATGAACTGACTGATTTTACTTCTTTTTAACATTATTATTATTATTACTATTATTATTATTATTCTACTCTTATCACCACCGCCGCTGTTGCTATTATCATTACTATTTTCTGTCTCTACTCTTCATATTGTTCCCATCGATGATGGGCTTTGCCATCATAATTATTCTCATTATCTTTAATGCTATTCACCATATTATTCTTGTCATCATCATCACCATCGTCTTCATTATATGTAATTATTACCGTGTAAATTCTAACTACAACTACCGCTGCTATTCGTTTTCTAGTACGACTAACAACCATGTATGCTTTTACGCTCTGTTACTTTTTTTTTTTTTTTTACCCTTGATCGTTACCGCTGTTTTTATTGTCACCATTCTGCTACTATTGCTATTTACTATTACCACTATACTACTACTAGAAGCTCCAGACTATTACTACTACGAGCAATTGTAATAATTATTAATTAGACTATTTCCACTGTCGCGGTATTATTACTGTAATTCTTCTTAGAGAAGGAAAGGCATACTTAAAAGAAAGATTTGTCACCAGTTCGTGATGACGCGTTAGATAAAAAGGAAAGAAAGAAACAGTAACGTAAGAGGTTTTCAATTCGTATCTGCTATGCTCGGAAATGAAAGCACATCGTGATGTGTATGCTTTGTAGTTTGCGCACAGATCTCGTGATTTTTTTATACTCATATGTAAGGGAGTAATAAGAACGAAGGGAATGAAGAAAATGAAAAGAAAAACATACGGTGAGATTATACAATAATGGATTTTAAAGGCCTTAAAGGGTGTATCGAGCAAATGCATAAAAAAAAGAGGGGTATAAGACTAATTACTATATGTATACACGTAGCGAACACGTCGAGATAGAAAGTGGGGGAAAAAACGCGATATATAAATTGCATCATACTTTTATGATGCGACATCGAAATCTGTGGCTTTAAATTATAAGCATACATCATACTACCCTAAACATACATACATACATACGTATGCACTTATTAAGCATCTTTTAAACATTGCGAATAAACGTAGCATAATATTTTTTCGTGCAAGAAAAAAAAAAGTCATGAAGAAAATTGTGGTAAAACGAAAGAGGAAGGTTAAATTTTCGTAATTAAATATAGTACTAGCGATAAACTAATAACGTATCGATAAATAACATACGAAACAAACAGCAACAAAAGAAAAAAAAATGAAAAAAAAAAACAATGATATATACAAACGAAAGACTGAACAATTCACGCGCCGTGAGAGCGTTGAGCGGTGAATTTTGAACGTTTCGCATTCGTTTATGTATCTTCGAACGAGACAGCTACACGGCCGCGTGAATGAAAAACAATTGGAAGACTGCGGAAGGAAGAAACCTGTCAAAATATTAAGAAATTAGCGAAAAGTGAACGAAAGTGAGGGAGAGAGTGAAAGCGAGAGTGAGAGATGGCATTCGAGAGTTAATTACGAGAGTAATTGCTAGTTGTATATCTAGGTTGTAACGATTTATTCTAACGATTATAATAATCTTACTGGGACGATAAATTTACGTAATGGCGTGCGGTGATTTTTTTTTTTTTTTTCGACTAATTAGCCTGTTCGAGGGAGAAGAATTTGTTTAAACGTGAATAGATAGACCGAGCGGAATAACGATATCTTGCGGTGATCATTTGTTCCACCATTTTCTACAAGGCGACAAAACTAATTTTCATACATGCATAATTGCTAGCACGCATGCGCTTGCGTCAACACTCACTCATGCCCATGCACGTATCAACGAAAGCGTGTATTACTAGGGGTCGGCGTCAGGGTGATTTTTAAGAACGATGCGATGTTTTATATAACTTAATAAACAAGGATGACGTGTTGTATTTTTGATTTTTAATCTAAAAAGTAACATAGAACGTAACTACGAATTAGGTCGAAAATTATATTATTTGATTTGGAAAAAATAAAATCAAGCGGTCCATCGTGGAGAAATTTTCAATCGACTGCCGATAACGAATGTGTTAAGATAAATGATAAGATAGAAAAATTCGTGTTCAAAGTATCTTTAATGCCTATTTGACCATTTAATACCGGTTTTGAGCCCGGTGTAACAGGAGCAACGATGATACAAGGTCGTAAAATGAAATCATGAAAAGGTGACGATTCAGGGATCCTTTGTACGGTCCTGGTTTTAGGTTTTAGATCCTTACACGTACCTCTCTAACGAGCTTTCGGAATAGAATTTTGGGTACTTTAACCGCTTCAGCGATTCTACAATCTCTCAAGATTGTCGTCTTCAAACCGCGTAATACTAAGCAGCTCAGTTTAAAAGTGTTAAGGTTCAGCTTAACACTTTTCATTTACAGCCACAGTAGTGTTAAAAAATTCCCTGAAGACCTCTACATCAAAGGGAAAAGTTCTGTAGCGAAAAGCGAAAAATCGAAGGGAACTGAAAAACGAACTGAAAAAATGAAAAATCGAAGGGAAAAGTTCTGTAGCATTTTTCGATGGGATCAGTAGTTTAGCCACGTTTCTTTGTTGAAAATTGAAAAATTGACCAATCAGCGTGCAGTTTGAGCGGCACGACGCGCGGAGTAGGGGACTACGCGGAATCGGTAGTCTCCGTTTGCTTGCTCCGCCGTCGCACCTCGATTCGGGGCGTGGCTCAGCGGCGGCAGAGGAGGGGCTAGTCCCCTACTTCGCGGGTCTTGCCACTCAAGCTGCGCGCTGATTGGTCCATTTTCAACAACGAAACCTGGCTAAACTATTGACCCCATCGAAAAATGCTTCAGAACTTTTCGCTTCGATTTTTCATGATCTATCCAACGGTGTAGAGGTATTCAGGGAATTTTTATAACACCCTGTATATTATCAAAATCAGAGTATAACCCAGTGATGATAACTAAATTCGAATCTGCTACTTTTTTTTCTATTTTATTTTATTTGAATGAAGGATAAAATTAAATTTGAAAAAAGGTAAGAGCTTTAAAGTCCAAATCTTATTTTATCGACGAATAGAATAAGATAGAAGACGGTGATTTTAATTCATGTCTAAATGGTTAAGTAGATATTAAAAGGTTTGTTTCTGTGTATGTTTCCTAGCGTAAGTAGCGAATTGTTTAAAAAAATATTTGAGACCAAGATTTCTAGAGGGAAAGACTGTCAGATGATCGGTTGTCGCCATATTGGAAAACAGATTTTTCTTTGCACACGACTTCAAATCTCTGCGAAAAAAAAAACGACAAACTGTATTTCTTTTTTCAACATCTTCACGCATTGCCCTAATGTCCGCCCCTGATACACACTAACACACATGCAAAGTGAAAAGGGAAACCCACAGAGAGTAGGTTGTTCGACTAGAACCTGAAGAATGATTTTGTACACACACACACACACACACACACGCGCGCGCGCGTACACACAATTTCACAAGAAACGGTCAAAAGCTAGTCAAACAAATACAATTTCTAATTTCTACCACTCTTTAAATGTGTATAGATATTATTTGTACATTAATTATGCGCGATTAACGTAAAAAGGAAAATGAAAAATAAAAGGAAAGCAAGAGAGTACGAAGAGAAGAAATAGAAGGAAACAAAAACGAGTAGAAAGAGGAAAGGAAAGAAGAAAAAATGTAAGACGACACTTTTACGTCACGCGCGTAAAAAAATAATAATAATAAAAAAAAGAAAGTTGAAAGACTGCTTCCAAACGGCTTCAGGAAATTCGTTCATCGTAAAATTATTTGCGTACTGAAACGCAGTATCTAAATAAATATGCGATCGATTAAAAAGATAGAAAAAAAGGGCAGGACCTGAACTGAAGAAACGCAAAGAAATATTAACCGCATACGAAGCGTACGTGTACGATGTAGTAGCAAAGAAAAAAGAAAAAAAGAAAATGTACATATACATATAACGGGAGCGTGATTCTGCCAAAGATCGATGGCCGCTGAGACGATGAAGAAGAAGCAAAAAAATTTTGCTAATTTTAATTAAGACGATCATATAGAAATAATCGTTTGGGAAACGTTGTACTTACACTGTGGTTATAGCGAATTTCACTGGAACGTGTTTCGACTCGGTCGTAATTATCCGAAAAATTCAGTCATGAGGAAAGAGAAAATACGATTCTGATTACGCGGTATGTCGTTTACTTTCGGCAGAAACACTGCTTATATTGCGATTTGATCGCATCGAATGGATAAGAAAGAGTTAAAATAATAAGTTACCGGTGAAATTTTGGAAATTCGCGTGCAAACTATTCTCTTGAAAGATTACTCATTTCTAATGCTTTTTTATTATTTGGAAATTTTCTAAATGACAGAAATAATATACAGGGTGTTCCAGAACTACCGTTGGCCCCTTGAAGGGGTGGTAGCTGGGGTGATCCTGAACAACATTTTCCTTTGGCGAAATGTTGTTTAAAGCTTCGTTTTTGAATTATCAACGAAAAACATTGGACCAATCCGAGCGCGTATAGCGCGCGGGCTCAGGGACGGCAGTGTCGGCTACGAAAATCGGGTCTGTCGTATACTCCGTTCAACGGGACGAGTCATTAATTGTAAGTGTATAAACACGTGCACGTGAGCAGGGCAGGGCCGACTTACGGGTTCCGAATCCCCACATCACATCGAAAGATAAGTCTGACCTTGCATGCAAGAGCCCTCGGCAAGAGACCACCATAACTTGGCCCTGAGTTGTAACATGTGACAGCCAATGACCGCACTCGCAGAGCCGATCACGTGAAAAGCAAGGGAGTTGTTTGCTTTTTAGTGACTCGGCTCGTTGAACGGAGTATAGGTCGCGAACGAACACTAGTTAGCCGACACTAGTTTTTCGTTAATAATTCAAAAACGAAGCTTCAAACAACATTTTGCCAAAGGAAAATGTTGTTCAGAATCACCCCAGCTACCACCCCTTCAAGGGGCCAACGTTAGTTCTGGAACACCTTGTATATGTAATGTATTTTCCAGTTGGTAGATTGAACGAACTATTCATTTTAATTTTTCTAAGATCGATACTTTAATTGTCGCGTTAAAAAGTCGTAAATATAATTAATTTCGTTTCGCAGAAAGGAGAGTTTACGAAATTCAAAGATTTTTTGCGGGGTAATCTAAATTTCTATAGAATGATAAATTTAACCGCGGATTCATATCGGCGATGCGATCTATTATCCATTCGTTGTTTCGCTTCAAATCCGCTTTAGAGAAGAATTTGTACTACGATGGACGAGTAAAGTTGTTAGAACGCTACTATTATAGCATAGAAGATATCCTGTTTGGCCGGATGCTTGTGTTTCGATCACTACTTTTCAACATGTAAGTAGGTAATATGTGCGTTTTGTATTTTCGAGTAGCGTGAAACGTGTGTAGCGATTCGTTCCGACGGAATATAATTAACACGCTAAATGCCGTTCATTGGGACACCGATAACCAACGTTACAAATTAAATTTAATTGAATAACTAACGATCGAGAAGAAGATTAAAAAGCGAATTTTAAGTAACATTATGTAATATTATCAAGTGAAAGCTTCAAATTTTTATACATCCTATCAAGTACTAATTTACAATTCAAAAAAATTAATGTTCCACTTTTTGCTTTTGAATATAATTGAATTAGTAAAATACTTCACAAAATGAAACGATCGTATTTTGAATAATTGCGCTTATAGCGTGCTGTGTTATATACGCCCGTTTTTATTACGGCATTTAACGTGTTTAAGGAGGAGAAATATAATACATGTATGTATATCAGCCAACGACGTGTATTAAGCAAGTTTCCGGCCGAAAGCGTTATTGACGATATGTAAGCCCAGGTAGCAACATCCGTCGACTGATTTACACTTTCTTTTGTCGACGAGCTAGAAGAAAAATTAGGAAGTTTATTAGGTACGTTTTCGTGAAAGCGAACTGAAACAGACTCGGTTAGAACAAACAAAGAAACGGAGATTTGTGTAATCGTGTACGCGGAACTTGCCTTCATTTTCCCAAAGAAGAGACAGTTTTTCTGCTCTTTCTAAGGCGTGCTTTGGTTGGCAAACGCGAGTACTACTCTGTGTAACTTGAATGTAAGGTAATGAAAGTGTACTGATCACGTAAGTTCATGATACTGTCTCTGTAATCTTTGTAATTTAGTCGTTTTTCTATTATCACACCGAACAACAAACGTTAAACCCTTTCATTGTCAGTGCTTTCAGTTCTTTTAGTTCTTATCATATTCAGGATGAATTAATGACTGTCTTGAAATGCAGAGAAACGCGAAAGGGAAATAGAATAATTTAGAAACGCTACTTTTGACGATAGATAATTATTGTGTGAATTTTCATCGAGAAAGGAACAGAAGAAGAATTAATTGAGACCCTAGTATATTGCGTTGTCGCCAAAGAATGCCTCTGCTACACAGCGCCTTCTGTTATTAATTAAGAGACGTAGCTTTTGAATTGTCAGATTGCTAACTGGGATATTTTAATTACGTAAGCTGGATAACTTGTAAAAATGCAATTTTTGTACTGTTATAACGTTAAATAGACGAAGGTATACTGACGTTGTAGCGTGAAAGAACATTTTTCAATAAAAAATTTTTCATACACAGACCGGTTTGTTCGATGGCTTTATGTGATATTTATTAATTATTAATGTGTATTAATTGTACTTACGTATATACATACATACATAGAAACTTTGCATATCAAATGATCGATTTTAAGAAAGTCGGATCGACTCATTGCTACATTACCCATTGAACACGTTGGTGCCTTTTTTAACCGTAGCTGGTATTTTACCGGTAGACCTTAATCGGTATTTTACCGGTAGATCTTAGTCGGTATTTTACCGACAGAACTTAATCGGTATTTTATCGACAAAACTCTACCGATACTTTATTTACAGAGTTGGTTGTTTTATCACAGCCGAGATTAACCGTAATTGTATGCACTTGGCAATAACAAAAAGCGAGAAGCAAGCATTGGTGATTTTAAATTCAGCCGAGATGTACGAAATACATACTTACTTACGTATCTACATGCATCATTTTTACTACGTTTTTATTATTCTTACCTATAGCAACGTCGATATCTCAGATTGTAAAACCTAATGTTCCCATAAGATGATGAGTCTATTCCATACCTCATTCGTGTTACGACATGACAATAATCAGAAGCAACTTCACGATGGTGTGCTGTCGAAGAAATGGCGGAGTGTTTTTGCATGGGGGGAGTTGTAAAAATTTAAGCGTGAGGCATGTGGGTGTTGTGACGATTCACGAGCAAGTAGTCAATTAAACGCTTCTTTCGGCATGAGCGACCACTTCTGGGAACCTTTAGCCGAAGTGTACATCGCGGAGCAGGCCGAGTCCCCTAATCCTGATAGTTACATTTATTGTCTTTGCAGCAGAGTATTCGTTCGGTAAATACATTTGCGAAATATGAGTCTTTTATTTCATCAAATGTTGTAATATAAGTCTTCCAATCTGTATTCACAGTAATTTCATTGTTTTTTTAAGAAATAGAGGATCTTGAACATTTATCGATCAGTGGTGTGACACATGACCTAACCTTGACACCCACTCGAATGCATTAGGTCACAATATTTTTTACAGCCTTAAAAAGAAAAACAGTTTTCTTCGTTGAAAGTACGTCGAACGTACGCTAACATTTCTTCTTCGAGAGTTATTCCACGACGGAAGTGATTAATAAACGTGCTTCTTTGTTCTTTTCTCACTCAATTTCACGAAACATTATCGCATAAACATAATCATAACATGTGTAGATACCACGTGGAAATTAGTAAAAATAAGAAATAAAATGTAGCGTCTTGTTCACTTTCTAATTTTTGCACAATTATGACGAAACTATGAAATCTAAAGATATAACTGTATAACAAACAAACATATCAAAATAATACAGTGATATATATATATATTTTTTTTTCTTGTTTTTTCTTTAGAAATCCAGAGGTTTACACGGTCCTTGCTTTAGAAGATGCAAGTGAAGGTGAAGATGTTGAAGGCGATTGTATCGGAGAAATGTTAGATCTTCACAAAAGGTCTATCATAGAAACACAATCCATCGAGAAACACGATGTAAGAATATTTTTCATTTTTATTGTGATATTATAATAGTATACGTACCGTTCAGCATTCGAACAAGCAAATATCCTTTCCTCTCTTCTAATCAGGAAGAACCGGTGAGCTGTTATTGCAGCGCATCGCACACAGACAACAATTATTCCACGGATGAACATGACTCTGTTCGTGATTCGGCTCATCGTCCTGCTACACATTCCCTCACGCAAAAATTGGGTCTGCACCAATCGGACTCAGGTGCAGACCTCTCCGAATACCATGATCAACACGAGGCTAAGAGCATACAAAACCTGTTGGCATCGTATGGAAAAACTTTTCAAACCGCAGAAACTGAAGCAGGTGATGGATATGAGAAAGTGAATGTATTCGCACAGCACCAACAAGAGAAGGGCTTCGAATTCGAATCGAATACATTGAATATTCATCCGTTAGATCCTGATCTTGCAGACGGCATTGAAGTTTTTAGTTACGATTCATCCCATGTTAACGAAAAGAAGTTTCACGTAGAAAATCCTTCTTTTACCTTAGGTGATAAAAATCCTGAGATACATAGCATATCGAAAAATGTTTCGTTAAGTAACACACAGGCTCGTAACGATGATGTATTTACATACAACGGTGACCGTAGTTCTAACGTTTATCCATATTATTCTATGTATTCGAAAACCAAGAGTGTAATGAACATGGCATGGGACAGGTATTGGTCTGACAACGGTGAACATTTAATTTGGACATCTTGGATCGCAAAGTATGCGGATTACATAAATCCAGAATACTTACAACACAATGCTCATTTAAACGACGAAAGACTGGTAATGAATGAACGTGTAGAGAGATTTTCGGAACAAAATACTTGTTTTCCTAATCAAGCGCACATAAACTGTGAACTTGATCGCTCAAATTTTGAAGGAATATTTAGTAAAAATAACTTTACTGGTGATGCTGAAATGAAAGCAAAAGACACGTGCAACGTTAATTTCTCGTTTGACGATATAAATAAGCAAGAAGTAAACGACATGGACGCGGAGGAGAATAGGATAAAATTGTTAAATCTTGAAAATTCCCCAGAAACTGGCGACGGATGGAATCCATTGAGTCCATTTAGTCTAGAAGAAAGCTACAACCAACAATCTAACGCTGAGGATGAACGACTTTTAACAAGATGCGATTCGATCAATGAGTCAATAGCAAAGACAAACGCAACATCAGACTCCATGACGAACGTTACAAAAATGACTCTTACTAGTTCTAGTTGCGACTCTATTTCTATTCACTCGTCTAGTTTCATCAGTTCTGTAACCAGTTCCATCGAAAGCAATATAACAAGTACCAGTTCCGATCAAGACAATGAATACATTTCGGAAGACAATGACAGATATTGGCAGCATTTGTGGAAAGAAAATTTTCAAATAGAGTACCAAAAGCATTACGAATTATTTATGGAATGGTATAAAAGGGAGCAGTCTGAAATTAATGGCCAACTTTACGATGAACAGTATAATAAAGAAATCATAAAGGGCGAAGAAAGCGATGAAAGTATAAACCAAAATTTTATACAAAGAGGAAACGATACTTCCATTAAACTTAACCTATCCGAAAATAAAAATGCGTCTAACAAGAGTGTGACGTATTTAAAGAGAGAAAAGACTAAAAAGAAACGATTAATTATCGAATCGGTAGGAATGCTCATGCAAAATTTAACAATGAAATCAGAGGATAATGAATCTGTTGTAGATGAAAACGAGACAGCCGAACAAGTAGAACATTCACGAAATGATAAACGCGAAGATGATACTGCGGTTACGCGAAATGAAAGTAGTATAATTATTTCTAATAACGTTAGCGGTGGTAATGTTCAACGTAAATGTTCCAACGAGGGGGACGGAGACAAACCCAACGAAGATAAACCCGTAACGTTGAAACGAAGGTATTACATATTATTTTCATTACGACGGCGATGCCTTTGAAATCGACGGACAGTACCCTATACCTCGTAGAGAAACGCATTATTCCCAGATATCGTGCAACACGAGACACCTCGTGACTTTCTACGATCTTTTATCTTTAGTGTATCACAAAGTATTTATACTGGGTGTTAAAAAATTCTCTGAAGATTTCTACACCGTTGGATAGATCACGAAAAATTGAAGCGAAAAGTTTTGTATCATTTTTCGATGGGATCAGTGGTTTAGCCACATTTAGTTGTTGAAAATTGACCAATCAGCGCGCAGCTTGAGTGGCAAGACGCGCGGAGTGGGGGACTAGCCCCTCCTCTACCGCCGCTGAGCCACGCCCAGAGTCGAGGTGCGACGGCGGAGCAAGCAAACGGACACTCCCCTATTCCGCGCGTCGTGCCGCTTAAGCTGCGCGCTAATTGGTCAATTTTCAACAATGAAATGTGGCTAAACCACTGATCCCATCGAAAAATGCTACAGAACTTTTCGCTTCGATTTTTCGTGATCTATCCAACGGTGTAGAGCAGAGCTCGGCAAGATTTGCACTTTTCGCCCGATTTTCAGTTGGTTCCGCCTATCGCTATTCCCCTTGCCCCGAAGTTCCTCGTGCAGCCGACGAACCGTTCGAGGCTCAGGAGCGCATCACTCGTAAACGTATGCTGGCAATAGCTTTCCACATCACCCGCGAGATATTATTGTCGATGCTTTTTTTTTAAGTGGTATCCCCAGTAGTCCTAATCCCACTGATGACTTAAAGAACCCTTTAACTAAATGGAAACAAAATTAAATAAGAAAGGACGATAATTTAGAGCAGCTTTTGGGATTTTTTAGAAGGAAGATCAGAAACATCGATTTGCATATTGCACGTAGCAAGCCGCATAAGACGCAGTGCAATATGCAAATAGATGTTTCTGATCTTCCTCCTAAAAAATCCCAAAAGCTGCTCTAAATTATCGTCCTTTCTTATTTAATTTTGTTTCCACTTATACCACTAAAAAAAAAACGCATCGACAATAATATCTCGCGGGTGATGTGGAAAGCTATTGCCAGCATACGTTTATAAGTGTTACGCTCCTGAGCCTCGAACGGTTCGTCGGCTATGCGAGGAACGTCGTGGCAAGGGGAATAGCGATAGGCGGAGCCAGCTGAAAATCGGGCGAAAAGTGCAAATCTTGTCGAGCTCTAGTGTAGAGGTCTTCGAGGAATTTTTTAACACCCTGTATGTATTTTATTTTAGCCATGAGGCGGATTACGACGATACAGGAGAGGGTCTAGAAACGGTAAAAAAAGCATTTTCGTTAATGGGTTATACGTTCAATGAAAATGAGAAACAGTCGAAATTGCAAGGAGAAGTAGTATACAGGAAAAGAAATATTAGATTACAAAATAGACAATTAAAAATGAAACTCTCTAGACCTAAACCTACGACCAAACATATTTACTTTGATGATAACGGAGTGGAAATTACTAATACTATAGACAAGGTAAAAAAAAGAAAAGTAAATGAAAATATTTTGATAAATTCATTTTTATTAATTCTGTTTATTTGTTACAGGTAAAACAATATTTATCGTATTGTCCAGTTTTACCATCGGCGGAAACGGAATTACAACCCTCTGAAAAAGGTTCCTACACAGCACAATTTACATCAAGTTCTGATGACGAATGTGATCCTAGCCTTAAGATAAAATTGCAAAAACGACTTGTATTTAGTAAACCGAGTACAAGTTCAATAGAATCAGGGATAGACAGAAAGCAAATAGATGATACAAACGATGTTTTTAATATATCCAATAATCAAGATAATGTTTTTAAAAGTATCGAAATGGATAAGATACAGTTTGACCAAAATAAAGCAAGCAATTCTACAAAGTTTATGTCGGAAGAAAAATTTCCTGAAAAAGATGACGAGAACTTTAATGTATTAAATGACGATATGGATGTAGACGAAAAGTATAATTACAACGAAATACAAACTATGAAGTTATCCGACGAAGATAGTGTAAAAAGGACGCAAAAGAAGAAAAAAAGGAAACAATCTAAGAGAAATATAAGCCTTCCGGCAGAAATAGACAATGATAAGTCTTTGTTGAAATATTGGTTAAAAAGGTATCGCTTATTTAGCAAGTTTGATCAAGGCGTTAAATTGGATCGTGGTATGTCTTTTTTTATGCTATTTTTATATACAGGGTGTCTCGTAACTCGCGCAATTCCCGGAAATGGGGGGTTGCTGGGATGATTCTGAACAACTTTTTCCTTTACCAAAATGTCATTTGAACCTTCGTTTTTGAGTTATTAACGAAAAACACTGGCCAATCAGAACGCGCGCTGAACCACGAGAGCATTGACCCTCAACCGCGCTCGGCCTTGGTTGTGAACAAACGCATTGGCAGGGCCGGCTCTGAGATTTCGGGGCCCGAGACGAGCTCTAAAAAAGGGCTCCTTCACATATGACATAAAAAAAAGTACCTCAAATAAAATTTATAAAATTAACATTAAAGCTTGTATAACTAATTTAGAGTTGCATTTACATCGATAAAAATTCAAGTAAACATTACTCTTCTTGCATTCTTATTGTTAGATACAAAATCGTCCTCTGGGGACCCTAGGCGACCGCCTAGTCTGCCTGGGCCCAGGGCCGGCCCTGCGCATTGGCACAGCGTGGATTATTCATAAATACCAAATAATTCCACATTGTTCTTAATTTAAAACGAAGTAACGTTTGTCGTCACGTTTCCCCCGCTCCCACGTTGTTTCAATGCGTTTGTTCACGATTACGACCGAGCGCGGCCGAGAGCCAACGCTCTCATTGGTCGAGCACGCGCTCTACGCGCGCTCTCATTGGCCAGTGATTTTCGATAATAATTCAAAAACGAAGCTTCAACCATCATTTTGGTAAAGGAAAAAGTTGTTCGGAATCATCCCAGCAACCCTACATTTCCGGGTGTTACGGGAGTTATGAGACAGCTTGTATAACGTTGCAAATTCTTCATTTTAAAATTATTTATTAACATACGCTCTGCGCGTTTCAATTATAATTTGTGTAACAAAATTTTTTTTTCCAGAGAGCTGGTTTTCTGTAACACCTGAAAAAATTGCTGAACATATAGCGCAAAGATGCAAATGCGATACGATAATTGATGCATTTTGTGGCGCTGGAGGAAATGCCATTCAGTTTGCTTTTACGTGTGAAAGAGGTGCGTGTTTCTTTATATGGAAATTATATACGTGTACAATTAAAATTTGTAACATTTTTTTTCTATAGTGCTTGCAATAGATATAGATCCGATTAAGATCGAACTTGCTCGAAACAATGCGCGAGTTTACGGTGTTGACGACAGAATAGAGTTTATCGTCGGAGATTTCCTTAAGCTCGCACCAAAGTTAGTTGCGGATGTTGTATTTCTAAGCCCTCCGTGGGGAGGACCTGGATATAACAAAAACGAAACTTTTGATCTCAATAACATTATGCATCCCATTGGTGGAACAAATGTATTTAAAATAGCAAAAGGAATCACAGATCACGTGGCCTACTTTCTACCTAGAAATGTAGATACTATGCAGGTAAAATTTCCCTCTCTAACAAGATTCGAAAATGTCTCGACTTCGATATGTTAACACTAGGTTTACAGACATTTTTGTATACCTATCTTTACGGACACCCGTCAAATTGACGGGTAAAGGAAACCACGTATTTTCTTTAAAAAAAACGATTAATTTAATTTAAAAACAAATACCATCTTACAGACTCAATATATGTTAATTAAATTTGATAGGATTGTATAAATAATCGTTTCTTAGTCTTGGACCTAACGCTTTGTGTTTACGCTTTAGGCCCGTACGATTGATAGAAAGCACACGTGACAAATCCCTTGCTCTGGTGAACCGCGGCGTGTTAATATTGGGTTCGAAACCATCGAAGGATATCTCCGTTGAATTATGATTTTTATTTAGTATCTACGTTCTAACTACTTTTACATTTGTCACCAGAAAAATTATTTCATGAAAAAAAGGCTTATTACGATTAAATATGTAACTAGCTTACCCGTCATTTTGACAGGTAATTCTAAAATTACAGAGCTAGGGGAAATCAATTTGGGTATATATTCGTCTCATTACACTAATAATTGTCAGCATGAATTGGAAAAAAATAATAGTAATGGTTTTTGTAATTTTGCTCGTGAAGTCCGAAATCCGTCAAAATGACGGGTCCCGTAAACCTAGTGTTAATCTTGTCATAAATCGCTTTATCTTATTTTTTTTTTTTTTTTTTTCCTTTTTTATACGAGCATGCGACTGTTATGTACATATATGTACACATTTATACAAATTTACAGCTTGCCATGTTAGCCGGAGTAGGTGGTGGTGTAGAAGTGGAACAAAACTTCCTTGACAGAAAGTTAGTAGCTATAATGGCTTATTATGGTGAACTGCCCAGGGACTGTTAGTTGTGATACGATGTGTAATTTCAGAGAAGATCCACATCGGTTCGCTTGAAAAATAAAAAGGTACTTCTCACATTTCTCGAATCATTAGCTGTAAATAATAATTCGTATCAATTTGCTTAGGCTACTCCGAAGAGAAAACGGTATTTTTTATTTCGCTTAATGTTTTCTTACTGAATGGATATAAAAAGACAAACTACTATATCGTATAATTTACAGGTATATTTTTTAATCTTTCTGTTATTTTGTCTTTCTCTTCTTTTTCTCTATTTTAAATATGTTTGTATCTCCAGTAGTTACCATTTTCACAAATCTTGCACTTAAGCAAATTGATACCAAAAATTTCAATTTGTGGGGACATGTTTGTGAAACTCAGCAATTAATATGTGAACGTTTAAGAAAAAAAAAATTTTAAATTCATTCTTCCATAGTAATAAGCGTTATTTTTACCTAATTTAAGTCAGAAACACTAGAAAACTTCTCTTTAATCCATCGTGTAAAATATTATTTTAATCTTACTGTGAAACATACGAGATATTGTAATTTACATTTTACTACATTTTCCAAACTATTATTTTACAATTTTTATGTACACTTCTACTAATTTCCTATTAATTATCAATAAATACATTTAAAATACAAAAAACGTGTTCTTCTAATATATGATACATAAATTGTGTAACAAAATTAATATTAAAAAAGAAAAAAATTATTTTAATTTCGTACAATATGAATTATGATAGATCAAAATAAAATTTCTTTTTTTTGTTTGGAATTAATGTGAACGTAAAGCTATTACTTCAGTGAAATAATTAAAAATCTTTTATTTCCTCTTAACATTTTCCCGTTTTCTTCTCTTTTCTGTTCTAAACAATATACAAAAACTGTTCGACCGTTTTAAACAGAACATTTGGCGTATCAAACTTTTCGTCGTAAACGTGATAAACAGTCCCAAAAATATTATCACAATTTCTGTTCCTTTCTTTCTTTCTTTCTTTCTTTCTTTTAATTAGAACGTTAATCCTAACTTTTTGTTAAAAAAGAACAAATTGATTCGTACGATCTAAGTAACGCGTGACTAGTATCTTTTCATTTACTTTTGAAATGTTGACTTCTGGTATTTCTAATTGTACAGAAATATCTTTCCGAGTAACCTAACTGTTTATATTTTTTTTTTTCACGTATCAACATTAATTGTTGTTACACCCGATTCCTCGGGTTCCGCGGGTATAGTTATACCACCGGTATCTATACTTTCTTCTTCTTCTCTTGGAATCTTTAAAAAACAATGCATCGTTTCCTCGTCTTCTTGCTCGATCGTTGACGAATCATTCTTAGATTCGCTTTCTCTCGTTGGCAGTGAACCCTCAAGGTGTTTCGATGGTATTTGTATTGTGATTGTTTGCGACGTACCATCTGCAGACGTTGAGGAAGACATTAGGTTTGCTTCTAAAGTATCCCCTACTTTTGAAAAAGCCCCTAAACAACTGTAGATCAATTGTGCCGCTGCGATATTACCAGGAAAAACTTCGACGTTCTCGCCATCTGAAGAAAATAACGTTACAGTTGCATATAATATGCACTGATAATACACTAAATACATAGCAGTCGAAACTCCCTCTTACCTTTTTTCTGCACATTTGCTTTAATCAATCCTTTTTCATGATCTCTTATGTGCTGTATGTAACTTTCATTTTTAACAGTCTTAAATGGACACAGATCGCATGTAAATAAACCAGATAACAAAGGATGCCTGGACTTTAAATGATTTTTATAGCTACTACTTTGTATTGCAGTGTACGAGCAATGCGGGCATTTATAAGGTCTGAATCCTACAATGATTATTTAAACTTGTAGCAGCGTTAAATAGGTGGATATACAGTATTGCCTTGAAATAAGCAACTCGCTATCTCCTCTTCTTTGTTTGAAGTCGCTTCAGGGCCGGCCCTGAGCCAAGGCAGACTAGACGACCGCCAAGGACCCCCCAAGGTCCAGGACCCCCATAAGACAATTTTGCGTCTAAGAATGCAAGAAGAGTAAATAATGTTTACTTGAATATTAATCGATGCAAATGCAAATCTAAATTAGTTATACAAGCTTTAATGTTAATTTTATAAATTTTATTTGAGCTACTTTTTTTTATGTCATATATGTATCTGAAGCTCGCCTCGGAACCCCGAAATCTCAGGGCCCGCTCTGGTCATCTTCTATCCTTTATAAAAAAACAAATTCGCTTGTTCGACCGATTATTTTATAGCGTGCCGCTCGGTCCCGATTCGAGAAGAAAGTCAAGCCGAATAGCATACCTGCTCCGTAATAAGTTGCTTATTTTAAGGCAGTACTGTATTATCGTTACTTCTCATTTGTACACACCTGTATGTTGCATGATGTGACGGCGCAACGTGTTGTGATCCCCGGTTTTGTATTCGCAAAGTTCACAACTGAATGGTTTATCGCCGGTATGTTGACGTAAATGCATTTGCAACATAGCTTTTCGAGCACTAGAATGCCCGCAAACATTGCAAACGTACGGTCGCAGTTTCGAATGTACCGCTTGAATATGACTTTTTAAACACTTCGAATTGGCGTAAGTTTTTCCGCACATATCACATTTTTTGGAAGTATACCAACGCGTTACTTCCAGTGTCTTACGATCTAAATGCATGACTCTGTGATTACGCAATTGACTGGCTTGTTTAAAGCATTTACCACATTCTGAACATTCGTATTCCCGAGTTTCACTGTGTACTCGCATGTGGGTCAGAAGTTTCACCATCGTTGCACTTTTGTACGCTTTGCATATTTTGCAAGTGAACAGACCTATGTCTAAGAAAAACATTTTCATTTATTAAAATGAATTTTAAGAAATATTATCGATTGGAAACATCGATATCCAAATACCAACCGATCTGATGCTTCTTCCAAAGATGCAAACTACATTGTCTCCATTTGGTAAATTTAGTATCACGACAAACGGTACATTTAAATGCTGTCCCATTTTGTGATTCTGTATGACAAACTGCATGCTGTTGCATCGTTTCCTCTGTGGAGAATTTGTAAGGGCATCCTCGATACGAACACCTTAGAAAATGCGTTACTTATGAACGAGCGAGAAAGGGTTATCCAAATTGAGTGTCACATCTTCAAATTGAAATAAAACGCAAAGTATGTGATTTTTGTATGGTTCCTTTATTTTAACACAAAGTATGACATTAATTATCAAAGACAATATTATTCAAATGTCCTCCTCGGCTTTTTTCACGAGCCCGATGCGTTTCACCCAATTATCCATTATATTTTCATAGAACTGGAATTCAATTTCATCAATGGGAACTGTAATTTTCTTTCTCAGCTCCTTAATAGTCTTTGGATTATTGATGTCAACTTCACTTTCCAAAAATCCCATAAAAAAGGTCTAATGGTGTTAAATCACCCGCTCTTGGTGACAATTGATGTCTCCTCCTCGTGAAAAATTACTCGCCCATTAAGTTTGGTCAAACGTATCAAGCTCGCAAAACACAGCGAAGAAGGACCGTTGAACGATATTGTCTTTCATAATTAATGTCATAAAATAGACTTTGTATTAAAATAAAGAAACCATACAAACCATCAAATACTTTGCGTTTTATTTCAATTTGTAGATGTGACACTCAATTTGGATAACCCTATACATAGCTAAATCCTCACACGTTTTATAATAAATAATTCACATACTTGACATTCCTTTCCATCAATTCGATCATCTTTTTATTGAGCATATATTCAGAATTTAAAGGTTTCTGGATCTTAACTTGACGTTTTATATCATTGTTCTCAACGCTCTCTCTTATGCTTTCATCCAATAAACCAGCATCTTTCGAATCATCCGTTATATTTTCTTTGCAACCTTTATTACCTCCTGTATCCGTCAACTGATGATCCTAAAACAGAAATTGTTAAAATGATATTTTTAGACCGACAAAGAAATAAATCTGTTATAAGTAATTACATTTATCATATGTGCTTTGCAGTCTTCTATAGAAGGGAAGCAATTGGAACATTCTCCGCACATGTATAACAATTTTACTTCATCCGTATTCTTGGTTTCTTCCTTTACCTATCAAAAATCAAAAACATTCATTCGATCATAATAATTATTGCGATACAATAATATTATTATACGAAAGATCAATTCGAAAACTCACTTCTACATCTACTTTTGGGTTGACATGCGTTTTTTGAAAATGCTGCAGTAACTGTGTTTTGTCCTGAGTGGTATAAGTACATATTTTACATTTGAACGCCGTCACAACTTCGACAAAATCATTGGCATTTACATTGGACTTTTCTACGACAAAATTCTTTTCATTTTCTCCTGTAATAACTTCGTATTGTTCTTGAGAATGTTCATCGATGTTACCAATTATTAAATCTTCGTTAGTGATATACTGCGTTTCACAATTGTCATTATCTTTAGACAATAAAACTGCTTTTTCTTGCAGTTCATTTTGTTCTGTAACCTGACTGAAGTCTAATTCTTGTAATTCACCATTTTGAAATGCATAGACTTGACCATCTAAGCAAACTAAAGAAATTGATTCTTCCTCTTCTTCTTCTTCTTCTTCCTCTTCTTCTTTTTCTATCTGTGTATCATCTATAATGTTAATTGCGGCGGTTTGTTCTTGATCAGTTGATGCGGTTTTCACTATATCAACAGCTGGATCTGATACTGTTTGCAAAATATATCTAGTACCATTTATCTCATAACTTAAATACGAAGAATCTTCAACGCTTGTTTCTTCATTCATAGTGATAATATTTAATTAAATCATACTGGTGTAAATGCCTGATGTTCAAATTAAAAGTAACATCTTGTCTGTAACGTAAGAACGGAAACTTGTATACTCGTATAAGTGAACGAAGAGGTTATTTTATGGTTAATTCGTATTATGAGTTAAAAACGTAACTTTCCCGTTGATATACGAAATCAAATCGTTACGTTTAATTAGCGTAAGCTTAAACTTTCTATATTTTGAAAAGTTGTCATGATTTTTTCGTCAAATGTGTTTACAGCTGTTCAAATTCGAAAATCATGTTTCACGAAAACAAATCGCGCGTTAGGTGCGTTCGGTTTAAGCTTTGAAACGAAGCTTCAAGCATCCAATCGGGATATCCAACATGCATAAAAATGAAGAAATTTACTTACAAGCAAAGAATTTAAATCAAGCGATGAATAAAAATACTGAAAAAATGACATAAACGTCAAATTTTAATGTATTATCCATGAGATCCGTGATATTCCACCATCTTGTATCACGTGATACCGGAAAATTTAGCATAATCAGCTACATTCACAAGGTATATCCTTTATTTCAAATGGTATATAAAAATATGGTAAAAGATTATTCTGTTCAATTTTGTAACTCATCTTTTATAAAGATATAGTACTTTATTGCATGTTATAAAGTAGAACTTGTTTAGGAATATCATGTTATATTTATATATATATATATATATTTAACGATTAAGTAGTATTTCATTTATCAGCACTTTATTGGCAGTACTGATAACTACTACACATATAAACATTGATATTATAAAATAATGTAAAACCCTTAACAGAAATAATTATTTATACTGTACGTACAATAATAAAGGGTATACAGTAGAGGGTATATAGCACGGTATTATGAAACAGAAATCAACTTACATTATCTTATTCCTTCATTAAATGTGTATGTACATTAGGGGTTCTTTCAGCATTTTGTCTAGCAATTTCAGGAAAGAACTGCGAATTATACTTTTGTTTAATAACTGTCTTAGGCGGTGTTTCTGGTGTTACAGCTGGCACTGGATCTCCTCTTAATTTAGCTAACAATGCTTCCGTCCTTAACTTTTCACTCTGTTCCCTTAACAATCTTTCTGTTCGTAATTTTTCTATATCAACATTAGGTTTTTCTTTATATTTGCGCTTGTCTTTCTTATTTTTTCTAGATCTTTTATGTTTACGCTTCTTCGAACTTCCATCATCTTCATTTGTATCCGAATCAGTTTCTTCTGAAACATCTCTCTTTCTTTTAACAGGATCTGACGTAGGTTTCGAAGCTTTTTCTGTAGAGGTTGCTCCCATGAGATTCAAATATTTTCTGATATCATGAATCGGATCATCCAATGCTTTCTTTTTTACTTCTATCTCTACATTCTTCTCTGTATCCGTTAATCGTTGGGGTAATTCTTCGTACCAGTTCTTCTTACCGGTTGCTTCGTTAGTATCTTGCCCAAGGTATGTAAGATAACCGATTTGTTTTTCATATTTCTCTCTTTCTTCTTCTTTTTTCTCCCTTTCGTGCTCTATATTGGGTTTACTGTAATCAACTTTTCCTTGTTCAAGATCGGCAAAAAAATTAACGTGTTCCAATTCAGAGGTATGCGCTTCAATTTCAGTTTTCGATGTTTCTGTTCGTCCATCGTATTTTGTTCTTGCTTTTTCTCTTAGAAAATTAATTCTTGCTTCAGTTTCCTGACAAAAGATAGCTTTTACTGTTTGCTATGTAATTTGTTACTCGTACAATCAATAATCGATATATAAAATTACATTTTACAGTTTATCTCGAACTACACTTACAGCTTTTCGTATACGTTCTTGTCGGATCTTCTCTTCTTCCGCGGCTTTTGCTTCATCTCGACGTACGCGAGCAATGTTTTCTTTAGTACGTACATGCCACCTAAGAGGGAAAAAAATGAATTTGTACAGTTGTATACAGTATTTACAATAAAGGACATTCGATGTCTGTACAGAAAGAGTACATAAATACCTTTTCTTTGGCAGGATATTCATATTTGATGAAATATAAGATTGTTCGTTTAGAAAGAATAAAAATTTCTATTGCATGATAAATTATATATATATAATATATGAATACTCATTTAAAGATTGATTTATTCAATTGTAACAATAACTGTATTAATTTACAATGTCGCAAAGTATTCTGCATTACGACTATTGAAACACGTAAAATACGTGATTCTGTCAGTTTTAGGTTATTGTACTATTGTAGCGACCATTTGCAATTCAATTGCAGACTACTTCAGAACGGTAGCGTTGTTTGGTAGGAGCGAAAGTTCGGTGTTTTCCTTTTCGTATTTTCTTTTAAAAAATAGGTAAAGTACGAATTTTAGATATTATTCTAGATAAGTGTTTTTCTAATTATATTACATACGAAATATAATTTCTCGTATCTCAATGTTTTTCAATGCATGGAAAGTGTTAATCTAACTTGATGTCACGAGAGTCCATAACTAAGCGCGCAGGTTGGAAGATGGTGGGGGAATGCAGCGATGGTGGGAGAAAGCGATCCGCCAATCGCTTTCCACTTTCGCTGGAAGTATCGCCAATCAGAGCGACAATGCGCAGGAAAGAACGAAAACTGGTCTTTTCGCAGTTATGGACTCTCGTGACATCAAATTAATCTTGATTTAGCATTGAAAATTTTTCACTAAATGTTACATTAAAAATTTATTTGCAGTTAAACTTAGCACAATGGCTGCGACAATGCCAATAAATCCTAAACCATTTTTAAATGGTTTAACCGGCAAACCTGTTATGGTGAAACTAAAGTGGGGCCATGAATATAAAGGTTATCTCGTATCTGTTGATGGATATATGAATTTACAATTAGCTAATACCGAAGAACACATAGATGGAAATTGTACTGGTAATCTTGGCGAAGTTTTAATCAGGTGTAATAATGTAATGTATATCAGAGGTGTTGAAGAAGAGGACGAGGAAGGAGAAATGAAGGATTAGTTGTGAAATGTTTACATACTAATTTAGGTTAATAATTTTTTACTATTAAGATAAAACGATGGGACAATACTAATAAAAAATTTTCTACGCGAAACCATATAGATTTATTTATTTATTTGTTAACACTATACATTACACGAAATTATTTGGATAAAAATATTTCAAGTTCGATTGAAGGTATTAGTGAAATAGAATTTCTGTGCGAAACATAATAACACGTATAAATTTAAGTACGTTTCGGAACAGGCTTTATGATAGCTTTTGGCCTTGTATTAAAAATTAATCTTTTCTTTACAATAGCTTTTACAATGTATTCAGTTTTTATTTCAGACGTGTGTTCAATGTTATCTTTTTCACTGTTTTTTCTCACTAAAACTGCGTATGGTTTTGGAAATGGCATTTCTTTTCCATGTAACACATGCATACCAATTATAAGTATAGGTGTACCAGATTTAGAAAGATGTAAATCTCCAATATGTTGATTTGTAACGCCTGGAGAATGAAATATCAAATCACCTTGTAATTCAACAATTGCCCACTCTTCAATTTTACCATCCCTAAATAAAAAATGTAAATACTAAATGTGTATATGTCTCTTAATAATGTAATACGAAATTCCTTACCAGTGAAATATAAATAATACCTTTTTATTGGTACAATCATACCGAGTGTTTTGGCGATAAATATCTTGTATTCATGTATACACGTCCGTCTTCATGGACCTGTTGAGCTTCTTCTTGCCTGTATCTATAAGTACAGTATTGTGTGAACGTAGCTACAATTCAATGTAAAATAAACAATCCAGCGCGTAAAAGTAGGAAATCTATTACCTACTGCGCAATAGTTACCTACTGAAAGCATCGACGAGAGACTACTAAAGACGGCTGTACTTCCGAAAACCTACATGCTCTAAATTGGCTGAAATTTTGAAAATAGATTTGTTTTTAATAAAAATGACGATTCCAAGAAGGATTTTTGGCGACTCGAGAAAAAATTTTTTATCATTTGGGTGTCCTTCCCTACTTTACCGACGCAATTATAACGGTAGGAGTATACTTACTTACTTGAGGCAGATTAGAAGGCGGTTCTGATGCTGTTATTTTCAATTGTTTCTTAAAAGGTATCGACACAGTAGTGGTATCGATGTGTCAAGAATACTATGTATGTTCTGCATATCAATAAAACTTTTATACAAACCTAATCCAAGCTTTAACTTTAGTAAATTAGGTTAGGATAGGGCAAATGAATATTCCGGCCACCAAAAGACAATATAGATGCAGATACTATGTCGGTAAAATAGAGAGTGACATTCATGTGATAACAAATTTTTTTTCGAGTCGCCAAAAATCCTTCTCGCAATCATCATTTTTATCAAAAAAGAATCTATTTCTAAAATTTAAGCAAATTTGGAGCATAGAGGTTTTCGAAAATTTAGCCTTATAGACTGCTAACCTCTGGACTAGAGCGACTTGTAAAACAGGCACGATTATCATCTGGAGGTGACTGGGATCCCCTAAATCATGACAGTCCAGTCTTCTACTATCTATAGTCTCTGTATGGAGAATGTTGATGAATTATAAGCTGTTTTTGTTTAAATAAATAACTTGAAAAAAATGGGCGATTTTCTAGCAGCTAATAATATATGTGGACAAAATTTATTACGTTTGGTGTCTCGTGGGAATGCTATTATAGCAGAACTGATGAGACTGAAGGATTATGTCCCACCAATATTTAGGTTATTTTGTTTGCAAAATATATATGGTTATTATAAGACTTGCAATGTTTTCAGTTGCTAAGAATTGAATACTTATTTGATGTCGTAACTTTGAAATATATGTATGTAAAGCTTTATATATTTTACAGTTTAGATTCAAAGCAAATGGTACAAAAGTATGGGTCAATTATAATTGATTTTGCATATTTTAAATCAACCGGTACTTATGAAGAAAAGATAGAAAATGATCCAGTACGTAGATGTAAAATAATACGGGTAAATAATAATCTGTACGTCTCTAACTATAAATGATCATTTGTAGGTTCTTCAAGAAACCGATGAAGAGCTTCGAAATAATTTTTCTGACATAATTTCAAGATTTTATTTAACTTTTGAAAGTATACATAAATATGTTACAGACCTAAACCTTTATGTAGATGAATTAGGGGATGGAATATATATTCATCAATCTATAGATACCATTATGCTGAATGAGGAAGGACGACAATTAATGGTATTCTCTGTTGCGCGTTGTAATTTTAGATTATAATATTCTAAGATTATTTATTTCTATGTTTTATTAACAGAATTTATGTTAACAGTGTGAATCGGTGTACTTGTATGGAGTTATGTTGCTCTTGGTAGATTATCATTTTGAAGGGTGTATAAGGGAAAGACTACTTGTGTCTTATTATCGTTACAATGCTCAACATTCATCTTCTACAAGAGTAGACGATATATGTATGTTATTACGTTCAACAGGATTTTCCAAAATCTCTAATAAGCGTCCTACAAATTATCCTGAAGAATATTTTAAGTAATTTCCTTAAAAATTCTTTAATTCTATAATAGAACGTTCCACGTTTGTAATGAAAACTTAATTTTCATAGGAGAGTCTTATTAAATGATTCCTTGATAGAACATATCATTGGACGTTTGCGTGCTGACGAAATATATAATCAAAGTCTTGCCTTCCCGCATCCAGAACATCGCAGTACTGCTTTGTTCAATCAAGCATCGATGTTAGTTATAATTTTATCGTTTAAACCAATTATGTTACATACACATACAGCCATGATGAGAGAAATAGTAGACAGATTTTTTCCTGATAATTGGGTAATTAGTATTTATATGGGAATGGTAATAAATTTGTGCGATTGGTGGTCGCCGTATAAAGCAGCGAAAACAGCTCTTAATAACACTCTTGAATCATCAAATGTAAAAGCAGTTGCACAAAGATATGGTCAAAAAATGAAGGTAATTTCATACGTAAATATTTTAGATTACAAAATGCTTTTACATATATGTATATTATTTGTTTTATTTTATTTTAGAAATTAATGTCCGAAACAGAAGAGGTACAGTTATCTGTTACATTAGATGAAAGTGCGATTGGATCATTGGTGAAATTAGTAAGAGAATGCAATGTAACTTTACACTGGATACTTTTGCACACATCAACTTCAACCATGTCGTTAGAAGATTCAAAACGTTCCCGTATTCTCAGGCATTTGGTGATGACTGAAAGCAAATATAACAAATCTGATTGTCTTCAGTTATTGCTAAGTACTGCTCAGATCGAACAAGATGTTAAACAGTTGTACAAAGATGTATGATTAGTAATATTTCTTACTTTGTATAATTTCGCGTGAAAAAAATATTTTTATTAAACTCCTTTCCGAATTGTTAGTTATTACTAGGTAAAGAAACTAAGTGGCTTAGAGATAAAGGAATATGCGTTGAACGTATAACAGATCTTGCCCAAATATTTGGTGGCAACAAATCGCTTGACGGTATCGAAAGAAATCAAAATCTGTATGTTTGGTTTATGGAAATAAGCAAACACATTGATTCGTTGCAACAAGAGGATGGAAGAAAAATAGTACAGTTGTTACAGGCATTAGAAGAAGTACAAGGTAATTAATTATTTTGTTATTTTATGCATATTATATATATTAATAGTAATAATAATAATAATGATAATGATAATGATAATAATAATAATGATAATAATTTATTTTATTGTTATAATAATTACAGAATTTCATCAGCTAGAAAATAACTTACACGTATCGCAATACTTGGCCGATACGCGTGAAATACTACATAATATGTTACGCACAGGAAGTATAACAGAAGATACAATGATAAGTTTAAATATAGTGACAGATTGCTGCTATGCATGGAATATAGTGGAATCATTTATTGATACAATGCAAGCTAGTATAAAAGAAAGTCCGCCTACTGTAATCAAATTAAAAGCTTTATTTTTAAAAGTAAGCTTTTAATTTTTAATCCTTTATTTGATACTTACAATTAGTATATGTATACATTTATACTTACATTGATTTCATTTTTCAGATGGCTTCGGCTTTAGAAACCCCTTTATTAAGAGTAAATCAAGCACGCAGTGCAGATTTATCATCGGTCTCTCAATACTATAGTAGAGAACTAGAAAAGTATGCGAGACGTGTCTTACAAATAATACCTGAAACTGTGTTTGGTTTGCTTGCTCAAATAGTACACCTTGAAACTAATGCTTTTAAAGAAATTCCTACTAAACTACCAAAAGATAAATTGAAAGACTATGCCCAATTAGATGATAGATTACAAGTATGTGTTAGTTTCTGTTCTGTTTTAAGAACATGTGTTAACAATTTAAGTACGGATTTAAATATAATATCTCGTTATAGATGGCTAAATTGACATATGCTGTATCAGTGTTTACAAAAGGGGTGTTATCTTTGAGAAGTGTTCCATTAGGAGTATTGAGAGTTGATTCTCATCGTTTATTAGAAGATGGCATACGTCAGGAACTTGTAAAAAAAGTTACTCTTGCTTTAGATAATGTTCTCGTATTTGAACCAAAATCTAAAGTAAGTTTAATATATATTTTATTAAGAATTATTGTTACGTTAATGATATGTGTGTGTATGTGTCATTCTAGATGTCATTGTTACAAAAACTTCAAAGTTTAGCTACAATTATAGATGGTTACCGCAAATCATTTCAATACATTCAAGATTATATAAATATTAACAGCTTAAAAATATGGCACGAAGAAGTAAGAAAATTCATAAATATTCATTATGTGATTTGCAATTGACAGTGAAGTAATTTATACAGTAACCTACTTCTTTATCTGTAGATAACATACATTATAAATAATGCAGTCGAAGAAGAATGTACAGATTCTTCTTGGACTTCGCAAAGATCATGGAGATATTTTCAAGAAGAAAAACATACTTCTGCATTAGATAATAATTCCTTAACCTTTATTGGTAGGCTTGCCCGTGAATTAATTCGTATAACTGATCCCAGGTAAAAGATTGATATTATTTATTGTTTTACTGTTGTTATTATTAGTATAATTGAATAATTTATACTGTATTATATTTGTAGAACAACCGTATATATTGAGCATTCTCTTGCCTGGTATGATCTTAAAACACAAGCAGAAGTATTAAATTATAAAATATTTTCAAGAACGTTGGAAGCAATAGGCACACCAGGATTAACAGGACTCAATAAACTTATTTCGTGTTACATCGTTACTGAATTGAATAATATGGTTCATTATGTAGAAAAGAACATACACAATAAAACATGGACGTCTACACTGGACCATTTTGAAACAGTATTAAGTTCCACAAATACCCATAAAGGTATTGTTGTTTTATGGTGTGTGTAATAAATGGATAAAATTAATTTTCTTTAATACATATATCTTCTAGGTAATGCATCAAAGTTTCACAATTCTGTTAGTACTTACAGTAACAAATTTTGCCCTCAACTTCTTGAATTGGTATTAAAAATTGGACATTATCAACTGATTAAGAAAAAAATAGCATATGAATTAAATACTGCTTGCAAATTTGAAGCTAAACACATGGAAGCAGCGCTTCAAACATTAAACACGTACGCTTAAATAATATTTAGTAAAAGACAATCTTTACTTGTAATAGCATGTACATCTTTTTACCTTTTAATGAATTACAGAGCTGTTTTATTTGAAATTCATAAACAAGACAATAACGATCAAAATGAGACGGAGAAAAATGATTTGTTACGGGAGCTTAGTGTTAGATTAGATTGGGCTGGCATAAGTAATCTCCATAATAATGTATATATTAAATGCCCTAATGTACAAAATATTGCACTTATTATGTTCCTACTTACCGCATCACAATTACCAAAGTTGCATTATTGCAAAAATACAGGTAATAGAATAAAAGTGCATAATATCATTAATATTGATTTATACATTAATATTAACATCATTATTGCAGGAAGCTTGCTAAGCAAGAAAGCTCAAGATTCTCTTGATGCTGTGGTATTTGTAATTGGAATACAAACCATATTGCGTCAGTGTACTTTCACAGCGATGACGCGCTATATTAAATATCTTTGTATATACGTTCTTTCTTGTACTGTCGCAGATAGGTATATAAACATTTTTCAATATTTTTATTTTTAATTTTATTTTTATCGGAATATACATTAATATCAATATATTTACTTACAGTGCAAAATCAGGAAGCGATGGGGAATCTGAAGGAACCAACACTTTGCATATTTTAGAGTTATTTATTAAATATTCTGGTATACCAAGATCACTGATTCTTAAAGAAATCCCTATGATTATTATTGATCATTTCCAAATAAAAGTTACCAAATAATTCCAATATAATTTATGCAGATATGATTAATTTTTATCACATTAAATACATTTTTTGTAATCTGTACATATATATTCCCATGTAAATTTACATTTTATACGTACTTGTATTATAATACATAGAATAATTGTATCAGTTATTGTTAAATAAAAAAACAAGAATAAAATACAACTGTAGTATTAAAGAATTTAATAATAAAATATTATTTATTCTAATCTTAATTCAAGTTTCAAATAAACGTGCAATTTTCGTGTTTATATGAAACGTAAAAGTATTGTTCTGAGAATACGATTTCTTATTGCCCATATCTGCAGTGGAAATTTGTATACGCATTGGCGGCTAAGCGTTCGGTTCGCCGCAAACGGCGGCATTGCGGTGTTCCTCCCTTATACATTATATTCCCTAATTTAAATCAAAGTGATACTTTTGAACAAAGTATAAATATTATTGCGTTCATGTACCTTTAAAATATGCTTCTAAATTTTATTACATTCTATATTTCATTAAATATTATGCGTAACATTGCACATGTATATGTATGTCCTTTATTCAGAATCCAAGAATATAAGATTTTTAATATGTTCTATGGAATGTAGCAGCTATATTCAAGATTTTCTTTTTTCATCAAATACATTAAACTCGGTTGTTAAATTGTAAAATAAAAATAAAAGACTTAATAATCGGCGGCTAGAACGTCGTTGACGCCGAGAACGGCGGCTATAACGGCGGCTGTAACGGCGCGGCGGTTACAACGGCGATGCCGGCGATTTAGTACAAAAGACACTGCGATAAACTCCTAGTTGAGTCCTTCTTCCTCATACGTGCAGTTACGTAACACAGGATTCTGTTAATATTACCTACATTTTAAATAACATTGTGACGATAAAATGTGCATTGAAAGTGTATATAAGATTTTCAAAAATGTTTGAAAGATATAGGATCTTTTTTTCTCTTTTCTTTTTATATTACATCTTCTCATCGATAATAAGGTCGTAAATAATATTTTCTATTTTAACTTATATTTATAATGTTGCATTTACAGTTAATCGTGGTATGTATAAAACATAAATAGAATTTTGTTATACAAAAAAAATACGAAGTAAAATTTTGCGGTCGTGTATGCATTCCTAAGAAGTTCATCACATCTGTTAATCATTTTAAATAATAAGATAAGAAAAGGGGGAAACAAGTTAATGATATTTATATAATTATTAAAGTAATTCTTATAAAAGGTGTATACAGGGTGTTCGACAACAGGTGGGAGATTTTTTAAGGGGTGATTCTGGGGATCATAATAAGACGAAAATCAAGAATGACGAAATAGCGTTTGCGGCTTTATTCTCTAGTAATCAACGTTTAAAAATTCTGGTAATAAGCGCCTGAAACCTGCAACCTGCCCAGCACCGATGACCGAACGTCAGTTCAGCAGGGGAGGGTACAGTCATAACCAAGAATCATTGAATAGTAGAAACTTACCTCGTGCTTTTCTGTTTCTTGGCAACATTCGGCTTTCTCTTCTTGGTTATGACTGTACCGACCCCTGCTGACCCGACGTTCAGTCGTCGGTGCTGGGCGGGTTGCAGGTTTCAGGCGCTTTTTACTCGAATTTTTAAACGTTAATTCCTGGAAAACAAAGCCGCAAACGCTATTTCGTTATTCTTGATTTTCGTCTTATTTTGATCCCTAAAATCACCCCTTAAAATTTTGCCCACCTGTTGTCGAACACCCTGTATATCTACATCTGTATGTGTGCATATATCTTCTGCGTGATTCATTTGCAAATTCATTGATTTGTTTCTTTTCCACAAGAACGATATATCCAATATATCGTACTTTAGTACGATTACTTTAGTATGCATGTATATAAAATGTAATAATTACAGAAATCTAATTAAAACATGTTTTATCGATGTTAGCAAATCATGCGAGCAAGCATTATCGTGGTTTTGGCTTTTGCCACTGGGATTGTCGTGGTATCATCGAGAAATCACAATTATTCTCATTTCGTAAAACATCATGCAAGACCGCGAGTGATTCGAGGCTTTAAACCTGAATACATGTCCACGGCATACGGTTTCGGGAAAAGACAAAGTACCGCTGACGTTCCAAAACTTAACAAACGCGAACGAATGCTATCCATACTTTTACAATATTTTCCGCAAGGGTAATTAAAATGGATAAAATTATTCCGTTCTTTGTCAAACGTGAATTACGTGGAACTATACATATATAACTGATGTATTTTAATTTTAGATTTCCTGCAGAACGATTACTTCAGCAAATGAAAGGAAATCCAGATTTTAATACAAAATTAACACAATTATCGACGGATGAACGTGGAGATTTATTGTCAGCGATGGATCATTCTAATTCGAAAGAACTAACTTGGCTATTTTAGACCTATTATTGTATGATCGAGTGATGTATACAATTCCTAGTTATACGTTTTAGTTTAAATAAATCTATAATGTTAAATGAAAATTATTTAACAGCTATAATATACGTCTTTATTTGTTTCTTCAAAACTACATTTTCCAAATCTCGTCAAGTATAATAAAAGATTTATTTAAACAATAATATATATCCATTAGATATGCGCGAGTAGCTGAATGCTTCTAAACAAATTCAAATGTAACATATGTATATTTACTTATGTCATGCGTATCCATACATACACATTTATTTACCAAAAACTATGATGGCTTCACCACCAAACTCGGTGGGGTCGCTGGCGCAATCGGCATTGTCAACCGTTTGACCTAGAGTTAGAGCGAAGTGAAAAAGTGAAACCCTCTCAGTCCTATAGCGACCGCCGACGGATGCGGATGTACCAGTTAAACATGTATATACCCTTATTTTATTTTCTGTGTTTATTTAATTTACTGTATTTATCTTCTCAACTTACTGAATAAACTCATAAGGAGGACAAACTTGATTTTATTCCATTTGGAATAGCCTTTCCAAATACTTCCCATTTTATTCGCTATCCCTTTTATTTATTATTCCCAGTTACTTATTATCTTTTTGTCTTTGTTAGATTTGTTTGTTTGTTTAATCTATTAGTGGATCATACCCAGTTGTTTCAATTTATTCAACAGTTTGATAAATTGTACACGTACAATTTTCGTATGTATCCTGTAGTAAAGATTGATATCGAACATATCCAAAAAGCCATAAAATTGCTATCTTTACAATAGCAAACAACGTTTGAATTATTTAAATAATTAATTAATTCCGTCTCCACTAGACTCTTCTTTCTTTCTTTGATTAATAGGCGCTTAGAACCCCATTCGAGTCCATGCGCACCAATTTTGAACATATAGAAATTTTTTACAAGTTGTAAGAAAATATAATAGTTTTACTTTGGGTATTGCTACCTATAATATAGGATATGTAATCTGTCTATCAAGACTTAGTTCCTTCTGTAGCGTTAACTTACTTAATATAATATAACAGTAATTAGTACACTTATAAACTAAACTAAGACTTATCGTTAGATACTACGTGTATTTATCACATGGTTCAGTCTTATAATTCCGCAAAGTGCTTCTGAGGTTGCCAGTGGTGCTTAAATGTCAATCTTATTTGTTTTCAGGAAAGCTGAAATAATGGTTCCATACTTTGTAGCGATGAGTACCCTAGTTTTTGGAGCTGGCTCAACATTTCCCTACGGCTGCCCCTGTAGAGTGGACAACTCCACACAACACTAGACTTTCGGCGCATGCGTAAACGCGACGTTCAGCAGCGCGGCTCGTCGGCAGCAGAGGAGGCTTGCCACCTAAGCTGCGCGCTGATTGGTCAATTTTTCAATTTTCAACAACGAAATGTGGATAAACTACTGATTCCAACGAAAAATGCTACAGAACTTTTCATTTAGATTTTTCGTGATCTATCCAGCGGTGTAGAGGTCTTCAGGGTATTTTTTAACACCCTGTATGAATAACTGAGAATAAAAATCAAGTACATTGAATAATTAAAATGATAGAAGAATTTAAGACAATTAAATAAATAACTGAGAAAAGAAGTTACGGGCATTAGATAAATAATTCAGAAATGAAATTGGTTAAATTAAATAATAACTCGGTTGCTTTTTTAAAATAATTTATTTGCGTGAAGTGAATACCAGTTTGTCAAACAATTATAATAATAATTGTTCAGTCTTGTGCCGCTTTTGACTGATTTAAAAAAAAATAGAATCAATGGGAGTGAAAATTGGGTCTTTTCAGATGTCAGTCTGAGGTGCGGCAAAAGATGGACTGGTAAAAACAGGCACGATTATCATACTGGATGTGCTTTTTGCATGTGGACTTAATTTAATTTGATTTGATTTGATAAGTTTCCATCTTTTGAGGGCGGCATAATCTAGGGGCTAACGACCCCTTTTTGCCCAACGAAAATTAGTGTTGACGTGCGGCTACGCGCCTTTTTCACGTTACATTAATCTTTTTCTCGCAATACATTTTTCACCTTGCCAGTTACATTTTCTCTCTTACACCTTTGCCATACTTTTACTGTCTTACTCGATCCTTTACATCCCCCTTTTAGTCGCCTCTTACGACAGGCAGGGGATACCGTGGCCGTATTCTAATCCCCCCGAGCCACAGGTGGCTAATTTAATTTTTTGATTATGATTAGTTTTCCCTGTGGCCAACTTCCCGCGGGGGTGGCTTTTCCTAGGGACTATGTTTCCGCCCCTTTTCGCCCAATGAACCCTTTTGGCCACGCGCCATTTTGGGGTTGACACTCTTGCCAACCATCCCCGCGCATTTTCAAACTTTTCATTAATTTTTACCTTTTTGTTAAGGACTTTACAAACTTCTTTCTGCCTTCTTAGTTCTAATTCGCTTTACAATTTACCTCTGTTTCTTCGCCATACTTTTACAATTGTGTGTGCGTGTGTGTGCGTGTGTGTGCGTGCGTGTGTATCCCCTTTTAGTCGCCTCTTACGACTGGCAGGGGATACCGTGGCCGTATTCTACTTCCCCCGAGCCAGAGGGGGCTAATTTAATTTATATTTTTCCCTGTTTGGGAAAAATGGGGTGCGTTTACGCACTCCATTTCCTCCGGGTGGCGTGCTTTGGGGACTTTTACTATCCCTTTTTGCCCAACGAACATGTGGACCTAATCTCCTCTGGGGGTGTCTGGGACCCCTAACATTACATTACAACATTACAAATTGACTTTACTTGGGCGCAGCCCAAGATGGCGTTCAGTAAGAGGGAGATCCCCCCCCCCCCTGTACCTCTTACATCATGACCCCTCGAAGACGACGGCATGTCCAGTCTTTTGCATCTGTAATCACTATTTTTATGGAGTCTCAATCCATATTAAAGTTTAAACATTCGAAAGTATAAATTATAATGATTTATTGAAATTGGAATTTAGAAAAGGTTAACATGTCTGTTACTGTGTGATGAATGATGAAGGAATGAATGTACAGGAAAGCTATTTGAGTTTTGTTCATGAAAATAAATTATTATCGAAAATGTTTGCTAAAGGCGACGTTGAGAATTTCTCCTGAACGAACATTTTCTTTATCGACTTCGACGCCGGCCGCTAAATTTCGCGCATTGTCAGCGCCATCTAAGAACGTAGTTCTGAAACCACCTGATCGTCTCAGTCGGTAAGATATTGGCTAACCTTCATTGATAAAACACCGGTTGAGTAGTCTATTCTTTTACTAAAAAATTTGAACTATAAAGTGTGAAAGCTGAACTGTGATTGGTTGAATATCATTGTAATTTATACGTTAACAACGAACCGATAATTCAAAATAAATTCAATTTTTAACGTTATATAAATGCGTATGAAGAAATATTGAAAATATTAGAATTATTTAATTCTAATTATTGTAAACATTTTAAACAAATACTAATTATTTTAACCATCCGAAAGCTTTATGTGTACTTACTTTATTACTTGAAAAATTGACCAGTTACAAAAGATTAGTATGTACAGTGTTCGAACAAAGCTATCTATGTGAAAGGTAATCAATGGTTTAGAGGAAAGAAGGACTTTCGGTTCCCATTCTCCATAAACTTTTTCCGTTTGTTCATTGTCCTCTTTACTACTAATTCTGTAGTAGTGAATTGGTTCGGGAGTTAATAACATTTGATTTTGGGTTATAATTATTTTGAAAAACGGTTAAACCGGCACGGAAGCGAAAAGTCTAAAGCATAATATCTGGGTGACGCCGGCCGCCTTAAGCCTCGGAGTCTTTAAAATCTCCAAAGGCCTACAGGCATACGCGCGATCAAGGTAAGAGTCTCACGACACATTCTCGACAAAATTAACAAGATATATATATTTTTCATGAACAATATATGTAATTTCGTAACATCTTCCGTTTAGACTTTCACAGATTGACTTACAGTAATATTTAAAATTATTACTTCCTTAACCTCAATGTATATCCATGGAAATATTTCAATGATTATAAGCAGTATAGTAGCTAATCTGGATTAACATAAAATTGTAACTTCTTTCTAAAATCACCGAAAATGTAATTTGTTTGAAAACAAATTACGTCTTAATTTTTTAAATTTTATTTATTTATTTATTTATTTTTTTTTGTTAAATTATATTTTTAATTTTGTAGTGTTCACATTCAGAAACCCTGTGTTTGTATTTATAATATAGTACTACCTGAATGCTATATTTTGATATTTCACTAAAAATTGTGAATGTTCATCTGTATCTTTTTGTGAAATATTAATTAGTTTCAATTAAAGTGTTGCTTCAAAATTTTAGATATACTGCATTTATATAATACTATACTTTTAATATTAAAGTTATTCAGTTATATGTTTTGTAATTTGTATATAATTTAACAATGTAAGATCTATGATAAGTTTTTTAATAATTATTTCTCTTTGATATAACCAATTAAATATTTAACTGAAAATGTTTTAAACATTGTTTTCTACATGAATAACAAACAGCATTATTATGTCGTACGATAAATCTTGAAGTTCTGAAAATACATTAAGTATCAGATTGAGCGCGACATATTATCAAACTAAGATCTAATAAATATTTTATATGTTGTGCTTTCAGTGTCTATTATTAATACTATTATTAAAATAATCAGTAAATATTAAACTTCTTATTATCAATCAATCATTTGATTTTTATATACTTCTTTTCTATAAAATTTCTCTCATATACAATGACAAAGAAAAAAAGGAAAAGAAAAGAAAATTTAGATTCTTTCTACCTATATTTTCCTCTTCTTCCTATATTCTTTCTTTCTCCACATGCCCAAAAGACATTCTTACAGGTCAAAAGTCCGTTCGTTATAGTTTCTAGTGCAGTACAAAACAGTTTGCGGTTTACCGGTATTTCTTAGTTTGTGTTGTGTTCGAGTTGAAAGTTTATAAAATCTAAACAAAAAAGTTTCGGGCAAGAGAAATCCTTAAAAAAACAAACACAGTATGTATTGTAAATGTGAAAAAAGTTCAGTTTAACTATAAAGTACAAAAAGTTATTAGTAAAAAAAGAAAGAAAAAAAAAGTTGTCAACGTGATATAAAAGTATGTTCGACACGGTATGGATTGCTCGCGTTGTGCCTTCAAGAGCAAGTACTGCACAGGCTCTTATTGATACAGGTAAGCCCTGCGATGCTACTGATGCAGATTTTTCATCGCTACATTCGGTCGGTACGGCTAAAAATGATTCACTTCTCAAGTAAGAGGAATTAACAATCTGTTTGAGCGGTGGTCCCATTTCTTTGTCAGATCATTGTTGTATGTTTTTTTAAAGGAAACTACTTGATTACAGGGTAGAATAATTCAACATGTCAGACTCTGGTTCAGAAAGTTCCTCCTCGGAGGGTTACGATGGAAGGAGAAACCGAGTTACATCGGCTGATAATATGGCGTCGCCGAACTTCTCGCATCATTCGTCAGTGTCGGGCCGTAAATCTAGAGCGAGTTCTGTTTCGTCGAGAGAAAAGTCACCTACGTCAATAATATCAGAAAGGGATTCAAAGTCACCGAGATATATACCGATATCGCCGAAATCTCAAAGATCTGATTTAGCGTCACCCAGCGAGGTCGGTTCTCCAAGGTCAAGGTCAAGGTCCCGTAGTTTATCAAAATCACCCCCTCTTTCACCGAAATCCTATCACTCGGAGAATAATTCTTTGGATTCACCTAGAACCGATCGGAGTTTATCTCGTTCCCCCATACAAGATGAAAGATCCTATCCGTCTACTCTGAATGACTCGAAGTCCTTACACCTTGAGGATACAGAACAAAAACAGTATGACTTGGAGGTAGATGCTCAACAATCCGGAGATAATTCGCCGAAATCATATTCTTATAAAAACAGCGAATCGAGGCAAAGTTCGCCGAAGTCTCCAAGATCCGGTCGTAGTTCGGCAAAGTCATTAATATCTGAAAGAAGTTCCCCAAAGTCAGGTCCGGCATCTCCTATGGATGATCAGGAATCAGATAAACGTTCACCGCCCCATTCACCGCCAACGAAAGGTGGTTCTTTCAACGAGTTAGACGGTGAACAAATTTCGGATGGGGACATTGAAGACGAGCCTGAGTCGGTGGTTAAATCAAAAGTGGCTATGCCGATTACTCACGGGGAAGACTTGTCGGATGTTTCTGATTTGGAAAGTATGGACGGAGTTGATGCCGCTACTGAACACGAATCGATGCTCAAGGAAAATCAACAGAACGAAGAGAAACGTCTATTAAATAACGATAAAATGGAAAAGGAAGATAAAAATGCGCCTGTTGGGCTAACAGAAGAAAGCGAACAATTAGATTTTGAGGCTGATGGTCAATGGAAGGATGAACGTGACGAAGGTAAATGAATGGTTTTATATGTTATTCAGATTAGATAGGTGCATTTCGAGTAAGTATAATTAATTTGTATGTAATTTTGTAGGAGAAACAGAAGGACCGGTTATTAAGGAATATAAAGAGAAAGATGAAAAAGATGGAAAGGAGAAGGATAAAGATAGGGATAAATTGAAATCCAAAGATGGGGGTGAAGGGAATGATAAAGAAGAAGGAGAAGAAGATGGGGAGAAAGTAGAATCTGAGTTGGAAGAAGGTGAACTGAGCGACGGTGATGATGCTCGACCGGAAGAAACTGAACCTAGACCAGTTTGCCGTTTTTATAACCGGGGACAATGTACGTGGGGAGTTAGTTGTAGATTTTTACATCCGGGTGTAACCGACAAGGGTAATTACACTATGTTCGAGATGGTAAGGCCAATGGCGTATCCGTCGCATGCGGCAACTCCTCATGAATTCAGACCGCATATCGATAGACCAAACATGGTACGACCATTACCTGGTTACGGAGGTCCACCGCACACACCAAAAATAGAGGAACTTCCTACCGAATCCGCGTGGGAACGTGGATTACGACACGCTAAGGAAGTAAGTTTATTTATTTAACAAATTATCCTGTATCCAGTGGCGGCTCGCGTATAGGCACTGTGGAACTGCAGCACCCCCTATTTACACTTGATATTATCGATAACATTTAATATAATGAGCCCTTTTTTCTTTAATTCTTTCTTTATACTTGTACAATATATAATCCTATTGTACAATATAGTCAGTAGCCATCCCCCAGTTTATGATAAAGATACAAAAATCTTTGTATGGAACTGTGCGCTTCACAGTTCTAGCAGCGTGGCAACTGTGTGCGCATGCGCACATAGGTAGCTGCGCGGGGGAGATAGCACTGTCGCTCCCGCAGTGCCAGTTTTTTAAAACAAAGGCTACAAATTTTTTGGAACAGCACCCCCACTAATTTTAACTACGAGCCGCCACTGCTTATATCCATATAAAGGATCGTTTCAATTTTCATTAATTTCTTTCTTTCACAGATGATGCGTAAAGCAAATAAACGTAAAGAGTCAGATATGGACTTTGAAGAGAAAAAAATGAATTTAAGTTTAGGACAAGATGAATTAGATAGGGAAGCAGGATATTACGTTAGAGCAGCTAGTCCTGAACCACCTGTTGAAAGATGGCCACCCAGGGAAGCGCCACGAAGAATGCCACCGCCAAGAATTACACCGGATAGATATATCGACGAACCTGATGCTTATTATGCCCCACCAGCAGCACCGCCAGAGTATTATAGGTAAACTTTCTTTATATTATCCAGCATTGATAAAAATTTGTTTTGACAACCTGGTCCTATTCAAGGAGAGTACATTACAAAACCGATACACGAGTCACCACCACCGAGTACCGAGAACGTATCGATTATCATGGCATACCTCGTGGTACACCGCATTCGGTTTCTCCACCACCGCATACTAGAGATCGTGAAAGAGAAAGAGAAAGAGAACGTGAACGCGACAGGGAACGCGAATATTACGAGAAATACGAGAAAAAGCATAAACGTCCGTCAAGAGAAGTTATAGTGGAGCGTATTCCACCGACGAAACCATGGAGAGAAGAAGAACCACCGCCAGAGGAAAGAGGCAGAGGAGACGAATGGGCCGATCCTTGGATGCGACGAAAATCGCCTAGTACTGTACGGCGAAACACGTCGTCCCGACGATCACGAAGACAGTCGTATTCTTCGGGTTCTTCGTATTCATCAACAAGGTATAATAGCGCAAATAAAACCGTACACTGTGAACAGTCAATATCATTTCATGTTTTCTTCTTCTTTTCTTCTTTTTTTTTTTTTTTTTTTTCTTAAACATTTGTTATATATGAACAATATATGTACAAGTGTACTGTATACTGTTTTTAGTTCTAGCCGTAGCTCGAGCCGCTCTAGCTACAGTTCTTACGACTCCCTATCCAGGTCCCGTTCACCATCCCCTCCCTCTAGAACTCGTGGTACCGGTAAAGGGAAAGCAGTCGCAACATCGCCGCCTGCGAATCCTCCTGCAGTTGCAGCTGCTGCGCCTCAGCGTGGCGCTATGTTAATGAATCCACCTGCTCCTTCACCTCGACCACCTAAAGGCTCCATCTCCCCTACAACTGGTACGCTTCATCGACGCGCTGGCCTGAATCCACCTGCGCCGAGCCCGCTCTCCTCTCATCAACGGCACCACGAAAAATCCAGAGATAAAGCGGCAATAGCAGCAGCCGCAGTTGCTAAAGTTATCAAAAGCCGTTCAAGATCTAGGTAAAAAATATATATGCTTAAAATATTATTAAATCTTATACGACCGATAAAAAGTAACAAATATAAGTATGTTTATTATAGTGTAATAAAATCTGTTTCTAGATCTTCGCATAGCAGTTCAGGATCAGAAAGCAGCGGTAGCAGTAGCGACTCCAGCGAATCGAGTTACTCTTCTTCTTCCAGTGAAACCCGTCGACGAAAAGGCTCGACACCGCCGTTAACGCGAAAAGATTCCAAGGGTATCGACGCTTTAAAGCTGAGCGGTACCAAGCAGCAAATAAAACTTACGTTGAAACCAACGAGTAATACTACCTCTATAAAAAAGGTCGAACGATCCACTTTAATGGCTGGGAAAAAGAGAGCGTTAGAATCACCGCCGTTAATTGATAGCAAAGCAAGCGTTGCCGCTGCCGCGGCTAAAGCTGCGAAGAAAGCAAGCTCGCGGCGCGAAGAATTATTGAAACAACTTAAAGCGGTGGAAGACGCGATCGCTCGTAAAAGATCAAAAGTGTAATAATACATCATCGCACATTTAACGTTTTAAAAGTAAATGTGTATACAATATTTCCTAGGCATATTATGTAATTAGCTGCTATAAAGTAGCTTGTGATATGAAAAGAAAAAAAAAATTCATATCAGAAACAAAGCATTTCTAATTTCACAAACTTTTTCTAAACACGATGTCGACGCTTCGTTTTTTTTCTAATTCTCCTATTAACACGTTGAATGCCATTGGAGTTAATACTGGTACTTTAGAGATCAGTAATGATTGATGACGCTAAAAAAAATTACATTCAGAAATTACTGTGGTGTACAGTAATTTCGATTGTTTCCATTTTCAGATGGTAACCAAGCACTCAAAATTTGTTCGACATTCAACGTGTTAATATAATATAAACGTACATAATGTCAAGCAAATGTCATACTGTACAGTATCATTATTAAAGATTAACAAAGTATGTGTGTTTTACGTACATAACATACACATGCATTCATGTATAAGCTTCGAATAATGAATTTTTTTAAGGGACGAGTGATCCTAATTTGTAGACATAGGATTAAAAAAAAAAAATAATAAATCACAAGACAATGTTTTGAAAAAAATATGCCAAATGCACGAAAACAAAAACGGACGTGTAATTTATTTATATACGGATAAAAGAGATTTTGTTCACATATACAAAATTTCTATTATCGTAAACTTAATGTTTTTAAGTAAATACAAATTTAGTGATCTTAAGCGACAATAATATATTATACCTGTATAAATATTTCATAATCTTTTCTTTTTTTCTTTTTTTTAATATATACATATATACACATATTTTATAACGGTTTAAGTTCATATTCTTAGGATTAGTATTAATTCTTTCGTGCAGAGGAAACAAAAAAGGTACTTTTAAATTTTAATCAGTAATTAGCAATTACAACTAATTGATTAACTAATAAAGATTTGGATTTCATCTAAAGGAAGAACAAGAAAAATGTTACAAAATGTTATATAAAACTACAAATTTTTCATATTAGAACATCAAACAGATAATTCCTATACAGTTTTGTGCACAATCATTCTGATAGTAGCTTACATAATAAATACATTTACTATAGGTAAATAAATAAATAAATTTGCTGAACGTACGTAGCGACACAGAAGTATAGTGGACAAACACTTTGTTAACGATAAAGTTTATTAAATATAAATTATAAAACAACGTCACAAAAGGTATATCAGTAACAACTACTATACTAGATAGTTATTGATTTAACAATCCATAAAGAGATACAAAAATACATATGTCATTTAATTACATTATGTACACATTGGGGTGCGGTAGATCGCGATACTCAATTTCTTTTCCTTTTTTTTCATTTTTTCTTTTTTATAAGAAAATAGTACTCAAATAAATACGTGTAATTCGTTCAGAAATATAAGCAATTACTTCACAAAGCTACTCGACAAATTAAAATATTTTAGACTTTATAATTTTAAAAAATTTGCATAAATTAAGTCTGTGAATATGATGAAGAATGTCGTAAACAACTGTAAGCGTTTCAGAATACGGTTACATTTAACCGTTTGAGTTTCAAGCAGCGCGATCGCACTTAAGATTTTATGTCGAAAAAACCCAGTATTGGGTTTATAGCACCGCTATTGCACTGTTCGGTACTTTTCGACAGTGTTTTTTCAATGACCCCTGGGACTCAAACGGTTAATATACCTATTGTACATACATACAATTAAATATCCCTTTTTATTTAAAAATAACCAATAATTCAACCAAAATAAAACTAAAAGGTAACCCTTAGGGATGCATACGATTTTAAATAATTAAATAAATAAATAAAAACTAAAAGTTAGAAAATATTAAGTAATTTTTATATTCTTGAACTAGTTAAATCGGGATCTAATTGTCTATTGATATCCATGTAATCCTGACTGGTCCGAATCGGAAGCCCCATGAATCTATTGGTACCATTAAGCGTACTACGTTTGGACTTAACCGAACCAGTGTCATGAATTTTTACCTCATTGTATTTAAATAAACCATCCCCAGGTGAGGGCAGCGAACTTTTTCCCGACTTGTACCACCATTGATAAGTAACGTACCACGTTATAATAGCAGCTACACCCCCGAGAAATTTTTCAATCATAATGTGGTAATAGAGCATCGTAGATATTAACATAATATCCCAAAGTAACTGCTGCAGAGTCATTACAACGAAAAGACCTCTTAGATATGGTGTGAGCGCTTTGTGTGCTTTCTTTAAAAATTCTAAATCAGAATTGGAAAGATTTCGAAGCGGTCCGGTACTAGGTTCGTTAGGGGTGGTCCGCGAGTGTTCCTCGCGCATAACTAAATCTTTGATACCTTCCCACCCGACCAACGAAGAACCTTCTTCCGCCAGGATTAAACTAGAATATATTAGAATAAACGTGTGTCCGGATATATCGAAGCCACTCCAAAATTTACCGGATTGAAGACATTTCGCTTTCGTTTGAAATTGCATGTCTTTTGTGCTAAGGCAACGACCGTAATTCGTTTCGATGTAATTAAATAATTTAATCCATAGCATCCACGCGATCGTGGCTAAACCCAATCTAGCAAGATGTTTCAATAAAATTGATCTGCGACCACAGCCAAGCGTGTGTGCAGTTAATGCGACCCATGGAATAGTTACGGTCAACAACCATCCCCATCCCCACTTCACAAAGTACTGATTCAATATATTATCCGAACGTGAAAAATATGTCCTCGGCATTGTGATAAAGTCCGCCATCAGTGATACCACGAAGATTGCACCGCAATATATAGCAATCTTTAATCTTGTATCGAATAATAATGATTTCTTACAAACATGTAAAAACATCGTTACAAGTATAAGTCCTATAGAGCTTGGTGCAGCTGTTGGTCGAGTTCCGCCCTTGTCCTCCTGAGTTGAATTTGGACGGAAGTTCAAACGACTCGACCGTAAATTATTCGTTGATGAGCCAAACATCGCGGAGTTACCGGATGCTGTATGTATACCTCTTCGTTTTCCCATAGCCATCGTACAACTAGTGCAGAGGTTATCGTGCGTTACGAATACGTGGTGTACGAATTGTATTGCCGCATGGCAGAGTAACTTCTTTTTACACAAGTGGGGTTAGTTTTTTACTCTTTGTGTTATTTCACGTGTAGATAATGTTCTTACTGTACTATATGTATGATTCAACTGGTACAAATTATTAGTAGCTGCGCGTACTGTATAAGACATCCGTTACTCGAAATATTCGTTCAACGAAAGAACATACCTGGTTTGCGCAGCTCTGGGAGGCCCTCTAGTCTTACTTTTAACTTCGCGGTCATATACACGGTAGACAAAAATATATGAATAAAGGAAGAAGCAAGTGATAATATCGAAGGTTCGAAGAGTATGTTAAATGCATATAAGACCACTAGATTATGCTACGCGTTGCTACAATGCGCTTGCACAGATGTTGAGATGCGCAGAACGAACGAAAACTCGTCGTATGGCAAGCATGGTCTCTCGTAGAACGAATAATTAATAATATATGTATAGTATTTTTCACGAGATGGTAGTACCATTTCGCGCAGCTCGACTGTGAGCTTAGAAAGTTCTCCCACCAGTAGCGCTACCCCCCCCCCGTGATCTACTTCCCATTGCATCTGCCATATACACGGTGGACAAAATATACTAATATAGGAACAGCTTAGGACAGAGGTAGTGAATAAGTGAATCATAATTTACAAATTTATGATCACCGGATATACTTTCTGTCCAGCGTACGACATACAGTGGTACGGCGCATGCGTGTTACCTTGGTAGCGGAGCGCGGCAGAACCAATCAGAGCCAACATGCGCAAACAAAACCAAAATTCGTTCATCCGATGGTACTACTCTCTCGTGAAAAATATTATATGTATTTTACACCGTCTGACACCGAACGTACTGATCTGCCTTGTCATCCGCAGTCATCCGATAATCATTCCCCCACTACCATTATAACATATTAGTTTGTGAAATAGTCTGAAACTTTACTCTTTTACCTACCCACTAATTATGCTTCAGTGTAAAATGAACATTAACAAATATATTTCTTTAAATTTCAAATAAAATTACTTGTATTTATAAAATCAGCTGTACCAAAACTTTATATAGACAATTTTATGTTCTAAAATGTTTAACAAATAACGAAATACTATAGAGTATAAAAATTAAATAAAATTTAATGTTCTCTAAGGAAATATGGGAAATGTAGTTTAATGAAAGTTAGGGTATTTTTAATTTATACATAAACTACTACTGTAGGAAATGAAAATAAAAAAAATTCAGATTATATTTTATGTAAAACACCTAATTTCAAATTTTTATAAATATGATAATACAAATATGACTAGAGCCAGAGTTTTATTTATTATTCAACTTTTATAATACTGCACTAGCATTTATGTGCAACAAGATCAATCTTTTAGTAAAGAATGCACTCAAAATGTTGAACAAATATATGTAAAACAGTCCTACATACATTACTAAGGAATATTTGAAAAGGAACTTTGTTATTTCTTTCAAAATCTTGTTAAACATGTAAAACTTTTCATAAATTTTCTCTAGTAACATAAATTTTCTCTAATAACGTAAATTTTCATATTATACGTTTGCTCATAATTCTTGTACATAGATTTTGCAAGGCACCATTGAGAGTTCGTTCAGAATATTTAAACATTAACAATGATTGGTTATCATGAAAATGACTGCGTCAAAAATTATGGTAAATTAGGCGCCTGTGAAAATCGTTGCTGCGTTATTACTAAGTGCTGACTAGTTCTAATAAATTTATGGCCTGACACCATTACGTTCCTTCTTTTTTTTTTCGTTTTTAACGAAACGAATATACATCTTCATTTCATTGTTAAGACGTTTATAACTTAAACGTTATGTTACAAAATCTAATAATCTACAGAAAATAAAAACAAAATAATTAAACACCTATGTGTGGGAAACTAGTTAAAAGTGAATCTAATTTTACAACTTGTACTTTTGATGTCAATACTTTTAGTGACTCTACATCATAAGAGGACCAATAAGTTATTAATTCTGGAAATCCATCTTCGCTAATGTTATCAATTCTGATTGAACTAAAACGAACACGAGAATTCAGATCTGGTTGACAATTGGTATCCTGACACAATTGAATAATATCGCTTTGACTTGCGTTCATAACTTGGACATCCGTATAATTTACAAAAACTATTAATACTCTTTCTATTAATCTTCTTTCCGTTACAACGGATACTTTTTTTGTATGTTCAGAGATCGAGTTAATCCAGAGCCAAAATTTAATGGCGAACCCGGAAGTATAAGGTTTCCCTGACATAACTAAGAAATCTGGTTTCGATACAAAAGAATTTGGACTAATGTGATCCCATATTACTATCGGTTGATTTCCAAATTTGTGCAGCGTTAAATTTACATTAGCTTTACAAGATTCTCCAGGACACGTTCCTTCGTTTTTTATAGATAAATAATGATACGGTGTAAGCGTCCAGTTATATTTTTCATTATCAACATTTAACGTTTTAAATGTATGAATTATCATTTTTGACTTTGTTATCGATTGTTTATATGCTTCTGGTAACTTTAGAGCATGTAATAATCCTTTAATGGTCATTGTTTTAACAATACCTGTAAATATTAAAAATTATATTATCCCATTATTATTTAAATTTATAATTAGAATATGTTTTATCCTTACTTTTTTTGTTACTATTATAACAAATATAGGATATAGTATCGTTAGAAATGTGATTATACATGTCAATTGATGAACAATTTTCAGGTGAATATCGCCCTAAAAGATGACCAGTTCTTCCAGATAGTATAACAAAATTAGGCATTTTCTTCTCAACTACTTCTATACTTAAAAAATCTTCAACTCCATCTGTATCGATGTCTGATAAAATTAAAGGTAACCTTTCAAATGTATGAATTTTTGAACTCCAGTGTATGGTGCCTGCGATAGGTTCGATACTAGCCAAAAGGCCTTGGTCACCGGCAACTATACAGTCTGGTTTTCCTGAACGGTCAGTATCGACTGTAATACAATCAATTTCAGACGGTGATCTTTTCAAAGAAACCAACCACAATGGTAAACCACTGTTCCCTTGCATCGACATAACTCCTCCTCCTTCGGCTGATATTTGTCCCTGATTATCATTTGTATCGTTTCCTTTATATCGTTGCCCACGAACAAGAAATATAAGGTTCGATGGATTTCCACGAATAACGGTAATAGGACCATTCAGTTCTACAAGCATTAGGTAAACATTGTACCATATTATTTTATGTAATAAAACACAATGTTATACAGTAAAAGAATATACAGAATAATGTTTTATATAAAAATTCAATATTTTCTTAGCATCCACATTTATATATTTATTACTTTCATTATACTTACCCACTCCTTGTAGAGTTTTATCCCAGGAAATAAATGGTTGTGGTTCATTAATCGAAGGGCATACCATTGAATTATCGCAAGGCAGAATGTACAGAAATACAATTATCGTGGTAATACATAGTAATACAGAAGCGATTAAACAAAATCGTCGTAGAGGAGACATATCACGTTTTTTCCACAAATCATTGCCTTCAACTACCATTATAGGCATATCGTCTCTATAATATTTAAGTATATTTTGTCCATTCTTTGTACGATTTGCTAGATTTCTTGTCTCGTCCAATGGATAATATGCTCCATTTTCATGGATAGTAGTTGATTGCTATAATTTTTATGGTCATGTATGTAATTTTAACAATACTTTCTATGAAATTTACTACATACTATACTAATAATGATATAATTCAAAAATAAAATCTTTTCATAATTTCAAATTACCGGCAATATATCATCGGCATTATCTTTAGGTACTTCATTTGGTTGATCCAAACAATCTTCTTCATCTTCGGTATCAGTATTGCTTATACTTTGCGGTAAAGGTGTATAACCTTTTCCACTGTGATGGTCAGACATGTCAAATCTATATGTAAATATATAAAACTTACATATGTACAACGCACTTCAAATTTAAAAAAAAACAACTAAAGATTTATGTATGTTTAAATATATATATATTTATTTATGCTAACATTATTTTAATCAGTGACTACAAATCTATAAAGACTTGATAAAGACTGGTCATGCCTTTTTATTTGTACATACAGTCTTGAATTTGTGCTTCGAGAACGAGTGCCATCTGCTTTTTCTTATTGTTTTGTAGTATAAAAATGTGAAACGCTTCACAGTGTGGAACAGTCTAACGAACGTTGACAGTAACAATAAATTGTTTTGATACTAATGACTATCACTTACAATCAATGTTTCGAGCTCAGCGTTGCTATATCTATATCTCGGAGTAACAAAGCATGTATGTATACAGTCTTGTTGGATCTGTAGTCACTACTGTAATATACAGTATCAAGATTATCCAGACATTCCTGAGATAATTAAGATGCTTGAGTAAATTTTTTTATTTCTTCCAATTTATTATAAAATGATATCTTCAACAAAAACAAAAGATACAATCACAAAATCTGATTGGATGCGATAACTGGGGTGGCGCGACCTAATTCTGTTTTACCGACGCGGAATTCGGAGTTCGGCCTCCACCATAGACATAGTATATAAGTATAGACCGAGCATCCATTGTATAAGCGGTGATGCATACCATTATAGGCATTGAAAAGAGAGAGAAACTCCTCTTATAATTTTTCTCTCTCTTATCGTATGCATTACCGCTTATACAATGGATGCTCGGTCTATACCTACTATGTCTATGGCCTCGACGCTCGCATCACCTTAAGGTGGTTTTTATGTTACTGATACATACGCTTATGTTACTGGTCTCGTATTTCATGCTTCTGTGCCTAACGATAAAATTCAAAATGTTTACTGTACTTTGAATACGCAGGTTTTAAGTGTTTTAAACGAGGTTTTATTTAAATAATAATTATCCAATAATAAAGACAAATTTTATATCGATGAAAATGACGAGTAATTCTATAGGACGTAGATCATCTACTAACCCTGTACGGATATCTTTGATTAATAGGGAAGACAAAAGTTTAACACGAAGTGAATCAAGAAGAACGCAAACGTTGAAACCAAAGATTTCCATAACTTCGGTTGATAATTCTCACATACCCAGACCTCGCGTTCGAGCCTCTTCATTTGATAGAGGAAAAGGAACAGGTAAAACGTCATAACGTTATTAGTGATGTAAAAAGATTTAAAGTTTTATTGTTGTTTTCAAAGGTAAAACTCCACTTCGTCATGCACCTGCAACTCCAATTACGCCTAGAGGACTTCTAGGACTTCCAACAGGACGTAGATCTTTATCAGCTGATCGTGCTAGCAGTATTGGTGCAAAAGGTCCAAGAAAGGACAGAAGACCATTAACAGATAAAACTTATCAAGCTCGTATGCTTGCCAGAATAGACAATTTTTTTGCTCTATATCATTATTCCTCTATGCTTAATAGTAATGGTAGTTTGAAACCCATTACCTTGAAAATGTTTGTAGAAGTTACCGCTCATTTAATGAAAATGTTAAATATTAAACAAACTCTTACAGTTATCAATTATATAGAGGAATTGCCAAAAATAGGAAAGAAACTTCATTATCCAGGCATTATTAATAAGTCTTGGTTAAAAACTGCCAATGCTATGCATTCTTGGCCTTACGTTTTGGGCTGGATCAGTTGGTTAGTAGAAATTTGTGAAATAAAGGAACAAGCTTTCCAAAAATTTAACTTAGAAAACTTACCATTCACGGGCGATCAGAGAGAAGCCAAAATTAATAAAAATACTTTCTTCTCTATGCTTGAGTTTTACAATGCCTGGAATGATGAAAAACTCGATGAAGAGGCAGCGATGGTTGAAAGATATTTACAACAGTTTGAAGAGGAGCAAGGAGTTACTGAAGAAATATTAAATAATGCACGCTCTGAATTAGAAGAAGAAATGGATAAACTCCAAGTAGCTGAAGAAGATGCAAATAAAATTGATGAAGAGGTGAAGCACTTGCAAGAAGTATTGTCGTCTTTGCAAAAAGAGGAATCAAAACAATTAAATGAAATCAGTGCAAAAGAAGAATCCTTAAAAACAATTAATTTTGAAACAGAACAAATAAATGCTGAGTGTGATGCACTACGCGAACAGATTCGTATACGAAAAATACAGCATGATGAACTACTTTCAACTGTTAAACAACAGCCAATGACAACAGTAGAAAGAGATAAAATTTTGGAAAAATGTTTGGAGATTGAAAGGTATATGAATCTATTTGATGAACATTTAGAAGATATACGAAAAGAGTTGTATACTACAGATATTAAATTGGCATCTGTTAATAATAATGTAACCAAAGCACTTCTCAAATATAACAAAGAAATATTCATGCACCTTAGTGATAATATAGGTGTAAATTTAGAAGAATTAAGGATGCCAGAAAAAGGTATATTGGATCCTCAAATTATGGAAGTATTAAGATCTAAAGCCACTTTATTGAATAATCTTAAAGAACTACTGAAAAGACAAATTATTGAGAAAGAACATTTGTTAGAAATAAATTTCAATGAATTGGAAAATCTTCAGGAAAAAATGAAAATCTTGGAAGAAGAAAGTGGTGATGTTGCTAACAAAATTAAGGAAAGAAAAGCTCTTATAACTAAAATTAAAATTGATGCTAAAAATGAAGAAGCAAAATTAAAAGAAGAAATAAAAAATTTACAAAATGATATTAAAAAAATGCAAGAGTTAAAGCCAGACATAGAAAAACTTTTTGCAGAATTAAAAGAATCAACAGACAAGCTAGATGCAGTTCGAAGAAGAAAAGAATATATACAGGAGTCTGCAAAATTATTTTTTGATAGATTTTATGAGATTTTAGGAGAAAACAGAAGTGAACTTCACAACATATTAGCGAAACGTAATAAATAATTTGTATACAAACATATTTCATTTGTATGTACTTCCTTATGTATAGTATCAAGCAAATTTTCGAAGGGAAAGCATTCTAAAATATTATACTTTATTAATTGTTATGTTTAAAGAATATACTGAAATTTATTTTTATAGAGAACATGGTTTTTTTAAAAGAAAAATACATTTCCCACTTTAAAGTGATCCTATTTTTCTTCAAATACCTTTATTTATTTTTTATTTGCTTTTACAGAAAATAAAAGTAATCTTTTAAAGACGTTTTAAAACGTGTTCTCTGCACTTCTAGGAAATAAAATATTTTGTAACAATTTTTTTGAACGATGTTATTGTTATTCTTAATTGAGAAACATACAAATGAGAATGTTTGAAATAAACATTTACCCAATTTACGACAAGATGTAAATTTTTATCAAAGTGTTTAAACAATTTCCACCAAACTATACAGCCCTGTATGCGTGCACTCACACAATCAACGGAAAGCATGCACGTATACACCATGCGCGAGAGAGACACTCAATTTCATAGAATCAATTTTTCGTCTCGATAATTACATAAATGAAATTTTCGCGGGTACAGCACACACGGGTAGACTTCGCTACAGGTCGGTCTGGTCCGCTTGAACGCTAATAAACACCATATGTTGAAAAAAACCAACCCGAACAAACTATCGGCCGATCGAAAGTCTGCAGTTTGCGGGGGCTCTTTTGACCTAAGTTGAACATGAACCGTAACCGGGGATTGCGATTTGGAACGGCCACTTCTCAATTCATTTGGTGTTAACATTTGCGGGCTTACTTCTACTGGGGAGTAACTTATACAGGGTGTCCCAACACTGGGGTAAGGACCCCGCGAAGGGGATGATTGCTGAGATCCATTCTAAACAACTTTTTCCTTTGCCAAAATGTTGGTTAAGGCTTCGTTTTCGAGTTATTAACGAAAAACACTGGCTAATCAGAGCGCGCCTTTACCGCAACATTTATGTTAGAACTGATTGATCGATCCCCTTCGACGGATCTGGGGTGAGAGCCGTGGGGTTTGCAACGACACGATAAGATTAGTCCTGGACCCTGGATACTGAATCCTCCATGATTCAGGTAGTCTAGCAACAAACCGATGACGATGGGTTTCGGACTCTTGAATCACTCCTCTGACGAAGAATGACCCCTGGACCCAGCGCGAAAGGACTTTCTACCCCCGAACCAGCGATTCTGTATATAAGGACCATAACTCCCATTGTACGAGAACAGTTTAGTAAAAGATTTCCGAAGTGCAGCATCGACCTAGTGTTGTTTGAATATTTCCTGTCTACCGATCCTTTGAACGTGACAGGTTCATCACAGTCCTCTTACCAGAAGGCCATGCCTTCCCCACTCCGTGGCCAGATCCTTCTACAAAATCCTTATCTTTACACGTGCCATGCAGCACCATGACTTCGGGTCATCGGCCACACGCGTGTTCCTTTGAAGATCGGCGATCGAACTCTCTATCGCTGTTCCATAAACAAAACATCCGCGATTCTTAGAATTCGTCGCACCTCAAGTAAGGGTGATCCTCTCGCTACGCTACTCAAAGGAAGTGCCGCCACAATAGAATGTAGAAGTTGACATCCTATTTCTGTCATCGGTTACTTGACCAAAGTGGCTCCTGCAGCGAAGATGGCGAGGGTAAAAATTTGTCCCACGACCCACGGTTTTGGCATCACTGCGTCAGTCTGTCTTCGGACATCAAAGAAATGTGGGGATTTTTCATTTTTTTGACCGTTGTGCCATCTATACAGAAATGAGAGAAACTACTCGACAACTTACTTTCCGGTCGATAAGCCGGCATCTTACCGACCACAAGTAGTTTTAGCCCTTTTTGTATAGATGGCGTTGGAATCAAATTTCAAAAACAAATTTGTCAAACAATCATTTCAATAATTTTTCAGTTTTGTACTGGTTTTGACTGATTTCTAAAAGGATAGAATCAAGGAGAGTGAGAATTGTGTCTTTTCAGTTGTGAATTCGAGGTGCGGTGAAAGAGGGAGTGATAAAACAAGTACGATAGTCATACCAATTGTGCTCTGGATGTATGTTGTATGTATGTATGCATGATGCGTGTATATAATGATACACACGTGTATGTTTCATATGAATTGTATGTATATTTGTATAGAGCGTTTACACACCATTTGCACTCTTCTAAGCACAACAAATATTACAGTATATTTTATCGATGGTAATGTCTATGAATCAAGAGTGATTTATGACGATCTTACGAAATTTCAGTGAGCCGTATTATTGCGTCGCCCGCGTCTCTTACGACTTCCACCGGAAGGACGGTTCGATGAGGCCCATTGTTCATAAAAACGTTCTGCTTCTAACCATTCTTGATATTTATACCACCATTCTTCCCACTTTATGTAGTCGTCTAAAGTTAGATCTCGAAGATATCCCCGTGCTTTGTAATAATCATATCTAACACGGACGTCATCCCAACATTCAAGACCTCTTGGTCCTTGTGCTAAAAGCGATTCAGGATAATGTCCTGGCGGTGGAGAATCGTATCCTAATCTTGCAATTCTTTCTTCACCCTCTATTACAACTTTCATCGCGTTTTCTCCGTCTTTTGTGATACGCATGTTTTCCATGTCTCTACGATCTACGCTCCATTGTGCCATTTTACCAAACCTATAAAACAATTCCATACTTGAATGAAATTTTCATTTTTTCAAACATAACCATCCTGTATTTACAGAACTTTTGAAGTTTCAGCTTTCATTTTAATTCATAATATACTATAACAATAGATATTATATATCTCATTGTTAGAATATTTTAAATCATACCTTTCTGATAACGTCATTCTAGGTGGGCCAACATGAGACGTGGTAGAAGAACTATCACTGTCTTCACTGGGTGATGACTCGGGTGGAGGCCTAATCATTTGAGTTGATCCATGACTCGAATGAGTTTTTTCTACTTTCACAGGTTTACGCATCTGTGTAATTTCCATGGTTACACATTGGAAAAAATCAAGTATATAAATAAGAGACAACAAATGTATAATAATAATAACACCAACAACAATAATGTAAGATAAAAGATATTAATATGAAAGAATGTTTTACCAATGGAATGGGATCTGGAACTCGTGGATCTTCAGGAATTCTAGTATGATGTTTTTCTTTACGTCGAACCTTTGTTTCTTTTTCTTTAATCGTTTTATAGTCCTTCTGATGACGCGGTGGAGGTTGTGGCGTAGGCGGAGGTGTACGTGGACGTGGCAAAGGAGGTGATCGTGGCCTGGTACGAGCCGGTATCACTCTTGAACTTGACGGTACTACCTCCTTCGGATGTGTCCGAGTTCGAACCGGTGTAAGTGATCTTGAACGTGAACGAGAAGGCTGAGCGACACGTCGACGTTCTTTTGGTGAACAAACGCTGCATGACCGATCGGAGCAAGTACTTCCTGTACTTGGGCTACGCGTAGGTCTGCCCCTGGTATGTGATCTATCACGAGGTGAACGAGGACTTTTAGTACGAGGGCTGCGCGGTCTTGAAATGTGAGGACTTCGAGGCCTGGGACTTCTCGGGCTTCGAGGATGCCCTCTACTGGGTTCTCCGCTTGCTGTGCCTCCGACGTACAATTCCTTGTATCCGCTGTGCCTCCATCTATTTGGATCTCGTTCCTCTACTTCCAGAAGCTTTTTGTTCCAATAACTTGATTGAGATTCACGTGCTTTCCGCATTACACTATCTAATTCTCTCCGTTTTCCAGAATTTTCACCGTGTGGTCTGGGTTGGGATACGCTGGTATCCATCCGTAATTTACTAGAACTGCTACCACTACCGCTACCTCCTCTTCGTCTATCATAGTCTCGTGACATTCCTAAAACAAGAATATACTTTTCATTAATATCATTTTTTTTAGAATCTATAACGTATAAATACATATATTTGCAGTTAGCATTAAGGTCGTTATACTAACGATATTTTTGAAATATGTACCTGACAGAGATGTTAGAATAGAAAATAGCGGAGGAGCGAGAATGCTGACGATCCAATCTCCTGTGAGAGCAGTGAACACGTTAATTTTCAAAACATGACAAAATGCCCATAAAGATGATAATACGGTGCACTAATCGCCATGAGATCGCTAGAAGAACACCAGTACCACTCGTGCTTTGTGTTGACTGGCCTAAGTGAAAAATTCAATGTCACAAACGGATATCATCTGCAGTGGTGAATCAGAGGAAAAGTTAGTATTCCCGATCAAAAGCGTATTTTTTTTTTTTCTTTCTCTCTCAGAATTTGAATTTTCGCGGAAATCCATTTGTGGTACTGGACATCACCCGTCGCGAGACCTTACCATCGCCATTCTCCGCATGTCCAGAATTGTAGTACGCTTCGATCCACGATCCATAAATGTTGGTCGTGTGGACCTTTCAATGAGACGAACCAAATTCAGAGACCGCCTTTCGAAAGGCGTCCGCGCGCGGACGCGACCAACCGAACTGAATCCGTGTCCAAGTATTCGCGTGTTTCTTAACGGATCGAATACGTATAGGACGTGAAGTTTATCTGTCGAGCATTACCCGGGTAATGCCATACCGAGGCGGCACTCACCGTAGCCGATCAACGATACACGATAAGATTAGTCGTCAATATTATACACCGACAATACACACAGACGCGAGAGAATTCAGTGAAGAACATATCGATTACGAGAACATTCCGGCCTTTTTTGACATCACCGAGGGATGTCAATCGCGGAACGGTCACCTTTTCGGTACGCACCGGAGGATACCTTGCCGCGTACGACTCGTAACCACACCGAAACGTAACACGGAATTTGTGGCTCGAGTAACGGGTACGTCAAGGTCACGTACAAGACCGATTACGCGATTTCGCGACCGGCAAAACCGTGGATATCGTGACACCATTTCGGATATTACCCGGGTAATACCTTTCTGATGTCGTAACGAACTCGGGAAGCGCGGAATGCCTCAAGTATACTGCTTGAGGAAATAAAGGAGAAAGAGAGAGAGTGTCCGAAACCGGTATGTACGCGTATAGCCTCCTTCGCTCCTTTCTTTCATGAAAAGCGAAGGTCGGCTCTCCTCGCTTTTTCCATTTTGCTGGTACACACCTTTGCACTAGTTTTTTTTTTGTTTTTTTTTTTTTTTTTTTTTTTTTTTAACGTAGCTTCACAAAACTTTTACTCGACGGTATTAGAATAGATAAATCTAACTTTGGCAGCGCTCGCTGCTATTCATACTGAAGCGTCAGAGGCGTTTGTTCGCTCGCAGCCGACGGTCACTTTGAAAATCAATTGCCCACCCAGTGAGCGCTACCCGAGCAATTTTCACGACATTCACCGGATTTTAGAACCATTCGAGCTAACAACACTCACTTTTCTCACCGCCGCAATTTGCAAACTTGCATTTTCTGCCACAAGATTCAGTGAATCACTTCCGCGTGACGTTCTACGAATGGAGATTATAAAGAAGACTTTTTTTCGAAGAGTCGCACCAACTGCAGAGGATACATTCCAAACGAGATAAGTAACAGATGTCGCTACCAGTGATTCGGTAACTTAACGAATGCTTTGTTATTTTTTTTTTTTTCTTAACCTTACATACAATGTATATTTTCATCAGTAAAACAATTTATACTTACTTAATAAATTAATCATTTTTTATTCTAATTGAAATAATACTTTCAGTTTGGCATGTATGTATATACATAACTAGAAATGAAATAACACGATTGTATGTATGTACTGCGCATGTTACCTGTGTTTTCTATTGGATGATTAATCTATCCACGTGCCAATGGATGCCGACTAGAAGAGCTTTACTAATCGTCCCTTAAAATTGAATAATTGACAGAAAAAATGGTAATCGTAATTGGATTCGAAGGGAGTGCAAATAAATTGGGTGTTGGGATTATTCAAGATGAAAATGTTTTGTCAAATGTACGACATACTTATATTACTCCACCAGGCGAAGGTAAACTTCTCATGTATACTTTCACTTATGTATTACTTGATTAACAAAAACTGGTCATGTATATACACTGTTTGTTATTATTTAAAAATGTTAGACATGAGATCTTTTAAAGATTCTTTTAAAAAGGATTTTTACCTCGTGAAACTGCGCAACACCACAGAGAACATGTCCTTGTCGTTTTACAAAAAGCACTGAACGATGCTAAAATAACTTTAAAAGATGTGGATGTGATATGCTATACAAAAGGACCAGGAATGGGAGCACCGTTGACAATTACTGCGTTGGTAGCAAGAACAATTGCTCAATTATATAATAAGCCAATCGTTGCAGTAAATCATTGTATTGGTCATATTGAAATGGGACGATTAATTACTGGAAGTATAAATCCTATTGTTTTGTATGTTTCTGGTGGAAATACGCAGATTATCGCATATTCTCAACAGAAATATCGTATTTTTGGCGAAACAATAGATATCGCTGTTGGAAACTGTTTAGACCGTTTCGCAAGGCTATTAAAGCTATCAAATGATCCTAGTCCTGGTTATAATATAGAACAGTTAGCAAAAAAGTAAGTTATTATGATAAAGATTTATTCATTCATACACACGCATTGATTATATTTTATTATAATTTTACATCAATATAGAGGGAATAAATTAGCTCCATTGCCTTATGTAGTAAAAGGAATGGATGTATCTTTTTCGGGAATTTTAAGTTATATAGAGGAACATCATTCTTCTTGGCTTGAGTCCAAAGAATTTACTCCCGAAGATTTATGTTTTTCTTTGCAAGAAACAGTGTTTGCCATGCTTGTTGAAATAACAGGTATTATTATTACTTATAATTTAATTTTATAATGTAAGAAGAAAAAGAAGAAGATATTATCTATTTAATACAATAACATTATAGAAAGAGCAATGGCCCATGTGAAGTCATCCGAGGTATTAATTGTTGGTGGTGTAGGATGTAATAAACGATTACAAGATATGATGGAAACTATGTGTAAAGAGAGAAATGCAATACTTTATGCTACAGATGAGCGATTTTGTATAGATAACGGTGTAATGATTGCTGTAGCTGGGTTACTTCAGTACAAAAGCAATGGGCATACACCATGGATAGAAACAACTTGTGTACAAAGATATCGAACGGATGATGTACATATTTCTTGGAGAGAATAAATGAGTTTTATATAAAATCATTTGTTACAATAATGAATAAAAGTATTTTTTAAATATTCAGTCAGAATTTAATTTACATTTATGTTAATATAAATTCTGATAGATTTTATAAGGATATCCATTGTTCCTTGTATACTACTTAAAATTTGTATCACATTATAAACGTTCAGTATTGCTATATTATTACACTATTTCGATAACGCAATTAACTCAACGAATACATTATAATTCTGTTATTATAATTTACAAATTTGAACGGACCGCCGCGTGGTATTCGGTATCCATAAATAGCTAGTGCGTACGCACTTGTGTATGTGCGCATGCACAAACATTATTCGGGTTCAAAATTGATATCGAGCTATCAGTTTGTGAAAAGAAGAAAAGCGAGCAACACAGGCGGAGGTAAAATTTTCATGACACGCGCGGTAGATAGAAGTAGCATACAATATTCGTCGACGCAAGCGCACGTGTGCCTGTAGTCCAAACAATACTTTTGTCGTTAGTAGTGGCTGTTATAATATTAGTAGAATTCGTATCGTCATCTCTGCCGGATACACGATCAGCAGCACTGTTACTACCTAGTACAAACGTCATTAAAAGTTTCGTTTGAAATTATTTGAATTTTATGATGAATAAAACGTTTGTCATTTTCTGCCAATATCGTGTTTGCATAGAATTATAGATTTTTCTTTTGAATCGTTTCATGCGTAAGTTTTATCGAGAGAAATAAAGAAAGGAAAACGTGAAATTTCTTTTATATTATAACGACTATATCATATTGTCCATTTCCTAATCGATAGAGGCGCGAACACCGATTGCAGCGCTTGATGTGGAACAAGTGGCAGTACGATATCGTCATTGCTCGTCAACGATAGTCACTGTTCGTCAGGGTGCATTTACTTGGTGCCTTTAAGATGTGCCGTTATATGATAGTGCACGATGTCTTATCTTTTTGACCGAATGATACTCGTGCTTAAAACAGAGGTGAGTCGCAAAATTTCTCCTGCCTCGTTTCTACCACTGTACATCTATTTCCGTATAGTAGCTGCTTCATTATAGCATCGTATCGGTACGTCAAATACTGTCTCCAAATAACACACATACAGACCTAGATAATTTAAATCTCTCAGCTGTTCGCCCTTGAATCTGCTACAAATTCTAATGTAATTCACGTTTTTCGGTATTTAACTATTGTTCATTTCTTCATTTCTTCATTTCACTTTGAGATATTTTTAACGGTAGACGGTGCATCAACGTTGATGCTATAAAGATTTGACAGTGATTCTGGGTAAACTTTTTCATTGTCAATTAAAAACTAAATGATACAAGCATTCTGTACTGGGCTTTCAACAATTTACAGTATGTAGAATTTTTTGTTACCGAGGTCAGGGAACGGGGTATAAAGAATTCAAAGAAGATATTCTGATACAAAAATCAATATCTGTGAAACTGGAAAGAAATATGGTTTCAAATACATAGTTGTTTGAAAGAATTGATGAATGTTAGTTTTCCGATCATGAGAATTTGATGACGGCGAAGAATGTAATAAGAATAATTTTGTTTTTTTGTGAAACAGACTACGGATGCTGTGCCATTGATTCTGTTCGTGAGATTATATTCAAAGTTACTCGCTCCATACAGTCTTTACATACTATTGGCTGGTAATTGGTAACGCTCAGCATCCATCTTTACTACTGTCGCCCGCGATAATATGAATAGTGATCGCGGTATGTTCACAAACGTTCGTTAATCATTCTCTAAACTGTGTTCGACGTGGTGCATCGATGAAACTTTTTTAAACACTTTCGCAAGTTGCATTTGGTTTTCGGTAGACGATGAATTCGTATCTGCAGCAACGTTATTAAAAGCAAAGAATATCGTAACTGGCATATCTTACGACACTTGAATATTTTTGTTAGCCATACAATATCATATTGACGCGTAGCCAAGATTCAAACTATGCATTCGGACAATGCATCAACAACGAGTATTTAAATAATGTATCTTCGAATCGTAGATGCGTCGTTGTCGAATAAATTTTTTTTCTTTTTCTTCTTTTTTTCATAAACAAAGATACCGATTGAAATAAGAGCAAACAACAATAAGGAAATAGTAGTTCAATCGATAACGAGAGCATCGAGTGTAACAAGCGTAAAACCACTCGGGGATGTAAGAGGGAGAGTTGCTTTGGAATTATGCCACGAATAAATGCCGTGCCATGACATTTAAAGCTGTTTTACAAAATATCATATGAATGGAAAATTAATATTTGACATCTTCATTCGGTTCACTGTGTCATCACGGTTTTCAATGTGTCAACATTTTTTCAACTTACCCCGTGTTTAATGAAGTTGCGAATAAATATACATAGTCATTAAAAGATGAAAATTCTGTCCGGTCATTTTCATCGACACAGATCGATCTGCGTGAAGTTTCTACTCAAAAAACGAAACAAATTGTAAAAACGCCGTACACGTCAGACTTGAGCAATTTTCAATGACAAATGATTCTATGTTGATTATAATTCAAAGAAAAAAGGAAATAATAATAACAATAATAATATTAATATTATATTATAATAACAATAATAATATTAATAATATTAATATTATATTATAATATTATAATAATATTAATAATGTATTGGCATTCTTGATTCGTCTATAACAAACGATTATTTAATAATAAGAGTGCTTGTTGCTTTGTATATACGCTTCAAATTTTGCATGATTTGTCTTGAAATTATCGTGTTGTTAATAATAAGAACATTAAAGTTTTTTTATTGTAATTGGTGTTACCTCTGTCATTTTCTAGAAGAATACATGTAATTGATCCACGATATTATTTCTAGAAATACAATTCAAGGCTGTGTACGATGTGACCGTGTATTTCGTGACTTAACTTCATCTAAAGCATGACAAATTTTTCTTTCTGTTATCGTAAACAAAATATGACCTCTTTCCTAACATTGGATTTTATTTTCATCACGTAATTAGATATAACTATGTATAAAATTGTATACTGATTGACTGTAACAGATTACAGAATACTGAAGGGGTCATCGATAACCGGCATCACGAATTTAATATACCTAATTAACAAAAGTTTCAAAGTACATTAATATTATATTACAGTAGGTAGTAAGTGGAATGTCTAAATTGAATAATGAAACGATTGTATTTATGTACATTGAATAATTACCTATTATAGCGTGTCTGTTTTCACTGCGGCATTTAATAACTGCTTCTATTTTACTGGTCAGTATTTTAATCCCTTTTCTCAGTATATATTTAAATGTGAAGGGTCAGTATTTAAATCCTTTGATCGGTATCCTTCCATACTGACCATTCCCTATTTATGTACTAACCTAACCTAACATAACCTAATCTAACCGTTTAGTATTTCTATACTGACCATTTTGGTAATAAAATACTGACCGCGAGATGATTTATATACTGACCGAAAATGGATTTAAATACTGACCTTTTAATTTGTTGCCTTTAATAACGCGTTATTAAGATAATAAGTAATAACGGTCTGGCAGGACAGCAGTCCGACCGTTGACGGACATATCTGAAGGTAGTCGCTTTAAATTTCTATCTATTCTATTGAAATAATCCAGCTTCAATAAAAAATGGTTGAATTAACAAACAGATATCAAAATTTTCAAATTTACTTTTTTCTCAAAAACAAAGTTAAATACAAAAAAAATATTATTTATTTCTGCAGATGGAATCATTCTTCTTCCGGTTGTATTATCAGTAGGCTAGGATGCGTAAATTATCATACCATACTTTTCTATCTACATACGAACGAAGTATTCCAAACCTTCTGTTTAAGAGGTTTGCGTGAAAATTTGAAGCGTTTCTACATTCTAATCGTGCATGATTAATCGGTATTTATCGTAGCTGGTAGCACTATTTCGTCAAAATAATCGCTCTCGTTACATACTGATCTAGACTTTGCACGAACTCACGTGCACCATTGAATTAGGACTATCGAGACAGGTGCTTTTCACATGGAAACTAGGTCAGAGTGTATTAACCTCGTACGTAAATAGTACTGGTCATACATAATGTTTGCGACAAATATATACATATGTATCTATGTATATATGTACATATATATTTTTTCTAGTTACCTCTAGTTACTTCTCCTTTCGTGATCTTGTTCATCTGTTTTTGGACTCCATAATCGAATCAATAGCATAGCATTAGATTTGAAATATGGTACCACTATAAACGACAATAATTTCTTTTTACGTTCTACCTTAACGCCCCATAGTTGGCGTTGATCTGTTTTTTTTGCAGTTTCTTTTACTATCTACGATAATGAAATTCTTCTAAACAGGGTCGAAGATGTTACAGATACTTCTGAAATAACTTGAATCTTATTTTCGTATCGGCTGAACAGCAGGCGGCCGAGTATCATAGATATTAAGAAGGGATGAGAAACTGTGATTCGAGGAATCTTGGAAATAGCATCTATTATTCGGGTACATTTCGTAATGTCGTTACACTGCAATGTATAATATATTGCAAAAGTTTCGGATCTCTATTCAAAGTAGAATATATACAGCTCAACTACCTTTACATTACATAAAGTTCATTTCATTGTCAGTAGATGTACAATGTGTAAAGGTGCAACATAAACGGTTCATGGATTATCATAATTATTTATAAAGGAATATACCCAATGTATCTGTACTTGTTATGATTGGTCATTCACCTTGATCATAAACCTACGTTCCTCTGGAAACTAATAATTCATCGTTTCCATTTATTAAAAATTTATAAAACAGAATATTAAAAAGAAAGAAAGGGTTAGAGCTTGTAGAGTTATTTTGTATTTGTCTTTTGATGTCTGCAGGTGTCCTAAATGTCCTCGCCCCACTTCAGCACAAATCTTACATCTCGGTATTATAGTGTACAGAATTGCAAACTTTTTCAAACACTTCTAACTTTGTTTGAATCATTCCACATGTATTTGACGATCAGATTCGCTATTGTGGTTTATTCTTATAATGCTTTCGACTATGACAGTGAAAATAACCATGTGTAATAAGACATGTTATAATTACTAATGACGCTTCACTCAATAGTAACACATTCAATCGTTAAGATACATTAAAATAAACCACTGTTCTAACCAAAATCCACTAAACATTTTATTAATATCTTTCCCCAGAGTATGACGTGGCGCGGTTTAACCGAGCCAAGAGAAGAGGACAGACGTAGGTACGGATGAAGCACAAGAAGGGTAACGAGGACGAGGAGGAGGAGGAAGAAGAAGAAGAAGAAGACGGAGAAGCGAACGGTGAAGAAGAAGGAGAAGAAGAAGAAGAAAAAGAAGAAGGAAACAAAAGAAAAGTGATTCATCTAGTACTTGAAGATCCTGATATTTTATCATCAGCCAATGTATTAATATCATCATCATCGTCATCATCATCGTCATCGTCGTCGTCGTCGTCGTCGTCGTCGTCGGCTAATCAATACATTTGATGCTGAGCGAAAAGAGATACGAAGACGACTCAACACTGGCGGACGGGGAACGTAATGGAAGCGCCGTGGTCACGGGCCCGGTGCTATCGTCGTCGTCGTCGTGCACGGTGCCCTACATCGGCACCGACCAGGGTTTCGTGTTCGAGGGTGGCGGCACGACGACGTTGCAGCGGGCTGGTGCAGTCGGTACATCTGTCACTAGCTGCACCGGTGGAGGAGGAGGAGGAATTGGAACCGGAATTCTTGGTATCGGTTCAGGTAACGTTGGTTTAGGGATTAACATGGGCGGTGGAATGACCGGAGGTGGGATTGCCATTGTTGGCGGAGGAAAAATTGGCGGAGGAGGAGGAGGAGGTGGATTGAACAAAGAAGTACGTTACGCACCTTTCTCATCATCCATAGGACCAACGGGTTCTATGGGGCCGGTTAATCTTCCGCCATCACCTTTGCCACCGCCTTTGCCACCGCCACTGCCACCACCGCCGCCGCCGCCGCCGCCACCGCCGCCGCCGCCCTTGCCGCTACAGATGCAGCAGCAACGTGCCTATTCGAGGTCGATGACGTCCCTACCGCCTGAGCCGTTCATGATCATGAGATCTAAAGCTCTTAATCGACGGGTATCGATCAACGTCGGTGGTGTTAAGCACGAGGTACTATGGCGTACCCTTGAAAGATTACCCCACACACGTTTGGGACGATTGAAAGATTGCAACACGCACGAGGCGATCACCGAACTATGCGATGATTATTCTCTAATCGATAACGAATATTTTTTTGATCGACACCCGAAATCATTTAGCTCTATATTGAATTTCTATCGTACCGGGAAGCTACATCTTGTAGACGAGATGTGCGTGTTGGCGTTCAGTGACGATCTCGAGTACTGGGGTGTCGACGAGCTTTATCTGGAAAGTTGTTGCCAACACAAGTATCATCAACGAAAGGAACACGTGCACGAGGAGATGCGCAAAGAGGCGGAATCGTTGAGACAAAGGGAAGAGGAGGAGTTCGGTGAAGGACAGTGCGCGCAATATCAGAAGTGGCTTTGGGATTTATTGGAGAAACCGACCACCTCCATCGCTGCAAGGGTGAGTTGTTTATATTTGTTTTATTATCGTTGATGAAACACGTGCGACGTTCTACTACCTGATGGATAAGAAAACAAGAAAATCGTGCACGTGCATTTACTTCAGATTCGTCGTTAAAGGGGGTTCAAGTTTTCCATGGGTAATGGAGAAAAATTGGATTGTTAATTTAAATGTTCAGAGGAGGGAAGAAGAATTTGTCCCTAAGCCAAACGACACACAATGTTGTGTAGTAATAATAATGTATCATTTGGCACTGACGAACTTTCGGCTACCTCGGAGTCCTGATTGTTCATCTAAAATCTAAATTCTATTGTTGTCTGTCGCAGAGGTCTACTTTTTCGTTTAATTAACTTTTATTTAAAATAAAAGTAACAAATATAATATGTAATGTAATAGATATCTTGGTAGTTCGGTGAACTTGTAGAAAAGCTACTCCCCCATCGATTTCGATGATTTTTAAATACCTATGTTGTAAAATTTGTCATTTTAAACAACTTTTTTTCTCTAAGCTAAGATGTCGAACTCGATTAGTATGCGGGATATTCGCGAAAGAATATTATTACCACTATAACGAATTCTGCATATACGTATGCACCCTTGTCGGGCATCCCAAGAGTACCGGCGATAGCCGCAACGACGCTTCTTTAATATAACCTAACCTAACCTAACCTAACATAGACGTATAAATAACAGAAAGAAATAAAATACCGCCAATATTAGTACGGATGGCAGACAATCTCGTGGTACACAATGATTAATACTAACGTTGACGGAATTAATTTTTTTCATTACTTATATGTCTAGATTAGGTTAGGTTAAGTTATATTAATATTCCGGCCGCTTTTAGGCGTTGTCAAAATTATTGAAACTACAGTAAAACCTCGTTTATGCGGCCTTCGATCAACCGAGCCTCCGCGTTATCCGAGACAACGGACTGATCCGAGCACTCCGCATTAATTGAGGTGTACATATGCTCGGATAAAACGGATGAAACCACTATGCCTATGCTGTACGGTACGCGCGTAGTATTTTGCGATCTTTTGTGATTAAATTTCATTCTATCATTTCAAATACATAAAAAACAATTAAAATTTTCGAGTTTTTTATTTCTCCCGTGTTATCCGAGTTTTCGCTTATCCGAGGGACCTCCTCCCCATATTACCTCGGATAAACGAGGTTTTACTGTAGTAGTTAACTTCGATTTTAAATATATAAAAGATAATTAAAATTTTCGAATTTTTTATTTCTTCCGTGTTATCAGAGGGACCTCCTCCCCATATTACCTCGGATAAACGAGGTTTACTGTAGTAGTTAACTTCGATTTTAAGCTGACCCGTTATATGGACGGTAGCCGGGCCATGTGGTGCTGTTGACAGAAACAGTAGATAAGCGAGGGTTGCTTGCCGTCGCACAAACAGCCGCGGACGTATAATGTACAGACGAAATTCAATATAATCGCTAATATCTCACAAATTAATCAAGTCCGACATATAGTTTAGAGGAAAAAAATTTCTTAAAACAAGGAATTTTACAATATATATAAAAATCATCAAAATCGGTGGGAGGGCTTTTCTACAAATTCACCGGTAGGTTCTATTAGTGTTGAAATTTCAATGAATCCATTTTTCTCCACGCCATTATGCCAATTAGGATCTGACAAATTGTCGGTGATAAGAAAACAAATATATTATATACCTATATGTTTTATTTTATTCGAATGGTTACGCTCGCAAGAACAAATGAATTATTTTGAGCAGCTAGAAAACATTGTAATATTTAAACGATTAAACGAAAATATGAATTTTTATAAATGTTTCGTTCAACTAATCTACTTACACTATCTCCACGTTTACAGTTTTAACTGGAGCCTTAATTTACAAGAAAGGTACTATTAAGTTGATAGAGTAGAGCATCGATTCAATTGTAGACTCTTCGTTATTAGACAAAAATTAGTTTATTGAGCTCTGTGATTTATCATCCAAACTCGTTGTAGATTTAATCATTGAAAAATAGTAAAACCAATGGAATTTTAGCATTCTCGTTACAACGATTAATCCCTTTCAGATAACATTATAAATATGTATAGTACAAAGGAAAAATAACAAGCCAGATGCTTGCTAATTGTTACTAAAGCTAAGCAACAAGTAAACATCAGTTAATAGAAATAGAAATTCTTGCATGGTATTGTTCTTCATCAACAGTTTATTTGTATATACACAGTATAGCTGTATATATGTTTCCTGGATAAAAGAAATACACGAGTATATATAATTAGAAATCGATTTTGCTCTTCTCTGTCAAGATCAGATTGATACCAACGTTCGTTGACTGAGGATCGTTGTTAAATATATCCATTGAGTCAGATTGGAATTTAGATAGATTCTGTTTGATGCATTTGTTTAATCCATCAACGTTTTACTCGTTGCCATAAGGTGTAAGTACGTACTTACTTATGTATATTGTATATGTGTATATATATACAGGTAGAAAGAAGTTCAATGTATATACACATATAATTTGTTGTCTGTTTAAAATAACCGTAGGCACTATTACTTTATACTGTTTAATTATAATTAAAAATCATGAGATATATATAATTTATTGCTTGTTATTGCAGTTCTATTAATATAGAAGCTATATATTAAATGATCCAGTATTTGAAGGTTGATACCTTGGTCTTCACAGTAAAAATGAACATGTGTAATTATATAGTTAACTCTAAAATGTAAGCTTTCCAATTTTTCAATTTATGCTATTAATTTTTTTTTTTAATTAGCGTGTATAAATTAATTAAAACGAAAATGTAAATCAACAGAAAATTTAGATGTCTACGGTTTCCCTTAAATAGACCCTACATGTACATAAAAGAGACCATAGATATACGATGAGTAGATAAAGTAATCACATAACATAGAAATTGTTAATAATTATTCTCTAATAGAAAGAACATCGAATTCATTTGTTCAATCACATTTTGTGTCGATGTATGTAATGTATGTTTTATTTCTAGGTGGTGTTAACAACATGATTATACTAATCTCATTGTTCTGTAATCCAGCTTTTTAGCTTTTAAATTTCATTCCTTTTTTTTTTTTCTTTCTTTCTTTTAAGAGTCATTTTGATTAATACTTGGTCCTCGAATGATAATGGGAGTGCATAATACGCGATTACCAGGTATCACGTTGATTCTTTCTCGACACCGCTCCCTGTGAGATGTCACAGTAACTTCGCTACCAGCGAATTCAATTCAATACTTTTTACCCATTACTTGTTATATATGTAATTAATCATCTAACGCAATTAGATCGACATTAAACACGAAGGATTGTAACGTTACTCGAAAAGAAATGCATTTTATCTGCTTAGAAATCACTTGACACCGTTGCGTTAATATATCTATACATGTATTATGTATATTTTTATTTTTATTTTTATTTCTTTTCGTGTCACGTTAGATAACAATAGAATATCCCAAGATAGATTAACGTTGCCCTCCTACTAAAATACTTGCCATACACACCACAAACAATACACATTGCACACACTGTTGCTTCGAAATGGAACAATATTAATGCGGGGTAATTAATTAGCACCTGTTATCCATCACTAATTATCCATTACACTGTAGAATTACGATATCCTGAATCCTCTTTTTTTCTATTCACACATATATGTATTTAAACGTATATGTGTATGTGTGTGGATTTTTCATTGATTTTGTTTTTTATTCTTGTCAGACCTGAATCGAATTAGGAGAATTTTATTTGAACGGAATGAGAAAGTGAAATTTATGAATTGTTCTTTCTCTGGTTAAACTCTTCATTGTACGTCGAAACGTTTCTTCTCAATGCGTCAATATTACAGAAACTATTGATTTTCTACTATATTTAAACTACCTAAGGGTCCGTCGGTCAATAACTGAGTAGCTACTTCGGAAAGTATAGTCGTCGACAATAATGTTGTCCTCCATATTAAAATGGAAATTTCACTATATTTCTATGTCTCTTTGCAAATAGAATTCAATTTGAACCCAAAGAATTTCAAAAAATTCGCAAACATTCGATACGATGACATTAAAAAAAAAAAAAGGAACGTACTAGTTAACGCGTAAAGTCGAAGGTCATTTTCTGCATGCAAAGATGATAACATCGGATAATGATTCAACTCTAATTGTAGAATAATTATTTGATTAGGAAAAAGCAGAAATTCAATCTGACCTACGATGTTACATATGCGATAATTAAATAATTTAAATTTTATTCGATTAATTATTAATTATTAATTATTATTCCGAAAGAAATGTAAATCGATCTTTCGTAGAAAAATAATCATGCACTGGTGATTATTCATTTTTTCCAACGAACAGATTGAAAAATTGTTTGTAACGAGTTTCGTAGTTTGTCGCTTTATATTTGCAGCTTGAAAATTTTTTTGCTAAACCTGACTTAAGTAAAGAACGATTCAATTGATGATTCTTAACTTACGTTTGCTTTGTTTATAGAAAATGATGCGCGCTTTGAGGTGTTAACCAGTATGGATTAATTAAGAAAATAAAATAACATACGTAATTGAGAAAGTGCCGAACATAGAATTTTTATTAATATCATTTGATTATACTGTGCAACCAGATATTCTAGACAAGTTTGCTTCGACGCAAGCTTGATCAATTACTTTTTTGCATTAACGAGTAGATGTTTCATTAAGGACCGTAATTAACCTCCATATATTTGACCTTTGTAAAAACCCTGCAGTTTGTTTGCATGAAAAACTGTGGATCTATCACTTTGTTCACTTCCATTTCTTCTTCACCTTTTGCTTTTCAACTTGCAACCAAAATTACAGTCGGAAGATAAATAATTTTATTTATAAAATTAAATTACTTATACTGTTTCGTTCGTTAACCTTTATTCGGATATTCTATCTGTGAAATACAATTTTTAATAAACATTTCTGCAAATTCGAATACAAAAATGCTTAATTAACTAAATTAATTAAAATAATTTCACTTCCGAGTGTAATTAATATTTCTGTGTTACTTGCAATATAAATAAATATCTATCTATATCTATGCGAAAAGAGCGCCTATTTATTTTCATTTATTAAAAAACAAAAAAAGAAAAAAAGATGTAAATGAAAAATGGCAATTAACACAGCGACGAATTGATTTCGCTTTGTAGCGATTGCACTGTAGCCTGGTTAGGTTATTATAGGACGTTTACAATAAAATGATCGGGCACTACCTAAGGGTGGATCAAAAGGGAGCGGGGTTTTGAAGGGTCCAAATGAACAATAATACGCTAATAAGAAAAAATACGCTTGCCGAACAACGTACAATTTTGTATAAGTCGAGCGACGTCGGGCAGACTGCCTTCAAACGACGAGATTCTAAATGATGAATCAAGTATCTGTGTAACTAAAACGATTCTATGGCAGTTTTCAGCGATTCTGTTCACTTGTATTTCATTCAAGTCCTCAGTTTCGCAGAAAATGCTTTAGAACGTTATAGCGGTCCGCATTATATACAATCCTACATTCCTTTTTAACTTATCATTCAAGCTTCAATCGTTGTTCCCAAAGTCGTTTGGAGGTTTCATTGACAAACACTCCGAAGATAGAACTTTGTTTCTCTTCTAATTTATAAACGATGCCTCGAGCATCGTATCTTGAACAAAAGTTTCGAACAAGCTTCTTTACGTACGCAAATTGTTGCTTGCTTCATATATTGTACATTTTATCGTACAACTATATTTATTGCTTTGTCAAGTGATCGAATATGTTGTTGGTATATATATTATATATATATATTATTTTTTCAACGCTTTCGTAACGTGAGAGCTTTTGGTATTTATCCTTTTTTTGGTAGTGATTGTTGCTTATACAAGAAAAAAAAAATATGCAGGCTAAATGCAAAGTTGTTTCTCCTTGTCGTTGAATTTTTCTGTAATTGATATTCATATCTGTCACATGGTGAAAAGATGGTGTTTTTCTTGTTCGTTTTGAAACGAGGTTCTTCGCATCGTTGTTATCAGAGAATTTGTGTTAGGTTGGTAAATTGGAAATGGTCGGTTTTCGAAATAGATTCTGAAAGAGACTCGATGGAAGAGCGTTCCTTTCTTCCTTTTCGTGCGTAATACGGATATGGTTAACGTTATACGATCGTTGGCACGTTATTTCGAGAATAAGAAGAATAAGAAGAAGAAAAAGAAGAATGAAATTAGTTTTGATTCGAGGGTATTAGTTAGAGAAAATATGAAGGTTACATATCGCAGTGGTAGGTGGATTGAGCCGAGCGATGATATTCCGTTTTGACCGGTTGATCCCGTCGCTTTTCCAGGTGATAGCTGTGATATCAATACTCTTTATTGTGCTTTCGACGATCGCACTAACTCTCAACACCATTCCTAGTATGCAAGTGAATGATGAGAAGGGGAACTTTCAAGACAATCCGCAGCTCGCCATGGTGGAGGCAGTATGCATCACATGGTTTACACTCGAGTACGTGCTTAGGTTCAGTGCGTCGCCGGACAAGTGGAAGTTCTTCAAGGGCGGTCTAAACGTGATCGACCTGTTGGCAATACTGCCGTACTACGTATCTCTGTTCCTGGTCGAGACGAACAAGAACGCGACCGACCAGTTCCAGGACGTGCGCAGGGTAGTGCAAATCTTTCGTATAATGCGGATCCTGAGGATCCTGAAGCTGGCCCGCCACTCGACCGGGCTGCAGAGCCTTGGCTTCACATTACGTAATTCGTATAAGGAGCTGGGCCTGCTGATGCTCTTCCTGGCGATGGGCGTCCTCATATTCTCGAGTCTCGCTTACTTCGCTGAAAAGGAGGAGCCCGGGACCAAATTCATAAGCATTCCTGAAACATTCTGGTGGGCGGGCATCACAATGACCACCGTCGGATACGGCGACATCTACCCCACGACCCCGCTCGGCAAGGTGATCGGCAGTGTGTGTTGTATATGTGGTGTCCTGGTAATCGCGTTGCCCATTCCCATTATCGTTAACAACTTTGCCGAGTTCTACAAGAATCAGATGAGACGGGAGAAAGCCCTTAAGAGGCGGGAGGCTCTCGAGAGGGCTAAAAGAGAGGGCAGCATCGTATCCTTTCATCACATTAATCTGAGGGACGCCTTCGCCAAAAGCATGGATCTCATCGATGTCATCGTCGATACTGGTAAGCGACGGACCACAAGCAGGGTATACGTAATATATGAACCGCAGTTCACCAGAGTCCATAACTGCGCATCTTCGTGCGCATCTTCGCCCTGATTGGCGATACTCCCAACTGAAGTAGAAAGCGATTAGCGGAGAGCTCGCTGCGTTCCCCCACCACCTTCCAACCTGCGCGTCGCAGTTATGGACTCTGGTGAACTGCGGTATACATACATATACTATGCAGAGTCCGGTCGAATAACATGTAAAAGCAGACACCACGTGATTCTTCATGAAAAAATTAGGAAATATATAGACGATAACATTTTTTCATTTACAGCAACTTATTAGTTTCATTGTTTTCTTATCTTTTCATCAAGAATCACGCGGTATCCTCTTTTAGGGCAGTCTATGTATTGTAACATACAGGGCCGGCCCTGAGATTTCGGGGGTCCGAGGCGAGAACCGAAAAAGGGCCTCTTCAGATATATGACATAAAATAAAGTACCTCAAATAAAATTTATAAAATTAATATTAAAGCTTATATAACTAATTTAGATTTGCATTTATATCGATTACTATTCAAGTAAACATTACTCTTCTTGCATTCTTAGACGCAAAATCGTCTTATGGGGGCTCTGGACCTTGGGGGGCCCTAGACGGCAGCCTAGTCTGCCTAGGTCCAGGGCCGGTCCTGGTAACATACCTACTTGTATTGTATTTTTTCTATAACAAACAAGTATGTTTTTGATCGGAATATTGCATATCAAATGATCCATTTTTTTTAAACGTTATTAATGTTATTTTCCTTTTTATGCTTCCAAATTGCTCACTTACTACTATGCGATAGTTTGATACAATTTTGTTACATCTACACTCTACGCGAGAAAACTCGCATCTAATTAATCGTATCTACTTGGTTCATTTTATCTTCAATTTCTTGTAATTTTCGTGTTAATGTTATTACTGTATAGATTTGACAGCTTTTTTCTAACTGGAACCTGTACTTTTTTATGAAGTGCCAGGAAAATGAAAAATGATTTTTTCTTTTTTTTTGTTCCAGTTAGAAAGGAAATTTACTTTTTAATCGTTAATGTTCGATCAGCAAATCATAATTACAGCTTTCTCTTAATCGTAACGAAAAAGTTAACAATTTATCAACCCTGACGCAAGAACGATAAATTTATCAGTACTGGCCCAGGAGCAAGGTAATTACGCAACAAACACATTGAAACACTGTTTCTCACTTTTATTAACTGTCTCATTAAAAATAACTAAATCATGTTCACAAGCGCATTAAAGCTATCGACATTGAAAACTTTTGAAAACGCAACACGTAGCACAATGTACATTATCGTAAACCATCTGATATACATTTTTAATCTTCTTCACCATCGTCATCATCATCATCTTCTTCTTCTTCATTGTGTGCGCTAATCCTGCGTCAAGGTTGATGAATTGATGGCCTAATTCAGTGATAGGCATCAGGATAATCTCCGGAAGTAATAATATTTTGTAACCCAAAGAAATGAGGGAAGCATGTTTGTCACAATCATAAAATCATTACAGATACATTTTCATTTTTAGAATACCGAATGATTCTTACAGAACGTATTGGAAGTATCAAAGTAGTGTTAGCCGCGTGTCACGTGTGTGACATGTGCCTTCAGCTCGATTTGTTCGGGTTCCAACGATATTACGCGTTATCATATTCCGTAAGAGATTACCTCGATGGCCATCGTTGACATAATTGAAAAAACACAATGGACACCGAGCCTGTTTTCAGGTCACGATATGTCCGGCGTGGATGGTAACAGCAAGGAGGGAGAATCCGTGTACGGACGCAGCCCTGCCCAGACCAGGTCAGGCTGTTATCCTAACTGTATAACTATTACGGACCCTCGTGGCGTCGCGTCGTTGCGGTGCCTCATTTTCCTGCCGCTTCTTCCTCAGTCTACCTAACGATCAACCAACCACGCCGGACAGACCGAAATTTAACTTTGAAAAACAAATGATCAATCACCGTACCCGGACCTACTTCACGGCACACTTTGCCTTCAAGATTGCTTACGATAAGCTCAACCGATATCGTGTCAAGGTTCCAATGGCAACAGACTAATTTGACAAACACCAACATACATACATCTATCTCTCCTTTAGCTCACGATTTTACGTCCGACGTGGATGGTAACGAGCAATTTTTCATAATATTCACGCTTCTGCTACTTCCTCGATACAGCTAAGAAAGCAGCCTACCACGCCGGACCGATTCAGGACTCCGCATCATTCAAGGTTAACCAATTAACGTAATTACACCGAACACACTATCTGACACGATCAATCATCGTTTTTACAAACGAACCTGCGCCATCAGTTGATAAATTTATCGTAATGTCAAATAATTGCACATAATGGCATCTAGCATCCTCCCAGATCGTCAAATGTCCGGCGTGGATGCTAAGCAAACGTTTCTTTAAGATACATACATATTTCACATACCTGTAGCAATATTTTTTATTTCTTTCATTAAATCAAAGATATTTATACTGGTGTTGTATATTCATTTTGAATATCCTAAATATTAATAAGTATGTATCTTATATGAATTTTTAAAATGAAACTACTCAGAGAATTTTAATTTCAATTTCAATTAACGTAAATATACAGGGCGCCTTATTATCTAGAGTTTCAATACAAAATCTTATGTTTCTTTCTTAAAATGTATCAAATGATAGCTAGCTATTATAAAATTAGATAAAACTTGGTAAGCTGATTAGTGTTTATAATTTGCCAGTTTTTTCCTTGCTACTTTCCTTTATTCACCTAACGACCAGCCTACCACGCCGGACCAGGCCAACACACAATTCCCATTTTTAATTGTACTTTTATTAAAGCAATCGCTTAAGAAAAAGAGAAAAAGAGTGAAAAAAAGAAAGTACTTCGATTGGAGACTTTGATCGTCGAGACCTGGAGCGAATCTTCCACGATCCTTGCGTCAAGGTTGATGAGAAAAGTAGCATTATAAAAGACAGGATGGACGCGGAACATGTTTCCAGGTCACAATATGTCCGGCGTGGATGGTAACAGCACCGAGGGAGAATCCGCTTGCGGACGTGGTCCTGCCCAAACCGGGCCAGGCTGTTATCGTAACTATGAGCATTACAGTCTCTCACGACATCGTCGCAGTGCCTCGTCCTGCTTCCCAAATTTGCCTAACGATCTACCCACTACACCGGACAGTCCTAATCGTCGTCTATTGGACTTCGCTCAAAGCGTGCCTGGAACACAGAACGACGAATACTTCCAGGACGATGTACCGGCGCAGCATGTGAATCAAGGCAATACTACACCTAGCGTAAGTTTCATCACGAAATTTCCATATCAATTTTATTTATATTATATGTATGTATGGTTTTTTTGATGTCTTAATTTCTTTATTGTGTGCGCGCGCGCGCTTGCCTAGAGGTTAGGCACGCGCGACCGTATGATTATTCACATAGAAATAATAAAGAATAGAGTGCAATGGTATGTAGAAAGAGAACGCTTTGTATGGGCCCTTTGCCTTTGTGCATCCTTCTCTTTCTATTCACACACTTTATTCTTATATCTTTATGATTACTTATTGACCAGATCGGGTTCGATTTCCGAATTATCATTTTTTTTTCTTCTTTCTTTTTTTTTATAATTAAATTGTGTGCTTTGATTTTTGGTGTACGAGATATTCTTTCATTTTTCGATAATGAATTAGGAATGGTGGTGTTGTACAAGTGATTGTACCTATAAGTCAAAATACACATCCAACATTTATAAGTATGAAAGCTAGTAAAAACAATTCGGGCCCATCTGGAAAGTTAATATTGTAGGTGTTTAGTGGAGGGGGAAGGCGGTGGAGTCTCCCCGGACGCTCTTAGCTCGGGTCGGCGACCGCCAGGTGGCAGCAGGATTTGGGTTTGTTCTCGCTGGTGGTCCCCCGGCATGCTATTTGGACGTATATGAGTTCCGAAAAGCGGGGTTATAGGCGTTTGGGGCAGGGATCGTTTTGTCCGTCAGCCCCATTGACGAGTGTCTGGTAGACGCTCCTGAGACGAAACGCCTTTTTCTGTTCCTTTTAAGCCGGATTTTCTGGTAGTTTCTGGTACGGATATCTTTGATTGATAAGGAAGACAAAAGCTTTTCTGGGAGTTGCGCTCTATCAAATGAAAAGATCTGTACCAGAAACTACTAAGAAAATCCGGTTTAAAAGGAACAGAAAAAGGCGTTTCGTCTCGGGAGCGTCTGCCAAGACATTCGTCAGTGGGGCTGATAACAGACGAACTCTGCCCTAGACGTCTAAAAAACTCCGCTTTTCGGAACTCATATATCCGAATCGCATGGCGGGGGACCGCCAGCGAGAGAACAGATACAATCCTACTGCCACCTGGCGGTCGCCGACCCGAGCTGAGGGCGTCCGAGAAGACTCCACCGCCTTCCCCCTCCACTAAACGCCTACAATATCGCGATTTTTCTATAATCCGCACATGGCTAGTAGAGGCACAAATATTAGAACGTCAGTGCGGTCACATTGGATGCAAACAAGTAGTAATGTCCGAGTTTGGTCAGACCGTAGTATGATGTGTATATTCTGTATACTTTTATTTATTGAATAACATTCCAATTAATGTTATCAATTAAATTATCAATTCTATTCGCCAAAACATATTAAAATTTCCTTAAAAAAAAGAGAGAAAAAACAGGAAATCTGTAATATTTAATGAAGCAATAAGACATTATACATATATTTTGTTTTAAGCACACTGATCATTTATTTTCTTTTATTTTACTATGGTATAGGTGTATGCATTAAATACAATTGCTGCCTCGTTTTCAGTGTTATTTGACAGAATGTGCATCCAATGATATCGTTCTTGTTTGGGATTGATGTGAAATGATTTGGTGTCGATTAGCCACGGCATAACTTTTTCTTTCACATCGTCGTGCGATAGTTAATAAAAAAAGAATTCACTATAATATTTGAATCATGCAGAATGACACGATGTACCCAAGCACGCCTAGTGTGAACAATTTTTTTTTCCTTTTATTTGTTGTCTTTTGTATAGAGAGAAAGCACATTAAACTTTCTATTATCGTAACATTCGTGGCAGGAATATTAATATTCAACAATTTAATAAACAAATTGTCATTGTGTTTAGCTTGTTTCTCCAGCTTTAATTCTATTACGATTAAGCAGTAATATTCGTACAAAGCTTTTGTCTTTTGTGCTAAGAATTAGGTTATTTTTAAAACAGTTTGGAACACACGAATGAAAAAAGAAGTTTGCTCGACAAACTTGTACAGTTTCCACTTGTTATTTGCTGGATAGGAACGTTCAATGAATTATCATCGTACGTGTTTTCTTTCGGGTCAGCAAAAGTGTTTGCCAGAATTCCGAATTCAGAATTCAGATTTGGCACAAACATTGCAACGAATAGAGTCAGCTCGTGGAAGAAAACTTCCCGTGAAAGCATCGATTTTTTTCTTTCCGTGCTCCGCATTATAATTGCTAAATTACTAAATTGCTATCAATTACTAACCCAAAAAACACTGTTCAATGAATAATTATAAAGCACGATAAGTACTTAAAAATCGAGGCTATTTCAATCGAGACAGTGAAGACATCGGATATGGAAAAGTTTCTTCCGTTCAAATCAATAACGTGTCGTCCAAATGCTTTTAACGATTCGTCGATGAAATTAAACTTCCATGTTCTATTTGCAAAATCACTGCGGTCCTGGAATGCTTGCTTATCTTTTTACAAAAAATACATGCAGGTTAAAAAGAATACGAGGTTCTATGGAACAATGAAAAGTGTTGATCGTTTTCGTAAGCACGTTGCAATGAATTAAATTGTTTTTTTTAATAATCACTTTAATAATCACCTACGGATAGTAGATAGAACGTACTAGTCGATGTGTGTGTTAGGGATGTTGGGTACCCGATATTACGAACTCGGCCGGGCTCGGAAAAAATCGGACGGGCTCGGGCGGGTGTCCGATACATGCGTGCAGTCGGGTAGCCCGACTATTTCGGGTTAGGTCGGTTAAAGTCGGGCAGATTCGGACGAGCTCCCGCGGGCCGCGGGCCGCGAACCAACTCTCATGTAAGTACTTGTTAATGCTTGCAATAAGCATGTTCAAAATCTATTTTGTATAACATGAACATACAGGTGACATGAAATGAAATTAATTTTAAATAAATTCGTTACAAGTATTATTTTTCCACATAAAAATTATCTTATTCCAAAATTCCACATAAAACAGCTTTTGCACATGCTTATTGCAAGTATTAACAAGTACATAAGAATTAGGCCGCGGCTCGCGGAAGCTCGTCCGAATCTGCCCGACTTTATCCGACCCGACTGCACGCATGTATCAGACACCCGACCGAGCCTGCCCGATGTTCTCCGAACCGACCCGAATAGTCGGGAACCCGACACATTGGTCGGGCCGCACATCACTAGTGTGTGTGTGTGCGTGTGTGATCTTTCTCTATTCAATTTAATGTTTCTTCATTTCACATATAGATTGTTCGATGTTCCTCGGCTTATTTTGTTGGTTATTCATCGTCGATTTTCTTTGGGGAAAAAAAACAGCAGTTTGCTATCGTATCGATGCGCCTATCACGACATCGTAATCCTTCTTATTATGCTTTACGCAGTTGGCTGCAATAAAATTATTTCTTTCAATTACGACACTCGATTACGAAAGGATTGCAGACAATTGCGGCGTGTTGTAAATAATAATACCCAATAATAACGTTCAGTATCATTCTCCCTCTCATTGGCGGGGTAACTTTCTGACGGATTTCGTGTCGCTATGTTACAGGCAATGTCCGACAGCGCGCATTGAACCACCATCGTTGAACAAAGCCGCCGAAACTTTGGTCACACACACACGAATATACCTGCTACTGTCGGACTTTGCCGTATAATTCCTTCTCTATCGCTATTCGCGTATCACTTTAAAAAGAAAGAAAGGAAGAAATGAAACAAATTGAACAGACTGAAACCGTCCTCTATCGCTTCTATCCTTTTAACACTTTAACTGTCACGTACTTACTTACAGCACGTTTATCGAAATGTTTTTTGGTTTATAAAAATGAATCGTTGTTAACAAGTTTTATGAAAATACACATACGGATTTGAAGGTGACAACGAAAGTGTTGAAAGAGAGAGGCTGTTCTGACGCCCTCCTAGAAACGATGTTTCGCGATGAGTTTGCGTGTTTTTGTAAAGAAAAAAAGAAAGAAACAAAAAGATTGTCTGATCTTTCCTGGCAACGTCCGACAATATGAAAAACTCTGCAAAGTGGCAGCCACGAGAAACACAACGGCAGAACGAAAGCAATGAAGTACGACTGACGAGAAAATACGGTGTATACGCGATGTGGAGGATAATCGGACGTCGGACTTTGCCGTGCTCGATTCGAGAAAAGCGCGGAATGCTTGATCGGTTCTTTTTTAAATGATACATTGTGACTTGTTCATTATGCTCCTTCTTTCGTTCGTTTCTTTCTATAGAGTATAGAGCAGTGGTAGTCAACCTGGTCCCTACCGCCCACTAGTGGGCGTTTCAGCATATTGGGCGGTAGGGGTTTTGTCCGATACTGAAGTACTTTCCATTTTTTTAATTTAATTGACTTTTTAAAAACATTAAAATGAAAATTTTACTTCCATTACTACTTCCTTATTTCCTATACTACAAGTAAAGTTACTTCCCTACTTTATAAATCACCATTGCCAGGGCCGACCCTGAGATTTCGGGGCCCCTTCACATATATGACATAAAAAAAGTACCTCAGATAAAATTTATAAAATTAACATTGAAGTTTATATAACTAATTTAGATTTATATTTACATCGATTAATATTCAAGTAAACATTACTTTTCTTGCATTCTTGGACGCAAAATCGTCTTATGGGAGCCATGGACCTTGGGGGGCCCTAGGCCCAGGGCCGGCCCTGACTATTACTGTGGAACCAGTGGGCGGTTAGAAAATTTTATTACTAACAGAGATACAAGAGTGAACGATAGGTATAAAAAGGTTGACTACCCCTGGTATAGAGTATAGAGTGTAGAGTACAGAGTGTTTTGATAAAATGTATACATAATAGGGGTAATATTAACATTAATATTGAAAGCGCGTATACATTTTTATTAAGACATTCGATACTTTTTCATCGTGTCATGCCGCTTAGTTATCTTTCATTCATCCGTGCCTTTCTCTTCGGGTGCTCTGGTCCTTTCCTACCACTAGGATCATTGTTGTTTTTCTTTAAGTTGATCAGGTTGATTAAGTTGACTGTTTACATGTAATTATGCTACATTCAAAGTGCGAGCTAGTAGTTAAAGTATATCCTTGAGTAGACGGTTTCGTTGCTTTCTACGATGATAATTAGAAAATGAGATATTTACAACCGGTTGTGTTCGTTTTTCGTGCACGTTTTATGCATCAAATTTCTTTAAAAAAATTTGCTTAGCTCGATTTTATTTTGAATGAAACGAGATTGTGAAGTGTAGCGCATATTTGGACATCCTCAGCGAGAAATATTCTTTTTCTTCTTTCCTTTGCATTTATTAATATTTATACTAACTTAAAAGTTGCAATTCATAAAATTTTAAGAGGAGATTATGGTTAGAAACATCAAAGTTTTTAACGATGAACAAACCCTCGAAAGAATAAAAATTTAATTAAAGTTTTGGTATTTTATTTATCGAAAGGTGTGATGCAAAAAAAAAATAAGAAATTAATTTTTGAAATTTTCAAACCAAAACCTCCCCTTACGACTAATGTTATCGTTTAGTCCCTAAAAAATGATAATTCTTGTTAGAAATGAAAAATATCGAATTTCCAAGGTTCTAACTAAATATATAACTACTATACGATTTTTGAGATGCAATTTAGAAATACATATGTTCTTGAAACAGATAATATCAAATTACTGGCAATATATTTTACATAGGATAATTAGCCTGTATTTAATATACGAATTGTTGGAAAATGATAAGCAGGATATTGTATTGACGCTCAACAATTCGATGTTTATGAGACATACTTATTTATACTTCTCGATGAACAGATGAACATTAGCGATACACTAATAATGTGATTTTTCAAGTTAACCAAAAGTTGATTCTATGACAACACTGCCTGTACAACTATATTACATAATTAATACTATTTGGTCGTAAGAATGAAATGAACAAAGCATTAGAAAGGAAAAGAAAAAAAAAAAGAAAAGAAAAGAAAAGAGAAATATTAAGTAGTAAATACAATACAATTCGACGTCCATTCTTATATGACATCAAATCTTTTTCTTGTAATCGAATAAAATTCATTGAAATCCGACTCGATTGATTATTTACTGAATTATATGTCAAAGTGAATATTGATTTTATTTTCATCCGAATTAACTTGGATAATGTAATAACAAAGAATTTTGTTAATTATTCAACGATAAGAATGGGGGACGTCTTATATTGCTGTTCGCAATATGCTGTTGATAATGTAGTAATTATACATAGATTTATAAGAGTGCATGATATTTTGGACACTGGTTGGTTTGTTCCAAATCTTAAACAATTGAATGTACTTTTGGAGTTCCTTATAATTATGCAAAAATTTCAATCCGATTAATGTTCTGAAAATCATGCACATCCTTTGTTGGTTTAGCATTAGCTTTTTAGTTGGCGTTAACTCTTTCGTCAAGACATATACAGGACAGCAGGATCAAGGAATTCGTTTCAGAAGTACATATAGTTGAGGAACTAAAAGTCATAGCGGTGTAAGTGAAATGTAAAATATTCATTTGAATGCCATAAATGATGACTTTTACACCATCGGTTATTCGATTGATTCGCGTAAGTAACGAAAAGCAATTGTGACGTCCGTCCATCCACAATTATATTATATTATTTATTTATTTATTTTTCAATACGATGCGTTTCACTGTCACTTGTGCTTAGTGTACACGTCTCGATGAACACCTCTTATTACACCTTGTGTACTTAACAGATTCACAAACAATGCTTTAATAGGTTGTTATCAATGAAAAGGCCAATTTATTCACAAAACTCCCAAAAATGATACATTTTAATTAATTGCAATTACTTTGGGTGTTCTAATTATTTACACCGTTCGTTAAAAAAATAAATGAAATTATTATATCGTCATGATACAGCATAAGTGTTATTTAGCGATACAGTAAAAGCTGGATATATGCAACGAAAGATTGGCTGGATATATGCAACATCGCTATCCCCTCCACTTGGGGGGATCCCCCTAAGCGAACCGAGACGTTCGACGAGGAAGCCGTGTAATACGATCCAAACCGTTACATCGGTGTGACTAATACTAATTCTACGATAAAACATTTTTTATTTTTAACTTTTTCTTAATGAAACTTTTACTAACGCATTTGTGAGATTTTTCTGATTAAAATGATACCAAACATAAGGCAGGCCGTACACCAAAGATGCATCAAACACGCAACATGCAACACGCAACACGTCGCATGTTGTGTACACTGAGTTGCATTGAACTTGTCGCAGTAAAGTTGGCCACGCATTCACTCACCGACGCGGCGTGAATGCGTTAGTGAAGTTGGCTACACATTCACTAACACATTCACACCGCGTCGTCGGCACCTCGCCCATCGGCTCACCGTCGCGGCGTGAATGTGTTGTTAGTGCGCCAACTTCACTGCGACAACTTCGATGGAACTCATCGTACGAACGTAGAATAGGTGTCGCGGCTGAATACAAACGATGTGTACGGACGCAGAATCGACACCTCGACTGGATATATGAAACATTAAATGCCCAGAATCGACACCTCGGCTGGATATATGAAACATTAAATGCCCAAAATCGACACCTCGGCTGAATATATGCAACGTTTGAAAGCAGAACCGACACCGCAACCGATTTTCATTTCCAACTCTCCTTTGCTTTTCGCCAACTTTTAACATCAATTTTAGCAAGTAATTATAATTGAAACTATATGGTGTTTGGTACCACTTTAATCACAAAAATCTCACCAAAGCGCTAGTAAAAGTTTCATTAAAAAAAGTCAAAAATAAAAAAGTTTTTTGATTCAATTAGTATTAGTCACACCGATACGTTTCGGTTTTTTCCTTTGATCATCGACCCCTTTCTTTCCGCCACTGTCTGACCCTTTCTACGGTCACGCTTGGCTGGTCATCGCGTGTAACACGAGATTCGACACCTCGCCTCGGCTGGATATATGCAACGTCTGGGTCCCAATGTTTATTGCATATATCCAGCTTTTACTGTACTTTTATACAGGGCCGGCGTTAGGGGGGCGCACGGTCGGGCAATCGTCCAGGGCGCTAGATCTATAGGGGGCGCCGCAGCCCGGTGTCTCTCGTATGCAAATATACCGATATTTTCTCATTGTCTTTTCTCTCTATCTACATCTCATATGTAATATTACATATATGCTATATACGCTGCGACATTTATGTCTACATCTTCCCTGACGCTTTTTTTAGCTCCTGAATGGACGCCACGATAATCTTGCCCGGGGCGCCAATATTGCTAAAACTGGCCCTGCTTTTATATATCATACAACCATGTCAAACTTATCATTTCCAAATTAATACAACAATAACACATTTTTCTTTTTACCTTTAGAAATTTCTCTCTCTCTCTCTCGTTCTAACTCTCTCTTTGGCTCCACGTATTTCATACTCTCATTTAACCTTTTGAAAAACGGATATTTGCGTGTATAATGATGGATCAAAATGACCCTGCATCCGTTATACGATGGTTAAGTCTTTGAAGCACAAGTTTCTTGCTCGTTAACAGCATCCTTTGCTCGCTTACTACATTCGATTCTTATTCTAATTTGTAGAATTATCTTTGAATACGTGCTTCAAAGGGTTAATTATATTTTCACTCGGTCGAGAAACTTTCGAATTATTTCGTATCGTTGAAATTTTATTTTTTTTTTTTTTTTTGCAAAATTTACTTAATAATTTTTTATTTGTTCCACTATTTCCGCTGCTTCATTTTTTGACAACAGAATCAAAGAAAATGTTTTTTAACAAAATAAAAGTACGAAACGAAACGATTCGATCGGTTCCGATCGAACGAGCCATACGTGTGTTACGAAGAAAAATAAAATAGGAAATTGTGTGTGTGACATTGTAGGATGAAGAGAAAAAAGACAGCAGAAAATTCGAGAAAAATGATGAAATACCTAGCGAATTCGAGTGTTGCTTTTGTACTACGAAGGTATTTACGATCATTAACGTTCTCTCTTAGACGGCACTACATACACCAATGGGCTGTCGAGAAAAAAGAAAATATTATACTTCAGGATTAACGGAGACTGATATTCTCTCCTTAATTTATTTATTTTTTTTTTTAACGATCACTTTCTATAGCTTTGCTTTCTTTTTTTCAGCGTACATGAAAGAAAAAATAGAAAAGAATACATTTTCTTTGTCCCTTGGCTTTACGTATTATACGTTCTTTGTCCGCAAATTTTTAATTTCATTTTTTCTGCAGCCATGATACAGATGCACGGTTATTCCATGTATAGTCCACTGGGTGTATGCACTGCCTTTAACCCCTTCAAAACAGAGCATCAATTTTTCTTCATTCACACGACACCACTTTCGTTCAATGCTTTAGACGCAAAACATATCCTTAGCTCGTCCATTAATTTCTCTCTGATTTGCGTGCAAACAAATGATTTTGTAGGTCAAGGCACGTTCCCGTGATTACACTTAACCTTATCTATCACTTATCGTTAATCTTAACGTACAGCATTCTGTATTAGTTTGCCTCGCGAGGAAGTCTATCCAGTTCTACATATAGTATGCCAATTATTTAACCCTTGGTCAGTGATAGCCGGGTCAATCTTGGTAAAATAAAATTCACCATTGAAATTTCTAACGATAAGTGAAAGGCTTTTTCATACATATTAGAATATGTGTATGAAAAAGTTGATTCTGCTTCATCATCTAAGGGTTAAACGTTAGCGTGAATTCAAGGGGTTAGCCACAGGTAACTTCTACGTTTGAATAATCCTTATAATAATGCTTGTGTATGCGCATTGAATGAGTCTGACAGGTATAATAACGAGAATATTTTATTCAATATAATTATTATTCTAAAATTTGATTTACCATTTAGCGGTTTGCATTATTTTTGTCTTTATAATTCTATATTTCATCACGTTAGAAACTGGGTACACTTACCGTTGAGCATATCACAAGTATTAGGTATCTGCGAATGAAATTTCACTTTTAATTTCGTTCAATTATCGCGTTTAGGTACTGTGCAGAGATGAGATGTTGCCGAGCAGGACGGCACAGGGGCAAGGGGAACACTTGGTCTGTCCCGCCTAGTCCCCATGTCGTCGCGCACCCACACCAGCACGTCAAGCGGCGTGCTTAGTATGTGTGAGCGTTTCGACTAATAACGCGTGACTAGAAAACTCTGACCAATCGTACCCGCATTCCTTAGCCTCCGTAACATCTCATCTCTGCACAGTACTATACCAAAGAGGGGGTATAGCAAGAGGCGACACCCCCGGCGGCACCTTTGATGTCGATGATTCGCTGTCCCTTTAAATGGGTTGTATCACTTTGTCTCTCTCTACAAGTAGTTTCTCTCTCAGAGTGTCGCCTCTTATTATACCTACTCTCTGACTATACTGTGGAAGTTGTGAGCGGAGCGCGGCGTTCCCGGCGCCCCCGGTGCCCTAGGCCGTTCCTGTGATGGCCGTAAGGCAGGCCTGTCCAAGTAGAGGAATCCACTCCTGGAACACATGTTTTTGGTCCCCTTCCAACGCTGCTCCTTCAAGTAAGATGAGACGGTTCCGACTACCAAAGACGGTAGGAAAGACGGAGAGACGGTGGTCGGAACCGTCCCACCTTACTTGAAGGAGCAGCGTTGGAAGGGGACCAAAAACATGTGTTCCAGGAGTAATTTCTCCTACTTGGACAGGCCTGCCGTAAGGTGTCGCGCGTGTAGCTCCATCCTTTCTCGCAAGCGGTCCATCACAGGAAAAGTCCAGGGCGCCGGGGGCGCCGGGAACCCCGCGCTCCGCTCACAACCCCCGCAATACTATAAATAATCATGGTATGTAATTTGAATTATTCGAACATATCGATTATTTTAATTTATCGGTAGCTTAATCGTAGTTCAATCGATGTCGATAGCAATGAAATTATCATTAGGTAATACCTTATTTCTAATGTATGTAAATTATTCGCACGTGCCTACTACATCTATGTATTGAAATCGATCTGAATACTCTGACGGATAATTTCCTGCTTCCTAGTATAAAACAAACGTCGAGTTTGCACGCTAGATTCGTGGCATGAATTCGAAGAACAGTATGAGAAGTAAGAGTTCACTGGTGATCAAGCAATTTGCTTGCAACCTGCCAACGAATTAGATCAATGTCTTGAGAGGAAATCCTAGTTATTCAAAAGTACACTAGTGGAATTAATTCTGGACACTTTTAAATTTTTTTAAGTATTTAATATACTATAATCATTTATATTTTATATTCAAATCATTGTTTTCTAATTTTAGGGTGTCGCGTATATAAAAAAATCAGTAAAAAGATTTACAGCCATACTTTTAATATACAATAAAAATTACAATTTCAAATTATCAAAGGAGGTAGAAAAAAATTAATTTCATCCTGTGATTGGCTATTTCACATCATGCGACGTTTCGTGTTGCCAGGCGCAAAAACAAAAATAACAACAGTTTAGATTTTTTTTAATTAAAATTTTTAAATATTTACAAATCAAATCATGTGAAAATATTAAATATAAACATTATAGATTACAATAAAAATATTACGGTATCAATTTACCATAGCAGAATACACATTTTCCGTACAAATATGAAATAAAGAATATTTTTATTCAAAGTGTCCAGAATTAATTCTACCAGTGTAGAATTCGTTCACTAATTCTGACTAATTCTAAAATTACAAACTGAATTTTTCAAATAATTAACACTCGTTCAAATAGTACTTTAAATATAAATAATACAAGAGTATGTTTGTTTGGAGATCAGGAAATTATTTCTTGATATCATTTACTTTATACGATGACACGATGTTTATAAAGAGAGCAACGTTAGTTTAATTACTAATCTTTTTCAATGGCTCGTTGGCTGCATATTTCTAGCGATCAACACGCACACAATAAACGTTCATTCATTTCAATCATTACATGGAACGTGGCATGATCGGATAACAGGTACATGCGATCAAGTGAATGCTACGTAGGGCTATGTTTCTAAATAACACATTGCACTTAATAACTTATCAACTATGCTATCTTGACACAAATGTACGACAACTTTCCTTTTTTTTTTGTTCATCGAGGTAAAAATTGTAAAGAAAGAGTAACGTTTGTAAAAATAAAAAAAAATAAAAAGAAAGAAAGAAATTGCTATAACGACGATTGTGGTTCTGCAACTTTGACTTGCGGAAGCACCTTCGCATAATGGAAAATTTGAAACACGGAATGTATGCTTTCTGTAAACAACGATCTATGTATACAGGGTTTTTCAAAATACAAGGACCTAAGAACAGCATCGACTGTTTCTTTTTCTTTTTTGTATATTTTTTTTTCCAATAAACATAATAAATCCTTAAAATCTTACAATTAGACTCTTTCTTCCCATGTATATCTGATCGTTTAAATTTGTTACACCATATAAATGATACGATGTAACGTTATATCGTGTAACGGATTTTGCAAGTACAATGCTTTTTTCACGTTACATTTTCTCAGCATGTTCTCTTGAAAAACAGAGATAATCAACAACAAGCACGACAACAGCATACAGACATTGCAATGATTATTGTATATACATACGTATATTATAAATTTTGCATCTGATAGGTCAGTTCTGGCAAGCTTGGGAACAAACTAATTATTAGTAATCGTTGTTTTCCTTAAGTTTCGCACCTTACTACAGTGTAAACCGTCTTCTTCTAATCTACTTAATGACCGTGCAAATACTGTTCTGGATCATATCAGGCGAGTATAATAATAATACGGACGTAGAAAGGTCATATTAAATAGATTCAATTAATTAGAGAGCACATAGATGAATCTTCCCCCATTATGTTTCCCCTTGCTCTTAGAGTTTAGCACACGAAAAGAAGCATTCGCCCGTTTTTTATTTTAATTAACAAGTACAGCTTTCGTCGTCCAGATTAAATCGTTTTTCTTACTGGATCGTTGACAAAATTGAAACACCCTATTACTGATTCTACATACGTATGGATAGTTACAACAAGAGAAAAGCAAATAATCGATGATAACTAATTTTAACGAAATAATTTTTGACGAAAGATGTGCCCGGTTTACATGAAAATCTTTAAGATTCCGGATCAATGTTGAAGACAACGCTTCGAACGGGCGTATAGTCTTCAACGAACCGAGGCTCTTCATCTTGATCGTGTTTCTAGGAATACAAAGACTTCAGAGACGCGGAAAATATAATGCCACTGGCGACCAGCGACTTTCGTAATCCCATCTGCCAAGAGATGAAGGCGATGAGATCCGCTGCAGCAGCTGAGCAAGCTGCTCAGACAATTTTCAACGAGACCAAGGTATCTCCACCTCAGGCAGTGGACATCTCGTGCTACGGAAGGATATATAACGAACAAGGAAGCGTAGACAGCTCTGATACGTATGCCAGCTGTCAAACACATCCGTCTCATTCGCAGGTATCGCTAAAAATCTCGGCTCTCCTGGAGTTATGTCGGATAACGATGGGGGGGGAGTGCTCATTCAACCGGGCATGGAGAGGGAAGTCTTATGACACCAAGATGTCCGACCTCCGACCCCGGGAACATGGTCAAAATGATGACATAAGATGATGACGGCGTTGATGGAATTATGTCGGATGACGGTATGGGGCGCATCATTCGACTGGGCTCATCGAGGGTAACAAATGTCCTAATAGGAGCCATGACCCCAGAGGCCGGGAACTTGGTGAAACTTCAACCTAACCGAACCTAACCTAATCCTCATCAGAAGCGACCGCTCCTCTCTCCCGTTCTTCCTTTCCTCTTCCTGATGGTAACGATCATGTCATTCTCTTCCGCATCATTTCTTAATCGAAGGAACGAGAGCAGATGATCCCGTTCGGATCAGAGGGCAGCTGTTGCTTCACACCTCTCCGTTCCTCCTCCAGGCCATCATCATCCTTGCCATGTTTTTGGCCTCATGAGAGTCTCGTCCCCTTGACAGGGACTTTAGACAAGTCATCACTTGCTTTTCTTTTCTCTCTATCGCCATCTCCATCCATCATCGTCGTCATCTTATGTTATCATTTTGACCATGTTCTCGGGGTCAGAGGTCGGACATCTTGGGGTCATAAGACTCCCCTCTCCAGGCCCTGTCGAATGAGCCCACCCTATCGTCACCCGACGTAACTCCAGGAGACCCAAAATCTCCTCGGGTTAATATCGCCAGCTCACCGGTCTGGCTAGATCCCCCCCCCAACAGCTCGCACGCATTAATTAGACAACATAATAATAATAATATCATCATTACTTGATTACTCAGGGTGATTTGACCGAGGAGGTGGACAGCAATCTATACGTAAACCCTCTGGAAGCTGCGGAGAAGTGTGGGAATAACAGGGTAAAGAAATCTGCTTCTGGTGATGTCGGCCGTAACGTCGCCGACGCTTCACCAAGCGTCGAATCTTTAAAGGATATCCGCCCTTTGAACGAGGGTAGCAAGGTTACCTTGAACGACACAGTACCCAAGCATAGGAAGATCCGTATTCAACAGGTATGTCCGTACCTTTATCCTGTTTTCTCTTAATATTCTCTGCATTAACTGAATCTTGTGCACGCGTATCTGTGAAACGTTTAAACGCTGTTTACCTGTTGAATCAAAATACAAAACTGCTTTGATTGTGATCAGTCTTAAGAAAGAGTGATTTGAAGAATAGAGGGAATACATCGATATATGTATTACAATTGACATTTGAGTCAACAACCAATCGTATATGCATAACGAATACAACTGACCCTTGAACAAGGATTAGGGAAGCCCATTCGCCGCGTGAATGGTAAACCGTTGCTTGTTACTTTTATTTTTATATGTTCTTCGATAGAATTAGAATTGCAATTAGAATCATTAATAGACATTTTTTTTTTAAGTTACCTATCATACAAGTTTCACCTTTTATTCATTTTCTTTTCTTTATCTTCTCGATAGTCTGTTGGAGTAATGTGACGAGCCTCACGTTGCTTGTCTTCAGTAGTGATGTGGGGCCCGTAGGGATGTGCGGGTACCCGATCTTACCGGCTCGGAAAAAATCGGACGGGTTCGGGCGGACGTCCGATACATGCGTGCAGTCGGGTAGCCCGACTATTTCGGGTCGGGTCGGACAAAGTCGGGCAAATTCGAACGAGTTCCCGCGGGCTGCAGTCCGCGACCCAACTCATGTGCTTACATGAGAGTATTTGTGCACGCTATATCCGAGAGTATTTATACTGCTCTCATATAAGCACATGAGTTGGGTCGCGGGCCCCGGACCGCGGGAGCTCGTTTGAATCTGCCCGACTTTATCCGACCTGACCCGACTGTACACAAGTATCGGACACCCGCCCGAACCCGCCCGAGCCCGTAATATCGGGTACCCGCACATCCCTATGTCTTGCATTTGCTCTTAGGAGCGAACATCAGGCTCTAGTCGTACAATTAATACTTGCCTTTTCTGCAATAGTCAGAAATACGACTGCGATAATCACAAGTCTATTTTTGAATTGCACGAGCTCTGACAACGTATCATCACTGCTTTTTTCAGTTTCACGAACCGTCAAGATCGCAAACGGAGCTCAGTTGAATGAATTGCCGAGGGCGATCGTACATAATCCGAATGCCCTGGTGCTTGTCAGAAGGGGCTGCACACACACACGCGATTATTGCACGTATCCGTGCTCAAAGAACAGACAGAAAAAACAAAGAGATTTCCAGAAGCGTCGTTTGTGGTTTGTGTCTTGATTAGAAAATGGCCACACAGTTGCAGCGTAACCGACTTTACCTCCGTGCTTGAGTCGGAGAACGAATTCCGGTACTGTTGATTTTGCGTCACGCAAATAACGCTTCAATACGCTCCACCATTAATTAACAATTAATACTCCCTGCTTGTCTACACTTTCACTTTTTCTGCATACGGCTAAGCACTCCTCCTTTAATATCATCAGGCTATTAAATGTGCTCGTTCCCAATTAAAAACACACAACCAACTGTTTGACATTGGAAAGTGGTGCTCGTTATCAAACCAGTGTATACACTAAACATAGAAGGTAAAAGTTAACGCATTGAGATCGACCAGGTTGTACATACTTACTTAACACTTTGCCTTGTTACTTGTTGCTTGTTACACGTTCGAGCCTACTTTGGGTAAATCTACCCACATCAGAGAAACGTGGTGAGATTCAAAGGGATCATAAAAATTACATAATTGCATTATAAATTAAAATCGAATCCCAAAATAGTCCACAATATGTGTATAGTCCTAAGTATCGGTGTCATCAAAAGAATGTTCTAACGATTTAATTTACGATCTCAGCTAACCTATACCTGTTATCCCGGCCCCGAATATGTTAACATAACACTATTGTGTTCAACTCTACGTTGAAAGCTTTCAAGCATAAAACGTGTCCATTCTTAATTTCCATTAAGACCGCTTAATTAAAGCTTACAATTTGAAGTTTCAGATAGTGTTAAACACATCAGTATAATAACGTGATCGTCCAATTTTCTACGAATGAAAAAGGACTCTGTAAACTGCTTTTCTGTACGAGTTCCTGACAATCCTATTCGTTGGCTTTTCTTGAGTTTTCCTAAATGAATATATTTTTCATCGGGAAAAGCTCGAGATATGTATACAGGGTGTCCAACGACTACGTCAACAACCGAAGAGGAATGATTGACAAGGTGATTCTAAACAACTTTTTCCTTTGCCAAAATGTTGATTAAGGCTTCGTTTTCGAGTTATTAACAAAAAACACTGGCCAATCAGAACGCGCCTTTAGCGCGGACCGAACCACTAGACTAGAGTGTTCGGTTTGCTCTGCGTTCAAGTCGTGGTCGTGCTCACGTGGTTCGGTCCGCGCTGAAAGCGCGCTCTGATTGGCCAGTGTTTTTTGTTAATAACTCGAAAACGAAGCCTTAATCAACATTTTGGCAAAGGACAAAGTTGTTTAGAATCACCTTGTCAATCATCCCTCTTCGGTTGTTGACGTAGTCGTTGGACACTCTGTATATGTATACAGGGTGATCCTCTCGCTGCCGGACACAAAGGAACACTGGCGACAATGAACTCTTTGACCGCACCATAAAGAAGTCCGCATTGTCACGTGCCAGCGGGGACCTACCCGGGCCGAGACAACTCTGTGTGTCTTCATGGTGCAGTCAAGGGGTTCATTGTCGCCAGTTCCTTTGTGTCCGGCTGCGAGAGGATCACCCTGTATATCTGCGCGCGCGCGTGTGTGTGCATATATGTATAAACTAACAAAAGAATGTCTCGTATTAATTATTCTCTACGCGACTGATTGCAGAGCGTAAGATCGCGTGCACAATTTATCAGCGACCAGGAGAGCATGATGAATCGTAATATCATGAAAGAAGGCATCGCGGAGAACAATTACTATGGAGGACTCCGTGGAGGTAGACCATTTGCAACGACCAATAGCGGTCTGGTATCAGCTACGAAAATTCTAAACCATCATCTCTTTGGAACTGGCACTGGACCCAGACATTACACAGGTAATGACAAGGATTTTTATAGACATTTACCAAACAAAAAAAATGTTATCTAACTGACAAGAGTAAGACTGACGCAAAAAAATTTCATAATACTTTTTAATTTCAAATTTTTAAGGGAAATCTAATAGCTTCACTTATCTACACTGGTGGAATTAATTCTGGACACTTTGAATAAAAATATTCTTTATTTCATATTTGTGCAGAAAATGTATATTCTGCTATGCTAAATTGATACCGTAATATTTTTATTGTAATCTATAATGTTTATACTTAATATTTTCACACGATTTCGTTTGTAAATGTTTTAAAATTTTAATTAAAAAAAATCTAAACTGTGTTGTTATTTTTGTTTTTGCGCCTGGCAACACGAAACGTAGCCAATCACAGGATGAAAGGATATTCAACGAAATATTAATTTTTTGCTACCTCCTTTGATATGTTGAAATTGTAATTTTTATTCTATATTAAAAGTATCGCTGTAAATGGTCTTTTTACTGATTTTTTTATATAAGCGACGCCCTAAAATTAGAAAACAATGATTAGAATATAAAATATAAATTATATATTAAATAATTTATAAAAAATTTAAAAGTCTCCAGAATTAATTCCACTAGTGTATGTAGGTACTAAAAGTATTAAGAATTGAGATAGATATTTTTAGCTAACATATTGAACGTTATAGAGGTTGCTTGTAAAACGTAGTTCAGTGTCTTCCTAAATTATCCCAATTATATTTGTTTGTCGATTCAACCCCTTATATTGATTTCCTTTCTACATATTCTGGGTCAATGTAATACTTGGAGCCACTGTATATGCAGGTCAACGAAGGCAAATTTCAGGAACGAACACCGAAAGCAAACTTTCCTTGTCCGCTGATTCAATCGACAGCGAGAGTGTGTCTTTCATAGACAAGAAAGTATCGAAATCGATTCTAAAAAAGTCCGAAAGCAGCAATAATTATTATAACAACGCTGACGATTCAGACACGGAGAAATTAATTACCGATAACGCGTCAACGATAACGATGTGCGACAACGAGACCAACACCTGCGACATTTTCACCAACGTGAACGGAACGAGACTGAAACAACCTATTTCACCGTTGCTCTCTAAACAAGTACTCGAGTCTATCTTTCGTACGAACAATAACATCGACAAAGAGAATGAAGTGGATCAGAGCGAAGAGAAGAACCGTGTCTCAAAGATGAGCAGGTCGATATTCGATGACGTCCTTCAAGGTACTTTCTCAACTCTTTTACACTTTCATCCCTTTTACCTTTTTATACACAGAGCTTACAAGAGACGAGTGGTCAGCTTGTTGGCCCAATAAAAGTAGTAACATTTTTTAACTCCTTGTTTCTTCATGGGTGTACTTCCGAAGGCGACAACCCTCCGATTTTTCTGAAATTTTTGTCAAAGCTTATCTTTGATTAGAGAAGAAAGTCTCTAAAAGGATTTTTGGCGACAAAGCCTCGTTTGCCCCCCAACCCTCTTCAAAGTTTTGATAGTTCTTATTAAATATCTCCGAAAATATTGATTTTAGAGAAAAAAGTTTCAAGCAAAAAGTGAAGCTCATAAAAAGCTCTACAAAAAAGGTTATACACATTTTTTACGTAAACCTATTATTTTGGCTGTTATGAACAATAATAGTATTTTTTCCTCAGATGTACATGTATACCGCAGTTCACCAGAGTCCATAACTGCGAAAAGACCAGTTTTCGTTCTTCGCGCTTCTCCAGTGCGCATCTTCGCCCTGATTGGCGATACTTCCAAACGAAGTGGAAAGCGATTAGCAGAGAGCTCGCTGCGTTCCCCCACCATTTTCCAACCTGCGCGTCGCAGTTATGGACTCTGGTGAACTGCGGTATAGGTATTACAGTAATGCTTCGAAATAAGCAAGTGGTCTCTGCTTCGAAATAAGCAAGTCGCTATCCCCTCTTCTTTGTTTGAAGTCGCCCGCAAAGTGAGAGGTACGAGAAACGAGTGAGAGGTCCATGAAAGCGCGAAGCCGATGTTTAGGGTAATAAATTTCACGCTCGACTGAGCAGTGACATCGGTTAGTAGAAGAAGGATGGAATATATATAATGCTTTCTCAGTCTGGTATATTTGCTTCGAAATAAAGCATAGTGCGAGAATGAGAGGGCATGTTATATTCTATCCTTGTCCAAAAAATAACATCGCTGCTCGGCCGATCACTTTATGATTTGCCGCTACCTCGGATCTCTCACTCGTTTCTTGCGTTCTCTATCGTCCCGTTTCGAGGACAAAGTCAAGCCGAATAGCTACCTGCTTCGAAATAAGCAACTGTTCGGTCCCGAGCCACTTGCTTATTTCGAAGCATTACTGTATTGATGTATTTAAGTTAAGTTAAGTTAGGCCATATATATCTATATGTGTGTAACGCTTTCGTTTACACATATTTTTATAATTAATTTATTATTATTTCAACAATATTGTAGAAATTACTATTTGTTTACATAACAGCCAAAATAATAGGTTTACGTAAAAAATGTGTATAACCTTTTTTGTAGAGCTTTTTATGAGCTTCATGTTTTATTTGAAACTTTTTTCTCCAAAATCAATATTTTCGGAGATATTTAGTAAAAACTGTGAAAACTTTGAAGAGAGCTCGAGAGCAAACGAGGCTTTGCCGCCAAAAATCCTTTTAGGGACTTTCTTTTCTAATCAAGGATAAGCTTTGGCAAAAATTTCAGAAAAATCGGAGGGTTGTCGCTTTTGGAACTTTACCCTTTTTCATTGTTGATTTAATGTGTCTTAGAAGAATATTTTTTCTAGAAGAAAAGCACGCACAAGACGAGACAATGACTGAGAATAAGAACAAAGAAGAGAGGAGAAAATCAAAAACAAAAACGGAAGAGGTATCAAAGGACAATCAAACGATGCTGATATGCTCGTTACGTCCGTACAAAGCAAAGAAATTAAGCTCCGATGAAAAACGAAAAGCCAAAAGTACCGGCCACACTGGCACAACCACCACCGACACCAATTGTCTTCCTCAGGAACACCGTTTCTCGTCGTAGCGTAACTTTTTTTCTTTCTTCTTCGAACTAGCATCCTCCTATGTCCACGCATGTAGATACAATCACATCGCGGTATTGTCTTCTCTTTTATAAAACACCATTCTGTTGTCTCTTCGTAATAAAATCATAATGTCCGTTGGGGCTGAGATGTCTGTATTCGGATGCAATGTTTATCCAGTAAGTATATCGTGTAAATATAAGGGAGAAAAACAAAAGCAACAAACGCGTATAATTTTAAGACGGTGATATATAGACGTTAAATAATTAAATTTAATAAAACGATATACGCAACGTGAAGAGATACGTATTTTCGGAAAGAAACTAGGATTACGAAACGCCTATAATTACACTGTACTTACAGTGTTCTCAAGAGAAACAAATCGAACTAATAATAAGAGAAGTATGTCGGATAAGAGAAAATTATTCAAGAAACCTGCAACCCCAATTATAATAAAACAGCGACAAAATTATAGACTACACTTTATCAATTTCAACGATCTTGATACATATTATAGTGATTGATTAATCTCCTGAGAAATTTTATGTATACGTATAAACATTATTTACTATAAAAAAATTTTCAATTTTCCATATGACCGAAGGGTTGCTTATGGGTTCCCTTAGGAGCACAATGATGCTAGTCAAAAATTACAGATGTAAGAATAATGCAAATGATAATAACGATGAAGATGATAACATGAAAGATTCTATGATGACGTGGATGCTGATATTGATGATAATGATGAGACGACGACGACGACGACGACGATGATGATGATAATAATAGCAAATAATGAATCTTTAGGCAATATGCTTTACTCGTTTGCTGAGAAAGAGACATAAATTATAAATAATCTAGCCATACAGCACTGTTACTTCCTCCTTACGCCTAATCTTGTCAAATTAGGACAGCTTTGCGTGTCGCGAAAAGTACATATGTATACATGGCATACAAATAGCATAGTAAACAAGCGATCAGTTTACATCGATTAAACATCATTGTCGAGAAACGAAACGTTTACAAAATTAATCAGCACACTTAGTCTTTCGATTATGTATTGTTCAAAATGACAGTGTTCGTTCGTCTGCTAATTGTAAATGTTTTACTATACAATTAGAGAGGATATAATAGGACACGCGAAGCCTCGTTAAAATCAAATTAAACAACGTGTTTAGAACAACGTGAGAACGTAGATAATTAAAAACTCGACGATAACTGCCCCTTTCTCAAGTTCCGATCTTAATATCAAGCAACTAATAATTTTCTCTTCGCTATATTAAACAGTTGCCGGTGTATTTTTTTTCTTTTTTTTTTTTCATCCTTTCTTTGTACTTATTTATAGATCAGTTTACATTAAACGTTTATCGAATGGATAAACATAATTCTATTTTTATAAAATTGATCGAGCGGATTTCTTTCTTTTTATTTTAAATAACGCGGAACGTTACTTTTTAAGAGAGTCCTATCTACGTGATCACATTTTTCCATACACTAAATACATAAGTACTTTATATCAGAGTGGATAAGATTTTTAGAAGTCGAATGCGTTTACATGCACAACAACGTATGCAAAATTCAGTTGAATCGTTTTTAAGAGTTGAAAGCGTATTTTCGCGAATGTTTAGATATTAAGAGAGAAACGTGTTAACATGCTCACGTAGAGTAGAGAAAAAGATAAAGCGTAAATATCATTCGTATTATAACGATCGTCTAGCCACGGTATTCGTTATGTTTTTCCAAGAAAATTTTGCATCGATATTTTAACGAATATTTGAAAATATTCTAACCAATATTTTATGAAAATATTGAAATCAATTATAACTTCGCCGAAAATTTAAATATATAATTACAATGCGTGCTCAAAAATTCGGTCATCTTTTTTTTTTCTTTTTTCTTCTCTTTATGCAAGAATCGTTTTATAATTTTTTTCGGGAGAATACATAAACTTCCTTTGAATTTCAATGGTATTTATAATAAAGATGTCCTCTTACGTTTTTAGATGAACCCTCAGTAAAATACATATCTGTAATGGCATTTCTATTCATTGTTATCGTAGTTGTAGGAAAACAAATAATTGTACAGTTACTGATTAAACAGAAAGAAAATGGTATATATAAATATTACCTGTCGATGCAACTGTTTGGAAATTATTGTTACGCTGGACGTTCATGCCTGAAATAATTTTTAACATATTATCATCATTTTAACGTAGAACTACATAGGTATTCGAGACACTGGTAATATACTGGTAATATATTCATAAAATGCAAAAATTATTTCAGATTAACGGTATAAAATTTTACGTTTACCTAAAAATATTGAAGTAAACGTCTTGTTACATGTAACAATAATTGTTTCATATAATAATTGTTTCATATTGTTATCATGTTATATTGTTCGTGATATGTTATGGCCATCATTATAATTTAGCTTTATAAAATTGTTCACCTCTCAATGTTATCATGTTTTAATACCTGTTATTCAAAGATGGATCTTGATACCTGATAGTTGCTTGGAATTTCTAAGTAAATCAATGTCTTCTATGAACTAACAAAGTTAGAAGTAGAAAGTTCCTAGGAAAATGTACAGAACGTAATTTATTATTTATTGTTATAGTTATATATTAGCTGAATTAGTATTGAAATAGTACAAAGAAAGCCATTGCATAGACGTATGTCGTATTGAATGAGTTTATCAGTTCGCAAGGATAGCAGTGGAAAAGATTTCAATGAATTGTACAGTTTTTAAATTTTGTTAGAAGAGTATTAAACAAAAAAGACCTGTTTTCTTGTTGATTTCATATTTTAAACGATATACAAGCCTGAAAATCGAATAACTTTATATCTATTCTTTTTTGTTAAATGATTCAATAGTTACAAACATCCAATTAAAAGTTTTCAAATCTTTTTAATCGGACAACAATTTTCATATACATCTTCAAAGTTTGGACTTAACAAATATTTACTTGGAAAAAAATAAAATTAATAATTTTATTATATATACATTTATTGTATATAGTCAATTTTCAATAATACAATGCAGTTATATGAGAGGTTGTTTATCACATTATCAAACTGCTACTGAGATTAATTAATCAAAATTAGTCATCTGTTACACACGTTTCATTTTATTTCTACATCATTAAGGCCTACATTTGTAATTGTAAAAGGAGTAGGTAATATGTAAAAATAAATAAAGTTGTAACTTGTCAGTTTTTCTTGCTTACATAAGTTGTTTTATAACCAGTTATATGTATACCAATCTATATCAATCCTTTTATCTATTATTTTTATTTCTAATCATTCTTTTTCTTATCATATTTGAAAATATAAATTATACATTTAATATGTAACAAATGATGTATATGAAGAAACGTAATTTCTGGCTAAAACCGATGCGATATATAAAAACTAATTATTCTCATTACCAGACTATTTCTTGAAAAATTCTACTTACCAACGTTCTTAGCACAGACCTCAATTTGCATAAAGGAAACGGGCACAAAGTGAGAGAACCACTCGGTAGATTAGAGCCGAATTTGGACAGCTCTAATAAGTTACTCGAAGAAACATGCGAAGAAATTATATATTGCGAGGAAATTGCTTTATTGCAGTTGCATTTGCTATAATACAAGGATCACTTGTTTTTAACAAAGTGGAAAGAAAATGTCAATTAAAACCAAGTATCTTTTGTTTTTTAGAAACAAGAGTTTTAAATTCAAGTCTAGCTTGATGCCGGTGGTGCATTTACTGTTTCAGTTGTGGTGCTTTGCGAATCAGATATGGGCTTCTCTTGTAACTCTAACCATGGTAATCGTTTTTGTAGTTCCAATCTATCAAAAATAATAATAAATACATCTCGTTTTATCTTTATCTTAATATTAATAATATATTTTAGTATTTATGATTACTTGAATAAGCATTGGATGACATAAAAGAATCTTAAGTCAATTCAATGAAAATTTTCAATTCTCTGATATACCTTACTAAAATTTATTACAGTAACTTACCTATATTTCGGATGACTTATGGCATATACATATGGATCCAAACAAGCAACAGCTTTACATGTGCATGCTGGTATCATTGTAACACCGGGTGTCAGAAGAGCTTTATTACCAAATGCTCCGATCATTGCCATTACACCATATGGAGTCCACGAGAGAATGAATAAGAAGCAAATTGTAATGGCAGCCTGTGAACAAACATTTATGTAAATATACTTCAAACACGTATACACTTTTTAAAGGAAAAAGCTTTAAATTATAGCACACTTTTTAAGTATTAAATACTCAGAAGTTATATTATAAGTCAGTTACATAATGTAAGTATGTAACGTTGGAACTTTAATATTTTGTTCAAATATTTGTTACAGTAATGAAAACAAAATACCTTAGCTATGCGAATCTCAGCGCTCTGGCTACTCGTGTTCGCATTACTCCGTAAACTGTCGACATTCATCTTCTTAGCTTGTTCACGTAGCGCTTTCTCATGATTTACTACATGACTGACGATTTGACTGTAGTAATAGATTATAAGCATCATTGGAACGCAATAGGAGAAAGTGAATATAGTAGCAACGAAAATTCGTATTTCATTCGTGTCGGTCAAGTAATCGAAGCTGCAGCTGGTGAGAAAGCCTTCGGGTACGAAACGTCCCCAAACACCCATGACGGGCATCAGTGCCCAAGGTATGGTATACGTCCAGATTAATACAATGAAAAGCATCACTTGCCCGCGGGATAACTTTCCATCAAGCGGCCTTGCTATTGTACTGGAATAAAATAATGTAAAATATTACTAAACGATGCTTTCAGTTTACAATATACAAAATTTTTTTATTTAGAATATATTAACAATTTGTTTTTCTTCAATTATTTAGGTTTTCAATGTCGTATTAATCTGGTATCATACAGTATTACTTTGCTTATTATACAGGGTGTCCCAGAAAGAGTGTAAGTCCTTAAAGGGGGTGGTAGCCGTGGTGATTCTGAACAACATTTTCCTTTGCGAAAATGTTGTTTGAAGCTTTGTTTTCGAATTATTAAGGAAAAAACACTGGCCAATCCGAGCGCGCATAGAGCGCGGGCTCAGGGACGGCAGCCTGGATCCTGCTATACCAGCAGGGTGCCGAAAGTGTTCGTTCGCGACCTAGGCCAAGCCCATTTTTCATATCCGACGCTGTCGTCCCTGAGCCCGCGCTCTATGCGCGCTCTGATTGGCCAGTGTTTTTCCTTAATAATTCAGAAACGAAGCTTGAAATAACATTTTCGCAAAGGAAAGTGTTGTTCAGTATCACCCCAGCAATCTTCCCCTTAAAGGACTAACACTCTTTCTGGGACACCCTGTATAAACTTTACAACTATCATTTTAATTATTTTTTTGTTTAAATTAAAGTAAATAAAGTTCATACCTATATCTATCATATGCTATTGCTGCATTTGTTATTGCAGCACCAATTCCAGTCAAGGAACCAATTACCGCGAATATTTGACATCCTAAGTTTCCCAAAGCGAAACCAGTGTTAAAGGAATTGTATATAAAGATTGGAGTTTTGATCATCATGAAGAAGTCACAAATCGCAAGATTCACAACGAACATGTTTGAAGGTGTCCTCAGTGATTTGGCACTTGAAAGAAAGAAAATGGTAATAAAAAATTGGCGTGATTTATATCAATTATTTATAACTATTAATTGAAACTTTTGAACAAATAAATGACTTACGCGCAAAAGATCCATATCACCAAGCCATTGCCAAGTAAAGCAAGGAAAGTAAAAAGAATATATAAGAGGGCCAATAAATAATGAAGGGAGGGGTTCGGCTCAGGAAAGACCAGCCAGTGTTCCGGTATATGAACTAATTCTTCAGGGGGAACGTTCCATCCCAGCAAACGTGGTGGTCCTGCTGGTAAATATCTCGCTTCCCAATGAATACTGTCGTTGGACATGTCGTCCGCTCCGTCTGCCAGCCCCTCTCCTTGATACAGTTGATCAACCAGCTGTTTTATACCATTCGTTCTACCCTCTTGAATCAACGAAACCCTAATCCGTTAGCTTAGCTGGCTTCACACAAGGATCAGCCAACGGATTATCCCCTAGTTGCTCTGGGTCAGCAGAAATGTGCGTCAATGTCGTAAAAGTTAGTCACACAGATCATCAGTCTGCATTTTGATTTTATCAAAGAATACACTTTCAAGTTTCATATTCTTCATTTCCTGTCCTTAACGTTTTCTGTTTTATTCTATACAGAAATATGAATATAACTTCAATAAAACAGAAGTTTGATATTTCAACATGACCCACCTTTAATTTTTCTCATACTTATACATTTATAACAAACAAAAAAAAAACAACAATAATCTTAAATTAACAGTATACATTTTTTCATTATTGTACTACTAATACTTTCTTCAATAATAATTTTACTTCAGCAAAATTCAATGGCTATAGTTATAAACGTAAAATACTTAATTTAGAAATGTTATATGTATAGATATGTGTGCGTGTGTGCATGTGTATGTGTGTGTACATATAATATACTAAAACAGTTTTGTCTTTTTCCTAGTAACATAATATTTGCAAATACTGTAAAATTTTGTCTACATTTTTATTCACTTATTACTCTGCCTTGCCTTTCAGCAGATTCATCGGTTAGAGTATATGCTGGAAGATACGATGACGAATTGTTAGGATCTTGTAATCTTGGATTTGGTACTGTAGTTGATTTCGTTCCCAAACTAGTATATCCTTCGTCATACAGCGGACAATAAGGTACATTGTGCTTCAATAAAAATTTCCAAACCTGATCATACGACCAGTTTAAAATTGGATTTACACGAATTAATTTTGGCCAATTTGGATCGGTTGGTGTAAAAGCCTCTACATTTTCAGAACCAGGATCGCCTTTTCTCATTCCCATTAGACTTGCTTTTAAATTTGTTCGTGTATTTAACAGCGAACGCAATGCTTCCTGCATTGGTGATTTCTTCTTGATCAATTCTAAATTATAATACTGAGCAGCTTTCTCTACAAAATAATCCACCTATAATTGTTTCCAGAATTTCTACGATTATTCTACAATAATTCAAAAACATGTTAAATATTTTGAAATTGATCTTACCTCGGGAAACGGCTCAGCTGTTACATATAGACATAACAATGATGAAATGTTTTGTAATTTTGCTACACAAGCTGCCAGGTGCAAAACTACTGTACAATCTTTTCCACCATTGAAACTTATAAAAATTTCTTCTGGTTTAAACCTAAAACAGATATGTGTAAATTCGTACTGTCACTTGTTTATTAAAAATAATTATCAATTTTTTAGTTCCTTACAATTTGTAACAATCTTGTAAGACGTCCAAAGCGCTATATATATGTGGTTGATTTTCAGCAGATTCAAAAACCATTCTCGCATGATATAGGCTAAACCCACTATTCAAATTTAGAATTTTTTGGATTGGTAATTTATATAAAAGTTCTGCTTTTGCTTCTAAGACATCCTCCTTTTTTCCTTCTAATGTAATTCTTGTAAAGCATTCAGGTGCTGGCTGCGGATAACTTCCAATGTTCACTTTTTCTTTCCAATGTTCTGCTTGTTCATCCAATATATTTACTATTGACAATTCATTTAAATTAATGTCTATCTGTTCGAAATGCAAAGGGGTACGCCCTCTTAATTGTGGCACGATCACCTCAACAGCAAGTTCAAAATATTTTGGAGAGCCTGGTAATATGTATACGTTTTTTGCTTTTACAACAGCATATTTGTCTAAAAATTAATATTTGTTTATTGTTACATTCAATTAATAGATAGCCATAAATTGCTTTTTACTAGATAAAATTAATTAATCCATTAATTGACTTACTTGATGAATAAACATAAATAAGTTCACAAGGCCTTGGTACAATAGTAAGACGGCCGGCTTCTTTTTCATTTGGAAAGAGATTTGCACAAATATCAATTAATTCTTCATGAGGTTCAAGTTTTAATTCCAAAGCTTTAGCTATAGATTTGTATGTTACATCATCGTGCGTAGGTCCAACACCACCAGACGTAAATACAACAGAATATTGTTTGGAAGCATCGCGTACAGTCTTAGCAATTTCATCTACCTAACACAAAAGGCTACATTACACGTAGTGAGAATTTAGACAAAAATTATAAATACATAATTATATATTTAATTAAGTAATAGACTTTGAAAACAGTTTGGAAACTAATTATATTTGAAAAGATTTTAGAGTTGGTTTAATTGATATAAAGATAATAATGAATTAATACACACTATATCAGGGATCACAGTTACTTTCTGAAGCTTAATACCAGAAGCTCGTAAACGTTTTGCCAAATATGATGTATTTGTATCTACAATCTGTCCACGTAAAATTTCATCTCCTATTACAACTAAGGCTGCAGTTTCGGTGATCTCCATTATCAATGATTTTCCTATATAAATTGAAATAAGTTTATATAAGTAATTATGTGATACAATTTATCCTTTCGAATATATGAATAATGACTAATAAAATAAACTTCATAGTTTATTCATTTAGAACTTAATTAAAATTACTGAAAAAGAATGATGATACATTAACATAGAATAAATAGAGCTAGGTGTATCGCAGCGTCTCTCATTTTGCTTGAATAAAAATAAAAATTAGGAGATAAGAATTGACTATATAACACATTATGCTTGTGTCTTAAATTATGTTTATTTTATATAATAAAATTTTTGTTTTATATAAATTTACATAACTTAGAATTTACAAAATTCATCTTAAACTAAACGTATCTATTAAATTTGTATTTTCTCAATCATGGAAGTTGTTATATCAGTCCGTATCGGTGTTGCATTGGACATTTTCTTCTTTTTTGTCTGCTTTACATTATTTATTTTCATTTTTGGTTTCGGTTGACGTACCTCCTTGCATAGTTCTTGAAGCTGTTCATCTATTTGAGCTGTTTTATTCTTGCACCCCTTGTCAGCTTTGTTTTCTTTTAAATTCAACTATTGAAACGAAGGGAACATATGTAAGAAATTACAGAATAAATGTATTAGTATGTACGCAACAAATATCATGTTATTTTATTGTAATATGTTAAATTGAAATAAAAATTTATACTGTTTGTAGGAATTCACTTACTTTTTTCAAATTGGAAGTAACTTTTTGTGCTTTTGCTTTTAATTTCACACTACGAACAGTCGCTACTTTGAATACATTCTTGTTCTTTTGCTTTCTTTGCATTCCCTTGTTCTTTCCCATTATTTTCTGTAATATTATCATTCGTAGGTTCATTCAAATTATTTTTCATTTTTAATTTCTTCATTGCTGGCTCCTCGCCTTTCAAAATATTTTTAGTCAGTAGAAATGATACACGAATCATTTCTTTAGCAGGAGCAACATTTCTGACATAATGTACATTGACTAAAGAATCTGAATTTAATGTGCAACCAAGTTTCTCCTCTACCAGTGATCGCGCAACATTACAAGCATCTTCGCTTTTATTTACTTTTACAAAACAATATAGATGTACGATCGGTGGTTGATAACACATTTGTTTAATTTCATCTGAGTTAAACCAATTAAAAAACACATCCAAGAAATCAACAGCAAAAGCCGGTAGATTCATAGCTATGTGTTCGCAACCCGCTTTATTATTAACTCTTCTATTTAAAATATCAGTTTTAACGACGCTTCTTAAAAAATCTCTACCATCCATGTTAAAAGACTTAACATTCGCTTCAACTTTATTAATTTTAATATTTCTCTGAAGCCATTTGTAAGCTTCAGGATTTAAATCATTCGCAAATACTTCAATTCTTTTACGAGCAGCAGGAATAGCAAATGGTCCAACTCCGGCAAACACATCGTACAAAACATCATTTACTTTCATAAATGTAATCAAATTTGTATGTTCTGTACTTAATCGGGAATTCCAGTAAACTTGAGAAAAATCTAATTCATAAGTACAACCATGTTCTTTTACAGTTGTAATGGTATTCTTATCCCCTGCCAGAATTTCCATACTGAAATGTCTAAACGTTGTATCAATAATATTTATTTTGTTCACTACTGTTTTAGCAGCTGGTATAGTATCAAGATAAATTTGACCAATGATAATTTTATATGGTAAATGTACTTCACGCAAGTTTAAATGCACAATGTGACCTACCAAGCTGTATGATGTTGGAATTTCAATTCCTTCAGGCAAAATAGCCTTCAACATATCATACGAATTCCAATTATCATAATTCAAAGTAACTTTTGTCATTCCAAAACATTTGTAGTCTTCTAACAATACTCTTTCTTCTTCTACAAAATCTTCAAAACATTTTATCAATAATGGATTTAAATACATGATAACTTCATCGTTCTCTTTTTGAATCGGTTTAAAGTTTCTCATTCTAAAAAGATACTTCTTAAAAACTGGTTTTATTTTTGAAATACTAATATCACGATATTTTAAATATGGCAATTCCACAGTGGTTTCAAACGCTGCACGATTCAAACATGTCATTCCTCGTACTGATTCCGGAGGAACCAGCAAAGAAGTCATTGTACTAGTGTAAAAACGATACTGAGCCCAAAAACATCTCTTGGCTAATGTAATTAACCAACGACTTTCACCCATCTATATACACATGTATAAGATTATATAATGTCCACAAATGCAATACCCTATAAAGAATTTCTAGTTATTGCATTTAATGAAATTCTTACATGATTTAGTACATGTTTTTAATATAGTCTATTAAACAATGAAACTTGAAAAGTTTTTCATTGTACAGATATGTACTACTGTATCTTTATTAAAATAAATAAAAATAAATGATAGAAAATTTTATGCTTTGATACTTTATACTGCCTTATGATAAGCTATATTTATAAATCTATATTGACTACCAGATTAATATTTTAATTTTCTTTATATACAAATACAATGATAAAGTTTATAAAAATAAACTTTTCAATAATTAAAATCTCGTTTTAATAAGATCTGCTGAAAAAAATGGTAGTAAAGATCAATCAGCAGAAATGTGAAAAGAAAGATACCAATAACAAAAACATGTAATTACTTTATTATGAAATTATTATTTTATGAAATATACTATAATAAAAATATGCGAGTTCTTTTAAAGTCACATTTCATAAGAACTCGTAAAAATATCAATGCAAAATTAATTTTTGTTTGTACAAATTAATATACAATATTAAAAAACAATTGTTATTTACCTTTATACTTCTTGTCTTTTTGTTGAATCGAAATTGGTTCCTATCCAGATTAAAAAAAGTATTACATATGATGAGGTTAACAACACACGTTTGATTCTCAATGATTCTCAAACGTGTCATAGAATACGTGAATCAAACTACATATATAAACTTATATATTTTATTTATAAAAATAATGTACATACATCGCAATGCTTAATTAATTTTTATTTAATTAACAGATAAATAGAAGATATTTTTGTCTATAATGTGTCTATATTGCAGACTTTAAGTTATTAATTTTATCGAAAATCATAAAAACGTACAGTTTTGTAAAGTATCATTAATCATAATTTGAAAATTGCGTAATTTAATATTCCATATAATAAAATTTGTATGTACAAATGTGATTGAAACAATCTGAATTTATATTAATAATTGGTGATTAATATTACCAATAAATTATCTTCTATATATACACCCCAAAATTATTTACTAATAATAATTTTTTACTGTAATTTTAATTTTAATTTAATTTAATTTACAAAAATTAAACATTTTCTATTTCTCTATCTAGAATATAGTACATATGTACATTGTAAAATTACAATAAATACGGAAAATAAATTAATAACAGACAGATAGAAAAAAATGAAAGATATATTAAAAAAAAGTATAAATAATCTGATTAATACATAAACAAATATTTGCATAATTTACACATTTATATTTACTATAAGCTAAACAGTTCTATTAGTATCTACTGTATGTACATGAATAAATTAAACATTTTTTTTTGGAAGAGCAGAAGAAACATAATCTAAATTTTAATTTGAACTTTAATTTATAGCTGCCACGTAAGCAATAGTTATAATACAGTTATTTTTGTTCGTAATTTTTCTTTATTAATATATTACTATCTATTAATGGCGAAAATTTTTAGTTAATTTAAAAGCAGTCTCAAATATCGTTTATATTGAAATAGCTGTGGCTCTAACAGCTGCACTTAATAATGGATTTGGATCCGGTTCTTCAGTTAAAATATTAACTTTTACCCATTCTCGTCGTTTGTTGCTTTGTCGCAATGCATCAATAACTGCTTGTACATATAAACCATCTTCAAAAGATGACGCAGAAAATACTGGTTCCTTTATCCAACCTTTTTTGTCTTCAACAGATTGAAATGCTTCTCTTAACGCAGTGATCATTTTTCTTAATCCTTTGATATATGGTCTTGGAATAGAATCAGCAACAGGAAGAGATATATCTTGCAAATCATCCGTATCGCGATATAATATTTCTTCTTGTCCATTACGAGAACCATATAGGTCTCCACCGCGTGCAAGAAGATGATTACCACCTCCACATATTAATACTTCTTGAGACAGCTGACCTTGTAAATGGTTACTTAAAGTCACTGTTACCAATGTACCACTATTCAATTCCATTTGAAAACTACAAAAATCTGGTGATGTAACACGTCTTATCCCATTTATATGTTGGGTAGTTTGAGTAAAAGTACGAACTACTGCATGCACTCTTGATGCACGTTGACCAATTAAATGAAAAATTAAATCTATCACATGACTTCCTACTAATGCTAAAATTCCTCCACCCATTATATCATCGCACAGCCAATCGTACCCTATAAAAGTAAATGAAATAATGTTTAGAAAATGTTTAATGAATAATCATTAAAAAGTTACTAACCATTGTGTAATAAACTGCCCATATGTACTCTAACTTCTACAACATTTACAGGACCGTTCAAATATCCTTCTTCCAAAGCTTTTTTCATATGAACAAATGCTGGTAAAAATCGTAAACTATGGTTGACGATACTTATTAAAGAAGGATAATATTGTGCCGCTCTAACCATTTTTAGAGCTTCGCTTTGACTTAAACCAGCTGGTTTATCACATACAACATGCTTTCCTATTCCCAAAGCTTTTACCGCAATTTGCGCGTGTAAACTAGGAGAGCACATAATGAAAATTAAATCAACATCTTTCCTAAGAAGTACATCATCTATTCGACTGGTATGGAATGGTATTTCAAGATCACTGGCAACTTCTGACACTTCTGCCAATGTGCGTCCCCATATAGCTTCAATTCTGAAACCCTTTTCTCTCAGAAAAGGAATAATTATTCTAACAATACTTCCTGTACCAAATACTCCAATACCAGGTAATGTCATTGTAAACTTTATAACTTAGGCTACACCAAAATAACAATAATATTTCTTTGTTTCAACTTCAACTAGAAGACAGTTTGAATAATGTTATATCTTCTTGTTGATTTCCTTTGTTTTTTCATTAATTATGTATTTAATAATCAAATATTTTATAAATATCGTAAATATACAAAAAAAACATGGTACATACAACACCGTATAGTTTGTGCATTAAAGGTAGTATTTCATGTGTATTCAGTTCACAGATTAACGTTAGGTGAAATTTAATTAAATAGAACAAGACATATGAATATTGGAATTAATAAATTTGTATAAAATAATTAAGAGTTGGTTTATTTTCTGACAACAATTATAGATATTTTAAATTAATTCAATTTTTGCCATATTATTTAATTATATGTATAAACATTATTTTATGAGAGGAATAAAACATATATTAACGTGTAATTTATTTATTATACTTTTTTAGAAAAAATAAACACGTGTATTTCTTTCAATATAAATTATAAACGATATCGTGACAAAATAAATAGAGATTTCATTTAATTTTTTGTTATCATTGATTTTCCGAAGAGACACGAAACAAACCGAATACCAACGATGATTATGACTCTGCGCTAACCTGTCAGTTTGCTTTGCGCGAATTTGATGGTTGTTTGTCACGTCCGCTCCATTCAATGAAATACTTAAATATGTAAATATGCAATTGAATTGCAAAAATCAGTGGTCACAGTGTAATTTTTTATTTTAAATTTCTGTACGTATGAGGTATTATAAATCAATAACTTAGTACAAAATGTCAGAGATTCGTAAAAGAACAGTTGGAGATGCGTCGACAGAAACGCGGGATGTCAGTGATAATCAGGTAAACGGAGTTTTCTTTATTCCTACAATTTATTATTTTTTATTTGTACATTCATTTTTCATAGAATTAGATTCCATTGTTTATTATTGCATAAGATTAATTTATGAAATGACCTTTGTCTCATATTATATACATATATATCAACTAAATTAAGAGGTAATGACAGCTATTTACTAACACTAAATCATTCCGATTAATATACTAGTAAATACGATACTACTATTTTTACGATACTCTACAGTACAGTACTTTTACGACACTCCCCCCCCCCCCCCCCCCCCCCCCTTTTTGTGGTTTTTTATTGTAAGCGAATTTATGATAACGTGAATTGATTATATTTATGCAATGTTTTCTTATTTCATTCATAACTCTATTGTTGAATGGTATTTATGTTTTTCTCGTGTAGAAATGTAGAGAGAAATTTTGTGAAATTATTTTTTAGTAGACTGAATAAAATTAATAAAATCAATGTTTACATATCATAAAAATATACAATACATATATTTATACATATATTGCATCTCTTTTATCCTAGTTAATCACAAGATAATATTATAGATTCCTTTTAAAGTTAAAATTATAGCAATATTAACAGTTTGAATTCTGTTTTATACAGAAGGAAGATGTGGAATCTGAGGATGATGCAAAATTAGAAGTGGAGGAATTGGGTAAAACTTTACCTCAAGGGACTGATCATACTCCGCACATTTTGGATTCAGTCCTTTCTGGCTTATCGGATCGGTAAAATTTATCGAGCTATATACTTGAAATGATGAAACATAAATGTTGAATGATTAAAAATAAAATTTCTTATAGATGGAAAAATTGGGTAATCAGAAGTATTTTTACCTTGTTTATGATCATTGGATTTTGTGGCATTATTTATGCTGGACCATTAGCACTGATGGCGACGGTAAATCTCATTTATAAATTTTGTAACATACACAAATTTCAAATTTATAAAACACTACATCATTTTGTATATGTTTTCATAGACGTTAATTGTGCAAGTGAAATGTTTCCAAGAGATTATTAACATTGGATATGCAGTTTATAGAATTCATGGTTTACCATGGTTTCGATCTCTTTCATGGTATTTTTTAATTACTTCCAACTACTTCTTTTATGGGGAAAATTTGATGGATTATTTTGCTGTAGTGATTAATAGAACAGTAAGTATAATTTGCATAATTTTATTTTGATAAGTTTTTCTTCAACAATGTTAGCTAACTATTTATTAATAATATTAAATCATGACTTAGTTAATTTAGAAAATATGTTTTTATGAACATATCTAATACTGACATAAAATCAATAAACAAAGCTTCGAGTATTACCTTTATATACTTTGTATGGCTTCCAGTTCTATTTTGTGAGGTTTCCATCATGTTTAAATTTTAAATTAATTTATGTTTTAAATATATATATATAAGTATCTGTTATCTTAATTATATATCACCAAAAAGAAATTATATTTATAATAACAAATTAAAACTTGATGTTACGTGTAAATTGACAACTAATGCTATTCTTTCATTTATCTTACAGGAGTATTTACGTTTACTTGTTACATATCATCGTTTTATTTCATTTTGTTTATATATCGTTGGTTTTGTATGGTTTGTACTGTCACTTGTGAAAAAATATTACATGAAACAATTTTCTCTATTTGCTTGGACACACGTTGCTTTACTTATTGTTGTGACCCAGAGTTATCTTATAATTGCAAATATATTCCAAGGCTTGATATGGTAAGTTGATTTATATAAATTATTATCATCTACGTTGCCGTAGTTAGGTAGAAGCCAGTGGGCTTGATCCTTCCAAGAATATGTACTGGCCCCTTTACCATTCTGAAACTCTAAGGTTCTAATCTTTCACAATTCTAAGATTCTCTCGTAAGATCTTATGAAACGCAAGATATTAAATACCTTATCACTGTTAAAAAAAGTAAAGGATCGAGCCTACCCTGGTCATCTAATACATATTTTATAATGATATATGTATATTTATTTGGTTCAGGTTCATTGTTCCAGTTAGTATGATAGTGATAAATGATATAATGGCATATATGTTCGGCTTTTTCTTTGGCAAAACACCTTTAATTAAATTGTCACCTAAAAAGACTTGGGAAGGTTTTATAGGAGGTGGTATTTCAACAGTAATACTTGGTTTGGTGGTAATGATATATTTATACTTTTTTTATTATACGATGTTAATGTATTCCACATTTAAAAACCTGAAATATATGTTTCAGATATCATACATCATGTGTCAGTACCGTTACTTTGTTTGTCCCATTGAATATAGCGAAGCCTTAGGACAAATGACAATGGACTGTGAACCATCTGCTTTATTTCAACCTCAAGAATATAATTTACCCACTAGTTTACAAGTTATGTGGAAAATGGTAATGTAATTATGTAAATCAGTAATGCGGTAATTTCTACACATACGATGGAAACAAAAAATATTTAATAATCATTCTTTTCTATAGATTAGTGGAAAGTCTACTGTATCTTTATATCCATTTTTACTCCATTCATTATCAATGTCAGTATTCAGTTCTGTAATTGGACCATTTGGAGGTTTCTTTGCCAGTGGCTTTAAGAGAGCATTCAAAATTAAAGTAATCACAATTGTTATATTTTTCTCTTATTTTTTAAGTAAATTACATGCTCAGTGATAATTCATAATTGCAGGATTTCGGAGATATTATTCCTGGTCATGGTGGAATAATGGATAGATTTGATTGTCAGTATTTAATGGCAACATTTGTAAATGTTTATATATCTTCGTTCATTCAAACTGCATCACCTCAAAAACTTTTACAACAGGTACAATCTAACAATTCTTTTGATTTTCCTTAATAATTTTCTACTGTAATTTTTATATCCATATTAACTTCATATATAGGTGTACAGTTTAAAACCGGAGCAGCAGTTACAGTTGTTCCAAACGCTAAAGGATTCATTAGAACACAGGGGTTTGTTAAATGTTTATTGATGTTCTAACATGGATAATAATTGAATGGTAAGCTGTATTACCTTTAAACAGCAAAAAAAAAGTTAGAAAAATTATTTCTAATATTTGTCTAAATATTGTACGCGATGTTTGTGCAAGCAGCATTAACAATATTAATCACGATAATATATTAATACTCAACTGGTCGCATGTTTCACTAAAAATTTATTGACTTTATATATTTGTATAACTTTACTTTGAAATTGTATATTATGCTTTCTAATATTTTTCTGAGAGTATTATTTTTTGTAATTACGAAAGCATCTTTAAACATTAAATTTAAATAATTCGTATGAAATTACACGTCAGTTAACTGTTGTTAATTGAACTTGTAAAAATTCATTGTTTCAGTTAAAATCATAAACTATTCATTTATATATAAGCGGCTAGTTAGATGAAATGATCATGATTAAATTTATTTTACAGTTATAAAAATTAAGAAACACGTAATGTAATACTTTGCAGTTCTTTTGCATTCCGCAACAAACAGTCTATTTTCTATCAAAAAAATTTGTATTAAACTGTGATGTTGATAGAAATTTGACTAAATGTTTCTTTTATAACAATTAAACCAAAGAATGTCAGATATACTGCGTGTTATATAAAAGAACTTCTATAACTATTTGTTAAATATCTTATAAATACTTGAAATATTTTTCAAACTTTCTTTTTTTAAATATTTTTCTTCATTGATAAGTTATAAGTAAATTTATCAATGAAAATTCATTCGCTCGAAATTAGATGTATGTATTTAAATCAATCAGATCTCAATATATTTTTAAATTGTAATTATGCATTTAAGAATTTTAATAGCAGATGCGAATCTCATTAAATTCATCTTTTGCATATAATTTGAAACAGTTAACAGTAGGTAACTTTATTTGAAAAACTAACGGACGTTCATATTTTTCAAGAAAAAAAGAGTAGCATTACTTTGTTATTATAGTCAGTTTATACGTTATACGTGTATCAATTGTTTGTAATTAATTATTATTGATAACAATAATAGAGTAAATTTTTACATTTTTTTTTTCTGTTATAATCAGTGTCATATAATCATTCATAATTTATGTACAAACATATCTATTATTCTGCAGTATTAAGTATAAAATATTTTCTTAAAGCAAGTATTTTAAATCTAACAAAATGTAGTATTGTAAAGAAATTGATGTTATATTTTATTACAGGCTTTTACAATATTTACATGTTTAACTACTCTCTGATACTGAATATGACACTGAATATTAACAAGAAAAGAAAAATAATTTCTATTTGCTCTCGATTCTGTTATAAATAATTTCATTATAAACAGAATTAAATGAAAATGTAACTATTTTTCGCAATAATTATTATAGTATCTTTTATTTTTTTATTTCTTATTTTTTTACAACTATGTATATCTTACTTTATCTTCAAAACTGAACAAAACGGTAAATTGCATACTAAACCACAAAATTCTAAAGAAATTTTCAAAGTGCTATGAAATATGTTTCAAATTATATCATTTTAAATTGTGCCAATTCTCTATAGAGGTAAACTGAATGTTTAAAAATATATAGTCATGCAAAGAAATGTCAGTGTGGCACAATTAATGGTATCTATCTGATTGCATTACATTTCCAATATCGATTTTATGTATGTTTTACATAGTTAATTTACATATGCTTTAGAAGCAAATCATACAATGTACCTAACTCAGAGTAAATACTTCTACTTTCCTTTATTATGAAATATTTATATATTGTTTTAATGTTGAATATATAATATTAAAATAACATATATGTGTATACAAACTGAAAGGAAACAGTAATAGATAAGTTATTTAATAGAGAACATAATAAAATATATGTATATGTATATAGATGAAAAATTTTTGTGAAACAACAAATATATTATTGTAATTATAGATTTTTAACTGAAGGTGACTTAAATTTAAATGTGTAACATATTTATGTAGTAGTACAAGAAAATAAATAAATTCTTGGAAATGTTAATTCTGTTAAATATATTGCTTATATATCTCGAATTAGATGAATTAATGTAGAATACTATAAAATTTGTTTATTCTAATGTACTTATAATAGTGTAACACGCATACCACTATATTTAAAAATTGGTATTCCATAATCATGTGATATATTGATTGTGACCATGTTTCCTTTATGTTATTATGTATTTTGTTCTGATCTGTTTTGATCAGCACTGTCAAATAGTAACCACAGATCCAACAAAACTGAACTGTGTGTATGTACGTAACATGTTTAAAGATTGCCAGCTCCTGTGAAAAATAGCTGCCCGCTAAATGGATCAAGAGGGTTTGGCGCCGGCGATAAATAGTAATTATCGTAAATGGTAATGGAGCTATATAACTAACAGACACGTGCAACACAAAAATTTGCGGTTTTTGTACTTACATGCTACTTTGAACGTCTTTTACAGATTTCTACTCTTTCATAAGATTTGGCCGCGTGGTACAGCACTAGTGCGACGCGGCAAGTAAAATCCCGTAAGCATTCTTTTTTCTTTTCCGTCAAAATTAATGTTTGAGAATTTCTACTTCTCCTATAACGCTATTTTCCTTACGGAAGTCTACATGTACACAGTATAATAAGTTGAAGTCTTATATATAAAACAAACTATGTATGTATTGTAATTAGATTTATACATGTATTCTAATTGCTTTTTAAAACATATATCTTGAAAGAAATTGTATACTGTACTTTAGATAAGATATTGTTCCAATAAGGGGTTAAAAGTTTATCAAAAATAAATGTGGATACATAAGGAAAGTACACAGTTGAAACTGAATCAGTTCAATTAAAATTAAAGACTGAGCGAGTACATTTTAAACTAAATGAAAATAATAATGGCTTCACAAAAAGTTGTAAGAAAAATAATATCAACTTCATTAAGTCCAAAACCTGTTGGACCTTACAAGTAAGCAGGAATATTATACAATTTGCTTATATTATTAATTTTTTATATTTGAAATCATATTATCTGGTATAAAGGATACTAGTAACATAACATAATTAATTTTAAATAGCCAAGCAGTACTTGTAGATCGTACTTTATATCTGTCTGGAGTTCTTGGTCTTAATATGAAAACTCAGAAGCTTGCTGAAGGAGGTGCTGTTGCTGAAGCTCGTCAAGCCCTCACAAATATGGGGCATATTTTAAAAGAAGCTGGATCTGATTATAATAAAGGTTTTATTTATTTTTGAAATGTATAACAGCAGTTTCTTCTGTTTGTTTGAATTACTTATCAAAATTGATTATCTTATCATTATCGTTTATCATTAATTTATAATAATCCAAAATTATTATTCAAGATTTATACCTTAAATACTATTTATTTTTTATGTTACATTTACAGTTGTTAAGACAACGATCTTATTACAAAACATGGATGATTTTTCTGGCATAAATGAAATTTACAAAGAATGTAAGACCCAATTATCTTAAATCTAATTTAAATTAAAAATAATACATGGATATAGACATATAATATATGTATATATTTCTTATTTTAGTTTTCAAAGAGAACTATCCAGCCCGATCCACATATCAAGTTGGAAAATTACCTATGGTATGAATTATTAACACTTTTAAATATTTAATAAATATATATATGTGTATAATTATAAAATATATGTATATATGTGATCTTAATTATAAAATATTCTTGCAGGGAGCTCAATTTGAAATTGAAGCTATTGCTGTCATTGGTGATGTAGAAACAATTTCAACATTATAAGTGATGAATGTTAAATTTGTAAAAATGTATATATAATTTTATACGTTAATAAATTTCAACCTGTTAAAATGTTCACATTCTCTAATTGTAAACACTGACATAATCAAACTACTTATACATGACAGTGACTACGAATGCAAAAAGATTGGACATGCCTTTGTTTTCGAGAGGTAACAAGACCGAAAAATTATTAAGATAATTATTTGACAAACTTGTATTTTAAAAAGACCGCCATAATCCAAGTATTTTTAAAATTCTACCGTCGCGCCAGCTGTACAAAAACAGAGGAAATTACTTAACAACTTACCGATCGGTTTTCCGAAACGTGTGGCGTCGCTGAGTGTTCCCGCTTCCGGCAGTTAACTTTTAAATTATTATTTTCATTTGTCTTCTTCATTCTCCTGGAGAATGACCAATAACCAATTTTTGGTTATAACCAATTCTTGGTTATGACTGTACCGACCCCTGCTGACCTGACGTTCGGTCGTCGGTGCTGAGCGGATTGCAGGTTTCTGGCGCTTTTTACTCGAATTTTTAAACGTTAATAACTGGAAAACAAAGCCGTAAACGCTATTTCGTTATTCTTGATTTTCGTCTTATTTTGATCCCTAGAATCACCCCTTAAAATATTGCCCATCTGTTGTCGAACACATATGTCTAAAGACAAATGTCCTGACTCATCAACGCCCGGCCCAAACTCCTGAACCTAGAAACATGTAATTCGGGTAGTGCATTCCTCTCATGACGTAGGCACCCACTAAGAAGGGATTTTTAGAAATTCGGGTAATTATTCAGATTAGGTTCCATCTCATCGATTCTGATGAAATTTAAATATGTTGTAAAACTCAACATTTTGAACAATTTTTCCTATACATATAACCGCCGCTCGGCCTTAGTTTTCGAGATATTTTCGAAAAATTGCTGCTACTATTACAATGAATTCTACGTACATATACCTATGCATCTATGGCGACGAATGCATCAGCAACGGACCACCGCTTATCTACTGTTTTCACAAACACATTGCGACGGCCGAAAAGCCGAAATGATGATTCCGAAATCATACTTACAATTAGTCGGTAGAACAAATGGTAATTATTTAGATTACAGACGGCACCACCGATTTCGATAATTTTTAAATATGTTGTAGAAATCAACATTTTGAACAACTTTTTCCTATACACAGGGTGTTCGACAACAGGTGGGCAAAATTTGAAGGGGTGATTCTAGGGGTCAAAATAAGACGAAAATCAAGAATAATGAAATAGCGTTTGCGGCTTTGTTTTCCAGTAATTAACGTTTAAAAATTCGAGTAAAAAGCGCCTGAAACCTGCAACCCGTCCAGCACCGACGACTGAACGTCAGGTCAGCAGGGGTCGGTACAGTCATAACCAAGAATCGAAACCGAATACTGCAGTACCGAGAAACAGAATAGCACGAGGTAAGTTTCTACTATTCAACGATTCTTGGTAATTTTGGCTAATTTTGATAGAGAAAAATATTACTTCTTCATATTACAGACGATTTTGACAGGAATATACAGGGTGTTCAACAACAAGTGGTAAAAAAAAAGTCCGTACTTATTCATATTACAGACGATTTTGACAGGAATGAGGAATTCGTAGAATAATGGCTAGAAGCAGGTGTTACAGAAATAAGAGATGAAGTAAGAGATAGTACAGAAGGAAACGAAGGCAGTAGGCACCATCGAGCTACAATATCAGTGATTTCCAAATTGCTGTTTGTCACAACTTGCACATTTAAAGAAAAATATCCCTTTCTATTTCTGAACAGTTCTGTATTCTCAGTACTTACAATACGAAAATAAAACAGGTTTAAGACATAACAATTTCAAGCATAGTTATGTAGTTTGTCAATATGAACAGATTTTAAATAAAACTGCTTACCAAACGATTGAACTTGAACGTGTGTACAATCGATGCAACCTAGAACTCTTGGAAATCGAGCGATTCTATAAAATTGCAATTGTTCTTTTTTCATTTCGTTATCTGTGATAGGAAATTTTATAAAATCTGGCGATTGCGTTAGTAACACGGTGAATAATTCGGTGGGCACTAGTAGTACTGACACCAGAAAAATCACCTGCAGATATTATAAAAGATCCTGTTGCATAAAATCTAAGTGTTAATAGAAATTGCTGCATTGGGGTCATAGGATTATTTCTGTAAAAATAAATATTTATATTGACCAGTAGTTTTTAGTATTAAGTATATACGGCATGAAGATAATTATAATTAAAAAATAAACATAGTATCTGTTGGATCGAAATGCTAACTCTTTTATGTTGTTTAATACTAATAAAACAATTTTTATTTAGGCGAAATCTCATTTTAAATTCAATGTCGTCCAAATCATCAAAATAGTTCATACGCAATTTAAATCTTTTCGGTCTTCTACTGATATGTCTTATGATATCTTCATCGTCGGATGATGATAAAATATTGTAATATGCCATAATAATCCACATGTAAAATATTGTGTATAGTGTATATGATACAGAATGTACTGTACACAACCTCAAATATTCAAAAATTGGCGTTCACGATGAACGCCGTTCAACTGATTTGAACTTGTACTAGGGATGTTCGATTCCGATTCGATTCTTTAGGTTAAAAAATCGATTTTTTGAATCGATTCTTTGGTATTCGATTTTCCCCAAAATCGATTCTTTAAGATCGGGTTTTTGCCCTCGGCTTTTTATATCGGCTTCTTGGTTTTGAATTTTTAGAAGAATCGATTTTTCTAATCCATAAAAACACATTCACTCCTAAAAACAGTATAAGAATAGTGATTAACATATAATGTTGCGATCCTCGCCGGTGTGAGTGAACATAGCTACAGAATCAATTGTGAACTAGGCTGTATGGAGCAGAATCAATTGTGAACTAGGCTGTATGGAAAATTGAATGTGGTGCCTAAAATTGAATGTAGCGCGTTAAACAGTTTTAGGATTACTTCAGTATAATTTAAGCAACGCCAAGTAATTAAACGCTCGTATCATTACTCGATCCGTGATGATCTGTGAGCGCTTATAGCGCCAAAGCAAACATTGTGAGTGATACTCATAAACGTTTTCAGCGCGTGAGCGCCCAAAGGGAACGCAGCCTTACTATGTTACATTTGTATAGTTAATGTTACATCGATCTACATATCCGGTCTCTATAACCTCTCCAACCTTTTCTAACTAAGGTTTAACGTGAGGTAGTCACGTTTTTACGTTTTCTTCGAAATCGTATTTCATCCACATTTCTATTTAGCAATTTTATATAACATTTACTAAAATGCCTCCAAAGTTTGATCCTAATGAAATTAAAAAAGGTATGTTTTTAATTTAAAACTTTTTTGTACGTATTAAAATAATACTCAAATTTATCTAATGTATTTGTGTGTTTTATTAGTTTATTTGCGATGCATTGGAGGTGAAGTAGGTACGACTTCATCTCTAGCCCCAAAAATTGGTCCCCTTGGTTTGGTAAGTTACATTTAATCTTAGTGTATTCATATTGTTCAGAGGAAAAATTTTTCTTTGAATTGATGCATATTGTTAAAAATGTTTTTATACTGTGTAATTAATGTTTTATCGTTGTATAGTCTCCTAAAAAAGTTGGTGATGACATTGCCAAAGCTACGACCGACTGGAAGGGTTTAAAGATTACAATACAGTTAACAATTCAAAACCGGCAGGCCACAATTTCAGTAGTTCCATCTGCTGCTTCTTTAATAATTAAAGCACTGAAGGAACCACCAAGAGACCGTAGAAGACAGAAAGATATTAAGCACAATGGAAATTTGTCATTTGATGACATACTTTCTGTTGCTCGAACAATGAAACCAAGATCCATGTCAAAGTATCTCAGTGGCACAGTTAAGGAAATATTAGGAACCTGTCAGTCAGTTGGATGTACAGTTGAAGGCAGACCACCTCGGGATCTTATTGAAGATATCAACAGTGGAGAATTACAAGTTCCTGACGAGTAATATGGTAGGTTTAGAGCTCTTTGCAAACTTTTCATCACAATATCTTATACTATTGTGTACTGTTTCTATTCAGTACAGTATTAGAAATTATTATTGATATCGTGTTGGAAAGTATCTGCTCTGAGCTCTTGGTAGGGGTTAGCATCCCATCCACCTAATTAGCTATAGTGATACCTTATGGTATTGCTATAGACTATCAGGAATATTGCTACTGAGGAGAAAACCTCAATAATAAATCATCATTTACTTCTTATGTATAATACTTTAAGAAATGTTACATTTTTATTGTTTCAGATGTATCACAAGGGGCAAAAAATAAAAATGTTTTAAAATTGTAGTATGTTTACATACATATTTCTTTTCTACCTAATAGACTAAAATTTAAAACCTAGATACCTAAATATTTTTTCTATATTTTGAGATTAATTACAGCAGTTATACTTAATAGTTAAATAAAAAAGGAAAACATTTAGACGGATACGATAACTTTTTCTTATAAATTGAAGATAGAAAAAGAAGTTATTTATCTGAAAATTTTTAACTATTAATCTATTTAAAAATAAAATACATTAAGTTACAAAATTTGGTTATAAAATTACAAGTGCAGTAATTCTTACACAAACAAAAGTTTATCATATAAGAAATTTTACTTTACATTTTTAATTAAATTATTAACTTAATTTATATTGATAAATATTGTAAAACATATTCAAAAAATAGAGTTACATACATTTTATATAGTTTTTTTATATTTCAATAATTTTACTCAAATGAAAACAATGGAAAGAACTCACATAAATGTCACATTTCATATAACAAATTATTGTCCTAACACGTGTCCTTGTCCCCAATTATGACCACCGAATGTATTTCTAACAGGTGCTTGTGGCCTCTGAGTAGATGTAGCTCCAATCCATCTCCAACCGCCTCTTTGAGGTGGAAAATATGATTCAAGAAATTTTGGAGTATTTAGTAATTCTGGCCCACCAAGTTCTTGAGGATATTTAAACTTCAGGAATACATAAAGATGTCCAACTAAGATACCAAATAGTTCCATCATACCGCCTCCAGAAATAATAAGATTAAATGCAAATAACACCCATGGTAAATACATTGCCTTAAATTGTGTGCCTGTTAATTTAAAGAAACATAAACATGAAGGTTTAAATTGAAAATATTAAATATTAAAAAGCATTAATGTTATCATAGAAAATACATACCGAACCAGAAATTAACGATAGCATCTTTATTTAATTGACACCAAACATACAATATACTGAGTACCATAGGATCCATAAGATATGGAAATTCACCAATAATTCCTATGATAACGCAACATATCCAATTGAATAAGAGTAAGAAACAATAATCTGCTGGCCGTCCATCGTATTCTCCACGTTCTAACCTCAGCGAATAATTATATAAGAAATAACAATTTATTAAGAAATGAAATCCTGTACCCGGATTGAGAGGATAAAAGAAAACACTGGTTGCTGCTCGCCAAATCTCAAAGTTGTTTATGAAACGCTCCTTTATAAGTATCAGGGAAAGTGGACTTACTAGTCCAAATCTTCCTGCTAATGTACAAACAGCAGTACATAATAACCAATATCTTGTGAAAAAGGGTAAAGAATTAAACCAATCTCTTACATCAGACATTTCTGTAACTTTAACTTAACTAATGCAACACCACACTACACAAGTAATTACAAGCAACCGAATATCGGAATGACGTGTGATTGTTTAGTGACCATTAGTGACTAAACAACGACACCATGTGGATTAGGTTAGAAAGTATAACAACAAATATGGTTCCTATGCAAAAATTCCCCTTAACCAAATTTTTTGTAGGTACTTACTATATGTAGTAAATAGTTTTCTAATAATATTTAGAATATATTTAAAGGAAAATATAAAAAGTTTTAAAAAATTTACTTTTATAAACATGTTACAAAACATATATTTATAACCTTAAGTTGTAAAGTGTTTATGGACATTCATATTCGTAGTTAATTATTAATGTTCAATGTGCAGCTTTCAATGTTGTAATTATTAAAATTATCAACATTATAATTCATTAATAAATACCAGTAATCGAAAATTTCATTATAATATGTATATACAAAATACACTAATGTTATACACGATAATGACAATTTTTAAACATTATTTATATCAAAAATTCATATATAATTGTTATTAGATTGTATTTATCTTCCTAAATAGTAATAGTATTTAGTACTTCATAACACAAATTGTACATAAATTACAAAATTTATTCTACGATTTTTTTTTATAATGAATATGTTTTGAATTTTGTCAAGTAAATAGTGATGATAACTGCCTGCCTTCTTAATATTGTAGACAATGTACAAATTTGTTGCTAAAAAATTATTTTATAAAGCCATGTATCTTATTTGCATATATACTTATTAAGAATATATGCATACATGTACATACATACATTTAGATTTAAGCGTACATATGCATACACGTAAATAAAACATGATTTAATCATCAACTGTTTTTTTAGTCCTTCGTTGCCTAGGACTTTGTCTGGGAGTTCTGGGAGACTTATCTGTAAAGAATAACTTATCAGTAAATATTTTTGTTATTTTATCTAATTTTAAATATAATAAAATACTTACTAATTCTATTTAATGTTTCTTTTGGCAGCCAATCATAATCTACATTGTTAGGATTGGATGTGCCCATTTCCACAGGTGTTTTACGACTACTAGAAGAACGCGATTTACGACCAAGAGATGAAAGAAGTTGTTGTCCTCCTACAAGGGTTAGTATCACACATGCAGCTAAAAATACATATAGGAAAACTGTTTCTCCATCAAGACCATCGTCTAATTCTATGATCTGAACTGTTTCATTGTAAACAGCTTCACTGTAGCTAATACCATTCTAAAAATCATATATCATTATTAATTTTTGGTATTCATATTTCTGAAATTAAATAATTTGTTACATACAGCATCTCTGTAATTTAAATTAATGTTGAAGCCAAAAGGCCTTCCTGCAAGATTTTCTGATGGAATGAACGAATATGCTAAAGTTGCTTCGTGCTTTGGCTTTACAATTTTGTTGTATGCAACAGTTGAGAAATTTTGAATATAGAAGTTGAAGTCCATCGCATAACGAAAAGATGCATCCAAAGATTCCAAAATGAAATCATATTCACCTTTGTTGGCAAAACCAACAAGTAATTCAACTAAGTTTCCAGCTGGTAATTCTAAAAAGGTAAATAAACTATTAATATTATCTATCAAATGAAACTTTAATAAAGTATCACAGAATAGAAGAAAAGTTTTGTATATACCTAAGGTTGATAATCCATTATAAACAGGTTTATTAAACAATACAGTTGTATCAACATCAGTAGAGGTAGTAGTTACTTCATCTTCAGGTTCTTCATCTGTTATTACAGAATTATCTTCTCCTTCGATGTCTACTATATCGTCTATATTTTCATCCTCTTGAGCATAGGCTATAATAAAATTAAAAATATGAATAATATATAATTATTTCATGAAAGTTAATACCAAGATTGATGACTAATTAATAATTATTTATTTAATCAATGAAAAATATAAAATTTCAAAACAACTATTTTTACTTTAAAATTACAAATAATTTGAAGTAATGTAAAAGTAAAATTTATATGTAAAAAATAAATAAATACATTTAATATTTTTTGTAAAAGTTGTATAACTATATTTCATATGAAAACTACAAATAAATGTGTTAAAAGTCAAAATAAATCAGGAAATTAGGTTTCATTATGTTAGCTACTTTTGTATACCTATGTGCAATAGAAATGTAAATTACAAATTGAAGAAAATATTAGTTAATATCTTTTACCATGCATTACCTTTGTTCACTGTTAAAATAACTGATGAAATGAATATCAGTAAAAAAATGCAACATTTCTTCATTTTTCTGATGTTTTCTAATTTTTTTTTCTGTTATGAAGAATAATTTTAATTCTGTTTTCAAGCACTGACTTCAGAAGCAACACCTGAGTACAATGCTTCTGAGCAACAGAACCGGCTTCTACTGATGTCGCGACGTGGAAAGCTGACAACGTATTCGTCAATTCTACAACGTGGAACATCATGTAACGTTGGCATTAAATAGAGAAAATTGAAATAAGATTTCTGTTGCCAACTTAACAGATTTAATTCCTAGTATTTCAAATGTAACAGCACTATCTCGAAGTAACCAATAGAAAAACATATTTATAATTTATATATATATATACTTTCTGTTTTTGCTGTTCCTCTCTCTGTAATATATTGTAGTCACTGCATACAGTATGTGTATATATGTTGACTTATGCATAGTTGTTTATAAAATAAGTAGTTTGCCATGAAAAACTTGTTCATTGACAAGGAATAATCTATTTTCTCAGTTTATTGTTAGAATAGTAATTAAAAACAGTAACTAGTAATCATTTGTTGTGATCACTTATTAGAAGTGGAGTAAGTTTATATACACATATATTTATCATTTTATCTCTTCCTTGACATGCAACCTTAACTTTTTCTCATAGATGATAATAAAAGGGTATATTAATTTTGTCTTAACATAATTTAATGTGTTAAAATTTCTCATAAAGGAATGTTTTGTTCATTAATATAATGGATCAGATTCAATTAAAAAAATCTGTTGAGAGAATTTCAATAATATATTGATACAATCGATGTGTAAATCGTTAACACAATCCTTATTAACATTACAGATTGCAAGCATGGATTATGACGATGATTTCTTCTTCGAAGAAGATAAGATGTTGGTTTCATAAACCTGCTTATTTAATACACAATATTTGTTATACTTCAGTTTAAATGTGCTTGTTTTTTTTCCTTGTAACATGCATGTCTGTATGTCACGGTGTAATGGAATAGTTTGAAGGAAGAAATGGTAATATCTATAGATAACATTGATTTAAAAGAATTTAATGAAGAACCCAAAGAAAATTGTTTTGTTCCATTAACCACTGTGTCATTGGCTAATGTACAACCGCATCAGTTTCTCATGATGGAAGATCGCATGTACGCACTGTTATTTTACTCTTTTACTTATCACTAAAAATTTTTCTTCTTTATATTTTACATTTTTAAAACCTTATAAATTTCATACTTTTTCTTTTTTCTTTTTTTTTTTAATCATTGCGGAATATAGACCTGATGTAGAACTGGTCAAGCAAGATCAGTCTCTTCATCAACCACTCAACAGCACAATGTAAGTTGTGATAATAATATGCTTGTTGCTATAATTATTTACTATACTATAGTAATTGATGTTTAGTTTACTTATAATATTTTATATAAACTAATAATATGATTTAATATTTTTTATTATAATATCAATAAGTATTTAATTATTATCAGAACACTCAGGTAAGAATTTCCTAAATATTTATTTAATAATAAAGGTGTATTTAAATTCTTATATCGTTACTTATTCATTTTTATTTACTTGGTAAAATATTTGAAGCATGAACTGTTGAAATCATTCTATGTTCTGTGTTATGTAAATTATTTGTCATATTTATGTGCACTGCATAGTAATTTTTTATGTATTAGCTTTCAGTTTCATTAGCTGTTATTAAATTTTATTTAATAATTTTGAATATTTACAGTTTTAATATAAACGTAAATATAAATATAAATATTACACACTTTTTATTGTATCATTTTATACAGGGGTATGACCATAACTTCTGGCAATGTTGTAATACAAAAGGATGGCAGTAATCTTATAGGCATAAGTATCGGAGGGGGAGCACCGTTATGTCCATGTTTATATATTGTACAAATTTTTGATAATACACCTGCAGCAATAGACGGTACTCTGCAATCAGGAGATGAACTTGTAGCAGTGAATGGTACATCGGTTAGAGGAAAGACAAAAGTAGAGGTTGCAAAGATGATACAATCTTGTGATTCTCAAGTTAGTATTAATTACAATAAATTACATGCTGATCCAAGGCAAGGTCGTACGCTTGATATAGCCTTGAAAAAGGTTTGTATAGTTCAAATTGTATAGTTAATTATGAACAATTAACCTTTTAATTGTTCTAATAAATTAATGAAATTTTAGGTGAAACATAGATTGGTTGAAGGAATGGGAAGTGCAACAGCAGATGCATTAGGATTATCGCGTGCAATTCTTTGTAACGATGCGCTTGTGCAACGATTAATGGCATTACAGCGCACAGAAAATTTGTATAGAGGTCTTGTTTCTCATGCTAAATCTACTTTACATGCTTTCTTTGATTTAATACAAATATACAAAGGTACGTTCAGAAGTCTACTGAAAATTAAAGCTTTTTTTAAAACTATTTTTATAAACTACTCAAAGTAGATGCATTAGTATTGTCCGTAATTCTCTAAATAGTATATTATGTGTTTTAGTATTTGGTGATGCTTTTGCTGCGATAGGAGTAAGAGAACCACAACCTCGAGCTAGTGAAGCTTTCAGACAATTTGGGGAACAGCATAGACAAATGGAAAAATTTGGAGTAACAATGCTAAAAACTTTGAAACCCATATTAAACGATTTAGGCACATATCTTCACAAAGCTATTCCAGATACACGATTAACTATCAGCAAATATGCCGACGCAAAATTTGAATATCTTTCTTACTGTTTGAAAGTAAAAGAATTGGACGACGAAGAACAAAGTTATGCAGCATTACAGGAACCTCTTTATCGAGTGGAAACTGGCAATTATGAATATCGGTTAGTATTAAGATGTCGACAAGAGGCACGTGCGAAGTTTGCGAAACTTAGATCAGATGTACTTGTAAAACTTGAATTATTGGACAATAAACATGTTCAGGATGTTGTATGGCAATTGCAAAAATTTGCAGCTGGTCTAGCAAAATATTATTCTAATACGCGGGATTTACTATCTGCTGTAACGTTATTTCCCGTTGAAGTCGATTTATCGCATTCTGCGTTTCAATATAAATCTACTGGACCGCAAATGATAACTGACGGAGAAGATGTAGATGAATTTGAACCAGAAGAAAAATCAAATACAAATGAAGATTTACTCATAGACACGCAAAATATTTCGTTTACATTCGAATCTGATAATATGTAGCAAAGTGATTTTAATTTACAAACAATTCTGAAAATCGTTATTAATGTAATAATGTTTTCTTCGTATTTCGCGTTCTACTTTCAGTGATGTTTTGTAAATCAATACCAAAGGTAATTATTTTAAAAAATATATGTACCAAGAATTTGTATATTATTATTGAGAAACACGCTTCTCATAATACGTATTAATTATAAAATTGAATGATGCATTTATTATATTCTTAATTCTTATAATAAACATACTATGTTACAGTTGTTTGAAATATATATTTTGATGTTATTTAAACATAGAGTAGTAATTCAAAGAATTTAAGTATTGAATATATGTATGTATTGCATTAAACAGTACAATAGCGAGGAGGGGATGATAGCCAACATCGATTGAAGATCTTTACCGCCAAGCTCAGAACGATTCAGAGCTTCAACCCTACTTGATACATTTTTCTGGAAAAGATAAAATCTAAAGAATAACGTAATATAAAACTTCATTTTTGTTAAACGCAAAGTATTTGTTTTATTAAAGACCGCGCCGCGAGCAGAGCGCTTCAGCGCTCCACGGGCACCTTACTCACTTTCCAAAATCCCTATAATCTGGAACGGCGCACGCAACAAAACCAAAGACGTGTCCAGTCTTTTTGTGTCTTTTGTTACTGGCTTTGCCGGCCTATAAACTACTTGTACTACACACCTACACACTACACACGATTGAAAACACACAAATTTCGATTCCTGTTAACATTGCAAAACTGAAAATGGGTTTGTTGACAGATCCGAGGGCAGGATCGGGGAAAATAATAAAATTCTTATTAAAATGGCAACGATCACTTTGTTTTTTTCTTTATGTAAGTGGAGTTGTTTGGATATTACTTCTTGCCTTACCTGCATTTAATGATAGTGAGTATTCAATCAAATGTTCAATTTAAATCAATAAAATTAAAATATACTTTTTAAATAATACTTGAATATTTCAGATACTTATTTTTCTGAAAATGCTTTATTACCAGGATTAGTTACAAAAGAGAGTAACTTGGAACAAACTGCGAAACAATATTATTTGGAATTAGTTCATGAAATGAAACATTATCCTGATACAATGCCGTATGCTTGGATAGCTGCAAAATTAAATCAACTTCATTTGGATGTTTTTATACATAATTTTTCGTTAATATATCCCTTTCAAGAACAACAGGTGAATAAAAAATAAGTATTCTTTGTTGTTATTACAATCCCTTAAAAGTATTCCTTAGTATTTGATATTGATATTGATATGAATATCGTAATTGTTATTTGACATGTAACTAATGAAAATATTAAAATAATACATATGTATGTGTACATACATACGTATAAAGATTGACTAAAGATAACTTTTCTAGTTTACAGGGCAAAATATATATGGAATTATAAGAGCTCCAAGAGCAGCCAGTACAGAAGCTGTTGTGGTTAGTGTTCCTTTTAGGTCGATTAATAGTATTTATTTGGATACAGCACCTTCTGTTGCTCTTCTTCTTGCATTTGCTAAATTTTGTAGAAGTGAGTATCTAAACGAAAGGTATGTCTAATTGCTTATCTATAATTAGTAAATCATCCCATAAATTTGTTTTTTTTTGCTGTTTTAGAACAGAAATATTGGGCAAAAGATATTATATTTCTAATAACAGAGCATGAACAATTAGGTATACAAGCATGGTTAGATGCGTATCATGGGGTTACTAGTGGTAGCAAAGGTGTACTTATGGCTGGGGATCTCTCTGGTCGTGCTGGTTCTATTCAAGCTGCCATTAATTTAGAATTACATTCAATGAAGATTTCATCTATCGACGTTAAAGTATATTTTTTATTATAATTTAATATAGTTTGGTGATTGACTATTCCGTTTCACAGGATTGAAATTAATTATTATCTAGGTTGAAGGATTAAATGGACAATTACCCAATTTGGACCTTTTCAATTTAGCACAAAATATGATAGCAAAAGAAGGAATCAGGCAGTCAGTTCAAAGGCGTTTTGATGTTAAATACAAAAACAAAATTAAAAATTGGTGGTATCATTTTAATACACTTCTTATGATGATTAGTACTCAAGCTACTGGTATCCCCACGGGAAATCATGGACTCTTTCACAGGTATTCAAAAAATTATAGCAACAAGGTGTTAATTTTCTCAATTATCAAAAATGTTCCTCAAAAAGACTGGATTATTATAATTTAAGCAAAATTTTTTTAAATAACATTATCACAGACCTCTTTTTTTGTAATGTAATATTTATACGTTTATAATATATAGATTTGGTATTGAAGCAATTACTTTGGAAGGTTTTGAAAAGCCTGGACAACAAAATTCTGAAAGAAATTTTTATCAAGTGGGTCGTATTGTTGAAAGTATAGTTCGATCTTTAAATAATTTATTGGAACGTTTTCATCAGTCTTATTTTTTTTATTTACTTCCATCAACTGATACTTATATTTCTATTGGTGAGTAAAGATATAGTATATTTAAATGTGAATACTTGTTTTACTTTTTTTTTTTTCGATAATTTATTTTACCGTTTATATCTAAAAACATTTTAGGACTTTACATAAGGTCTTTAGTCCTGATTATTGCTGCAGTATTTATAAAAGCATTTGCTATGTGGCAAAAGCTTCAAATATTCACTTCTAAGGAAAATAAGGAAAGCACTGTTAAGCAATTAAAGGTTTGTCGTTATAATCGTATTTATAAGAATGCTACGTACATTATGGTTCATTATAATGCTTTCAATTCAAAAAATTACAATTAATAAAATGTTTATAGAATATATTTTATAGATAGATGGATTTGATATCGGAGCTATTACTTCAGAAATATTATGGGCACATATTTGTGGAGTTGTAATTGCGACATCTCCTAGTGCAGTTACATATTTTGGTAGAAAACTGTGGAATTTACGAACAGAAGATTCTATATATTTCAGTTTTATGGCAATAACTATTTTAACATTAATATGGCCATTCTATTCGAAAAGGTAATTTAGAGTATTCGTTCATTAACAACAATGATACCATGAAATACATATTGTACATAAATTTTTATTATTTTTAGGCAAATGAAGTATAAAAACGCAGCTTTAGTTTGTGTAATTGCGTTAGTAGAGTTGGCCACTATGTTGATGTGTATAGCAATGCATAATTTTTCTCTGGCCCTTCTTGCTGCGGTAGTTTATGTACCTGTAATTCTACCAATAACACCAAAAAATCATTCAACTAACAAGTAAGTATATTTTAAGAAATTAACTAGTTATACGACGTACTTGAATATTTAATAAATATTACTACAATTTTTAATAAAACTATGTTCCAGATTCCGCAAAGTGATATCCTTTCTTTGGATTCTACTACATCCATTTATGATCACAACTTTAATCATAATGTGTTATACATATGTACATTTTTCTACTGATCCTTTCCTCTCAATTTTATTCCGTGGATATCGTGCTACAAAGCAAGCATTTGTTTACAGTATTATGGATTCAATGATTTATGGAAATTGGTTTTACAATGTAACAATTTCTATAATGCTTCCTATTTGGCTACTATTTTGGAACATTTTATGTTCAAATAACATTATACATACTTAATACATTTAAATAAAATTTTTACCATGATTATTCTTTATATATCTATTTCCAACATAATTGTTATGCTTACCTAACTATAGATATATACATACTAAATACCAAATAAATTACTTGTGGAATTAAGTTTTTAATCTAATTATAAAAAGAAATTTGTTTTTTACATTCTTCTCGTTAAAAAATGAAAATATTTAACCAATATTCCTCATTTATTGGCGTTTTTGAGCTTTATTTATGTGTGTGTAGAATTATTAGAAAGTGTATTAGTGTGTTATTTGCTTCAACATGGCATGGCTTCACCGCAATCACCGCCATATTAATCAGTTTCCGTGGAAACCGTCAAAACAAACGTCTATGCGAAAATGTTAGGGATGGCATCTTAAAATTGTATCAAAAAATTATCTTATAAAAAAGTAAATGATGAAGATTTCTCCAACTTGGGTTGATAAAGTTCAAGATAAATCAGAACGATGGTAATTATGGAAATAATGTTTTCAGTAATATGATAATGTAATTAAAAAATTATTGACATTGAGAATAAGTTTACAAATATTATATTTCTATGTATATAAATACTTTTATTTTTCAACCAATAAAAACTATTAATAACGCAAATGTTATTGCAGTATATATGATTTATGCTTTAATCCAGACGGGACTCAATTAGTTATTGCTGCTGGGCAGCAAGTTCTTGTTTATGAAACTAGTGAAGGTGCTTTGATTCAACCGTTAAAAGGTAATTTGTATTATAATCTACTAATGTATAAAGTATATTTATGATGTATTTTATAGGGCATAAAGATGTAGTTTACTGTGTGTGTTATGCAAGAGATGGTAAAAAATTTGCATCAGGAAGTGCAGATAAAAGTGTTATAATTTGGACATCAAGATTAGAGGGTATACTGAAATATTCGTAAGTTACATTTAATAAAATTATACCTACCTAGTAATTCTTAAATATAATTTTTCAAGGTTTCTTGGATTAATTATTCTATATCATTATCTAGAAACATAAAAAAATATTTCACATTTTTAGACACAATGAAGCTGTTCAAGCTATGCAATTTAATCCAGTGTCACATCAGCTCTTGAGCTGTTCTCTATCAGATATAGCATTTTGGTCCCCAGAACAGAAAGCAATTGTAAAGCATAAGTCGAGAGGAAGGGTCAATTGTTGTGCTTGGACAAGCGATGGTCAATACCTAGCCATTGGACTGACAACTGGCTATGTTTCTATTAGAAATAAAGTTTGTTTCTTATGTTTCAAGCTTCTAAAAAATAAAGTTCTACAAAAATTATTTATCAAACTTATTTGAATGTTTCAGAATGGAGAAGAACAGATACGTATTGAAAGACAAAATGGAGTACCTATTTGGAGTTTATTGTGGAATCATCAGTGGTAATGAAACGTGATTAGAGTTTATGTAAAATTCATAATAATACCTTTAATAAATTTGTGTATTGTTTACAGGGAGGATCCAAATGATGTCCTTTGTATCGCAGAATGGAACGGAACTATATCCTTTTATTCAATGTCAGGAAAACAAGTTGGGAAAGATAGATTATTAAATTTTATTCCTCTTAAAATGTGTAACTTTGCAGGAGATCAATACATTTTAATTTCTGGAAGTAATAAGCAATGTGTATTAATGACATATGATGGAATCAAGTTAATCAATATTGGTAATACATTTTCTTCTTGGGTTTGGAGTTGTGCTGTACATCCATCATCTACACATATTGTAAGAATTTGTTTCATTTAGTGTCATTGTCTATTTGATAATTTCTTATTTTGTTATACAATATCACCTAATATCATGCTATACTTATTCGCTTAACTATTTTCCATTTATGTATTTAGGCACTTGGTTGTCAAGATGGTACAATAACATATTTACAGTTATCATGGGATGTTATACATGGATTATATGGAGATCGGTATGCATATAGAGAAAATATGACTGATGTAATAATTCAAAATTTAATTACTAGCCAAAAAGTCAGAATCAAATGTAAAGATTTGGTACGAAAAATTACACTATATCAAATTGAGTATCATTTTAATTTCGTGTATTAATACTATGCTTAGCTTGATCAGTTTATATCTGTAAAACTTATATTTTATTTTTAGATTTATCGTATTGCAGTATATAAAAATAGATTAGCAGTTCAGTTATCCGAACGTGTGATAATATACGAACCATCAAATTCTAACGATGGAATGCACTATCGTATACGTGAAAAATTAAATCAAGCATTGAACTGTAATTTACTTGTGGTCGCAGCAAATAATTTAGTTCTATGTACTGAGAAGAGATTACAAAGTTTATCATTTAATGGAATTATAGGAAGAGAATGGATACTTGACGGACTAATAACTTATATAAAAGTTGTCGGTGGACCAGCTGGACAAGAATGCCTTATTGCAGGTTGGTATAGAAATTAAAAACCAGTTAAAAAAATTAAGGCTTAAACTAATTTCTTTAAATAATTTTTATTTAGGTTTAAACACAGGTTACATAGTGAAAATATATTTGGATAACCCATTTCCAGCGTATATAGCAAAAATAGAAAGTTCTGTAAGGTGCCTTGATATTAGTTCATTAAAGGAAAAGCTTGCAGTTGTTGGTGATCATGGAATTCTTTCTGTGTTTGATTTGTATACAGAAGAGAAACTCCAAGAATTTCAAACTGTAAACAGTGTAGCATTCAACAGTACTTTTGAAGATATAATGTGTTTCTCTAGTGGAGAGTATTTAACAATTAAAGTTGGAACATTTACGGAATATAGACAAAAATTTTCTGGATTTGTTGTTGGTCATAATGGATCAAAAGTATATTGTTTAAATGGTTCTTCTATTGTTACAATGGAGGTAATATTGAATTTTTTGAACATTATTGTGCATACATGTTTATCATATCTTAAACAATGTATATAAATAATTAAAATGTATATAGGTGCCGTTATCGCTGTTTATGTATCAGTATTTAGACATCGGTCTCTTTTCTCATGCTTATAATATCGCATGTCTTGGAGTGGCGGATTCTGACTGGTTTTCCCTAGGCACTGCTGCTTTGGAAAACTTGGAATTGAATATAGCATATGCTGCTTTTGCCAGAATAAAAAATCTAAAATATATAGAAGTTCTGTCTGAAGTGGAAGAGAAACTGAAATCCGGAGAATGGGGAAAAGAAGCATGCATGGCTACTGCTGCGGCTGCTATGGGAAAGTTAAAGGATGCTGCAAAACTTTTCCAAAAAGCTGGTTTGCAACAATATGCATTAACTATGTATTCTGATCTACGGATGTTTGATATTGCGCAAGAATTTATTGTTAATGGAAATAACCAGGTAAGTGGCTAAACATTTTTTATTTAATTTTATGTCTTTAAGTAAGGATTATTTATATTCCGTTGAAGTGAAAAATGAATCAGAAGTGAAAATTTTCTTCGAATTTATTCAGGACCGTACAATCCTACTCCGTAGAAGAGCAGAATGGGCAAAAAGTCTTGGGGAACCTCGTGCTGCAGCAGAAATGTTTCTTTCAGCGGGGGATATAGATCGCGCGATTAACATAATTGCAGAATATGGCTGGATCGATATGTTAATTAAAGTAGGCAGACAACTTGATAAATTGGATAGAGATAATCTAACAGTGATTGCTAAAAAGTTAAAAAATTTGGGTGCAACACATGGTGCAGCTGAAATTTTTAGTCGTTTGGGAGATGATCCTGATGTAGCGGATGTTTTAGTGGAAGCTCAAGCCTGGCCAGAGGCATTTGAATTAGCTGAAAGAAATCCTAAATTAAAAGCTAGAATTTATGGACCATACGCTAGATGGTTAACGGAAACTGGTCATTTTTCTGAAGCTCAGGAAGGTGAATACTAAGAAACATTTTTTTGCTGAATATATATAAAAGTCATAATTTATTTATATTATGTTTGTGAAAAATACACACATTAGTACACACATAATATTAAAATTATTATTCACATAGTTTCTTAGCATTTCAGATAGCTGGCCAATCAGATGAATCCATAACAGTCTTAACAATGTTAGCAAAGAATGCAGTAACTGAAGAAAGATTTCGCGATGCTTCTTACTTTTACTGGCTTCTTTCTCAAATCAGTTTAAACCTCAATAAAAATGTTGAGGAATTGCGAAGTATGTTTCTTCAGTATCATGAGAAAGCTGAAATTTATTATGCTTATTATGAAATACATAAATATGTTGTAAGTAAAAAGTAAATATACCTAACACAACTTTAACAATATCAGTACTATTATATTATTGAAAATTAAAAAATATTAATAGCAATGATTTATTTTTAGGAAGAACCATTTACATCATTAATGCCAGAAGCACTTTTTAACATTTCACGATTTCTTTTAACAAAAACTGAAAACATTCAAATAGAAGGGGTTTCGAGATTTACTATACTATATACTTTATTGAAACAAGCATCCTTTCTTGGTGCTAATAAATTAACAATGCAGCTGTTCGAAAAGCTACGCAAAACAAAAATTCCAACGAATCAACTTAGCCAGTTAGAAGTTTTGAATTTAATGTCTCGAGCCTCTGCTTATAAAGATCCCGAAGATCTTTTGCCTCTTTGCTATAAATGTTCAACTTTTAACCCTTTGTTGCCCTCAAGTAATCAAGGACATTGTGTTCAGTGTGGTTTAAAATTTCAATATTCCTTCGTAATGTTTGGTAAGTTTCACTTTTAATTTGTTTAACAAAAAGTAATGCAAACAGTAATGTATCATAAATTGAAATCATATTGAAATTGCAGAAATTTTACCATTAGTTGAATTTGAATTAGAAGAAGGTATTTCAGACGAAGAAGCAGAAAAATTAATAAATGAGTCACTAACTTCATATAATGATACATCAGATAAAGATCAACTTTCTGTTACTTCTGAAGTAGATCTCTTTACTGCACGTTTAATGAAATATGAGGTATGTGATTTAAACGATTAAATGATAAAAAAAGGGAAAGATCTCTTGATTTCTAGGAAATGTTAAATTGTTTTTTATTTATAAAAAATGCAATGCTAAATTATGTTCATTATTTCAGGAAAAATTGAACATTTCCAATATTATTGTGGGGAGAAATGTTTTGAGAAGTATGGATCCATGTACTGTATTAATTACAAAGTGGCCAAAACCATTCAAAACAAAATATTTCAAAAATTTGTTACCTGATCTACAAATTACTTTCTGCAAGTCTTGTTTAAAGGTGTATAGGATTATTTTGCCATCTAACTTAACATTGTATTTGAACCAATTTCTGTTATGATTTGGTCAAATTCATGTGATTTGCCTAATAATTTTGTATTATTTCTTTCAGCTGTTTCATTTAGATGATTATGAATTGGCTTTATTACGACATGGGTATTGTCCATTTTGCAGAACATCAAATAAAGTCTCTGATTAAAATTTGTTATCAATTTAAGTATATTTATGTTAACGCAATTTTATTTCTTTACTGTAATAAATTATTATTGTTTTGTATTGCAAAAGATTAGAGCACAAATATTATATAAAATATAGACAACTAATTTGTATAAAAAATAACAGTAAATGCATTAATAAACATTATTGTAGCCGAGTCTGTTTTACACTGAGTATGTTAAAAACAATCCAGTTATGTACACCAGAGTAAATATTAGCTTGGCTCTTATATAGACGCTAATTGTTCTGATTGCTTAAGCACCGTTAAACGAAATCCTCGACAGCATTGAACACGTTTGAAGAATTACAGTTTGAACCATGTTCCGTCTAGTCTGGATAATAATTTTCATTTTTGGGAATTCTGCCATCTGTCAAATTCGCCAGATGGATAATAACAATATTGTGGAAACTCAGAATTCAATGCTTCAAGGAAGATGTAAGTAACTGAGAAATAAACAGAACAGAACTATGTTTTAAAATGATATTTATTTTATGTATTGTGCTTTGTTTTAACAGTTTTCCCGCTATTTAGTGTTATCCGTTTTGCAAATTCACAATGTCTGGCTAGCAACAATTTAAATGGCACTTGTTTTACCAGAAGAGAATGTCGTGAGTATGGTGGAACACCGTCTGGTACTTGTGCAAATACACATGGTGTTTGTTGCGTTTGTAAGTAATTTTAAATCATATCATACGTTTTTGAAAATTAAAACAAATAATATCTTTTACACATTATTTTATTCATTAATACCATGTATCAGGACTTTACTTATAATTAATTTAAACTTAATCGTTACAGTTCAAAAGACATGTGGTTCCACTACAAACATAAACAATACATATTTTACAAATCCAGAGTACCCAACAACTTACGAAGGGGATGGAAGATGTACAATAACAGTGCAACGTTGTAATTCAAATATATGTCAAGTAAGCTAATGTAATGTACATTATGCTATTGTATGGTACGTACTTAAAACCCTAAAATCTTACATAAATTTTTGTTCTAGTTGCGTTTGGACTTTTTAGAATTCAGTCTTGCTTCGCCAAATGCTAGTGGGATTTGTGACTATGATCTTCTTTTGGTTTCTGGATCTGGTACTTTAGTACCTCGAATTTGTGGGGAAAATGCAAACCAACATGGTAATAATCATGTAATAATTAAATATAATGATGACATTTTAGATAAAAGGTGTGTTTCTGTTGCTTAAAATTATATAAATTAAAATTCATAAAAAAATTTTTAGTTTACATTGATTTTAATGGTGACACACCAATTATGATTTCAATTGATACTAATTCTGAGTATACTATGGATCGTCGATGGAATGTAAGAATTGAGCAATTACCTTGTGATTCTACATATAAAGGTATGCATGTATCTTACCGTTATAATTGCATTATTGTAGATATAATTTCCACTTCAGTTGAGAATGACAATGATTCAATTTTAATATAAAATTATTTAATTTTTTTAAGTGTATTTTTATTATACATTTATATTGCTTACATTTGTTGTTGTTACAGCTCCAAATGGGTGCTTACAGTATTATGATACTGTTTCAGGCACAGTAACTAGTTTTAACTATGGCACAACACAAAATCCGAGAGGTATTTAATAACAGATTAAAAGAAAAAAAAGCATTAAAAATAAACATATGTTTATAAATATGAAAATGTGTATGTAATTGAACACAATTAATGCTGCAATAAACATAATTTTTTTCAATGTTATTAAATATTGCAGCCCCAGAACTTGGTACAAGACAAATTGCAAATACAAATTACGGTGTATGTGTAAGAATGGCTCAAGGATATTGTGCCATTGAATGGTCTCAAACGAATTCAAATTCATTTTCTGTTTCTGGAGATACAGGTTCTTTTGACCCTACTATTATAGGTAATTACGCGATAGAATTCTAATTATTTATTACATTGATAAATAAAATATTTATAGAGACGCATGGTAATTTTTAAATACATAAATAGGTACTGAATATGCAGCAGAATCAGGAACAAATTGTACTAAAGATTTTGTTATCGTTCCGCATCCATATGAAAAAGGTGTACCAGTCGGTGTAGAACGATTTTGCGGTAATGGTTTTGTGACAAAGACTTGTAAGTATTTCTAAACATTCTTGTTATCGTTTATTGTGCTTATTATACAAAGGAGAAATGGAATTTTATATATATATATATACAGACTGTTACAACAATTATTAATTTCAAATACTTTGATGTTTTTATTTTAGCATATTCTAAACCATTTGTATTGTATGTTGTTACAAATGAAGATGAAATGGGCGAAATTGAAAATAAAGGATTTTCACTGACGTATCGTCAGGTACCTTGTGCGGCTTAAACAAAAAAGATATTTCTATTCTGTGCCTCAGTACTTAGTCTATATAAATCAATTGTAACTATCGCAATAAATATAAATAAAAATTAAGTTTATAATAACATTGATTTTAATTTTTTATTCTATGAAAGTCAATATTACAGATCATACAGAAATGCAGAATGTAAATGTAATTATACATATCTGGTCTTATATCATGATATAGTTTCAAATGTATAACTAAAATAATGTTATTAATACTATAAGTAAAAAATAAAAATCAACGTTTCAATGAAGCAATGAATCGAGTGCAACATAATTTTAACGTAATTGGCTTCAGCAATACAAACTAGTTTAAAATAAATTAATATGTATATTTACATTACTTAGGTATCAAATAATTGCTTCCTGAATGTGCTTCTACCTCTTTTGTCATAGCATTATACCATGTGCTCAGTTTTGTGTTATCCAAGACATCTTTAAAAGCATCACAGCCTTCTATGCTTTTCAAAATCCCATAAACAGTGAGATCTGATAAATTAGGTTTACTCCCTCCCATAAATGTGCCACCGCGTTTCTTAATAGATCGCAACCATGTATTAATTTCGTCATACAGAGATTGTCGAACATCATCTTTAAGATGATGTCTTTGTTTCAGTCGTTTTGATATAATCCACATTGCCATTGCACCTACATTTACCATTATTAATCTTTCCCATGTTGGGAAATATTCCTTCCATTTACCGACCTAATTAATAAAAAAATTATATTCTTAATTTCTCTTATAATCTAAAATGGATTTTACTAATAAATTTAAGTAATTGCCACTTATATATAAATCAATTGTTTCTCTCCATACTTACTTCAGAAAACCAATTGAAAGTTTTATAAGCTTCATCTAGTGTTCTATATACATTTGGTGAAAGCGTATGAACAAGTGTATCATCAGCCCATTTTCTCCATTTACGTTCTTCCCTGTAATAATGATAAAATTTGTTAGTAATGATAATAATTATATGAAAATAACTTCAACAAACTATATTAAATAACATTACTCACATAATATCATTCATGTCTTTATTTGAAGGCAGAGTTTCTTTATACATTAAAAAGTATTTGTTCATGATTTCATACTTCAATTTACTGTTTTCATCGTGCATTGCTATACTAGGATAATCTTTTACTAAATCGTCAATTTTTAGTGATCTATCTTTTAGATGTGATGCTAATAGTGAAATAATCATAGAGCTATCATGTAGAGGTTCATATCCAGAATCTATTTGTGCTAAAAGTATTGGTACTTTTTTGTAAGAAGACCATGATATCTCTTTTCGCAATACTGGATCAACTTCCACGATATCATAAGATATTCCATAGTAATCCAAAAAAACTCTGACCTAAAATATGTTTACATTCATTAGTTTATTTACATGACTTACAAACACAGCTTCTTGGCATATATTATATTAAACAATAATTTATTAATATAAATGCTTTACCTTGCAGCAGAAGGGACATGTTTGATATTGAAAAAGTGTTAATTTTAATCCTGTTGTATCGACGGGTGAAATTATCTAAAATAAAAATAAATTATTCAATTTAAAAAATATTTCAGTAATAAACTTTAAGTACTTTTATAATACCTATACTTTAACATTTTAACTGCCATGCTGAATTTAATAATCTTGCCAAATTAATGTTACTATTAATAAATCATATTATCCATTATTCTGATGATATTTAGTACTTTCTCTTAGGTATAATTTTAAGTACTTACAATAACCATTTATAATTGGTTAAGTAAGATGACCCCATAAAATGGGTAGCAGGACCTTGTGAGAATTCATGCATTCACCCAGGTATATGAGTGACTTGGCAGTCAAAATGCTAATACAGAAAGTATAATAAAAAGAAACATAATAATTAATAATATATATGTATCATTTTTCTTTGATAGTGTTTAAATACATATTCAAAACTTTATGAAGTAATATAAGTATATTGTTTATATTGAACCTACCTGCCTGGAAATTGGTACTTGTGGTTTCTCTTTAAGTACTTCGACTATTTGCTCTTTACCTTCAAGATGAAAAGTTTTGGAACCATTTTTATTTATGTACCAAGAATAACCCGATGTAATAACTACACCAATAGGGAATCCAATAGAAATTCCTACTAAACTTGCTTTGAGTACAGTTTTAAATGTAGAAGATTGTCGGGCTGCTGACAAAAAACTTTCATTTCTTGTTGGATATTTTTGAACAAGGTTTTTGAAAGAATATACATTTTGTGGTAATCTTGATAGTTTTCTTAACATGGACATTATAAAGATTTATGAATTATACAATTCAAAATTAATTAATTATTTAAAATATGCTATTAATGCATAAATATTGTTGGACACCTTACAAAAATTAGTTAAAAGAAAGAAAATTATTATACGTCAAAATTACACAATAAATATTTGATATTAAAATGTACAAGTTAATTATTAATTAGAATTGACACCATTTAGTTGTGTTTGCATTTGTAGTAACCAATTATAAAGGTTATGTAACACGCGCGCACGCGTATGTATTTATTTTCATTTCACGAGAGTTCATAACTAAGCCGCGCAGATTGGAAGATGGTGGGGGAACTTAGCGAGCCTCGAAACTCCCACTCCGCTAATCGCTTCTCACTTCGTTAATTGCGAGTTTAATATACGGGGTGAAACAATAGTACAGTTGAATAGGAAGAATACAGAATGATATACGTGAGTAAAAAACCGTGCTACCCGTTATACACTCCAAATGATGCACTTTCGCGTAGATCCACCGCGTGGAGGCGCCTCAGTGACGCTTTGCGCAAGCGTATAGGAGTGGGAGTATCGCCAATCAGGGCGAAGATGCGCAAGAAAGAACGAAAACTGGTCTTTCTGCAGTTATGAACTCTCGTGAAATGAACTATATATATATACTCAAGATCCCTCGTTCAACGAATAGTACACATAAATATATTTATATTTATATATATCAAAATCTAATCTAACCATTATTTTATATTCTATAAATTGTAAGGTTAGTATGCTGGTTATGTGAAAAAAAAATTATACATATTTCAAATTATGTATACACTGTCTATACAAAAATGAAATGCGTTGGAGTTAACAGACAAAATATATTCACAAAAAATAGGACATAAACAAAATTAACCTGAATAATAAAATACAATTTGAAATTCCAATTCTAATTTGAAAATTATAAAAAATCTATTACAATGGTAATTAAAATATTTTACTCTTAGCTTGTTATTATTTTTATTATTTAGTAATATTTGAAAATTGTTTTATATAATTAAATAACATTTATATTTTGTATTTTATATTAAATTATGAAGTAAAACATTTGTTTAGCATGGAAGAGTAAAAGTGCGAACAAGTGCAGAGCAAGAGGCAATAAAAAAGAAGGAAAGAGCTGAAAAACTTGCACGCTATAGAGCTGGCATAAGTATTGTATTTGAAAAAGTAATTTTACTTTAATATTATTTAATCTATTATGAATCAATATCATAAATGTATATAAGATTTAACTCTTCGTTGAATTATTAAGTTTTAAATAACTTAACTTTTTTTTTTACATGTTACAGAGAAAAAATAAACTTTACGACAATGAATTAATGATGATAACTGAACGTATGCTACTACAGAATCCTGATATTTATACATTATGGAATATTCGTCGAGAAGTATTTACAAATAACAGTTGGTAACTATATAACTATAATAATTACCTGAATTTCAGAATTTATTAATGTAATACAATTATTAATTAGTATTATAGTACAATGAAAACAAATAGTTTACTTCAAAAATTAAATACTAAACTTTTAATTGATCTCAGGAATGAAAAAGACTTAAAAGACCATTATCAAAATGAATTAACACTTACGGAAAATTGTTTGAAAGAAAATCCTAAATCATACTATGTATGGTATCAACGAATATGGATTATAAATTATTTTGGGGATTGTGATTGGAAGAAAGAATTAATGTTATGTACTAAGTGTTTAAACTTAGATGAAAGAAATTGTAAGTGATTATAATTATTGGATTCTTGTTTAGATGATTTGAAAAATAGATACATATATTATTTTTCTTTTTTCTTTTAGTTCATTGTTGGAATTACAGAGAGTTTATTGTACAGAAAGCAGGAATCTCTCCTGAAGAAGAATTTAAATTTGCCACTACAAAGATCCTGAATAATTTTTCTAACTATTCTTCTTGGCATTACAGAAGTCGACTCTTATCAAAAATATTTTCTAGTTGTGAACAGAAACAGATCAATGAACAGATTAAAGATGGTAATATTTTTATTGCAGATATCATTTATTTTAGTACAGTCAATCAGAATAATAAAATTATCTTTTAGAGTTGGAATTGGTAATGAATGCCACATTTACTGATCCTAGCGATTCTAGTGCATGGTTCTACCAAAGATGGTTACTGGATACGCATGAATTTTCTCCTATTCTTTCTCAAGCTTTAATAAAAGAAAACAGTGTGACTCTTTTTATCAGTCAAAATGTATCGATAAAATCAATAGATATACAAATAAATGATGAATATGAAAGTGTTCAATGGAAGTCTTGGTCAAAAGCAAAGTTTTCAAAACTGTGGTTTGGAAAATTTCAAAAGCAGTTAAGCGAGATAAAGAATATTGAAATAAAAATTGAAGAAAACTTTTATCCTTTGCATTGTTCTAATCAGACATGGATATATAAAAAAAGAAAATATAAACCATGCTGTAACAAAGACCAATTATTGGAACAATTATCAAGTTATAAACAACTTTCAAGCATGGAACCTAATAATAAATGGGCTCATTTGACAGCTATTCTTTTAATGAGAAAAATCGATTTTGTACAATTTTATGAAGATATTTTAACAAATTTGAATATTCTTGTTAACATCGATCATCTCCGATCTAATTATTATAAAGATTTACGTAAGTATATTTAACAATCACTGTTAACTTAACAAAAAAAGTTAGTAGTGACCTATAATATTTACAGTTATTCTGCTTAAAAATTATCTTTATAAAGCTTTAAAATATTCTATATAAATATGTACAAATTTAAATATATTAGGAAAAAGTATTTATTAGGTATAATTTTATTTCATATAGCTTTTACATAGTATATAAATTAATTACAGTTTTTAATATATGTACTTAATTTCCAAATGATTATGATTTCAAATATTTTCATGTACATTTTTTTTTTTTTCAGGAAACAAATATATAATAGATTACAAATTATGTAAAATCTGGGACATAGAAGAAGATCACGAAATAAAATTAGAAATTGATCTTTCAGGATTAAATTTAACAACACTTAGTAACAGTGAACATCTTGGGTTTTTTGAAGAAGTAAATCTTGGTGCAAATTCTCTATCAGATTCTTTGTATCAGTTAGCTGTTTTGCAAAATTGTAAAAAATTATCACTTTCAAGTAATCAATTGGAAAGTTTGAAAAAATTTCCAGTACTAGAAAGTCTTGAAGTTTTATCATTGAGAAATAATGAACTAAAGGATTGCAATGAAATATTACAATTGCTGATGAAACATAAATTAAAATCGCTTGATTTGAGAGAAAATCCTGTTTGTAATTTGAAAGATTTGCAAACTAATATAACCCAAATTAATTCAAGTTTGCAATTATATATAAATTAATCTTCACAATGTATACATTTAGGTATAATATAATCTAAACATATTTATATCACCTATTATTTATTTTGTATTATAAAATAGTTTAATTTACTCAAGTAACCAACTTTTTAATACGATTGAAGGAATAAATCGTCGTACAAAATACATTTATATATAAATACGAAATGTAGAATTAGATTTCAGTGTTCACGGTGCTAACAAAATAATTTTCAAGACTTATAGGAACGACTTTTCCCCTCAAGTCAAAAATATGTAAATTATTTTCTCAGAATGAACTGTTGAAATTTTTTAGAATTTTACTTCCTTTTTATACACTAATTCTTGATAAATGGAATAATTCTGATTAAAAGTATTTTTATTAAAACAACACAATGTTAGAAAGTGTTAAGAAATAAACATCAATTGGTTAGAATGAAAAAATTAATTAAAATACCTTTAAATATTTAATAACATTTTACATTATTGTATTTTCTTTCTTGATAACAATTATTATACAAATATACATATATATATATTGTTCTCTTATTTAAAATAACAGTAACAAAAATTATTATTATTATATCAAAAATAGTTATTATTATTATATAAGTTGCCTTACATTTATAATTTTCAATTTGCCGCTTATAAGAAAGTCAATCAATAGGGAATAAAATAGTTCCAACAGAAAACGTGCCATTACCGAACGCAACTTTCATTATTGTTTGGATTACCATTCGATTTATTTATTCTCTGGAATTTGATATGGCGAGCAATATGGCACGGCATTATTAAAAATTTTGTCACATAAATCGTCTATCCAAAGATTGATAATTGTTTAAGTGATACGATGATTTATTTTCAAATAATTTTATCATCTTGTTCTTTCACCTTTAGTAGGCGTACTTGATACTAATGATATCCCGTTTAGGTGAAGGTGAGCGTATATGTATGTAAACGTGATACGTATGTGCACGTTGAATCATTATTTCTCATAACCTTTTGATGAATACGAAATATAGCAGATGCAATTTGACAATCTTAAAAGATGTGGTTAAATCCATACGTCTTATAGCCGGCAAGCAGCGGAGATAGTAGACGCATACTATATCCAATGGAGTGGACCGTGTTCTCGTGATTTTTCGCTTGAAGTAGATTTTATCGTATCTCAGCATTGTGCAAAAATTTTATTCAGTCTAGTTAAGTGTGTAATCTCTACAGCGTATCATATCATGGCCTCGTCAAATAGAAGGATTCAAACTGGTTCTGCTTGGTTTCAAACAAAAATTAACCTAAGACCACAGCGTCGAGGTATCCATCATGTTACCGAAGAAATCTTAAGAAGACTTCCCGAACTTTGTGAATTTTCTGTCGGACTTTGTCATATACAAAGTAAGTAAACTTCTACCATTAAGATATGGCTCCGTTATATTACAGTATTTTGAAACAATAGCATTTTAAACAAGAAAACTAAGATGCGGAAAATATGCTATTTTCATTTTAATATAATTGTGTACGATATTAGATGTAGTATTTGAATGAAAAAGTATGTTTTAACATGTATAACCTATATGAAAAATAATACACATGTGCACCTGTGCATGCACGCGTGTACGCTTACACGCATAAAGAAAATAATACGCAAGATAAAAATAAAATAACTTATATTATTCTATTGCTATATTTCCAAAAATTGTGTTTAATAAATATTGAACATTTCTTAGCCATTTATGTAATAAAAAAGTAATGACATGTGGGAATTAGTAACATTGTACTTTGTACGTACAATAGATGACCTTTAATGATAAGTGTATATATATACATATAAAAACAGTAATATTGAAATAATAGATGATAAAACACGGATTTTCTTGTACAGTTGACAAAAAAATTAAACTGGTAAAATCCATCTAAAATAATTCAATAATTGTTAAGATACTTATATAACATAAAAAACTGTTTTCTATTTAAAATCATTTCAGTTCTTCATACTTCAGCAAGTTTAGCATTAAATGAAAATTGGGATCCAGATGTTAGAGACGATGTAGAAATGATGCTTAATAAAATAGTTCCTGAAGGGTTGGCCTATAGACACAGTTGTGAAGGACCAGATGATATGGTAAGTTAATCAAATATTTATACATTTCTTTTTCTTGAAACACAAGTTAACTTATATGTTAATATATAAGTATTTATGATTTTTTTTTAAATAAGATGTATTCATTTATTAATTGTCTATATATTTATGAAGGTTGTTTTCAAAAATTAATATTTCACATTAATATTATATTAATAAAAGTAGTAAAGAATTAAAGACAATATTGCATGTAGTTTCATATGTTAAATAATAAATTTTGATTTCTTTAGCTTATAAGAACAGGTAACAGTTTTCAAAAATACAAATATAGTTTATTTTTATAATTGCATTATTTATAGCCAGCACATGTAAAGGCATGTTTTCTGGGCTCTTCATTGAGTATTCCAATTACTGATGGCAAATTGACTTTGGGTACGTGGCAAGGAATTTGGTTGTGTGAACACCGTAATGAGGCTGGAAGTCGTAAAGTAGCTATAACATTAACTGGTTGTCTCAGGGATCCTGCACGTAGCCCTTTGAGTCCTGTTAGTCCTATCGCTTCTACTAGTAGCTAGGACCACTCACACCCCCAAAGGCGTAGCAAACGTCAGCTGCGCATATCTACATCCAGTGATTCAAGCTAGCAGCTGCTTAAATTTAGTCAAATTCTAAGGGTATAATTCAAAAGAGTGTATGGATACTTAAAAAAAATATACATAAGTAGTGTATTTCTTTGTAACAAGTAATAACTATTATTGAAGAAATCTTAAGAAAAAATATTAATATATTTGTATATTTCATCTGTTAATAATATTTACCATCAAATTTTTCATGTTTCTTTTCTAAGGTATACCAGTCTACTTATATCGACAGCATTTCTTTATCATTCCTGTTTAAATTAACATACCAACATATTTATGGTTTTTTTTTATTATAAAAAGACATATGCTTAAGTTAAAATAACAATTGAAGTAATAGTCAGAAGATGTGGTTCATTAGATATAATGTTGTTCCATACTTATAAACTGCCAAGGCAAATGTACATTGTACTTAGAAACACATAAGTAAATTAATAGAAGTATCCGACACTCTTCTTCATTGCCCTTAGATAAAAATTAATATAATGCGTTCCGATATAATGCGTCCAATACTTCGAATTTAATTACATAGCTTTATTTAAGTAATCCTTTTGTAAAAAAAAAAACAAAAAAAAACTGGTTGATAAGAAAACTGGCATTAACAATTACTCACTGAGAACTTGCATCATTTTTTTATAATGTGTAAGAGAATCTCAGCTTGAGTATGTGCAATACATTATAACTTTCTAACTCACTGCTTATCATAGGGTAGGCATTTCTAATGACGTTTCCAATGCATTTGGGGGTGTATATAGATAACAATCAATACTTCTTTGCTGTGCTAATATATTTCTGCTAGAAATATCTGTGTAAGTTATAATAATGATAGTGTTAACACGTGGGCAAATCAGTATGAAAGTAGAACAGTTAAGAAAATTATCAAATTATGCAAATAATGATTTAAACTTACTTATATTGTTAGGAAACTTACCAATAAAAAGAGTATTATAGAAATTAATCTACATTAAAACATGTGAAATGTCATCTAGGGAGCTAGCACTGCAAAGAGTTGTAATAAAAATTACTTACAATGTTACTAAATTAATTAAAGCTTATCAAGGGAGCTTGTTGACGTATCTAATATACTGTTAAGCAAGCAGTCGATGTTAGTTGTTAATCTTTCTTATATATAGCATAAATGGTCGTCCATTATGATTAATGGATATGCTTTAATATGAAATATCCAGTGCAACTCATATAGCTTAATTATTAACAGCTCAAAAAATATAAGAATATTCAAAATCATAATAAATTTGTAACAAATTATAAATTTCTTTTCTTCATAATAAAAAGCGGATCAGATTGGTATGTTTTCTATATAATGTTTAAAGTTCGAAACTCACGTGTAAATTCCATTTAGATTTTTTTAATATGCTCAATAAAACAAGTTTTTAAATATATAAAAAATTAGAAACATAATGAAAATGAAAAATTATGATATTGAAGTTTACAAAAAATTAATACTTCTGTAATTGATATAAGTAATAGCCTTTTTCTGGTAATCAATTTACATAACAAATTATGTGCATAATTTGCAAGGTAATTATTATCAACTATAATACATATAATATATTTTACAATTTACTACTACATAAACATAATTAATCTTATTATAATATTTATAGATTAATTAGATATTATATTTCATTTTATAGTAGAGTTCTAATTTCTTCGGTAAAATAATTAGTTTTCGTAATTAAATATCACAACTTCATAAAATTTACGTTTTATTAACATTAATGATTTATAAAATACATTTTTGTTGATTTGGTATTAAAATTCATTGCGTTATATAAAATATGTCTGTATCAATCATTTCATAATTATTAGATAACAGATTTAAAAAACTTGACAAATTTATTGATACATAAAATAGAAATTGTAAATCTTATATTTATTATGTGTTTGGTAAAAGATCAATTAATAGCTTATATAATTAACTGAAATTAAGCTTTAATGAAAAAGAATACTACATAAATTATAAGCAACATATGTAACATTGTGTTTCATTACATATATATGTAATTTATTGATTTTGTATGGTTTTTCGCATCTTAAGGAAAAATTGTCTTATATTATTTCAAAAAGTAATGTTAAAAATATTGATGTAATATAATTAATTGTGTGTACAATTTTCAAAGTTGTTCTGATATTCTTCAAAATTTTCCTATCTGTATAAAAATCAAATGCTAAATTTCTTAATCAACTGTCTTTTCGAAAGCATCTATGCATTTTGTTGCGTATATTGTGTGAAACGAAATAGCAAATTAAACCATACCTGCTGTGCATGATTTTTTAATGAAAACAGTAACATAGAATGATAAAATATAATTTTATGCAAATATTTTCGACTAACGCTTCATATTTTATTTTGAAACAAAATTTGTAGTTTTTATAAGGATTAACCAGAAATATTATTTCATAAGTTTTTTATCTTGTATTATAACATAGCCGTGCCAGAATTTTAACTAAATAATATTTGGAAAAAAGCTAAACAGCTCTATCTAAATATTCAGCTATGTGTTTCTGTCTGAATTATACAATAACATTTATTGTAATCACATTTTTATATTTAATTATTTAGATTATTATTCAATATTTATAAAACTTTCCGAATGCATATAAAATATTAGTTTTCATTTAGCTGGATATAGTGGACCTATCATCATAAATTAATTTAAAAAATGATATATTAGAATCATGCAGGTACATATTGAGTATGATTATATAATACATGTAATGTTATTAAATGTACATATTAAATTATACATAAATGAGAAAATAGAGTGAGAATATCATATGTATGAGTGAGTGTATCAAAGTTTAAATGCAAATATAATATAATTGTATATTATCCCTAAAATGTAGAAATATCATTATTTATATAAAATAAAACCAATAATACTTAATCATGCGTTTTAAAAAATATAAGATACTGTGTTAAAAATTCTCTAAATTTAATTTGTTGAATCTGTTTATATATTTTAAAAATATGAAGAAATCAATTAAATGAAATATAAGCAGATTTTAATATGTACTTTATAACCGTTTTTATATTTTCTTTTTATTAATATAGCCTTCTGTACATATGGCTACGATTATACTTACATATAGTTTAATACATATTACACTTGGGTATTCTAAGTAAATTACATGGGATGGTATTTGTTTTAAAATACAATTTATTTTTGTATTGTGTCACATAATGTTTGATCAATATATAATTTGGTAAAAACGCTATATAGATTTCTGAAATTTAGTAAGAATTGTAATAAAATATAGTTTTATAAAGTATTTTTAATATACATTAATGTACATTATAATCACTACTTAATAATACATATAAAAATGTATATTAACATTACTTTCAAAATAGTTGTACATTTGTAGTGTAATATTTGACGTACTTTCATATTTTTACCTTTAATTGCACAATTTGATAATTAATTCATAAATATGACAGTATATAAAAATATATTGATCCAAGTTTTTTACACTTGAAAACGTTTCGAATACCATAAAACCTTTTAATTATAATTTTCTTACATTAATGAAGTTGATTTAAAAATGAAGTACTAAATACATATTTCATCAGCACAAAAAGAAAGCAATTCTGGACCAATATATTCAACATAGTATAAGTACATGTATTGAAGTTAAGATTACAATATTGTGTGTGTAAATGAGATTCTTTAAGTTTTATATAATTATCGGTGAACACCTAGGAATTAAAAGAAAAATGTGTTGAGTTTATATTATGTACTTGTTACTTGATAATAACGAAACATATGTATGTATGTAATATATACATATGTTTAACATATACGCGCGCGCGCGCACTCTTTCTCTTTCACGTCTTGAATGTATTGTACTAATAATATAGCACATGTAAGTTTGAACACGATTCGATATGTGCCTTTAACGATAAAACATCCTCAATATGAGATTCATATTGTTCTATTTTATTTTCATAACTAAAACAAATTTTCTTTAATAAGCACTATTGTACATATTAGGTAAAATATTTTGCCGAGTTAATCATTACGTATTAGAAGAAAAGTTAAAAATATTAAAAAGTTCTTGGATTAGAAAAAACTGAAAAATTGATTATATTTACAAAGCATTAAAATATGAATGACGTTAATATATTAAATTTTCATAAATTTAATAAAAAAGATGATCTATGGCAGTTTAATTTAGAATGAGATACATCTAGTTCAAATGTTAATTAATTTCAGGACTAAAAATATGTTTGACAATATCTGGTAGAGGCTTACCATCAGGTTTATTATTAGATTCATTAGGTTCTTGATAATTATCAGGTATTCTATGTGGACCTGGATGTCTTAAATTATTCGTTTTGTCTTGAACTTCTTTAAATGATGCTTTAATGTTATCTAACGCATTACCTAATCCTGTTTTGATTTGATTGAATTCTTGTGTAACTAGCGAAAGTCGACCCAACAAATAATTTAGGTTTTCATCAACTTCTCTCATGCGTTTTGTTATTTCACCCACCTACATACACATATATAAGTAGTTAATGTAACAGATTAAATTTACTTTTTTGTCTTATTCAAATTCTATCATTACCTTAGTTTCCATCCCACCCATAGTAGAAGTTGTACCATTAACATATTCTTCGTTTTGTTTATGCAATTTATCCAACGCTTTTGCACTTTCTGTCATTTGTTGATACATAACATTTATTTGCCTCCACACCTTTCATAGAAAAATTTAACTCACGTTTAAACTCATGTTGTGTTTATAATAAAAATTAGATTTGATTATTACCTGATTCATTTCTTGTTCCATTTTAGTAGTTAAATTCGCTAATGCTCCATTTTGATTGTCCATAATATCATTTGATATACCATCAAATCTTTCATTCAGAGTATTATTAATATTTATACCTTGTGCTTTCACCAAATCGCCTATTTCTAAAAGAATTTGATGTACTCCATATTCAACTCTTTTCTTAGTATCCAATACATGATCAGCCATTGAGATCATTACAGATTGTCCTTTTTCAAGGTCATTTAATTCTTGATTTACGTATCCAGCATTATTTGCTAAATCCATTCTGGAAACCCAGAAATATTTAATAAAATTACAATAAATCATAAATAGCTAAAGCTATAAGGTAATAATAAATAAATTTGAAATTAATAAGAACGTCTTGTTATGTAATATTACCTAAGAGCACCAATTGTATCTTTAGTTTCATTTTTGGTTTCTGTTAATTTGTTTTCCATAGCAGTAATTCCTTTGGTAACAACATCTTTTAAATCATGTTTAGTTTCTTTTAAGAGCGTTTCAATTTCATTATGTAAAGATTTCATTTCATGAGTCCTAAACAATAATATTTAATATTTAATAATTTTTATCCTCAGACAACTATATTAGTTTGTACTTTATATAATTATTTAAAAATAGGAAGAAGTTACTAAAGTAACATAATACCTTGGTAATTCTTTAATATGCGTAGAAGTATCTTCTAACAGTTTTTGTATAGGAGGTAATGCTTTACAATACTGATCGATATTAGACATCATACTAAATTGAGGTTTTTGTAATTCTGAGTTTATGTTTTGAGATTGTTCTTTCACTTTTTCTAATGAAATTTCAAGATCTTTGATTCTCGAACCAATATCCTGGATCTACAAATTATTCTAATTGAATATATTTTTATTACACTTCAAGTATATCATTACCTCTGTTAATAGCGCTTTTATTGTCCCCGATTGAATATTTGTGACTTCTTTTAGTTTTATTCCTTCTGATTTTAAAAGGGATTCAGTTTTTGACATTTTCTCCATAAGCAATGCTTCTGTATCGTTCAATTTTGAAACAATTTGAGACATATTTTCAGGTGGTAGAAGTACAGTATCTGCAGGAGAATTTGCTCCATTTATTTTATTTTCAATATCTGTAAACCATCCTTCCAAACGGTTTTCTAAATCCTCTAAAGTATCCACAGTTTTCTGCATTTGTATTCTTTCTCGTTCATCTCTCTGAATGAAATAAAATCCAACATTTATATAATTATGATATTGTACATTTGTGACAAGTGAAATTTATTTTACTCATAACAATATGTTATTTAAAACAATACCTGAGAAATTATTTGTTCAATTCCCATCACTTTTTCATCAAGTTTAGTTAGTTGTAATTTTATGGCATCAACTACCGACATCCGTTTTGTCAGTACTGAAATTGTCTTTTTCAACTGTTCTCCCAATTGACGTTCTCGTGCTTCATGCCTTTCTAATTTTTCAGTATTATCTCTCATCATATGTACTAAACTTAACATTGCATCTTTAATGTCTTCAGGCCTAAAATTAAATTAATTTTATAATAATAATAATAAAAGAGATATAAACAATTGGGTATAAAATATTCCTGATTTTTAATTATTTTTAACAAGAGCATTTTAATTTTAATTTTATGATTAATGAAAGCTTACGTGATTTCTCTGGCATTATGAAGATTAACATAAAGCAGTTGTAAAAACAATATTAATATGTATTTCATTTTTCAATGATATTAATACACAGTATAAAATATCTGAAACAAAAAAGATTTATTTTATTTTACACTATTGTATATCTATCTTTTATTTATACAAAGATATCACCTTACTTTTAAATCAACTTCAACAAAAGTCTGTTATTATTACAACTATGAAACTAGATGCTTTGTATTTAAAATGAGTGGAAAGCTTCCTTCAGTCAATTAATTGAATATACTGTCATTGAGATAAGAAGTTAAAAGGTCATTACTGATGACACTGATGAGTAAGAAACCTATCTTTGTTAATAAATTATAGTAATAATTGAAAATTTTGTATTTATTTTATAACAATATTTTGTTTAAATAACATGCGTTCAAACCAATTATCAGCATAGTAATGTATATACAATATAAAACGTTGAACTAGAAATACTTTGGAATATCGTGTGATATTCGGGCGTGTACACGCGCGCATGTTTTGTTTCTTTGTATACATTAAAAAAAAAAGGGTGGCTCAAAATATACATTTTAGTTCTCTGTGTTTATTTAATTTTTTTGTTATAATATTTTAATTGAATGAGAAGTACAATAATGTTAATAAAATACAAGTAATATCTCTACGGTGTATCTGTGATCCTTTGTTACTGTATGTAACAAAGAAAGTTTAAATTTTAGGTACTATTTATAGATCTACAGATGCACATTAAGTGCCATTTGATGGAGCCATATGGAACATTTGAGAACATCTGTTTTACTTTCTTCCATATATGTATCTTATTTCTATATAAAGAAACTTAAAAATATAATAACAAATAATTTATTATAAAACACATATTGTTAGATATTTAAATAAACTATAAATTAATTCAATTACTGTTAGTAAAAGTAGACTTTCATCTATTATAATTAAAGTAGTATATGATATCTAAATTCTTCAAAGCTTTTAATTAAAAATTTATGTTGTATATACATATACCACATATGTTTTTAACAATGAGGAACATTTCTATTGATATAATTATATGTTTATATATACAGTGTGTGTATATATATTATTTAAGTATATTAAATAATATTCAGCTAAAGTGATGGACAAGCAATGGTTTATCTATTTATTTTCTTGATAATTTATATACACCCTTTAATGTGATGCCTTTGTTCCCTAACAACGATATAATAAAATATCGGTTGTTTGGCGTACAATAAATGTTAGTTTTATGTTTAACTAAATATTTAATTAATACTAAAAATTTTACGAAGTCGATCTATTTAAAGAATTACAAAGCTATCAGTTCAACTTGTATGTATGTATGTACATACATGTAAATTTACTAAATTACTGACCACCATTTTAAAACAAAGAACAGAACGCAATAATTCAAAATAAGAATAATCAAATGTACTTATACAATTAATTTTTGGATTATTTTTATATGTTCTTATTAATTATATCCTAATTTATCAATTTAGAAGTAAGTCCTATAAATGATTTATTAGTAGCTTTTAATAAATAAATAATAATATTCAAGTTGTTAAGCTAAAGATAATAAAATGTTAAAACATCAATTTATAAGTTTAGAAATTTACAGAAAACAAATTATATTAAATTAAATTAAATTAAATTAAATTAAATTAAATTAAATTAAATTAAATTAAATTAAATTAAATTAAATTAATAATAAACTTGATAGAAAAATTTACATTATTCAAAATAATTAGAGAATGTTTAATTTCTTAATGTGTACCGTTTACTTACATATGCAATATTCGTATTCTACAATATTCTTGCGCGTAAAACTTGCAAAGAACACAACGTACCGTTTTCTTATTCGATCTGTGAAGAACTGATTATACATACATATACTTACAGTACATTCACTTAAGTCTGCATTTGGATTTTTAAAAAACGGAGCTCAGTGTATGCCCTAATATGCAGCGACATGTAACGGTCATGTTTGGTACTAAGAGAGATGCTACACTGACTCTAGATACAAAAAGACTGGGCCAAGCCTTTGGTCTTGAAGGATTATTTTCGGGGTCCCAGACACCCCAGGTCTTGTAGATTGAATGAACCGCCACAAGCTAAGTATTTTTTTGAAATTCGATCCCAGCGCCACCTATGCAAAAATTGTCGAAAGTACTCGATAGCTTACCGACTGATAATACGGGTATCGAGAAATCGGTCGGCAAGTTGTTGAGTAGTTTCTATATATTTGAAATGAAATAATAAAAGTTTACATGCTTTGCAGTTTGAAGATTATTGAAGGAATGGGCTGTACTTCCGAAAACATCTATGCTCCAAATTGGCTGAAATTTTGGAAATAGCAAATATCATAAATCTAATTATTTAATAAAAGCGTTAAAATAATTAACATAATCATCTGATAAAAGCTTTAGAATATTCAATAATTTATTTGAAATTACAAAATACACTATACCAACGGACACTATCACAGCCGACTCTAGTATGTATGTATTTTAGTTTTCTTGGGCTCTGCCCAAGATGGCGCTTCAGGGGGCAAGCGCCCCCTATATTGCCTAGCTACATTAAAGGCGCTAAATATAACTTATGTAACCTATATTACAAATTACAAACTCATTGCATACGCATTTGCATATTCACAGCACATTTCCTCCTCTCATATCTTTGTATAATTACACACACAAACCATGACGTTACTGTCCCTCCTATGCGTTGCTCCACTTTATTTCATATACTTCATTTAAATAGCTTTCCCCATCTTGTCTAGGAACCTGGAGATGCGTTTAAGGACCCCCAAGTCTCCTCCCATTAACATTTTCTGAACATCCGCCCCTTCATTAAAGCCCTTTGCAGTTAGGAACATATTAAGCTCTACTCTACTTTCTAGAAATCTATCACATTCCCACACAACGTGTTCAATGGACTCTAGTTCCGCACCACAAATACAACCTTTCTCTTCTGACAGGTTCTTCCTGAATAGCGATTCCCCCAAATTGAAATGGTTCGCTCTGATTCTGCTCAGTCTCACCAGATCCCCTCTATTCATCCCTTTTATACTATCAAATCATGGTTTTTTTGCCCCAGCATTATTATTCTCCATTGAAAAATATTTTGCCCCTTTCACTTCACCCTTTCTTCTAGCCCTCGTGATTTCTAACCCAAGCTCCCTCCATAATATATCCCAACACATCCCTTTCCACTAAACCATATTCGAACACCTTCTCCCCATTTGTCGCCTCCCCCGCTTTCATATCCGCCCTTTCATTACCCTCAATACCCACGTGACTGGGAATCCATGCGAATCCCAGTCTGTTACCTGGGAGTCCAGTCCCGTGACCGACCGCTTCATCCATCTTATATGCTTCTTCCAAAATCATTATTTCTCCTATGATTTCCCGAATCCAAGGATTACCCCCCATCCTTCTAGCAAAACCCTCTAACTTTTTAAGGGCACTCGCCGAATCAGTTAGGATAAGTACTCTTTCCCGCCCCCAATTTGCCCTGGCCTTCTTAACCGCCTGTAAGATCGCAAAAGTCTCCGCCGAGAAAACCGACGTGACTTTGTTTAGGGACCACGATTCCTCAAACCATTCACCCGATACCTCCTTGATCGCCAATCCCGCGCCCACCACCTCTGTCAAACCCCTTTTAGAACCATCTGTGTAAATTTCTACTACCCCCATATTATCAAGATTCGGCCAAATTCTACCTGTGATTTCATTAATCAGACGCTCGTCTGGGAAATCTTCCTCTTTCCTACGCTTGCCCACTTCCCACTCCACTATTATTCCACCCCCCTCTACAAAATCGCGCCTTTTGTTTGAGACTTCCCTTCCCAAGTTATCATTCATAACTCTTTCTGCTACCCCTTCTGCTCTACGCCATGCCCTCACCCACGGATCACAATTCTCCGACAATTCTTCCTCTCTCACCACTAGGGTTCTCATCAACGCCTCATAAACCACCCCCTTACCCTTGATTTTATGTTTCATCACAAACCTTTCTAATAAAGCCTCCGCCCTGGACTCTAGGTCCATTATCCCCGCTTCCGTGTTCATTACGTTTATGGGGGTGGTTATTCTATACCCCATAGCCGTACGAACACCCGCATTATGCAGCCTCATAACTTTGTTCATTGCCCTTTCGTTCTCCCAAAAGAAAAGGAACAGGCCATATTCTATCATTGATCTAATCAGCCCTTTAAAGAAAATCAACATTGTACTCGGCTTGACACCCTTCTTGATATCGGCAATAAACCTCAAAATATCTAGCTTTTTCCTAACTTTATTCGATACCATCTCTATGTGTTTACTGAAACTGAGGGATCTGTCCAGGATTATTCCAAGAAACTGGGCCTGAGCTTCCCCCTCCAATAATTCTCCGCCTATTCTAAATTCACCATATCCCTTATTCCTATCTGTTGCTTTTGAGAAAACAACAACCTTGGATTTACCCTCTGCTAGTCCCAACCCCACCTCCTTAAGATTTTCTAACAACGCCTCCACCGCACCTTCTAGTTTTACCGTTAGTTCATTTATGTCTTCGCCCGAAACATATATAACAATATCGTCCGCGTAAAGCAGGACCCTCACCCCCCACCGCTCAAGCCCTTTACAAATTCCCGTAGTGTATATGTTGTACAGTAGGGGGCTCAAGACCGAGCCCTGTGGGAGCCCTCTCTTAATTAAACCATTAACCCCTTCTAAGAATTTTCGGACACATGTCGCCGATCTATCCTTCAGCCAGTTTACAATAACATTCACCACCCTTTCCGGGCAGTTCTTTTCCTTTAAGAGTGTCTTTAATTTGCTATGGTTAACTAGGTCATATGCCGATTTTACATCCATAAAAGCTGCCACGGTTTCTTTTTTAGCTTTAAAGCCTGCCTTAATGTCCGTGACCAAGGCCACCAGATTATCCATTGTAGATCGCCCCTTCATAAAGCCACTCTGTCGATAATCTACTATCCCCTTATACTACCACATCACTTCTATTTGCCATAGTTGCAACGTTTATATATTGTTTATACATAATTAACACCAAATAGTGTATATTACTACAGCTTTTAATTAAAAAAGACGTTAATTACAATTCCGAGCACAGGACTCTGTTTTTGAAAATAGGACTCCCGATTGTCACGTGAGCGGTGTTGCCACGTTATTCAGCATGGCTAGTACTAGAGTCGGCTGTGCTGTGACACTATGATGCATACAGTACATATCAACCTAAGAGAGTAGGGGTACCAACCTCTCGGCGAACCCATTGTGCAGAGTTGGGAGTGAGAGGTAGAGAGAGGAAGCAAGAGTCTGTTACAGATTCTACAGGGTGTCCAACGACTACATCAACAACCGAAGAGGGATGATTAACAAGGTGATTCTAAACAACTTTTTCCTTTGCCAAAATGTTGGTTAAGGCTTCGTTATCGAGTTATTAACAAAAAACACTGGCCAATAAGAGCGCGCGAACTATGAGTGTTGACTTTGCTCTGTGTTCAAGCCGTGGTCGTACTCTCGTGGTTCGGCCCGCGCTAAAGGCGCGCTCTGATTGGCCAGTGTTTTTTGTTAATAACTCGAAAACGAAGCCTTAATCAACATTTTAGCAAAGGAAAAAATTATTTAGAATCACCTTGTCAATCATCCCTCTTCGGTTGTTGACGTAGTCGTTAGACACCCTGTATGTATAGAATGACTAACACGTGGTGGAATATCGTTTAATGTAATTGTTTCTATGCCTTTATTTGTTGTTGGAAATATATCTTACGTATAATTTATAATAAAAATTAATGTAATAAATCTAGAGGTAATGATTTCTTTCCTTGACATTTTAAGTATGCAGTTTTCTGTAATGAGTAGTTCAAATGACAGCAAATTTATTGTACCTATTAGTAATAATGTCGTGTTCCAGAAAGTCTAATTCAATTTTTTATCAAATTTAGGTGTCTTCAGAATTTTTTAAACGTGACTCGATTCGCTAGAGCTAAAGGATCTAAAGCTTCCAATGAAAGATTACAATGAAATACCTTGAGATCCAATGGAAGACCTTATTGGTAAGGGACCAACAATGTCGAGCACGATTCTCTCAAAAGGTGCTCCTACATTGTAAACTTTCATAAGTCCTCTTCCCTTCCCCATAGGACCTTTCTTCGCCATACATCGATGACACCGACGACACCAATCCTCCACATCTCTACGGTGACTAAGCCAGAAGAATCGCTGACAAACCTTGACCAATGTCTTACGAATTCCGAAATGTCCTCCAGACGACGCATCGTGGCACTCCTGGAGAACCTCCTCGACTTTACTCCTTGGTACAATTAATAATCTGGCAACTTCTTTTTCGTCAACGGACTTCCATTTTCGAAACAATAAGCCTTGATGAATTTCCAATGAATCCCAAAGTACCCAGAGGAACTTTGTTCCAGAAGAAAGAGCGGAAACTTCCTGTCAATCTGATTTATGTTCTTTACTCTTTCTTTCCCGAATAAAACCAATATCCTCGTCATTCTGTTGCTCTTTAATCCATTCTTCAAAATTTCCAGGTTTACAAACAGTCCTGAAGATGTGATGTTCCTCTTCGTGATCCTTTTCTTCCAGGCGAGTACAACGCTTGCAATGCGAAGCTTCACGGGGTCTTCTTGATAGACTGTCCGCATTTCCGTGATTCTTTCCTTCACAATGCTTAATTTCCAAGTCATATTCTTGTAATCGTTCAATCCATCTTGCAGTCTGCCCCTCTGGATTCTTGAATGAGAACAGCTATCTCAAAGAAGCGTGATCGGTCCTTACCAGAAATTTACGTCCATAAAGATAATGATGGAAATGCTCTATGGATTTTACAATAGCTAACAGTTCTCTTCTGGTCACGCAATAATTCCTCTCAGCCTTTCCTAACATTTTTGAGAAATAGGCTACAACCTTTTCTTGTCCTTCTTGGACCTGAGAAAGGACTGCTCCAATTGCAACATTCGATGCATCTGTATCAAGAATAAAATCTGCATCAGGAAGAGGGTAGGCCAGAACTGGGGATTCTGCAAGATGCCTCTTCAATTTTTCATAAGCACCCTGCCATTCTTCTGACCAACGGAAAGGTACTCTGTCCTCAATAAGACGATGTAATGGTTTCGCGATGAAAAAGAAATCCTTCACAAATTTTCTATAATAAGTGCAGAGACCCAGAAAACTTCGCAGCTCAGTCCCGTTCTTTGGGACTGGCCAATTTTGTACCGCTGAAATTTTCTCTGGATCAGTCTTCACTCCATCTTCAGAGACTATGTGCCCCAAATACTTGACTTCTCGACAAAAGAAATTGTATTCCTTCGGACTCAATAGAAGTTTGGCGTCGCGCAAGTGGGAGAACACAGTTCTTATATGCTCAATCTCTTGTTCAAAACTCTTTGCAAAATGTATAACGTCATCCAAATATACAAGACAAATCTTCCAATTTAAACCTTTTAAAACATTCTCCATCAAGCGTTCGAAAGTAGCCGGAGCGTTACAAAGTCCGAAGGACATAACTCTAAATTGCCACAGTCCTGTGCCAACACAGAAGGCGGTTTCCTCCTTATCTTCGTCATCAACTAAAATCTGCCAATAACCGACCACCGCGTCCAAAGTGTCCTCGATTCTCGGCAACGGATATGAATCCTTCTTCGTAACTTCGTTGAGACGTCGATAATCTACACAAAATCTGGTAGTTCCGTCCTTCTTGACCAGAATAATAGGCGAGGACCATGGACTCTTAGACTTTTCACTCGGCGGTGTAAAGGTAACCGTCGTGGAGACTGTTTAATTGGCGAACAAGATCCTGTGTCTATTTTATACTGGACAATATCACATTTATCAACTTCTTCCGAATTCTTGGTAAAACTGTCCTGAAATTCCAGAAGCAAATTCCTAAATGCAATCTCTTACTCTTCATTCATATCCTTTCCATTTCGAGTATACAGTTTCTGAAGATATTCCGGGACGGAATCCTCTTTATTCCGATATCCTAAATCGGAAACGTTCCGCGACACACCGATCATTTCTTGCTGAGGGACCGGTGGCGAAAGCTGAGGTATCGCGAGTCCAACGGAAACAGAAGTATTTACAGGAACGGTCTCGCGATCGCCATTACGGATTGTCGTGACCGAAAAATTTTCTAAAAACGACTGAAAATTTGACGATAGCACCTGATAATTACTTTCCATCGCTCCAATTCGTCCTTCCAACGCCTTCTCCTTCGCTGAATAAGCCGCTCTCTCTGCCTGCTGCTTCTCTTCAGCGCGAGAGCGCTCCTCTTCCCATCGGAAGTCAAAGACGCGTTGCTGCTCCTGAAACTGCGAAGAAATGCTCCCCTGCAAGTTTTCGAAGAGCGTCTCCAACGATACAAGGGCGACTTCGTCCTCGATTGATGTACGAGTCTTCATCCCACTTCAGACACTAATGTTGCGCCGAGGAGCGGTGCTTGTAGTTTCCATTTCAAATAATAACGGCAACGAACAACAAACAAAACTGTATATTTAAAATACAGAGCAATTAGAGAACACAATTCCATAGGTCTGTTCGCGACGGCTTCTCAAGACCTTCTCAATATTCGAATATCACGCTGTTGTCCAAGCGACCCAAAACAACCGGTAATGTGTTTCCGCTCGAAACGAGGAATAGATTCTTGTCATGATACGTCGACAGCTTCTCGCTGTTGCAACCATACGTTCTAATTTCAGTCTTGGTCTTTTTTTGTGCGGTCTTCGTCGCTGCAGCGTATGTACCATCCACGATTTCATCAATTTCATCCTTTTTGCATTCTGGGGAATGATTATTAATAACCTTATTCATGACCCTTATCATTAATTGCGGTCGTAATATAACTAATTTCCTCAGTAGTTTTTATACTCGTATGATTATCATCCGCTTCGATCATATCATCAAAGATACATATATTTGTCATCGAATATGGCATTTCATTTGTTCGCCAAATGTTCCTCTGCGAAATTAGATGAGAAAACACTCGGAGCAGTTTTCATTAACATTGGCACGATTTCTGCTATTTCCGGATTTATTTTAATATTACTATCACCACCACCGCCACCACCACCACCGGATCTGTAACCGATCTTGTCTTTGGTGGCTGGATGTGTTCTGAAAATCGACCCAAAAGTCACGTTCAAGGTCACCAGAAGATAGCACTTTGCAACCTCTACGACCTCTGTTCAGGTCATTTCAGACGATACCACCTCCATCAGCGGATTTTGTGGCTGTCAAACATTTGACCTTCAAATGATCCCTGGAGGTCACTTTGACCTCTAACATAACAACATACCTGAACGTAAAATTTCCTGTACTTTTCTAATTCGGGATCAAAAATGGGGGTTTCTCCATTTAAAAAATTCGATTTGACCTATAAATTACCTCCAAGGTCAAGTCCAAGGTCACTACAAGATAGTACTTTACGAAAAATGCGTTCTTTTCAAGATATTAGGGGGGGTCCCACACTTTTCGAATACCCTGTATATTACAATGTAATGAAATATGAAACTTTATTGATTTATACATATAACACCATTGACTTATTAACTAAACCTTACATTCTAATAAACACTAGATATAATGAGAATATTTATATAAACTGAAATATATCATCTTAACAAAAGAACAAAAAGATGCGCAACATTGGTTCGCATATTCATACATCACTGACAAAAGAGAAAAGAACAAAGAATAATTTTTTTTTTACTAGCGTCTATTTCTTAACGCTAGAGCACGCCTTTTTAAATCTACTCCTGCTGGAGCAGTTTCGGCTCCGTCTAATGATTGGCTCATATCGTATAGAACTTTTCCCAGGTATGTTGCATCATTGGCATCCCAGTCGATTTCCCGTTCGCTGTTTTTACTGGCGATAGCAGATGTGAATACTGCAGCTAGGAACACATTATTATCAGAAGTTAATTCTTTGAAGTAGTCGTTGTCTATAATCCTTGCCCAATGATAACTATATTGAGGGTTATCAATGTTGGTTTGTTGCGCGAAAAATGTTACGAGGTTCTCCCATGAGGTGCAAGTTAGCGTATTGTATGTCTTGGCCATAATGACTTTCCACTTCATCTGGGTGACGAGTTGCACATGATACAACAGCTCAATCATTCCCATTCCATTTCTAGCCGTATCAGTGAGAAGGGCGGCGTCTAGTATCTCTGCGACATTTGGGTCCGGATAACCGGCTTTTTTCGTTAAGACAAATTCGTGTACTACTTTAATAAATAAATTGGAGGTGGATTTTAGACCTTTAGCTAGGGCTCTTTCACAAATTGTGAGACAAGCTGAACAGGGAGGCGAAAATGGATGCCTTGCAGGCCATTCCGTTAAATTGATAAGGTTCTTCTTATACTGTGTTTCCTTGAATGCCTTTTCCATCTGGATTGCATTTCTGGTCGCAAATCTATATAAAGTAAGGGCTAAAAACATGGCCAATCGAACAACACATTTTTCTGGACCAGTTTCTGGACTTTCAGGATCAATTTCCTCTAAGACTTTATGGAGGCAATTCTGAAATTCGTTCAGTTGACTCTCGGCTAGGGTCATATTAAACTTCTGGTTATATATACCCAAGGAAGGGGGATCTGAAGTGTTCTTCGGATAAAAAACCTGTTCTTTCTTATTTGGTGCTTTCCAGATTAAACCCATACGTGTTGATCCAATGGCAATGACGTCATTGAGAATTCCTACTACTGAATCCAGTTTGTCCACTGCTCCTACTATATAAAAGCGGAAAAATCGCTTGAGAATACGAGGTTTTTCTGTTCTACGATATGCGGTGCTTGGGAAATTAAGATCTCTAACTAGTTGAGTTAGTAAATTGTCGCTCCATTTCTTTTTAGTTGGTTCGAAAAGACCGACTAGATTTTCTGTTGCTCTAGTGCTTCTCTGCAAAGCGTTTTGTAAACTTTGTGCGATGTCCATAATAGTTCAAATAATACGTTTGTATTATACGTTTGTAATTGCTTCGTGGTTAATTAAGGATACTTATATTTACGATTAAAGAAAACTTTTTATTCAGCGTGCGTCTGTTACACCAAGCTTTTTGCGCTTCCCCTCACAGACTCTCCAAATTCTACTCTACTCTTATGCAGGGGTATCAATCCGACTGTAAACGTAGAGGTATCGACCACAGCCGACTCTAGTACTAGCCGTGCTGAAGTAAAAATGGCAACACCGCGGGAGTCGGGTCTGAATATATCAACATCTACCCTACTCTATCTGCCTCCCGGACTCTCATCCAATCAACGTCGTCAGACTCCCGACTACTCTCTGGACTTCACATAATCTCTTTGGTTTCGTTCTAATAATTTCGCTTGTTTCAAGGTTTTTATTAACTTATATACACGTTTATCAATTCTTAAATGTTTCAATTTGATCCAAAGATGGTTTCATTTTGCTTCATACCTAAATTTTCTTGAAACCACTGTAAATATTTTAAATATCATGCTTTACAACACCAAACTACTTCGAGAGTACACAAAATATATATCACATTTATAACAATTTTATACTACCACATCACTTCTACTTGCCATAGTTGCAACGTTTATGTATTGTTTATACATAATTAACACAAAATAGTGTATATTACTACAGCTTTTAATTAAAAGAGACGTTAATTACAATTTCGAGCATAGGACTCCTGATTGTCACGTGAGCGGTGTTGTCACGTTGTTCAACATGGCTAGTACTAGAGTCGGCTGTGTACCAACCTAAGAGAGTAGGGGTATTCCGTATGTTGGTACCGCTACGCTAACAGTTAGGTTGGTACCTCTACATATAGTACATTAGCACTGCCATCTACATACAAACTTATCAACATTTTATTTGCGATTGTAAATTGTTACCTTACTTTCCTCGATGTAGGTTATTCGGTCTGTAATGATAGCTTTTGTGTGTAAATATTGTTTATAAAATGACTAATTGTTGTGATTAATTTTATATTATTACATAAAGATGTACAAACTTTTTGTAACGCGAATTACAAAACGGATTTCTCCACATGATGTTGTACCAAAGCAAATAATTGTTCAGCGTTCGATGCGGTTATGCTCATTTTGTAATTTCTATCATGGAAAAATGACAAAATGTATGTTTATTAAATAAGTTATATCTAACATAAATTTGATTTTTAAAGGATGCGATAAAAATTTGTATTCCTTGTTTTAAGTTACGCTTTTATATTTTATTAAATCGTAATATCGCGAGAGTTTAAATAGTTATTCTTCAACTATAATTATTTTAAATTATATAATATTTATTACTTTTCTTGTTTAACTTTATAGTATTCAATCCGAACATGTATATAATAACAATGTGTAACATCATTATTGCTTAGTAAGCAATAGAAACTATTGTATGTATATAATCTTTTGAAAATTAATTTAAAAAATTTGGATAAATACCATCATTCATTTAATGTGTAACTTATAAACAAAAAATAACTTTCTAAAATTGATGTTTTGTTTCCATTTATGTGAATTTATTTAATTTATAGATATGAAATATTATCAAATTCGTACAAGTTCCACAACAGTAAACGTATTAGGCCATTCCTTGATTAAAAAAAAGGTCAAACGAAGAACAAAAAAATATACTGAATTGTTAGCAGGTAAAATTTTATATTTGCCGCCTTTGTTCATAATGGGGCTTACAGTTATGTTTTAATATCATTTTTGTTTTGTTTATTTTAGTAACAGATGAAGTGGCAAGTACTAAAATGACGAAAGTACATAAGCTAATGGCTTCAGATTTATCTATGTTTGTTCATCAGCCTGATGTTATCACAAATAATACATACGATCTTAGAGGTCCTTCGATTAATACAGTCTCCGATTCAAAGAGTAAAACTAAGGATTGTCATACTTCATATGATAATGAAAGTTACTTCAATATTGTGAGTATATAATAGTTATGTAATTATTTTGTTTGACTATATAAAATTTTACATTTTTACATTTTCTTACTTTGTATTAACACACAGCAAGAGGAAAATCATATAGATACATTATTTGCAGAAGAAGAAATGAAGTATTACAATAAAGAAATTTCTGAAAATTTTAAGATTAGCAACAGTTCCGTTGAGAATGATACACTCTATGATACTTCAATTAAGAATCCTGAAATCATAAATAAAAAATTGAATAAAATATTGCAATCAAAAGTGTAAGTATATCTTTCTATGATGTATCTGTATTTTTTAAATCATACTTAGATCCAGAAGTTACACATCAAAGTTATTAATGAAGATAATGATAATGAATTTTAGACTAATGACAACTGTTACAGTTACATATAAATTTTAATAGTGTTGTAAATTTGCAGTGATTAATGATTTATAGTTTAATTAATAGTATCATTACATAAATAATCCATTTTTCAGAAACAGAACATTACCACAAAAACAGGAGTTTTTTAAAAATAACAGTAAACACACATTACCTTACATTGAAAGTCTGTTAGTGCATATGCAAGTTTATTTAAGTTGTGGGTTGCTAAATAGAACACACAGTACATTAATGAAATACAGGAAGTATGTAAAAAATAGGGTAAAACATTGTGATAAATGTGTTGAACTTTATAACATAGTTTTGGAAGCTTATGCTTCTAGAAGGAAAGTTACAAAGGTCTTAGAATTATATGAAATATTAAAAAAAGATTTATTGATACCAACATCACAAACCTATGTGTATGTGTTCGATGTGCTGGGAGGAGATGTGATAACAGATAAACAAAAGGGTAATTATACGTTGTAAAAAATGGTAATATGTATAAAAAGAGGATATGTTGAAGCAGTTTTTTTTTCTTTATAGCATTGTTAACAAAATTGAGCAGTGAAATGACTAATTATAATATAACTTTCAATGATTTATTTAACAAATCATATTTTAAAAACAATCAAAGAGAAAATGTCCTTAAATCAATTAGAGTGTTAATACCAAACTTTGAACCATCGTATGATTTGCCAAGTACAGAATATGCATGTGGACTTCTGAGTAAAACTTTGACAAAGAATAATTATAGAAGTCCAGTGGAAGGATTATTGACAATAGAAGAATTAAAAGGTTATTTAAAAGAGCAAGTTCAAGATGAAACTGCGATTGAGGTACAAATAAAAAGTGTTGAATCATCCAGGGATACAAATACTTTACATTCTGTAAGATATTGCATATTTTAATAGTTTATATCATCATATAAAGTTCCTTTTGTTTTTCATAAGTTTTACAAATTTTATATAATAATAATAGTTTCTTTCTTCAATTAGAAGGAAAAACTCAATGAAATGGAAAATTATTGGAAAGATGCAGCATCAAAAGCTTTTGAAAGGAATTTAAAGTGTTTAAAAGAAGAGGAATGTCAATCTTATAATGCTTTAATGGTTTTACATCCATTTTTAGAAGTATTAGATAAAGAAGATTACGTGAATGCTATATTGCGAGAAGTTAGACAAGTAGCTCGAGGTTCTGAAGCTTATAGTACTTCCCTTAAAATGTTATACATTGATTTAGGAAGATATATTTATAACAAATATGAGGTATGAAATTACTTTTGAGCGATGTAGTATAATAAAGATGCACTTATGTAAAATCATTTAATTTAAATTTGTAGATTCAAACAAAAAAACAATCTGGATTGATGGATAAAATGCTCAGTATTTATTTGAAATATCTTGATTGGTATATGCACCCTGAAAATATGACGCATTTAAATAATGCAAATAATCGTATTGTATGGCAATACCTTGAACACGAAGAAATAAAACATGGCATATCTTTAAGTACTAGATGCTTAAATTGGCCTATGGATGTAATTATAAATGTTGGAAAATTTTTGTATAATATCATTTTAAATGATTTAATACTTCAACCTAATATATTGAAAGGACATGATTTAAAATGTTCTATTCCTGCATTTTATACATTATTTAGGAATAAAGGAACTTATTTATCAGAACAGGTTTGTATATTGAAAATATTAAATATTATCACAGATTTTATTTCAACGCAATGCATTCATCGTTACATTACAGATTAAATCTCATCCTTTGGTTTCAAAATTGTACAAAGAATCGGATTTTGAAACATTAACGTTTAACTCGCATATTTTACCATCTTATGCTCCACCACGTCCGTGGACTTCCATACATAGCGGAGGGTACCTTATAACTAAAACAGACTTTATGAGAGTCTCATACACAGTAAGTTTGCACATTGTTAACATGGCTTATCTGTTTATAGACATGTAACATCTTAATATAACTTAATTTTTTATAATTAAAATGTACAATATTTACACGATGGTTATATTTTTTCAGAATGCTCCATGGCGCAAACTTCAAAGTACACCAACAAAACAACTATATCCGGTATTTGATTCATTAAATCAGCTTGGTTCCATTCCTTGGAAAATTAATACTAATATACTTGACGTAGTAATTAAGGTACTTGCCATTTTATCATTGTCATATTTATTTTAAACGATGAACTCAAATAATTTTATTATTTTATTAGATATTTCAAGATGGTGGTTCGGAAAAATTAAATATTCCCCAACCAGTTTCTGTATTACCTTTACCACCTTCGGTGAATAAAGATTCTACTTCAGAGGAGAAGCGTAATGCTGCAATAGCGATGGCACATTACAAACAAAAAAAGTATGACATGTATTCTCTGTGGTGCGATACTCTTTATAAACTGTCCATTGCTAATCATGTACGTCTTTCATTATCATCATTTTAAGTAATTTTAATTTTCTATGTCAGATTAACGAGTAAAAATATATATATTTCTATTCAAGTGTATTAAATTGTTAATTATTTTAAAAGCTTAGAAACAAAGTATTCTGGCTGCCACATAATATGGATTTTAGAGGAAGAGTTTATCCAGTTCCTCCCCATTTACATCATCTAACATCTGATGTGGGTCGTTCTCTGCTTTTATTTGCAAAAGGGAAACCTTTAGGTCCTAATGGATTGGAATGGTTAAAATTACATGTTATTAATTTAACCAATTTCAAAAAAGGAAGCTCTGTTAAAGAGCGTATTGAATATGCAAATGAAAATATGGAAAGCATATTAGACAGTGCTACTAAACCTTTGACGGTAAGTTTTTAATTACAATTACTTAGCCTAAGTATGACTTTATTTATATCATACGTACTATCTAGGGCAATATGTGGTGGGCAGAGTCTGAAGAACCATGGCAAACTTTAGCAGGATGTATGGA